CACCTTCGTTCTCTCAACGCAACAAATACTCTCATGGTTTTTCTCGCCCGGACCATATTATTACTTCCCACAATGATTATTCTAATGTAGATGATGTTTCTACTGCTTATTCTCACAAACTTTTAACTATCTCCTTTCCCAGTAACCCTATTTTAGACTTCCCAGAAAAGTTCAACAAATATATTATTCATCCTAAAACTCTGCAATCCAAGATGAAGGAAATTAATAACGATTTTGCTATGGACAACCCTAGCACTCTCTTAGAAGCCCAAAATACCCTTGCTAAAATTGTGAAGAAATATGGCTCTCCTAGCACCGACAAGCCTTCATTGATTACTGATAATCGTAATGTTAGACAATTTCAGACGATCATTTTTGATTTGAAACAGTATCTTTATAAGCGTAAATATGTCTCTACTGTCACCAGCCAGTTCTTGAATAATAATTTTAGCCTCAACAATATTAAGGCTAAATTAGAGGAAGCTAAAGCCTCGCTTAACAAGCTTATTGGATCTCTATTGGCTGACCGTAAACGGGTCTTCGTGAATAGAATTAACAATCTTAGCTCTAAACAACCGTACTCCTATGCCTTCAGAAAAGAATTAGTCAGTTCTTCTATACTCAATGTAGTCCAAAGTAACCATAACTCGATAATTGTAGATCATTTTTCAGCCATGTTTAACACAGAACAAGAAGTGACTAAAACCCTTCCGGAAATCAAGAAAAATAATACTGTAGCCCAATGGAAATTCCAACATATCACTGCCAAAGAGTTGGGTAAAGTTATTTCTAAAACAAAAAATTCCATGGCTGGCTATGATAATATCTCGGTGCCGTTGTTGAAAATTCTAGACAACAATTCGCTCCAAGTACTTGCAAAATGTATCAATCACACAATTGACAGTGAAATGGTTCCTAAAGAATTGGGTATTGGTATTCTACTCCCATTACCCAAAGTCAATATGCCTACAAAATTATCAGACTTTAGACCTATAGTAGTATTATCTGTGATCTATCGCCTATTTTCTTCTATTATCAACAAACAATTCATGAATATCCTTGAAGAGGCTAATTTAATCCATACTGCTCAGCGAGGATTCATGAAAAAAGGCTCAACATTAGAGCACCTTATCAATCTTCGGACTGCCCTAGCATACAAATGTCAGCACAAACAAGAAGTATTCGCTATGGCTTTAGATATCAAAAATGCTTATGGATCAGTAATCCATAAAAGATTTATCAGCATTCTCAAAAAACATGGTTTCCGTAGCTCTGTCATTAATCTCTTGACATCCATGATTTCCAATAGCGTTATGAAAGTACTAGTTAACGGATTCCTATCCTCCCCTTTCGATGCGAATGTTGGAGTCCCACAAGGCGACCCTTCAAGTCCAGCATGGTTTAATCTCTATATTAACTCCTCAACTAATATACAAGAAAAACTAAAAGGAGTCCAAATATTTGATATTACTATCCTTTTATTATTATATGCCGATGATATTTTATTGATAGCTAATACTAAGATTGAAATGAATTCCTCTCTTAAAAGCCTCGGCCGAGAGTTAAAGAAAATAGGACTCGCTTTAGCTCCCAAGAAATGCAAGCTCTTAGCTATTACAGCTAAATCTAAACTATCTAAAGCCCTAGTCACTATTGGACAGGATACAATTGCCTCGTCTACTTCTATTGAATACCTTGGGGGTATATGTACCTTTAAGGATAATCTTTCTTGGTCCTCTGATAACCCAGTCAACAAAATCTCGAATCGACTTGCATCAGCTAAAACTTCTAATCTATATCTCAACAGTATCACCACTACAATTATGTCTAAAATTATATCATTGCCTAGATATGCCTGTAGCTTCAATGGAATCAGTAAGAATTCTCTAGACAAAGCAGATATTATGGTTGCTAATTTTATCAGAAAGGCTATTGGATTAGATTACACATTATCAAAATCAGTCGTTTTTAATTGCAAACAAATTGGGGGTCTTGGTATTACTCGCCCCTCTATTTTATTCTCTATTGAACCTATTTGCACAGCAGTTAGATTATTCAATTCCTCATCCTCCATCACCAAAAATATAGCTTTGGCTGCTTGGAAAGATACTACTTTTAACGAACCATTTTGGAACCACGTGAAAAATATTGCTGCTCAAAATAATTGGTCTCTCCAATACATTGATGAACGATATTCATTTGTCAATGAATACGAAACCCCTGTCGACCCTAGAACTGAATTGCTAAACAGTGATAGATCAACCATGAGCATTTCTGGCCTTGGAACCTTAGACCATAATAGAATCTGGCATCCATGTACCATCTCCTTTTGGAACAATTATTCACTCAAACCATTCCAGCAACGACTGTTATTTGCTCACCTGCACAAAGCAGAAATCCTTAGAAATTTCGGAAAAGATTACCCTAATTGCCACATTTGCAACACCAAAGCCAACTGGGAACATGTATTCACCTCATGCGCCATGTGTAGCCCAGAAATCAAATCATTATACACAAAATGGGACAATAGTTCCCTCAAATTCAACGCCCCGCTTGTCAGACTTCCCTCTAACCATTCTCTCTCTTGTATTCCAATGGAGTGGAATGGTAGTATCAAAGACGAATCTCTCCAACAACTAGACCTATCTCCCCCAGCCTTGACTGATTGGCTAAATGAAATATATCTCTCATTCGCTGCTTATGTTGGCAGTTGTTACAAAAACGCCACTTGGAACAGTTCTACTGTACTCAAGAAGGCTAGAGGATATATAATTAAACCCAAAACTGCAAAATTTGCAACTGCTTGGGAAACATGTAGCAATCAGCTTGGCGAACTCAACTCCGACAACATTTAAACCCCACACATACACACCCATTAGACACACTCTCGTCGGACAATTGAGTACCTATAATTTGTTTATTCTTCAATAAACCCATCCCTGTATTTTTTTTTGAAGCAAATTTTCTATTCAATGAATCTTTGAGATGACGAAGATCCTTCTGGTACCATAGAAATCCATGAAAGTAAGGTGAGAGAATATACGAAGGGATATCACTGCATTGGCAACCTACTGTTGTTCAGTTCCCGAAACGCAATGACAAAAGACATGGCCCCAAAATTTAGAGTAACGTACAGCTTTAAAAAAAAATGCAAAAAACAACTAGGATCAATTCGTTAGGGAGAAAATCAGTCGTCGAACAGAAACCACCGACAATGTCATCAAGCAATGCTCGGAGAACTAGTACCATGAATGAAAAAGTCTCTCCATATGCTAGTCAACAAAAACAGCAATCCAATCAAGCTCCAAAGTACAATAGAGGACATTCTACTCCGGTGCTGTCATCATCATCACAAAGTCTTAGAAATCAAAATGAACATTATTCACGATCATCTACTCCACAACAACACAAACGACCGAGTAATCAAGAATCCTTCTCCCGAAATGATCATGAAATTTCAGATGAAAAGGCTTTGAACGGAGAAAAATCCATAACAATTACCTTGTTGACAAGTTTTTTATCTGAGGGAGAAAAATGTTTGAAAAATCGAAATTGGGAGAGAGGAATTATATCATTCACAAAAGCGTTGGAGTATGATCCTTCAAACAAGTATGCATTTGTGTGTCGTTCAAAATGTCACATGAATTTGGGAGCGTTTGACAAGGGAATTGAAGATGCAGAACAAGCATTAGAAATTGACCCAACCTATCATCGAGCATATTTGGCCAAAGCTGAGTGTTTATATGCGTCAGGAAAGTTTGAATATGCCCTAGTTTACTATTATAAGGGATATGACTTGCGAAAAGATATTGAGGATTTTAAGAAGGGAATTCGGAAAGCAAAAATTGCAATCAACGAATCCATTGAACAAGACGAAATTGACAGAAACATCAAAAACATGAAACAACCATTATACTGCCGAGTGAGCACCGCTCGAACAATGCTCTCTACTGGTCGACCTTCGTCAGCAAAGTCTACAAGGTCTGTCACAAGTACAACCACATACAAATCTAATATGCACTCTGTGACCATTCCCTCCTCGAGAAGAGTAGTGTCGCCAAGAGAGGTCTTTCAAGGAGGCAAAACAAGTGTCTCACCTCCCCCAAGCTCGATATTGTCAAGGCCTTCCTCTGCAAGGCATGTCTCATCTCAATCGAATACTTCTCGAGGAGGAACAGGTCCCTTTGGTAGACCTCAGTCTGCAGGACCCACACGAAATGGATCACAACCCTTCTCCAATTCTCAACCATCTAGTAACACCTCAAAACGACCCATTTCTGCATCCAACTCCATGCAATCCAAAGACGTTAAACAAGCCAACACTAATTCCTTTTTAAACACAAGTGGAAACGTTTCAGCACGCTCGACGTATTCCTTCTCTCGACCACCTTCTTCCCAAAGACCAAAGAGTGCTACCACCACAAGAAAAGAAAAGTATTTACTTGGAGAATTTACCAAAGATGAAGAGTACCTGAGCGCATTGCTCACCGATAAGAGTAAGTAGTAGTTAATAATATTATCAGCTATATATTATTTCTCACCGAATGAAATGTATGTTTAAATAGCTTTGAGAAAATCCATGTCAGGAGATCCTTCTAAAAAACCACTCTCAGACATTACCAACATTGTACAAGATACCTTAGAATTTTTAGACAAGAGAAAAGAATTTTGGAGACACTCTATAACAACGGGATCCACCACGTCAGCCATTCACGTCACACCCACTACTCCAACTCCCGTACATGCAAGCTCGTTTAATCCTTTCAGAAAAGACTTTTTCCACAACACTTCGACGGCATCTCCATGTGCGCGACCGAAATCAGCAAATGCAGTCATGTCATTCAAAGGAAGTTCTAGTCACAACTTGGCCCTGCTTTCCACTGCTCACAAGTACTCGTTATTCGTGTAATGGATGCACCCCCAACAGAATTGAAGAACCCAAAATCTTTTCTTTCCCGCCAAAAACCGTTAACGTTTGAATTTTAAAAAAAATAAAGAAAATGATGAAAACACCAAGCAAGGCCAAGATTCTCTCTTCACCCACTCACCATCAAACAGCCCTATCAGAAGGCGTGAAAAGTCCACAACCACAACAACCTAGATTTCTCTCTCCCACAGCTTCCTCCTCTGCCAGACGAAAGGAAATACTCTCGGCACGAGGTCAACAACAACAACAGAATCATCATCAGCCAACAACCACAACAACAACGAACAGTACTCCTCATAATCCACTTGTAACCCCACCACGACATGCTCACAGTAAATTACCTTCCTTCTCCTCCTCCTCATCCTCTACTCATTCCGTTCCTTCCAAACGAGGAACCCTTCTCTATGATCCGCTACTTTTCTCTGCTCCTTCCACAGCAGCCTCTACTAAATCCTCATCTGGTCGTGTTCCTAGCCAAGCAATAGCAACAACAACAACACCCAATAGAAACAATTATCATTACTATGCTAACGGACAGAAATTGAATCATGATGATGATGAAAATTCATTAACCGTTCCTACACTCCATTCACCCCGAAGCAAAGGAATTCTCAAATCTCCACCTCCTCCTCCCATTCAACTCATTCCAGAAGTATATAGAGATGCCTGTACCAATCTTCATACATTGGGAATTTGTAGTCCCTCTGCAAGTCGATTCTTCTCGCCTTATTCGTCCTTCGCAAGTGTCATTACTGGTTCATCCTCTCATCCACAACAACAACAACAACAACCCTTCTACAAGAAACAAGGTAAATTTGGCACGCTCATTCTACAAACTTCTCTTTCCAAACTCACCAAAGGCATCTTGTTAGATAAGGAAGAATATTTAACCATTGGATGTTATCGGGAGTGTAACATTCGAGTGAATCATCGATGTTTTCTCAAATTAGATCCCGATTATGATGAACAGGGAAATCCATGCATGTTTTTATGTGTCTATGAAGGTGCCAATCTCATCAAATTGAATGGAGAAGTATTGGAAGGATTATGGGACGACGAGGACATGGATGGAATTTTACTCAAACACGACGATGAAATTCGAATTGTGGACAAGTTGTTGTACTATGAAAATTATGAACAGTATGAACGAGAACGTCGTCTCTCGTTGTTGAATGATGTGGTTGCCACGTTACCTCTGTTCAATAAGGAAAATGTCATTCCTGAACTGCCAACCACTCCCAATAAGAACAATCAAAAAGCAATGAACACTGCATCTTGTGGTTTGAAAGGTCAACAACAACAACAACAACCATCAACATCCTCCCAAATGGCACCACCTGTTGTTATTGTTGCTGATCAGGAAATGAAGAGTCCTCCAATCAACAAGGGTTTTTCATCATATGTTGACACACCCAAGAGAAAAGATTCCATTCAGAAAAAATCCATTTCCACACAAAGAAAATCCACAACACCTTATTCATTCCATGTAGATGCTGTTCATGTTGGAAGTGTTACGGTGGCTACCAATTCTTCTCTTCTTTTTGACTGTGGTCCAGCAACTGAGAATAGTAACAACAAGCCCTCATTGGATCATCAAGGATTGAACAATCATGGAATGACTTCTTCATTGTGTAATAGTGCCAGAAAGTCCGTATCATTTGGTGAGACCATCGATATTCAATATTACAAGCCAAGTCATGAGCCAAAGAGAGTATCTGCGGCCAATCGACTTGTCATTGATGAAGATCTTGTCACGACATCATCCTCCCAAACCACTGATGATTCTACCATTTCATTTGGATGTGACAATGACACTACTTCTCATGCCGATGATTTGACTTTGACTCAAAATAATATTACTAGCCTCAGTAATATTTGTCAAATCATTCACATTCAGGGAGATCAACAATGCACAGTACAACCAGTTCTAGAATCTGCAAAACCACCCACAACTACACCTTTCCCAGTTCTTGATGCAGATGTCGATTTACTTTTGCAAGAGTTTACCATTCCCAAACCACCACATACAGTCAATCAAGACGATGTAAAGGACGATGAAGATAACATGAATGAAATGGAACACTCACAATCGGTACAAGATCATGTCGTCATGGAAAAGGAGATTCAATCTGAAAACTTTAATCTTGAACGACATGACGACAATGTCTTACACAATGATGACATGATGGAACAAGATGTAGATCCGATAATTCCACAAACAACAGAATCACAATCTGTATTATTTGAGGATGAAGATTCACTGGACGCTATTCCTACACCTCACAGCGGATCTTCGAGAGGATCTTCCCAACGAAAACGTTCCACACCTGTCACAGAAGAATCTGAGTCTGATGGGTCATTGTCATCTGCTAGCTCAACAAGATCCTTCTTTGGAGAAGATGATGAGTCTTTCCTTAATATGAATTTTTATGCTCCTCCACGAATGAATGTCACTTCATCATTATTTGAAAGAACAAGTGAAGAAGTGTTAGAACATGTTGATGAACGCATTGAATTAACACATGACGATCACTTGGATTCTTCAATGATTGAAGATGAAAAGACTCTTAATGGTAGTGCACAAGAATCTGTAGTGGAACAACAACAACAACATCAACTGAACACTATTTGTAACACTCCGCCAAGACAACAAACAGCCAAGAGAGGTAGAGACGACGAAGATTCGAATTCCAATTCACCATCCATGAGAACTCCTTCATGTTCTGCTGAAAAGGACACTAAGAAGACGAAAGAATGTGTTTCTGACATGGAAGCTGAGCCGCTTCTTGCTAGCTCTGTGAATAGAACACTTGAATTTGAGTTACCAAATACATTTGAATCTTGTGTATTGGACGAGACTGTACAAACTACAACTTCACCATTGAAATCAATTGAAGTGTCACACAGTCCTCAGGAAGATGTTTCGAATCAAACACAGGAAGAAATAGTAACTCCAACCACTGAAGAGTCTAATGCTCTTCAAGATGAAGTTGTGGATGTTGTATTGAAGAAGAAATCAATTAGAAGAAGAAGAGCAAAGAAAGAGTCCTCTAGTAGTGTTGAGGATGAAGAACAAACAAAACCCTCAAATAACATCTCAACTTCACCAGAGGCTTCAGTCACTCAAGTCCCAAGACGAAACAGAAAATTAAAGAAGTAAATAATCGTTTCTTTAATATGAGATGAAGTTAGTAGTGATTGTGTTTCAAACGAATGCCGTTCAATTTATTGTTGAAGGCTCTTTTAAATTTGTTCCAACACTTTTTGTAATGTGTCAGAAACCTCCTTACTGATTAAGGTGTTAATGAAAAAAAAACCCTTAATTTGTTTGTTGGAATCCAACGATTGATACTTTTCTTTCATGAATGACTTAATTTCCTCTATAGAATAATTGTCACCCTTATATTCTGGAAATGTAGAATTGAATGACACCTTTCGCTTCTTCAAAACTTCCTCTAATAGATCCGTCTTTGTAAACACCACAAAGATTGGACAATTATTGACATACTCTAAACTCAACAATTCTTGAAAGCAATCAATCGTTTCCTTCGATCTTGTATCATTGTGATCGGTAAGTATAATAATATTTTTTAACACAAAGTTAAATATTTGACACTTCAACACACCTATTCAACTCATGATCTTCATAACACATTTGGAATGCTTCTCTCATTGAAACCATAAATAAAATTGCATCGGTGCGCTGCGAGAGTGCCTTTGCCCACTTTTTTCTTTCATTTCGTTGACCTGTGGTTCATTAATGAAACAATTTCGTAGTCAAAATGTATTTAAATGTTCAAATAATATTTTGTTAAAATACAAACAAACCTCCAGTATCAGTTCTGTCATGATAATGTCATTCATGTTTCCACACCAACAATTATTATTAAAAACAATCATGTCACCAATGATTTTCACACTTACATGGTAATTTTGTAATTTTCAAATTCCACTTCCTCTCCTTTAATGACACCCACTGTTTTGAGTTGCATTCTTTTAAAATCTTCAAACGTTGGTTGATACTCTTTACATGCAATTCTAGTGTAATGTTTAAAGAAATACTTGTAATCTCCAGTTAAATGCAGTTGTGGATACAATTCACAAGATTCAATAACCTCTCGAACGTGGTGATGATCAACGAGTTTTTGGAATATTGGTCCTTGATTGACAAGTTTCTCTCGATGGGAATGGTCAAATCGAGAATCGACATATTGATCGACCAAGGATGCCAATTCCGAGGCCAATTTCTTCAATTCCGAGTTCAATACCACTGATGGATGTTCTGTAATTGTTTTTAAATTATTGAATATCGAGTATTGTATGGTCTCTGCATATTTATGTCTTTCTTTTGTATTTAATTCTTGATTTTTCAAATGATAGATTTGGCGTTGAAATGTGGTTTTTCCTCCTTCTCCCGTACCCAGAAGAATCAATGATTTGGTTCCTTTCCAACCCGATGGAATGACTCCTGTGATGAATTGAAAGTTAAGAAGTGGTGAGCTGCTTTTTTTCATTCTTGATTTGTCCGTGGCAAGTGACAGGTCACCAGATTGACCCGCCCTTTGTGACTTGAGCGTACTACAACAAAGAGTCTCTAATTGAAGTTGTCAATCATCTTGTTGAGTTCTGACCCATGAATGCTCTTCAAAGACACCATACGAACCCTTGTAAACCACAGGAGTAGTTCTTTAATAATAGAAAAAAGATGTCATTTCATAATTTTTAATCTAAAAGGTTAAAACGTAACTCCATACCAGTTTACAATTCTTCAAAGTTGCAGTCTTGTGCCTTACTGAAAGATTTTATCAAGAGGGATCCCTTTTGTTACGTCCACACGACTCTCCCTTAAACCTGAATGTGATTTTGATATTTCAAACAAATGACATTTCACCAGTCTTTGAATCAAAAAAACGTAAAATTTTGGGAGAATACATGACAAAACAAGGTCCCAAAATAATTACTAATGAGGATTACTAACGAGAACAATGACCGTTCAACAGCAAGATGTCATTTTTCTCAACAGTAACCCCGTTCTTCTTTTTTCCATAAATAGTGCTCAATTCACACAACAATTACATTGCACACAAAAAAAACAAAATGCCTCTCGTGACCATTCAAGCACCTCTGACCTGTCCTTGGCAAAATTCTACTCTTGTCGCCTACGAATCCACAGAAAACTCTTCGTTGAAGGAACACCATGTTTCTCAAATGAAATGGTACTCTTTTGGAAAACCTGAAATTGTGTGGAACAACCAAGTCCATTCCCAAAAAACATTCTATCATGTGGAAAAATTGCCATTTAAATTCGTTCTGTATGTGAAAATGGCTCTCTCAGAAGAGGAGAAGAAAGTTATTGCACTTCAAGCTTCTCATGAAAGTGGTGCTTCCAGTGTTGGAAAGGTTGTCGATCCGCAACAGATCAAAACTCTTATTTGTGATGAAATTACTGGAAAGATTGAGTTGGAGATTGATGGTGTTCGGCATGTGCTGACTGGTCGAGTTCAAAGTGTGCTTCAAAACAATCCATGTGAATTGGAATTTCCAATTATGGATCGTGTAGTATTGGAAGAACTTGAGAAGAGAGTACTCGATACTACCGGTATCAGCGTGACCTTATTCGTTGCGTTCAACGGAACAAGGGTAAAAGAGCAATCCGTTCAAATGACCAGTGACAACTCTGCCATTACCACTTTAATGGATGACGTTTTTGGAAAAGGTCAAGAAGTGTTAGTCACTCGAAATCAAATGAGTGAAATTTCACATCGACTGTTCCACAGTTTGACCATCTTGGAAGAGTACAATTGTTTGGACGCCAAAGAGTTTGAAAAAGAATTCCTTCAACATTTGATAGGAATGACCAATTTTCAAAATCAGATCCAGACAGATTTTACAGAATTGGGCCTTTTGAGCTTGAGCAAGTATGGACTCAATGTGAAGGGCGATTTTACAGCTGACACCATTCGCAAGTCCTTGGAACGAACTTTTACTCGAGAGAAGCGTGACACACATGATTACATTAAGGTCAATTTAGAGAATCAGAATAGTGGAACTGAGCATTCCAGTTTCGACGCTGAGGTGAGCGTTGGATGTGGTCTTACAAGTGTAGATGCATCTATGGCCATGGAACAATCCAAATCTTGGGCCAACAGTGATAAGAGTTTGAACGAGCAATTGAATGAACTGAATACTCTTATGGAGAAAAAAGTGAGATTTGAGTTTGAGGGTGAGAAAATAGTTCCAAAATCGATTGCTTTGCAAAGACTTCAAAAATCATCATTGGTGAACTTTGTTTCCTTAACGTACCGCAAGAGAAAATTGTTTGAAGGAGGTGAAAAATTAATCTACAAATTGAACACAAGCGATGTGTTAAGCCAAATTTCACCTAATGAAATAGTGACCAAGTTATTGATGAAAGACACAAATCATGTGGTCATTTACGGTTTGGTTGAGCAATTATTCCAGCAACTAGCGAAAGTTGAGAAGGAGCTGAAACACCAACTTCGATTGAATGTTCCTATCGGGGCTATCAAACTATTTTCAGGCCATGTCGAACCAGAGGGTTGGAAATGGTGTGATGGTTCAGTATTGAGTTGCTCCTCCTATCCAGATCTGTTTGCAGTCATTGGTACGACCTTTGGAGGAGATGGTGTTTTAAATTTTGCTCTTCCTGACTTACGAGGGAGAGTTCCAGTGGGTGCTGGACAAGGATCAGGTCTGACAGATCGCAAGTTAGGTCACAAAGGAGGTACGGAAGCAGTGCAATTATTCATCCAACACATGCCAAAGCATGCTCACAGTGGAAACACTGGAAATGAAAGTAATGGGCATACTCATAGACAACACGCGGTTGCTAACTTCAATCATGGTGGTAATGGAATTCGAACCACTTACACCGGTGATGGACAAGGTGCCTTGGCGTATGATACTGGTGTGGATACTGGTGGCAATCATCAACCTCATACCCATACTGTTGCTACAGAAGGAGGTGATCAAGCACATGAAAATATGCAACCGTTTGTCAATATAAATTTCATGATCAAGTGTGTTAAGTAAAAACATTTTGATAAATCTTTAGGTTTTGAACAACAGATGGTGTGCAGAGGTGAAAGCTGTCACAGAGGGTTGCAGCAGAAAATTGACGTTGTGAAAGTGAATCTTTCACTTTTAAGAATTCAATAAAGCATCCTCATAGCGACGTCCATGAGCAATTGTTTCTAGAAAGTTTCAACATTATGTCCTACGAACAGAATTCAGGTTGTGAAAATGGTTGTTGCCAAACTACTCAGTTCTCTTCTTACACAATGCGAACACTTGGGAATAGCTTTTCGAAAATACCTTCTCGACAGACCAATTCAAATCGCTCAAACTTGTGACTTGAACAAACTTCAGTGAGTCTTCAGTGTTACCAGGGAATCTTCCAGAACAAAATGCAGTTCCTAAAGCACTTATGAGGATGGTAAAATCAGGTCCACAAACAATCTGTTGTATTCCTTCTACTTTCAATTGGTGAGGTAAATGAGGAGTGACATCCACCAGTCGACACTGAGACGTTCTGGAACCAATACCTAGTTGACCATTAAAGTTGAGCCCTGCTGCAAAAACTCTTTGATCTCTTGCCAAACAAAAGATGTGACTCTTTCCACAAGAAATGTCAATAAATTTGATGGTTTGTCCTTCTGCTTTCTGTTGATGTGAGGGAAAGTATTTTTGCCAATGCGCCGAACTCGAAGCTCTACTGACAGGAGTGGTTCGTACTGTGGATTGTGGTTTTTCATGACAGTAAGGTAGAAATTTAGGAATGGGTGGTTGAACCATCTTTACATCAAGCGTCATGTCAACATTCACGTCCAGTGTATTGGGATCGGAAGAGCCTGATGCAAGGTTAATTTGTGTGACAATGGAGGATTCTGTTCTTGGAGATGGTGCAAGAAACTGACTTTCAGTGGGCTCGAAATTGTTGGCGACAAACGTTCCATTACAAATGACTCCAGTCAATCCGTTTCCACAAAGCCATAATTGACCTTGTTTGGTTAAGAATGCAGAGTAATCAGCGCCACAACAAATTTTGTCCATCTCAACGAAGGTTTTCTTTGTTCTTAATCGACGATATTCCTCAGTTTCTTGTTGTACTGGCCTCATGACTTGCACCAATCTGGGCGAGCAAACGTACGTTAATTGAGCTTTTTCATGGATTTGTAAATCATGGTTTCTATCTAGAAAGCTCAATATTCCAAGTTGGCCAGAGCTGCCAGATCCAAATCCATAAACAAGGCCTGTACTGGTTAAGCAAAGAGTATGATTGTCACCGCAAGAGGCTGAAATCACTTTGATATCTCTGGTGATAAAATCGTCAATAACTCTCGGCACATTCTCATTCTTAACAGAGCCATGTCCAAGTTGACCATATTTTCCACAACCAAATGTATGAACGTTTCCTTCGTTAGTGACAATGACAGAATGATTTTTTCCGACTGCAATATCTATAGCATTATCCATCAACAAGATGGGTTTTCTTATAAATGGATGATTGTTTGTTTGTTGTGGCTCATAACCATTTCCAAGTTTACCAAATTCTGAATCACCCATACTGTAAACAACTCCATCCTCTTTGAAAATTGAATACAAAATTATTAATATTATTAAAAGTTATGTTGCTGGGTACTTACTTGTAAGAAGTAAACAATGATTGTGACTTGATTCAATTTTAAGGATATTTTGTGGAGACAATAGTTCAGAACAGCATGATGACATATTTACAGGAGCTAGTGGAAATGATATTTGATATTCAGGATCATATAATTTTCGTTGGGGCACTTGTTTTTCAGACCATGGTAATTTGTAAACATCCAATTGCCATTTTCCTCGAGAGGGTTTGTTGCTCATTTCGGAACTCGGCAAGTCCAAAGACACCATTCTGATCTTGCGAGCCACTTCCGCTGCTTTGAAATCATTCTCCTCTTCCTTGAGTAAGGAATAGGTAAATCCTCGCTTACAATCTCCGTGAGTTTGTACTTTTTCAAATATCAACAATTCCAACGGATCCTCCGATTGTTTCTTTTCATCTGTAACTTCTCCCACAAGAGTAGTAGATGATGATTCAACGATCCGAGAATCTGAGAAGTGTTCCTCCTCTTCCTCTTTCAAAACCACAACTTGTGCCGTTAACGACGACATGTGAGTCCAAAATTTTTTTCAACTATTTCATTATTGTAAATTTTTGGCGCAATTTCATTCCATCAAATGATTTAATCATCAACAACAAAAAATCAATCGTCATGAGTGGTCCACTTGTATTCATAATGGCACACCTTTTTGGATCATTGCATAAATAAATGAATAAATTAATTCATCATCATCATCATGGATTTCTCTTCCAAATTTCTTCCTCTGGTCTGTCAATATCTGTCACAAATCCAGCATTTCTTCGATTCAATCCCGAACACTTTTTAAAGGCAGGTCCACATTGAATTTCATCACATTGATAACATGGATTCAATTGGACTGTTTTTCCGAATTGTTGTTGTTCCGAATTCTCTTCCAAGTTGTTCTTCTTCACATTCTCGTGCGATTGAAATCCATAGAATGACGACACCACATTCTTCCATAACACGTGCTGGACAAAATACTTGACACAAATCGGAGCACATTGTGCAGTCGTGCATTGAATATTCGAAATCCAACACTCGACACATGAATCTGTTAAATTCGTTAAATGTTTCATACAGAGTCGAGATGAAGTTTCTCCTAAAAGTAAATACGAAGCGGCACATAATGTTGCCGTTCGAGTCAAGGTCAATCGTGTGGATTTGTAAATTTCGTAATCGTGTGGATTGGAACAAATTCCGCAAGGTCCTTTGTGCATGATGGAGTTGAGAGAGAATGAGGATTCGAGAGCACCTGGTGCTTGTTCTTCTTCGGCAGTGAGACTCGTGTTGTAATACTTTCCATCCATGCCACAGAAACCTTCTTCCTTGTACGGAACAATTCGGGAACGAGGGGAAAAGCTTTCTAATCTTACCACGATTAAGTAATAGAGATAGCAAGAGGAAAGAATGGAAATGAGAAGGAATGTGAATGGTGACATTTTTTAAAGTATTTGGATTGTGTAAAGGAATCATAAATTCATTCTTGAAGGTAAATAAGTTTTCATAAATAATTTAAAATTATTTGAATGTAGTTTTCATGATAAACTTTAGGGCTTGGTTGTGTCTTCTCGGTGCAATAAATAATCCACATCAGGTACGCATGAAAATCGTTTTGCAATATTTCCAAGAATGTGGCAATTACCTTGTTTGTCCTTATCTGCAATGTCTATACAGGCAACATGTTCAGGAAAACTAAATTCACTTCCTGGAAACACGTCTAACACTACTTCTCCTAGTTTCAATTTCACTTTTCCACTCTTATAAATGACCATTTCTCCAACGAGACCGCTTGGCACTTTGGCAAGAGTATTTTCAAAGGGTTGTGTCCAAATATTTTCTGCATCGTCGACACTTGTTGATACAGCTTCTTTTCTTGAGCTTGTTGTCGTTTTCTTTCAGCTGCATCCATGTATGGAATTTTAGAAGGAAGTTGAATAAAGAATAATTGATCTTCAGACATGAGTGCCTCACCATTACTCTTAAAAAGACTTTGTTGAAGTTCATCGATAGAATCCTCAATGGCCTGTCTCTCCACGGATTGGGCTCGTTGTGCCTCTGCCCTCAAGAAGGCCTCCTCGTTGAATGGTAAAACAGTTGGAGGTTGTTTAATTCCTTTAAATAAATTTTTCCTCCTGTTCAATTCTCGTTCCATCATGGCATCATCATCTTCGTCCTCTTTTGGAGCGTCAAAACCACTTGCTGTTAGATTCATTCCACTTGTTGATGTATGTTCAAAGCCGCCACCAATATCAATTCCACCAAATCCCGATGAAAAACTTGAACTTGGAGTAATTCCAGTGACCAAGTTAAAAGTAGTAGCCTTGTTCATTATGCTTTAGTACTTGGTTTGTTATATGCAGGTTTTCGTTTTCCAGTTTGATTAGAGGCTTGTCCCATAAAAACATCCAAATTAATATCATCTTTCGAGGAATCTTCCGTTTTAATGGGTTTAGGTTTAAAATTAGGTGTAAAATTCATACTAGTTGAACTTGTCTTGTAATGTTGTGTTGGTTTATCAATATTTCTCGGAGGAAGTATCGATTGAAGCCTTTGTGGTTGTGATGATGATGAGGGAGCTGTGGTGATATTGGATGCAGATGCAACACCCGATGATGAAGCCGTTGCAGACGTTGTAGGTTTTGCCAATAACCGAGAAGCATCATACACGACTGTCTTTTTCTGTGTTTGTGAGGATGATGGTTGTTGTTGAGAGGACGATGACCAATCATATCATCATCATCATTCGGTGTTTGAAAGGACATTTTTTTGTGAATTAAATTATTGAATCCAAGAATTGCGCAGTTTAATTGCAACATAGATCCACGAAAAAGTATTCATAGCGAGGGTTCGGGATATAGAGAATGCAAAATGGTAGTTGAACTCTTTGGATAATAATGTTTAATCAAATATAATTTAAAAAAAATGGTGGAATCAATAACGAACGATCATGATCGCAGCAACGACCGTGAATCAACCTGCAAAGATGACAATGCGAGTAGATCAACCACTGCAACCTCTCGGACCACAAACGGAATCAACGGTTTTCATTCCGATGAAGAAGAACATCAAACCAATAATAATAATAATAACAACAACATTATCCATCAAAAGATTACAGATGAAGAACAACTGAAAACCTCTTCATCATCATCATCAACCTCCATGGATTCAACACATTCCTCAGAAATTTCAAAGAAGAGAGTGAAAAAGCCACAAAAGTTTGATGAATATTATGTACCTGAGAGTATTCTCCGAAAAAAGGGAATTGAATTGAAATTTGTGTGTGATGCAACATTAGGAAGAGTTGCAAAGCACATTAGAATGATGGGAGGAGATGCTTATTATGATGCTAACATGAATACTAACTACATGTTGTACATTGCTCGAACAGAGAATAGAATAATATTAACCAAAAATAGAACCTTGATTAATCAACTAGGTTATCAAAGGAAAGAAAATGAATTGAAAAAGAAAAAGTACCAAGAAAGGAAATTATTGAATCAACAACAAGAGGAGAAATCAGATGCTTTGAAAGGAGACGTTTCTCGTGATCATGAAAGAGAAATGCAAGAATTGGAGCAAATTTACAGAGAACAAGGTCTCGAATTTAACAGAGAAGATTTTGAGGAATTTGAAGAAATTGACGAAGAAGATCAAGACGAAAATAATGCAGATGATGATTCATATCCAACCGATGGATATGTCTATTATTTCGTGAAAGGCCGTAACTTTCGTGACATGATTAATGAGGTTGTCAACTTTTTCAAAATTGAATTTGAAGAGGACCGAATATTTACAATATGCATTCAATGTAACCATTCTATTTATCAAGTTGAAAAAGAGTCTATTAAGAACCTTGTCTATCCTAGTGTTTATAATCTTTATTCTAGCTTTTATAGATGCTCAGGATGTTCGAAAATTTATTGGGGAAAAGACCACAGCAATGAACACATTAATTTCAAGACTGCTAAATCATTTGCAAAAATCTATTCTTACAGCGAACATGACAATGAACATCATGAACATTCGAAAATGGAGACAGTGAAATAAGATTCTTATTAGTATTATTAAGAATTATTTGATGAGTCATGATATCCTCATACTATCGTACAAAATTAACCTGGAACTATTGAACTATTTATTTCAACAAATTAATTTATTTTCAAATATTGTAAATTTAATAATACTTCTCACAATGCAATTAATTTAACATCACTTAAATTTTTATTGCACGAATTATTTTTCTTCTTCCTTTGCGTTTGAACCAGTAATGAAACCCAACACAGTGCCCAAGAGACCTGACGACTGTGACGTTGTTGACTCATCCTGCCTAAGTTCTTTCTCAGTGGTTGGTCCCACAAAGATATCCTTCACTTCCTTAATACCTTTCTGCATTTGAGATAATTCCTTATCTTGGAGCGTTCCCTCATTGGAAACGGTAGCCGTGTAGGGGTTTTTCACCAGCACTGTCAGCTTGGATTTCTCTTTGGATGGCTTTGGGTCGTTGATAAGAAAGTCTGGAATGTCTTCTTTACGTGAGTTGACCATGTTGTTTTTTGATTTTTTTTGATTGACTTTGCAATACCCATTTGTTTCTATTTAAATATCATATGCATGAGTCGCGGACGAAAAAGGTAAAAACCCACTTATGTAAATTTGTTCCTACATGTATTTCTAAAATGCGAGAATTGAACTTTTTTATGCTACTTGACAAATAATTAAACAGATATCAAGTTTTTATTACTAATTGTTGGTGTGGAGTTAATTTTTTGAGAAATTATTGTTCCTGATCCAACACTCGAATCAATTGATCCAGCATATCGGTACGTGTAATAATACCAACAACGTTGTCGTTATCGTCAACAATAGGCAAAGCTCCAATTCTTGATACTCTCATCATCTATACGGAGTTTACACATTACGGATGAGCAAGTTCAAAATGGAAGTTACGTAACAAATCATTCATTGAAAAACAAACCTTTGCAGCCTCCAAGACTGAATCATTCTCCTTAACAGAGATTACAGATCTTGTCATGATGGTAGATGCCAATTGCTTTGCAAATTCATCAATTTCTTGTTTAATATCCATATCTTTATGAATGAGTGGGCTTCCGATGGCAAGACGGATATCTCTATGGTTCATCAATTTATTACCAAAAGTATGATTTCAACAAATAAGCACATTCGTAAGCATAGTAGTACAAGATGTGAACTTACCGTTCGGAAATAAGACCCACAATCTTCTTACTTTGTTCACTTTCAACAACAATCAAGTGTCTGACCTGTGGTTATTATCAATCAAATCCATCATGAGAATTGGTCGTAGCAAGAATCATCATCAAATGATCACACAAAAACACATTACAGAAATCGGAAGTAAACAATGATACGTATTTGTACAAAACACTTACATCATTTTCAACCATGGCCATCAAACATTTATCGAGATGGGTATCAGGGGTTACAGTGATGAGAACAGAGCGAGAGGCAGAGGATTTAAGTTCAGCACAGGTTTGAGGAATTGATCGTGGAGCCATTTTTTTGTTATTGTTTTTTGTAAGCAGCAAGTGTTTAGACCCTTTTATGGATGTATTGAATTTTTTTTATGTTTCCTTTTATAGACGTGTTGATCTTAATTGACTTCTTTTGTTACAGTTGCAATTGAATAATTCCATAAATGAGCCAAAACAATTGTCTCTCTTGTAGATATGGAAATTGTTGGAATGAGTCAAACTTGGAAAATTCGAGTGAATTGTTCGAGAGAATCTGTTCGTCTGGAATGATATTGGTTGTTTTGATTCCATTTTTTTTGTTGAACCTATCGATTCATGCTAGAGATGGACATGATTGGCTTTTTTCTCGCCTTACTAATAGAACTTGTTGTATTGGGACGTCTCTCAATAAAAAAGTTTGGTGACTCAGATCGAGAGGGTTCATAACGTTGATTTTGGGGTTTTCGTTTGAGGAACATTTGGTTGTTAATGGTACCAGAAGAAGGAATGGGAGACAGGGTAGAGATGGGAGAGGTGGAGCGAGGATTTACAGGAACCCTGAATTGAAGTTCAGGTGCATCAGTCTTGGGATGAGATTTCACTGGCGATTGTTGTCGACTCTTGTCTAAGGCAGCAGTGAATAAATTGCCACTTTGTACAAGAGTGGAAGAGACAGAAGGGCTTGCAAGTGGACTCCTTCGAAAACTGAACGAAAAAGATCCTTGTGATACTGTCCTCTCTAATTGATTAAGCAATGAATTGACATCTTTTTTGGTGTGTTTTCTTTCCTTTGAGGTAGATTTCCAAATGCCAATTAATCGAAGCTGTTTCGTAATTTTCTCAATGACACCTGAAACTGTGAGAGCATCTTCTTTACGTCGCTCTTCAAGGTTGATGGGAAAGTTGAAAGGTTTTGGGTTATTGATGGAGGTGTCATCCATGATCTTGTCAAATTCAGTATCGTTCCATTCTTTAGTTTCTTGTCTGAGAGAATCCATCAATTCTCCTCCCATTGTCCAAATCATGGAACAACAATCGAGAGAGGAAGTTATGATACAATTTGGTTCTCTTATAGCTTGTATTTTCGTAACAGCTTCATTGTGTGCCTTCCATTGAGCCAATTTCTCTGGTTTCATTTTGGCAACCTCGCTTAATGGAACTTTTTGGTTGGAGAGCATTCTGGAAGAGAGTCTTATTTGGGCCATCTCAATAATTGGTTCCAAGTTATAAACGCAAATGTATCCCTTTTCATCTCCAGTGATCAACTTGTTTGTGTTAAAATCATACTCAGTGCAGTGACAGGATAATTATTTACAAAACCATTTTCCTCTTTTCGTGGCTGTGGTTTGTCATTGTTGATGTATGCCGATCTAAAACCTTGAGAAGAGCAAGGTGTGATGGTCAGGGAAGGATTTTCAGTTATGAAAGGAGTGGTCATTGTTTCAGAATGAATAATAGTATCTTCCTCTTTTTTGGGGCTGCTTTCTGAAGACTTGGACTCGTTGTACCACTGAAGGACAGCAATATTGGGCGAATAGTATGGTCGTGTTGTGTACATGATGAGACGTCCAGTGTTTTCTGCAGCTATAAAAGCAGGCAATACGCCTATAAAACAAAGTGCAGTGATTTCACCTCCTTGACCCTTAATTTCTGCAATTTTGGAATAGTTTTTCATGTCCCAAAGATAACAATTTGATGCTGAATCTCCTGTTACAGTGAGTGCATAGGTTCTCGAGAACGAACAACACTTGACTTCATGTTTGTGTGTATGCTTGAAAACCCTTGTTTCATAGCTTGGTCGATCCAACACAGTAGCAACCTCTCCTTCTGCTGAAGTTGCTACGATGCACTTGGAGCCATCATCACAGTAGGTAATACTGGTAATTTCAGAATCGAATAACGGTATGGATTTTACCAGGCTTGCATTGGTAAAATTAAAAGCAAGAATTTCTCCAACATGAGTCCCTACAATGAATTTTCTTCCTCTGTCATCAATGCATGCAGTTGTGATATCACAGCTCGCCAAGTCTCTGAAACTTTTTGAACATGCTCCGCTTAAGGCATCCCATATTTTCACTCCTTTTCTTGAACATGTCATGAAGTGAAAATTTGTTGGATTGTAAAGCGAACAAAATATGGATAGTCATCGGAGCCTTTTGGTTTTTCAGTTCTCTCATATTCATACACCTTCAATGTTCGACCAGCTGTCACAATCTGTTTACGAGCTGGCACATATGTGAATGAATTAAGGTAAAAGTTTTGAAAGTCAGTCTTGGGAACATTTTGCTCGGTGTATATGGTTTGAGAGCATCTATGTGTTCGAATGTCCCAAATCTTAATTAGACCTCTATGGTCTGCGCTAATAATTTGTGGCGTGTTTGGAACTGCCCAAACTCCAATCAATGAGTGCTGGTGTGGGCTTCTTTGATCTCTCAATCTAAATGGAGAACGATTTTCAACGTTGGCAATCCATACCAGCGGCTCCCGCTCAGCACCCGCACTGATTAGAAAATGGTACTCGTTTTTCCAGGCAATGGAAACCACTCCCTTAGTATGGCCAAGAAATTCCTTCACTTTGACCTCCTTTTCAATGTCAAATATTTTTATGGTGGAGTCGAGCGAAGATGTCACTAACCTATTGTCATTTGGAAGTGTGATCATATCAGTAATAACATCAGTATGAACATTAACTCTCCTACTCTGATAGAATATTTCTTTTGAGCTATTTTGATTTTGTTGCTTTTGATATTTTGGAGTATTTCCAATCCCCACCATCTTTTCCAAGTGAGTCTTCTTCCTGTAGTCATTGGGTGGAGTGCCATGAATCCAATAGGTAAGATCTCCAGTTCTGGAAGCACTAAATAATATATTATTTCGAGGATAAAACTTTAGAGCTGTCTGTGTTGCGTCCAGTTGTTCCATATATTCAAGATCAAATTCTAGCCGCGATGCATTCCAAAATCGCACTGATAAATCTGCAGAACTTGTCACAAGTAGGTCATACGGGCCCGGTAAGTATTCTGCATGGAGAATGGCTCCATCATGGTCTGGAAGTGATGCCACCACAGAAAGATCGTTTGCTTCATATATTCGACATCGTTTCGTTTTACCACATGTCACAATTTTATCCCAATTTTCAAAATAGCAAACTTTCTTAATGGCATCATCAATTTCTGTGCCAGGTGAAGCAAACGAAAGACCATACTATGTGTTGATTGACAACAAAATATTCAGTTGTCACATTGTTTCCTCGTCAATGATTAAATCCTTACCTCTTTGATTTGATCCTCTTTTGTTGTTTGATCAGATACAGCATCGAGCAAATAGGACATGAAATCATCCCAAGTGATGTATTTTTCTCCTGCAAAGTCAATTTCATTAAATAGCTCACATAAATTAAGTACCAAGTTTCTTTCATCTTCTGAAGAGTTTTGAAAATACTCAGTATATGTCAACCCTGTACCGGTATCGTCGTCCATGGAATTTCCAGGAGGCTCAGCCAGTGAACCAAAATCCTTTTCTGAATATTTTAAAACAAAGTCTTTCATTACTGCCATGAACTATTCATGAAAAATCCGTAAATTAACAATAATTGACATTGCGTCGATAATAAAATTCCTCAATTCTCCATATCAACAAGTGTCGAAACGTACATCATAACGAGACAATTTTCCATGCTTAAACTCTAAAAATTGAGGCTTTAACTCTCGTGCTCGTTCGTCATTCATAAGCAGTAAAACTTTCATGGCAATTCTCTTTTCTCTTTTTTGTTTTCTCTTTTCTCTCATATTCCGTAATTCATCTTTCAAAATTTTTCGCCTCTCCATCTCCTCTTTCAATTTTTGAATCTCTTCAAAATGCTTTCTCTTCTCCTCTTCTTCTTTTGCTCTCTCTTCCTCTTTTTCCATAAGTTCAATTAAACTTTCGGGCTCCTCCTGATTTGATCCTGTTGACACATGATCCAACCGATGAAAGAAGTTGTATTTCACTCTTCTATTATTGTTACTGTTATTGATCGTATTATTCGGTAATCGGATTGATGCCGATGATGACAGGAAACTTGCAGTAGGTATGCCCGTACTCATTTTTTGCTGTTTTGCAGAGTTGTAAAAATTTTGGCGGCGGCTATGAAATCTTGCGAGATGAATAATTCTCTCTTTCAAAAGAGTTGATGTAAAAACATCTCGCAAGTGTTCATGAGCTGTGGCTAAAAGAATGCATGTGAGCAACCTGAACATATTGAATTGTTGAGAAAAATGAAATCATCGTCGGATCAAGCTTCCCGTCGACATGATGAACAAGCACATGCAAGGCTTGAAATTGATTCCGATCATACTTTGAACCATCACCAACCACAAAATGATACACTCGTAAAATTAATTTTCAAATTAACTGGTGTCGCTATCATGTTTAGAATTGCAATAATTTTGTGGATCATCATTGTGGATTATTTGGTGAAAGATTATGATTCATCTTCCTATGTGGATACATTCTTCAATCACGCTACTGGCAACATCAATGAAGACGGGCATCAAATGAAAATAATTAATTACACTCTCGAAAATCCTTTATATTACGGAAGAGGATTTGCTCATTGGGATGGTGTTTTCTTTTTGAGAATTGCAAGCACGGGTCAATATGAATTTGAGAGTTTTTTTGCTTTCTTTCCTCTCTATCCAATGGCCATTAGAACTTTGACACTGTATGTGATGAGGCCTTTCATGTCAGTTCTGACCTCTGTCACTAACTTCCAAGTACAAAATAATCATGGAGTCACACCTTTCATGATTAGTGGCGTTTTGATTTCGAATATTTGTTTTGTAATATCAGTGGTAGTGTTTATCAAGCTAACTTGGGAACTGGTTGGAAGGAATCCAGCCTACACAAATTTTGTTCGTACGAGTACTCTTCTTTACATATTCAATCCAGCCACAGTTTTCATGTCTGTCGTGTATACTGAGAGCATGTTTTCTCTCTTTTCATTGTGTGGCATGTATTATCACATGAGAAAGAGACACTTACTCTCATGTTTGTTTTTCTCGCTTGCCACATGTACACGAGGCAATGGAATTGCTCTTGCTGGATTTTACATGTTTCAATTCATGCTGGAAGAGTTTTTGAGGTGGAAGAATAGCAAAAGACAAGATTGGACGAGAAATTGTTTCAACACTATTAAGGGATTTCTCAAGTATATTGTATTTGGATGCAGCATGGTGTGGCTTCCCTATGTTGCGTTTCAGGCATTTGGATACTACCAATTTTGCACAGAAAAATCTAATCAACTTGCCTTAACAATCATTGAAACACTCAATGCCAAAAGGCATCCTGCAAGTGTGAACATTCATTTTAAGGATTACCTTGCTCGAATTCATCCCTGGTGTTTGTCAACAATCCCTCATCTCTACGGTTACGTACAGAGTAAATATTGGAATGTAGGGTTCCTCAAGTATTATGAACTGAAACAAGTGCCAAACTTTATGCTGGCATTTCCAGTGGTAAGTGCATGATTGAAATGGAGACTACCCAACATTCACGATGATGAACCTTCATTTTTCGAATGACATTTCATAATTGAATAATTTTCATGATTTTCACTTGGTTCATTTTCCAACATGAACTCGTTGCAATTCCAGATTTTCATTTCATTGAGTGGCATTGTACAATACGCTCGTCACAATAAGCAATTCTTTTTGAGCCTTGGCTTGTTTCCACCAACCTCTCCAACTTCCCAACCTCATACTCAACAGACACAAGATCACAGCGAATCGAGTGCTCAATCAGCCCGACATGATTCAAATGACACCACTTCATACTATCTCAACAACAAGTCCATGATAGTATTTGTTTATTATTGGCTTGCTCTCATTCTACAAGGTTTAGCCATCATGCACATTCAAGTATTGACACGTTTTGTAAGCTCTGCACTTCCCATTTTCTTCTGGTTTTCAGCACACATTGTTCTCACGTCCACTTCAAAAATTGTTTCTAATCTCATTCTCATTTATTTTCTAAGCTATGCCCTTATTGGATGTATACTTTTCAGTAACTTTTATCCATGGAGTTGATCAAGTAGTTAACAAGTTGTTCTTGTCTCAATGATGATCATTTTGATTTACTGTAGCATATTTTGATTGGAAGTAGGTTGTACTTTCATACTCTACAGTTTGTAAATATTTAACGTTGAATGAATCCAGACTTTTGATACTCATCTCTCCCAACGTTCAATCGATTCCAAAACCTTCGAATAAGTGAGCTTACCGTAAAGAAGACCAATCCGATCCAATCAATTCCTTTGCTTTGACGTGTCTCGTCATTGATGAACTCTTTACAACGATTTTGTTGTGAATTTGCTTGCAGCCCAACGTAACCTTCCCTCAAATTCCATGTTCCCAAGTTCAAAGATTTTCCTTGAAGGGCAAGGAAGTTGGTTCCGGTCAGCTCGCACGCATTAAAATGAGGAAATTCCCAGAGGTGTGCATGCGTCCTGGAAGGAACACTCTTTCCGCTCCTCTTCTATCACAGTTTTTGACTTGCAGAAACACGTACACGTTTTGAATTGGAGGAAACATATTTTCACAGGTTCACCATTTCCTTTCACTCTCTTCTTCAACAGCACAGTTAATTAAAAATTTCCAACGTTAAGAATTCGTTCGAACACAAAAGCAATGTGCTGTCAAAATATTCATCGAACCTTTAAATTCTAAAAATAGATACAGTGAAATCTCAAAACAAATTTCAGAAAAAATCCACTTTCAATTCGAAAAAAAACATCACAACCAAAACCTCCATCTTCATTGAATCACTGAATATTCAATATTGAATCAGCACCAAATAATCCGCAAAAAGAACATTGCAGAACTCGCTCCATGACTACCTCAAGCCGATTCTACTCAACTAACGAACAACTTTCATCATGACCAACAATAACAACTCCTTGATTAGTAATGTAAATAACAACAATATCAACAACAAGCCTAACCAACCTCCATCAAACCTGTTTGAGGAATCATCGGTCGGGAATGATCCCATGATGATGATGAGGATGCAACAACGTCATCCAAGCTCTCCACCTCATCTAACAAGCCTCAACTATTCCAATAACAACAGCAACGGATCTCTCAACCCAACAACAACCACGAATCATTTAATCCCAAGTGCTCCTTCTGACTTTCCTCAAATTCAACACGTTGTAGTTCCAATTTCCCGAGTGCCTCCTTCTTCATCCATAGTTGCAACAACGTTGCCAAGTTCCAATAGCATGTTGCTTCCTCAAAAGAAGCGATACCAAACTGCCATGAAAACTTCACCATCGAGCATGAATTCTGTTATGAATCCGCATCATCATCATCCGCATCAGCACCATCATCATCATCAAGACGGAGATTCTGATTCCTCACACTCTTCGCATTCATCCTCAGAAGGTCCTCATTTGAGCAGTGATGAATCTGAATTGCCTTCCTCTACTGCTTCATCGAATGCATTAATGATGGTGGACATGTCGACCATAAGACTTCCCTTATTCAGGTACCAGAAGATCAACAACAGTCTCGCTCCGCATCCATGATTCCAATTCCAACTGTTGCTACTACGGTGACGACCACACCTCAAAAACAGGCTAGAAGAAGAAAGCAATCCAAGGCATCGACCGTCTCTAAATCCTCCTCCTCCTCCTCTGGTATTTCTTCAAACTTGTTATCTCATTCCACCTATGAAGTGAGTCATCATCATCCACATGGCAACCCTCCAGAACCAACTCTCAGCTTTAACAACCAACATTTTGTAACCTCGAATTTCACATTCAAATGTGTTCAAGGCTTTATTCTAAATGACTCTAAGAAAGCACCACCTGACACTGATTACAATTTGACCATTAGAGATTCCCTTTTCATTGAATCTCCACATTTTTCGAAATGTGTTTGTGTGTTAAAGTTGAAGGATGGATCATCGAGTGGTGTGACTGTTTCTAAGGAAGTGTTCAAACCAAATAATTCGAATAACTCCACCACCTTTGAATGTACCATCATCATTCCACAACGAATTACAAGCATGAAGGGAAGCTCCTCCTCTCGAATTGGTTATATTGAAATTTTGAATCCAAACGATGAATGTATTGCTGTTTCCAGTTCATTTTGGATTCGATCCAGAAGTAGACTTCAACTCGACAAGGACTCGAAGAGAAAGCAAGAACCTGTTCAAGTAGCATCAACGGATTTGAAGAGAAAGAGAGAACATGAAGAAGATCATGACTCGAGTGACATGGCCGTGACGCATGAACCAAAGATCAAGTCGGTGAAGGTTGAATCGAGTATGATAGACTCAGAACATGTCAAGCAAAACTTGGTCGTTGTGGCCTCTGAGCCACATCAAACGTTTGAAAACTCATCGATGAGTAACACTTTGCCACCCATTTCGAATTTGTATTCCTCAGTGACATTGGAATCTCTTTTTGCTGAAATTCAACAGTTGAAGCAACACATTTATTATCAACACCAGCAAATTGATTATCTGCATCAAAGGTTGGGAAATCAATCCTCGTCGTCGTTGAATAAACAATAAACTGGCAAGAGATTGAAAGTTCGAATTATGCTGTGTGTCTTTCAAACTTTTCACCTCACCACAGCACAAGTGAAGATCGCCACAAATGGTAGCTCTCACATTCAATTTCAAAAATAAATAAAACAACACAATTTATTTAAAAAGTAGCATTGTTAATGTAGAGTTGCAAAACGCTCATCCATCCAAATGCCCAAATAATGGTTCTAACAAAAGATGGCAAACCCAATGGATACCACACTTGGAAAATGGTTCTTGCAATGACAAAGAAAATGCTTTCCTTTACCAAAGAAGCAGCCAACTCCAAAGAGCGAGCATCAGTGTTGGATCCAATTCTAAACAATGTGACAGCAACAATAATACCAAATCCAGTCAAGGCTTCGAATGCATTTTTGTGAGCTCCGTCGGCTCTTGAACCAAATCCAGTCATTCTCGCTTGTTGTTCTCTTGGTGTGGAATTATCCAACTTTCCATTACCTTCAATAATTTGTCCCAAAATGACTGGCAATTTAGAAGTCATGGTGTAAGCAAAGGCGATCAACAAGGCAATGTATGGAATGTTAGCCACAGTGATTGAAACATTGACATATTCATTCACTGGGAAGATTGGATTTTAATTCCATTATCCCTCATGAATGGATATTGATTCACAATTCTCACAACTTCATTGATAGGATTTACCACATTAGAAGGGAGAGCATTAAATCTATAAGTAAACAAGGGTTGAGCCTTGCTTCCCTCTTTCCATAAATTCTTCAATTTGCCATCGTGTTGAGTAATGATCGCACTCTGATACAGCAAATAATTATGAGCCATATGAACAACAAGAAGAGAACGATCAAGATGGTAAAAATAACATAGGAACTGAATAAAATTTTAAACCAACTCTTTGGTCTGGCCGATGATGATGATGATTGATCTTTGACCTTCTTCGCCTCCACGGTACTCGCAGTGGAAGTAGCAGAAACAGAAGGCGGAGTGGAAGTACTGTCTTGTTTCTTGGGCATTTTTTTTTAAATTTTTTTTGACACGTGTCGCAAGAACAAGTTTACAATTCGAGGCTTGTCCAAAATTTTCCTGTCATTCCGAAAGTGTTTTTTGCAAGTAGGTGTGTTAAGCTTGAGCACCTTCAATTGTTGCATACTTGTAATATTTTTTTTTATTTTATGATTTGAGATTTCGGGGTTCATGAAGGAGGAGTATTATTAATCTTCATTTTCATACAGCTTGTCAGAAAATCTCTCCAAGAAAGAATTCCATACATCTGTCACATCATGATCTCTTGTAGATCTTTGGCCAAAGTCAGAAATTAAGAAGTGATGTGGTCGATCCATGACATGGAGCAAACTAAAGGCAATTTGAATGGATGAATATTGAGCGATCCTTTGGCTACCAATCAAACGCTCTAAAAATCCAGACTTGCTACAATTATCGTCAAAAAGGTCTTTCTCATTAGAATAACACATTTCTAGAGTTGTGGCTGAATTTCCGTCTTGTTCAGTTGTACTTGAAATTGAAAAATCAACGAAGGAATCACCATAACCCGCAACTTGTGTTCCTTGAAGAACAAGAGTCATTAATTCTTCTGGTTTTTCTAATCTTCTAAAAGTGACCTTAGAATAACTATCTTGTTCTGTTACATACTCTCCAATACATGTCGAGAAGGAGTAACTTTCATGTCTTGTGACCAAGTTGCTTTGAAGATCTTGTATCAATTTAATGCATCCTTGGGGAGGTTCCATCTTTGACAAATTGACCCTTGCGCACAAGAAGTTGAGCTTTTTCCTTAAACATGTCACACCTTCTCTGATTTGTGCAATACCTTTGTTTCGTGTTGGATTTAGAAATTCTGATATTAATTTGTCCATAAACTCAATCCCAGCTACTTCATAATCTGTTTGTTTCATGTTTTCATGATAGGCATAAAGCAGCATTGGTCGCTGTTGGAGGTAAGGATTTTCACGATCGTAAGTCTCTTCATCGTCTTGGCACTCTTCATTTTCGTCCTCCTGGATCGTCATGACAGGTTTAATTCTGTTAAGGGTATCTGTAAACTCACAATTCTCAATGCTATTCAATAATGAGCTCGAACAAAGCATGAGAAACGAAAGAAACTTCTTCGTGTTCCACTCACTTGGTAGCTCACACTCGTCTAAAATTCTTTGCAATCTTCTTTTGTGATATTGTGCTGTTCGAAATAAAAGCAAAAAACATGAATGATTACTTGAGAGAATAAAACAGAGAGATCATCTCACGTACCTTCTCCTGTGGGTTCTCTATAAAATAAACTCTCTAGAATGGGAATAGTTGCTCGGCCCTTCCTTTGCACCAATTGGTAATATTGGTCACTGGTTCCCTCTCTACAATTAATTCCTAAACCATGTTGTTGAACCAAGTAAATGTAAGGGTTTGAATCTACATCCTTCAAAACACTCTTTCTCTTAATCTTAATTTCACATTTCGATGATTGTGAATACTTGTTACCATATCCAATCCATTGTCTGTATGAGACAATTCCTGTTTTAAATAATTCTACATATTCTTGATTCTTCAATAATTCTTCAATATTGGGATCTGAAACGTCTCGATAGTGTGATTGGAAAGGATCTTGATTTGTGAATAGAGTTGAATACTTAATCATTAAATTCCTCAATGCTGCATTCACGCTTAGTAAACATCCATGCATCACATGACGCAACGCAAGTGATTGTTGCTTGTCATGCTCACTAGTGGTCTTCATCATGTCGTTGTTTTCATCCTCTCTGCCCATTTCTAAAGATTTCTCAGTAGATGCATTGCTCATTTTGGAATGAGAACAACAAGTGGTTGAAAGATTAATGGTTTGATGAGCGAGAGGTTCCAACATTAAAATCAATTGATGAGAATAGAGATGAGGAGCTTCTTTCAAACCCGATGAGAGAATATTAAAGTATTCTTGATGGAAAGGAGTTTGTTGTGTTGCTTGATTCGTACTACTAGTTCCAAACCATGAAGTTGAAGATGCGCCTTCCATCATGGTTTTAAATTTCCAACACAGAGACGATGATGAAATTCCCAATGCGGTATTGAACGATGAATGGTTGATCAACCGAAAATTCAATTGATCGCTCATCGGAAGATATTCAAACACTTTCAGCAAGACTAACGAATTCAACCAATGGGAATATGGGTGAGAAATAATTTCGCCAGTAATATTCATGGATGAGCTTGAAAACTTGATCTTCTTTTTCAAAGGCTCTACTAATCGAGTGCTTTCCGGATTTGTAGTTCCAATGATGGGGTTGGTTAAGAGTCGTATGGTCGACCATCCTCGTGGTTGAGATTCCCATAACGCTCGTCTGCGCCTTTTTGCTCCACCGTTTCCCAGTCCTTTACCTCCTTTGGACATGTGTTGAATTTTTTTTTGTGATTTTCTTGTATTTTCCACTTGGTTCTGGAATTTAACGTGCTGAGTGTTTTCGAAATAAGTTCCAAAACAATTAGTCAAGAGGTAACCTCTCAATGTGTCGTATACGGCATCGTTGAATTATTATTCTGCCTCAACTCGTTACAACAGAAAGATGTCACATCACGGCGGTGTTACGACTGGAAAATTTTAGATGGAAAGTGTTGCACTAGTATTTTTTGTAAGGCGTTTGATCTTTTTAAATTCTTATAAGAAAATTCAACTGTGTGGTATGGTGCCTCTGTTGTTTCGGTGGTGTTTCTTAATTTTGTAAAGTCAAGTTACAAAAATATTAAAACATGAACGACGAAGCTTTCTCTATTCGGTACAAGGCTCTTCTGTAAATTTTAGTAGTTCAATGGATACATGTGTCATTCTCATTAATCAGTTGTTACACAACAAAGATTGGAAGCCTATGATCGATTCACGAAATTTGAAATATGTGAAAACTCTTTCCAAGCTACCACTTTGCATTTCCAATCATATATGATCCAAAGATTCGTCTTGATTTCACATGTGCCAACGGTGGTCATTATTCTGTCAAATGGAGTACTGTATTGTTTTGGTGTGATTCAATCCTACAACAGAGAAAAAAGCACAATCGAGGTTTTTCTTTCTTTGCCTGAAGATTTTGAAATCATTGCTGCTATTGCTGCTCAGTCGATACAGTTTGAGCCTCTAAAGGTTGAACAATTGTTTGAACATGATGTTTCTCTTTCAACAAGTACGTATTGGTGAGACCCTTTCCTTTCAACTCCATTGTTCGTTCCTCAAATTCCAATCCAAGGTCATACACACGCTCATACGTCGATCTTGAAATTTGAATTCTGCCAGCAAGAGACGTTGACTCCATACGAGAGGCAGTATTAATGGTATCCTAAAGTGTTACATTTTGGAACATTAAAACAATGATCCTCAAAAAAGCAATTCGTACTTACACCCCACAAATCATATGCAAATTTCTGTAAATGATCAAAACGTACGAGTAACAAGTTAAAACAAAAGAACACTTGTCACTCTAAAACACCTACCTTTCTTCCAATAACTCCTGCAACGACTCCACCTGTATTCAGACCAATACGAATGTTCACTTGTCTCTCCATATTTTCCAAATTATATGATCGAATCACAAGCAAGGTATCTATGGCAAACCGTAGTGCTCGCTCTGCATGTTAAAAAAGGGAAACCAAGTTCCAATGAAATATTCAATAGGAATGCGTGATCAAAACACAGCTGTTTACCTACCTGGATGGTCCGATTGTGAATTATTATGAAGTCCTCCTACACAAAAATAGGCATCTCCAATGGTCTTAATCTTTTCAAGTTGATACTTGTCAATAAGGTCGTCAAAGCCATTCACAATCACATTCAACATGAGCACCAACTCGGAAGGATTCATTCCAGAACTCATCTTGGTGAAGTTGACCATATCACTAAAGAAACAAGTAATGTCATTGAACTTTTCTGCAATAAAGGTCTCACCTGATTTCAGTTTGCTAGCAACAGCATCTGGTAGAATATTTCTCAATAATTTGTCACTATTTTGTTTCTCCTCTGCCAGTAAACTATTTTGTTTCTTTTCCATGGAAATGTCTTTCACAAAACATGTAATGACAATAGATCCCTCTCCATTTCTTGTCACTGATAGATTGATAAGCCCAGGAAATTTCGTTTGATTCTTTCGAATACACTCAAGCTCAATAACTTCGCCATGCTTTTCGTCAGGAATGTCCACATTGGCTTTACAATGGTCAGTGACCTTTTTCAAATAGGCCTCGGAAGATTGATCGAAAAGAGTGAAGAATTTCAAACCTAAAGCATCGGTGATGTTCTTTCCAAACATTTTTTGAGCAGCTACATTAAACAAGATAATTTCTCCCTTTTCATTAGCCAGCACAGCTCCTTCGACCATAGAGTTCAAAAGATTCTTGATCGAGTCTTCTGTATTTTTCTTTTTCGAGGTTTTTTGTTGTGATAGAGAATTATAGAGTAAAAAGTTCTTCAAACTCTCATGACTTTCGATATATTCAATAGGAAGATAGTTTAGAAATGTTCGTAACGTAGTGATGTGATGGTCGTATTTTCTAAAAGCTCCAAATATAAGGTAACTGAATAACATCAGTGTTAAAACTCCAATAATAAAAAAGCATGACGTGAACGCTCTCGAATTCACCTGTGTATAGGTCACAAGTACTATTAAAAATTCTAGCATTCGATTGAAAACGTCATCTGCCAAATTAAACAATTCCAAGTATTTAAAAAAGGTTGCAGGATCACGAGCAAAATAAATGTTCCACAATTCGTCTCCCCACTTGACCGACTCAACCGTGAACATGGACAAGAGACCTGCAAGGTGACACAAGAGCTCTTGTTCTGACAATTATAAACTCCGTTTACAATATCGTCAACTCTTGGATACTTTCCAATGATAGACTCAGTTCCATCACCTCCATATACAAGGGAGTTATAGAAATTTTGAATGTCTGTGGTGTATTGCTTAACATCCGCTCGGAAGGTGGCAAGCTGACTGGCTGATCCAACTGCTGGATTGTTAATGAATTTTCCTGGTGATATTCCATTAAACGCAAAAAATTCACTCGTTCTTACAGACGTTCTTGCCACAGCTGATATTTTCAAAATAATCAACACGTTTCAAGTTCGCAATTGGTCAAATCACAAAGAATATGCACTTTACATACCTCTCATGATAGCTGTGGCTATATCAATATTAATCATGGTCGTTGAGGTGGTCAAAGTGTTGAGGTACATTTCATAATACATCATTCCAAAACTCAAGCTCACAAGCAGCACCACAACGACTCCATACAGTATTAACAAATTCTTTGGTCGAATACCTTGTTTCATGTGTTTGGCATCTTGAGTCGTCTTTTTTTGTAAATCCTGATAAATCACTCCAACTAAATCTTTGGGAATTCTATGATAGAGTTTGATGATTTTTGTTGACGTATACATGTCGACTCTTGCCAAGACAAGTAATCCTCCATAAATTAATATAAAAACTCCATTCGAAATAAATAAATAAAACTTCATGGTGTCATCTACCGATTGATTGCTCAATCGCTTACTGGTTTGGAATCTCGAACAAAAAACGCCATAAGCATCAGATGCTGTCCTTCGATTGAGATAAATATACATGAACGGAAAGGATGTTGTTGTCTTGTTAAAGTCGGCATTGTTCCATGTCAAGAATAAATTAGTATGGTAAATGAGCTCTTGGGTAATTTCACTCATGGATGCATTCTTTTTAAAACTTCCTGTATATTCCATTAATTGTTTATCAGTGGCCATTGGTAAGTTGATGATATTGTCTGTGTTGGTGTAGTCATGATACATGTTATCACTGTACTTGTTTGAGACTGAATTTGCCACCAAATTGTGTAGGAATGTTTTAAATTGCTGAAATCGTTGATGAGTTGAGTTTCTATATTTCTCTAAAGCAAGAGCTTCTCTTGTGCCGTTTTGTGGAACTGGCCATTTCTGATTTTCGAATAACTCCACCATAATTTGTCGCATTCTCAGTTCACGAATGAGTGACGACGGAGTAGCTCCTGGTAAGCAAGAGTCCAGTGCAAGAGGAATTTCAGTAATTTTCGCACCGAAAAGCAGGCATAGAACGAGAGCTACCATCAACAGAGCTAGAGAAAGTGCAGAAACTACAATAAAACTGTAGTTCCGTAATGTAGATTGATAGGGAGTATTGATGGTATTTCTAAAGAATACTTGTTTCTTATCAATGGCCTCGTTTTCGATTCCATCAAAATTCATCTTGTCGACATTGTCATTGTCTGTGAAAGATAACTTTTCAACATTGTTGTCAGCAACGTTGGGAATGTTATGATTATGATTTACATGGATAGAGGCCACAGGACTGGTTGGAAGGGGTATAACTTTGTTGTTATTGAAACTTCTTGCTTTTTTAAAGTATCGGCTTTTCGAATCCTCTTCCTCTAGCTGAATGGAACAAGAATATTGACAAATTAATGATAAAAAAAGAATATTAAAAACATACCTGACTGGCCTCTTCATAAAGAGCTGCAGCTTGTTCCTTGTCAAATTTGAAATTTTCTACGTATCTGTGAATAAGAATTGTATGAGATTATGTGAGTAACAATTATTAACGAGGTGATCATTAGGTGAAATAAAACTATAATTTGATGAAACACCATGCTACTAACCCTGCATAAACCCTTAGAACGGTCTTATTCTGTCTAAAATTCGTGATCAAATGATAAAACATCTTGTCACAATATTTAGCAAGTTCACTTGCTCTACTGTTAATCTGCTCAATTTTTGGAATGTTTACAAAATCGCTCATGAATTCCTTAAAAAACATTCGGTGAATGGTCACAAGCTCTTCTTGTTTTTGTTCCAAATCAAGAATCATGTTTTTCACTTCGACGCTGTTGCGCCCATGTGCCTTATAGCTTGTCGTTTCAATTTCAATTTCACTTAATAATTCTTCAATTATTGTCCGTTTCCAAATATTTCCACAATTTTTGTGAGCACGTTTCAGTAGTGCTGATGCCAATACACCACTACTCGCATCAGTATTCCATTCATGTGATATGACATGACTTGACGTCAATAAGAGTAACGGAGATGAAAACACCCGATGATGACAAGCATTTTTCACAAAGGGACATGCAATATGGTAATCATTCTCGTTCCTCACAGAAAATTGAAGAAAAAGATTCAACGCACGAATGGAATCATTTTCATGACCTACAATATGTGCCAAAGCATCAGAATCATGATATCGAGAAAGATCCTCATAGTTCAACTCTTTTGATCCTAAATTTCTTCGAACAGGTCGACACACGAAAATCAAAGTATAAATTTCACTTGCTGCAATGCCCACTAGTAAGAACGTAATCGAGAGACCCAATGTAAGGCCCATCATACCAAGTTCCAAATCACTGTTAACCAGGTTGACTTGAGAAGTAAAGTTAAAAACACATCCACTAGTAATCATTCCGATGGAAGAGCCAAGTCTTGCGAGTAGAGCTCCAATAAATATCGAATTTTCAAACCTTTGAAAGAATGGAAAGGTGTATATGAAAAGAGCCAATTGAGCGACTGATCCAATCATATGAATCACTCCTCTCACATACATGTAAGTGGGCGGTATGAGAAATTTGATCATGACTTCAAAAGCAATGGAAACAAAATTCAAAGCAATCGGAATGTTATCAGTCGCAACAAAGAAAATCTTACTACTCGTATTATTCAATGGTAATAACAGCACGGCAACAAAACAACAACACATCATGAATAGCATGGAAAAGAAGGACAGAATGAAAAACACCAGAGTATCTTCCCCGAGGAAAAACAAGGAAGGTATTCGGGAGAGCGTCGATTGCATGGCTCCATACTTGTCCGAATAGAGGAGATGATTGGGATTGGAATCTACAAAGGTACTCATCACAAAAACCGAAACGGGAGTGATTAAGGCAATGAGTAGCCCAAAGTAAGTATTGAATTGTCGGAGCTTATCAAGTCCTTTTCCTTTCAATGCTTTGAATTCCATCATTAAGGTGATGAAAAACAAAGCTCCAATAGCAGTCAAGCAACAACTCAATGCAACGACTGCTTCGCTCGATAGAACGTCCAATGACAGAGTGATGGCATAATTTAAGACACGAAAAACCCATCCTCCGTAATCTCCATATGGAGAAGTGTTCATTCGTTTCATGTCATAACTATAATGAGGATGAGAGGAAAGAGTTGGCATCATGATATTCAAATACAAGTAATAGATGAATAGAAATCCGAAGAGGAAACGATCCAATCTGCTTCTTCTTGCTCCTGTTGTTTTCAATGCCAAATATACATGAAAGAGCTTTTCATTGGCAAGCTTCCAAAGTGAATTATGAGAAGAAGAGCTCGATACCGAATCTAGGGTGAGTGTGTGTTGAGAGTTGTGCTCCACACCTGAACTGGACCCCCTTTGCTCGAGTATTAAGGTTGGACGTGTGCTGTTTTCCATCATCTCGTAGCTACAGATGGGAATCTGAATGTTGATGAAGAGAGTTCAATACTACTTGCCTCAAGTGGGTGTTTGTTTTGGCTAATCTCAAACCCGCATCCAATGTCAATATTTGGTTTCGGCACAATGCAAGCAGCTCATGGTTTGCCGTTGTGGTTGTGTAGTGTCCAAAACGACTAAGGATTCGAAACAATGCTTGAAATGGTATTCCCGAACCTACACTTAATAAGCCACCACCGGTTTAATACCGGCGAAACTCTAATAGCAACGTGTTTGGCCGACTCGGACAGAGAAAAACTTTCAGAGCTGGACCAAGTCAAAATCATGAATGACTTCTTCATCACTCCAATGCTTTAAAGAATGATAAATATATTTAAATATTCATGTAATACTTGTAATTAATATCCGAAGTCATTGCTTTTTTCCGTAGCTAGGTTCAAGAATGAAATAATCATGGAACAGGAAATTTCAGAAAGTATGGTGCAATCATGATCATCAGGAACATTTTTTCGTTAACTGACATTAAATCAAAATCAAAATTAAAAATTCATTTCGCTCCAAAGCACGATTAATGATTTCGCTGCTCACATGCTGACTAAACAAGTAAAAAAACAGGAAATATTAAAACCTCTAATTGTTTGGACCATTCGGAACGAATATGAAGTGTTTTTCTAAAATATTGATTGGTACAGTCCACAAGAACACAAAGGCTCATCTACCACGCCATGGTACCCATTTCGTTCCATCTTTAGCATCATCAGCCTATTCATTGAAAAGATTTCATTTCTGCAATCTCAACAACAACCAATCATCATCTAATACAAGCATTCATACCACCAATACACAAGCATTGGATTCCTCTAAAACTTGTCCGAACTTGTTAAAAAGAATTCATTGGGTCAATGACGTTGGTGGAATGAACCGTACTCGAGTTCAACACATTCATTATCCACTCGATGAATGGGATATTCAAAATGTTGTGAAAATTGCAAATTTGGAAAAGAGTTCAATTTGCATACGAGGACAAAATCAAACCATGGGAGGTCAAACTCTCTTTCCAAATGCACATCGTATAGACATGGAGAGGATGAATCGAATTTTGGAATTGGATTTAGACAATGAAACTGTAACGGTTCAAACTGGGCTTACATGGGATGAGTTGATGCATTTTCTGGATCAATTTGGATATAGTCCAGCAATTTTGCAATCCTATGTGACATTCTCAGTGGGAGGATCAATATCAGTGGATATTCATGGCATCACCTCACATCAATCCATTTCATCCTCAATTTTAGAGTTACATTTGGTGGACAGTCAAGGAAATTTTGTGAAATGTAATGTGCAATGTAATCCTGAGTTGTTTCAAATGGCCATTGGAGGGTTTGGGTTATTTGGTGTTATTTACGTTGCAAAGCTGAAAATTGTTCCAAACACAAAAATTGATATGAAACTCAATCGATTTACAGAGCCAGAAAAATTTCACAACTATTATTTGGAAACTTTGGAAAAGGAAAATAATTCCATCCAATTAGCTCGTGTCAACTTGGTGAATGGAAATATTGATTTTTATGAATTTCCAAAGATTGGAAATGAAAAGATGTCGGGATGTTTGAATGGACCTCCACGAGAAATGTCTCTACTTAGCCAAGTCATTTACAAATGGGTTGGAGACACGCGTCTGTTTAGAAATTTACGTTTTAATTTCCTTGAAAAGTGGTTGAAACATCCTTTAGATTGGAAAGCCCAAAGCGATCGAAATTCTTTGCTGTACGAATCTGTGAAACCTGTCTCAAGCTTATTCTCTCCATTTGTTGAATTGAATAAGACTCACGTTTTACAAGAGTACTTTATTCCAAAGCAACACTTTTTGGAGTGGTACCCATTCATGATGAAAGAAATTAAGCAGTTTTGCAAATTATCCAAACACTCGAGCTTGTTAAATGTCACGATTCGATTTGTGAAAAAGCGAAATTCACATCCCTCTGATTTGAATTTACCAATTCTTACCTATGCCAAACAAGATGTCTATTCATTTGTATTTTACTATCGGGCTGATAAGAATGTAGAAGCAGATCATGAACTTGAAACGTTTCATCATGTTCTCTCAAATAAGGCTGCTGAATTTGGAGGAAGTTTTTATTTACCCTATCGACATCATTATACATTGCCTCAATTACTGAAATCCTACCCTGAATTTGAGCAATTTGTTGCAATGAAAAAAGCGCTCGATCCAAATCCAGTATTCAACAATTTATGGTTTTCAAATTATTCCACACTATTAGAACAGTTCAAAGCTAGACATGGAAGTGTTGACTGTAATGTTATTCCCATACCTCCAAATATTGTGAGTGACAACCCAGTTTCTGAGAATTTACAACCATCTCACGAAAGTGGCAATCCATCAAACCAAAACACAAAAGAACCAACACATTATTCGAAGTTGAATCGTAACAAAATTAGTGAGCGAGGTCTGTATGATTTTTTGAGATACATCTTTCCAGTAGTGAACGCCCAACAACTCTTCGATTTGGTAAAAGGAGAATTAGATAAGAACCACATCAATTCGTCGGCAACATCAACAACAACAACAACAAACGATCGTCATATCTACGAGTTGATCCAGAAACATTTTCGTCAAGGAATAATTTCTAACATTTCTATTTTATTCAACGCTGTAAAGTATAACATGAGTGTCCTCAATAAGGAAATGAAACACCAACTCCATGACTTGTTATCAAGCATTGGAAAGAGAAATGAACCCTTCCATGGCTGTATGACCTTGGGAGACTGTGGCAGATTTGTGAAAATGATGCGAAGAGAATTTCACATTTCAGGTCCCATCTACATTTGCAACGATCAAGAACGAGCAAGTGATCGAATAGAGAGAAGTTCAATGTTTCCAGTCGGTCAATTTGTTTCCTATCCAAACATGTCTCAAATTCCTTCTCAAAGTTTGGATCTAGTCACATGCTTTATTGGACTCCACCATTACAAGGACTCTGAACTTGATGAATATATGAAACATGTAAATCGAGTGTTAAGACCTGGTGGAATTTTCATTCTTAGAGAACACGATGCATACAACACGAATGTGGACTCAATGGCTCATGTCGCACATAACACGTTTAATGCATTGATGGGATTTTCATATGAAGAAAATTCTCGAGAATTTCGACATTTTCGTTCCATGAAAGAATGGAATACCATATGTGAACGCTATGGTTTGAAACAAGCTGGAAAGTATTGCATACAGAAATTTGATCCTACTCTTGATTTAATGACGTGTTATGTCAAGTGTGAACAATCTTCAATGCATTCAGAAAGTGCTTCAGCAACTTGTCATGTGACCACGACCACTGTGGCTGCCAGTGCGAAAGATTCATTCCAACACTCATCAAATGAAATTCCCAATGGACTCATTCAAAATCCGTCCTCATACCTGAGAAGTCATAGCTTGACGGATTATACCATTCCTGAATGGTTTGCAGTAGAATTGGTTCAAAAACTTGGAAGTTTTCTCAATCACACACCATGGTACGATTATCCATTCTTACATGTGATTCTTCAATTTTGGAAATTATTTTATCAAGCTGTGAAACGAGTGGCAAAGAGAGATGGTCTTATTTCGGCTCTATGGAATGGATATAATGTCATGAATTTTGTGATTGGATTGGTTTCGACCTTTCTTCTTTCTCAAATGTTTGTCTTGTCCATGATTCCAAAAATTGTTGGACGTTTCTCTTCAAATTCAACAGCAAATTTGACTCATATTCAGGCTGTGTTGAGAGTAAGAAATTCAATGAATGTGAACAAACCTTGTGAATTACCAAACTCTGTTCGAATTTTGAACAGTATGGTATCCAATAATAATAATTATTCAAAGGTACAAATTGAGAGGGAAGGCCTTAGAGACGAGTCATTCGAGTACTATCAAGTGGATGTTCCTCGATTTCTTCCATTCACAACATGCATGAAGGAACTATCACGACAATTCGACGTTCAAGTCATTGAAATTGCGGGTCAAACCAGTGTCAATATCAAGATTGTTTCAGCGAAAAAGGATCTCCAAATTGAAGAAGGCATTGAGGCGATTTTAATTGAAAAGTATCAGATTGTTCCAAACGCACGTGATGAAGACTATGTCCACATTTTCAGTGTTGTCACTCGAGATTTATTGAAATTATTGCAACAACTTGAGAAAGACGAAAGTATCAGGCACGTTCAAATTCACGATTTCTAAGGCATAATGTTCCTCAAAACCGTTTTGCTTGATGAATAGGTCCACAATTGTTGTTTGTTTGGTAAATAAATGGTTTGCTAACCTAAATTCCCTTTTTTATAACGACAACAAATAAAAACTTTGTTAGTCACAATTTCGGAAATCATCATCATGAAATATTCCAAAAAATTCATCACACATTTCCTCCTGTTAAACAAGCTCCCTTTTCGCTTTTATTGTATCAAATCGGAAATGATTCTTCTACTATTATTTTGGCAGCAAAACTCTAGATTTAAGCATCATAAGAGATGGAGAGACCGACCTTGGAGACAGACTTAGTGAAGACGCTTGACTCAACGGAGACGGCAGTGGTCAAACGTGGGTTAACAACGAGAGTGTAGGTAGCATTAACAACACCCTTGGTATTGATGTTAGCCTTGACGGATGATTCCTTGTCAATTGTGTATGATGTACCGAGAGTGAATGTTGGCTTATCGGTGGACTTCAAATCATGTAAGAATTCACCTGCAACAGTAACACTATCATCAATTTGTTGAGCATAACCAACTCTAATCTTCTTCAATGATTCCTCCAATTGAGCAGCAATGTGAATATTCTTCATGGAATATCTAGCACCGAGAGTGTACTTCTTCAACAAATCCTTTTTATCGACTGGTGGATAACCCTTGATTTGTGCTTCAGCACCAACAACCAAACCATCAACAACTCGACCAGTAACGCTTGAAGCAAGGAGCAAATCCTTTCCAGTGGTGTAATCAAAATGTCCAGTCAAATGGAACTTTTCAGCAGTGTAATCCAAAGTACCGGTAACGTTGTTTTCAGCGCCCTCAGTCTTCATCTTGGTGTTGAGATCAGCATTCAAACCTTTAGCAACACCATTAGCAGCAACGGAGACTTTAACGGTGGCATCTTGATCCAATGATCCATTAACAGTGCAAGCAACACCGTGGCACTTCAACTTTTGGGACCAAGAGAGAGCAGAGTCAACCTTTCCGCTTTCAGTTCTGCTTCCGCTAATACCAACACTGAAATCTGGATTAGCCTTGGTATTGACAGAGAGAGAAATTTTATCAGAAGCACCAGTGCTCAAGACGTTCTTCACTGGCTTGTACAAGGTTCCAAAGGAGTACATTTTGATAGAGTTGTTGTGTGATGATGAGAATGGCTTGTTGGAATATTTTTTTAAGAGGTTGGCCTGATGATGACGCCAAGTTGCCCTTGAAAGGAAATTTATGGGGTTTTACAAAGCGAATTTGCTTGGACTAACGAATTTTGAAAATTCAAAAATGATGGAAATGCATCGTGTTGGTTTTGGGTTCAATGCGGAGCGAGACGAAGCTTCTTAGAAAAGAGTTGTTGTTTTATTAATGCACGTCGTTGGAAAGATGACAAAGGAATGAAGAGAGAAGAATGAAAGACTAATTTCCTCCAAGGAAATGAATCTTCCGAAAAGGAGCTCACTTGTCACCACCAAAACGATTGACATTGGCCTAGAATTGAGCATGTTTCCGTTTGGTTTTGAGCAAATAGTGAAAGATGCTTTAGCAAATGGATGGTGGCTGATTTACAGTTATTGTTGTTTGGTTCCTCTTGTTCTAAATCTAGGTGCTTGATTATTCTTCTCTGGAACCAAGTGGTACTTGTAAGCCTCAAACAACAATGGATGTTGAGGAACCAAATTGGATGGCTCAACCACAGTTGCCAATTGATCCGAGCTCATCAAAGGATATCTCACGTGTTCAATGAGCTTGGCAATGCTAGAGGCTTCGAATGGCAAATGCTTTCTGAGATCGCACCACTTTTGAACAGCCTCAAAGACCAATACTTCTTCAAGAGGTTCCAACGAGAGAGAATCACGGGAAATAATCTGAATGATTGTGCTAACTTTGACGTGCTTGATCGAGTCGGATTTGAGGACCATCTTGATATTCTTATCAATGTATTGATAGCAATGCTTGACAAGATCGAGAGCCTTATTCTCAATGGCCATCTCTAACAAGAGAGCCATGTTCTCATAGTCACCATGTTCAATGAGGTACAATTCACACAATCTCTTGAGGCATGGAATACCGAATTCTTCTGATTGAACAAAAATGTCGAGAACATTGTCCAATCGCAATCTCACTTGACCAGTATACAAGTATTCCAAAACTTTGCCGAACACTTCTGGATGAATGTCCTCACGTTCCCAGGAGTAACGTTGTTGTGAGGTGTAGAGTGAGCTTGAAGTGTTGCTCAACAAGGCTCTGAAATAACTGGAACGAGAGGCCAAAATCACTCTATGAACATAGTATTTGGTGGAGAGAGAGGGTCCACATTGAATGACAAAGTCACTAAATTGCTTATCGAACACACATGAATTCAATTGGTCAGAAAGAGAGGAGAGATCCTTGTGAACCTCTTCAAGGTTGGTATCAGAGGGAGAGGTAGGAACATCCTGTTCTGTGGATGATGGCTTTGGAAGTGCCTTTTTCAAAATCTTCTTTTCAATTTGAACAGTTTTGTGTTGAGATTCATTCATGGAAACACGAATAGCCTCTGGAGATTCTTGTGGCTTTCTGTCCATTTCTTCTCTTGCATCTCCTGCAAAATCTTCATCAAAAGATTCACTCACACCACCGGCCTTCTTTGGTGTCGAGAGAACTACTTGTGGATTGGCATGCTCATCTCCGTTGGATGATCCTGATGAAGTGCTTGTAGCATCATTTTCAAAGTTAATGGCAGTGGATTTACGGAGAACTTTGGCCTTCATGTTTGCAAGCATCTTTCTTGGAGTTGAGACTTTTTGCGGAGTGGTGTTGAAGGTTGAGCTTTTGGTTGGACTGAGAATGTTGGTTGGAGGAATGTTCTCAGTGTTTTGTGGGTCCTTGTAGAAGAAGGCAGCAGGTGGAGAGGATTGATGTTGTTTGGAACCAAAGAGTTTGTTGGACATTTTGTTTTGTTGTTGAAAATCGTCAAATTGGCAGGTGACAGTTTTAAAAATTTAAAAATTGTGTAACGGTCAGTAACGGCGCATTGATGACGAACATAAGCCAAAAACAGCTGGGACTGTTGGTCCCAACGTTGAGCGGTTGATGAGTGAATACTATTTTTCTTGAAGGGTCAACACGTGTGCATGGTGTGAATCATTCACATGATTTTTCATGGGACAACATTGAAAACTGTTATAATAACTCACAATTACAACTTCTTTGCAAATTCAAATAACTGGGGATATAAAACGTTATGGGCGCATCATTGACCTTTTCTGTCGTTATGGCACGACACTACATGTCAAATCTAACAACTTTTCCAGTTGATAAAAATGACAGAAGAAGAGCACACAGCAAGAGACCCAACTACCGGAGCAGAAAACATTCAACAACACGAACCATCATCCACTGAAAATCATTCCATGTCGACTTCTAACACAACCAATTCATCATCATTGTCGCAGGACTGTACATCATCGTCGTCATCATTACAGGTACTGAAAGACCAACAACAACCAATTGACCACCAAAACAACTCTACAACAACTGTTGCATCTACTACTCTTATCACTCCCATCAACAATGAAAGTATACCACATGACAATGATTCAACTCAGTCCAAAACCATTCCGAACGACGTCGTTCCATCATCCCATGTGGATGACTCGCCACCTCTCAATCGTGATGAGAGAAGAGTCAATGAGGAATTTAAATTGTTGGAGCAAAGTTTAAATGGAGGAACAATTCATTCTTCTGAAAATTCTCCAAGGACAGCTGCTGTTGAGACTACTGATGGTGCTGCTGCTGTTGATAATGCCAATAATCATGAGACCCATCATGATGACAATTCTTCTACTAACAACCATGAGATGGATCACAAAAATTATTCCACTCCGACCAAAACATCCCAAAATGAAAGCAACAATTATCCAGATTATAGTATCACCTCAACAGGCAGAAGAATAAGAGACTCTCTGATTATTTGTAACGAGCCAACAACTACTAGCACTGTCCTCCCATTTTCAACCCTAAGTCTTGCTATTCATGATCATTCACATGGAGTGACCACTTCTCCAGCAATTAGCATTCAATCGAGCCGAGTTCGGGATAGCATTTCCAGCACTGGAAGTACAAGTGTACCAAGTGGAGGAAATACGGCTCGAAGAGGAAAAGATAAGAATCAACAAGTTTCAATTGTGACATCGACTCAAGTGGTGGAAAATGTAACACCCACCATTTCTGCATCTCAATCAAAACAACAAGAGCTGATTACATTGTTGCATCGTTTAATTTCTGAGCAACAAATTGATAAATTGGAAAAGTTATTGAGAGAGGAACAAGAAAAAGCAACTCATGCCAAACAACATGATAATTCCTCGCAAAATATTACTACTATCCAACCCGAGACGACATTCAATGATCAAAATAATTCCACAAATTCCTCTAAGCCATCCCATCCTACAGACAGTAGTAATGGCAGCACTAGTAGCAATAGCATTGGAGAAACTGAAAGTTCTGTTTCTACAAGCAACATCCAAGCAGACAACAAGACAACATCAATGACAACAGACCATGACAATTCTGAAGTTATAATTCCATTCAACGTCGATACCAATTATGTTTCGGAGCAAACTGGACGATCCCTACTCATGACAGCCGTGGCTCACGAAAATATTAAAATTATTCGGCTTCTTCACAAGGAATTTCATGCCGATTTAGAATACAGAGACAAGAGAGGACGAAGTCCAATCTTCTATGCGTGCAATGTGAGCCCACATCGAACAGCAGCTATTTTACAATATTTAATTTCGGAGGGTGCTTGTGTGAATATTATGGATCATGAGGGTTATACTCCCTTCTATTTGTGCATGGATTCACAAAATTTCCAAGCAGCTAGTGTGTTGTATGAACTTGGAAAAGCCAATGTCAATGTTCAAGTGGGAAGTGATCGAAATACCATCATTCACATGGCCATCAAGAAAGATCTCATTACGAGTGTACATTTTCTTGTGAGTCGTTGCAAGTGTGATTTGACCATTCCAAACATTAATGGAGAAACTCCAATTTTCATTGCGTTGCATCATCCAGCCATTTTGAATCAGATTTTAATGGATTTGATAGAGAGAAATAAGACTTCGTCTTATGAAAAATTTGATGTCACTGCGCATTACAATTTGAGACCTCTAGAGATTACAAACGAGAACAATGACACTTGTTTTCATGTTTGTGCAGAATTTGGATTAATTGACTCTCTTGGAGAATTACTGAGCGTGCTGCCTGAAGAGGTTGTGAGAAGACTAAGCTCCACACAAAATAAGGACGGTAATACTCCTCTCCATGTGGCCGTGAATCACAACCAATCAGAAATTACCTTCGTTTTACTCTTCATTAACCCAGATTGTATTTTTATTCAGAACAATGATTTGGACTCTCCACTTCATATTGCTCTCAAACAAGGACATTTCTGCTGTGCTCGAATTTTGTATCCGCTGGCCAAATATCTCAATTTGGAAAATGGAGAGGGTCAATCCATTCAATACCTTGTTCAATTGTTTGGACAAGAACTTCGTCAACAAGATGACACTCTCAAAAATTTGACTGAGGGAGAATTTTACAAACCATCCTCATACAATTTTGAGTTATTGCTACAAGACTTTTCTTTCATTAGCAAAATGAAAGATTATTTAACAACAATAGGTCAGCAAGATACTCTTTCTTTCTTTGAACACATTATGGAATATCAATTAACTCCCACAATTTCGGAAAGATATGAATTGGCTGAAAAGATTGTTTCAAATTTCATTGCTGAGAATGCAACACACAAACTCAAATTCATCAAATCGAAACGAGAGGAATTCATCCAACAATGGAAGGAACATTCAAAGGTCTTCTGTCCTGCCTATCTCTTTGAGAATTATTTGGATTTAGTGCTGGATGAGTTGAGACAAAATCTATTCCCTAAGTTCTGTTCGTCGAAACTATTTAAAACATGGGTGGAGAACAAGAGAAAATTGGATCCAACCTTTTATGTGAGATTCATGAAAAAGGAGACCATTCAATCCGAGCAAGAAAAAGAAGATTCTTCACAACTTAATTTGTTTGAAGACAATTTGGAAGAACAAGAGCAAGAAAATACAAAAGATAGGAAAACATGTAGCAAGTGTGGCGATGTGCTTGTCGATTTCAAGGATCCATTGTTTGTGAAATCAGATTTTGATAAAGCATTGGATCAATCCATGGATTTCACAGGATGGACACAAATTGAATCAGATTCAACACAACAAGGAAAGATGTTTGTTAGTCCCAAGGGTGCACACATTCACATTGAAGCAAAGAAAAAGCACACTGCTCTACGATTTTGTGGACAAATTGATCACTCGAATCACAATGTCTTTAACACATGGATTGATCCAGAGTATCTCTACATGAGAGATCCTAGTATTTTGAGTTCCAAACAAATTGATTATGTGTCAGGAAGGCATTTTGCCTCTGCTATTATTCAGTAAGTTTGTTTTAGAATTGTCGTAATGAAGCTTACCAAATATTAATTGCAACACATGACCATACTTGCTTTGCTTGCAACAATAGTGACGTCTATTCAATGGCATGGCCAAACTCCAATCGAGATTTCCTCACTGCACAATGCTGTACTTATCGAGAGAATACTAGTACTTACATTTTCCTTCAAAAATCTGTGACAAATGTGAAATGCCCAGAGTCCTCCAAACAGGTTAGAGCCAAATTGAAAACATTTTTCATTGTTGAACGAATTAGCGACACTCGTTCCAAATACACGTATCAAATCGTGAGCGATTTTGGAGGCTTTCTTGGTTCGGATTTTTTAGTGAACATGTATAAGGAACGAGGAAATCAATTCCATCTTCTTTTGAATCGAACTGTAAATGCAAGACAAACTCTGAAAAAAGAGAGACCTATCAATGGAGGACTCGTAGAAAGTTTGGAATTTTCATTATCTCACATGGGAAATAACGAGTAGAGAGGATTCAAGAAGGAGCTTTTGCATCACATGAACATGAAAAACGACATTGCAATAAGAACAAGCGCCTCAACGTGAATAGTACCAAGCACATTCAGTTTACTTGCCATTCGAACGTTCGTTTGTAAGAAGAAAATCTGATTCAAAATTTAATTCAAATGAAAAACACAAAAAATCCAGCGACCAAATTTGGTTGAATTGGAAAAAATATTTAAAGTTGATTTTAAAAAAATATTTAAAACTCCAACAACAAAAAAATGATTTCGTTCAACATTGATGACGGCTACCTAGAAGCTGTAGTTCAAGGCTTCAGAGATGGTTTGCTCAGATCCTATGATTATAACAATTTGATTCAATGTGATACTTTGGAGGGTAAGTATCGCTTGTTGTTTGTTACATGGCGTGATGTTTATGGAATTGGTTCTACTTGAATGTTGTTGAAATTATTGTTGTCCTATTACGGAATGGTCCTTGTTTGTGGATACTTGTTGCTGCAACGACTCGCTTTGGTGATGATATTTGATGATGCAACGGAATTCAAAATTGGATTTTTTATTTGGCTCCTCCTCCAACCCGACGTGTATGCTCCTCTTTCATCAACAACAACTAACTCTTTGATATCAAAACACTTCTATTTGCTTGGAACCGACGTTATTACCCCTCTCTTAGATATTAAACTTCACTTGACGGGTACTGACTATGGCAATTTCTTGCAAAACGAGGCTTCTCTGTCTTCCACCATTATTGTTGAAAGAGCAACTGAGAGACTTGTCAAAGAGTTCAATGACCTCCGTTTTCAAGCTGTAGAACCTCTCTCCACATTCCTTGATTTTATCACTTATGATTATATGATTCTCAATGTTTTGAAGTTGGTATTTGCTGTGAGAAACGGAAAGGGTGCTCTTGATATCTTGTACAAGTGTCATCCATTGGGATTGTTCGAATCTCTCAGTGCAATTACCGCAGCAACATCTGTTGAGGATATGTACGAGTTGGTATTGATCGATAGCCCTATTGGAAAGTTCTTCACAAAGACTGAAACTCGTGATTTTGACGAATACTCTACTGATTATTTGCGTGGATTGCTTCAAAAGAATTATTTGGAATCATTCTATGACTTTGTTCAATCACTCGGTGGAACTACTGCTGAGGTCATGAGCGAAATTTTAGAATTTGAAGCAGATCGTGCAGTTTTGACCATTACCAGACAATCCTATGCTGTTAAGGAAGATAGTGCAAACAAATTGCCAAAGGACGAAAGAAAGAAGTTGTATCCAAACTTTGGTCAACTTTTAGATGTTCAAGATAAATTGGCAGAATGTGATGACGACACTTCCATGTTGGAAATTCTTAAACCATATCCATACTTTTATGAAACATTGCAATCTGTTTCCAAACAAACCAGTTTGGAGTCTCTGTTGAAGAAGAAGGCTGTTGAATTGAACAAGACAGCATTTGAACAACAATTCCACTATGGCGCATTCTACTCATTTGTCAAATTGAGAGAACAAGAAATTAATAACTTATTGTGGATCTCTGAATGTATTCATCAAGGTCAAAAACACAGAATTAATGAATATACACCTATCTATGAAAATTAATTTACATGGAATAAACGATATTTGTCAAGGTCTTTGTTTAGTTTGATTGCCTTCACAGAGGTTAGGTAACGCAACGGAGTTCTTTCCATTCGATAACCTTTGCCCTTATTTAGTGTTGTTTGCACTTTGTTTATCGTGGAATTTGTTCATTTACAAATACAGAGCGTGATGCTCGGTACTCGAGCTCAAGGTCTTGTATTTGAGAGCAGAGTTTGGTGTGAGAGGAGAGAGTGGTGTTGCATTCAAGCTGTTGGCCTCCTCGCTGCCCGTTTGTTTGACTAGAATTCCAAAAACACTCTTCTCAAAAGCTTTCATGGTCACTTGTTCCAAAGCATGATTTTCTTCTAGAGAGCAAAGTAAAATTCCATTCAAATTTCTATGCTCGAGCATGGTCAAAATTGATGCAGCTACACCAGTCATCAAGTTTGGAGACTCCAAATATGGCGGTAAAAGCAATGCATGTTTGAATGAATTCTTGTCAGCTTGTGTCCTCAGACATCTCAAAAGTGGTGGTCTCACTTGCCTCTTGTCTCCAGCAGTAAAAGAGCTGGCCAAGATGCTGTCAAGAATAACAAATCTATTCGCTTTGATGTTATCAATAATTAATTTAGAATATAAATAGGTGACATATGCATTTTGATGAGTTTCTTTCACAGTACAATATTGAGCATTGTGTTTTTGTTCAATAACATTTCCGCCATCCACAATCAAAATTTTCAATGCATCATTACTTTCCAATGATGATGTTGATGAATAATAGTAAATCTTGTCGGTAATGTCCTTCTTTAATCGTGTTCTAGTATCGGCTTCTTGTGGTGATGCTCGGATGGAAGCCACATGAATCAATTTCAATTCATTCATTCGATCCACAAAGGCTCCTCTCACAAATTGGCTGCCAGCTCCATACACTCCGATCACTACCATATCAAATACCATATTCGAGAAATCTCCAATGACTTGTTTGGCTTGTTCCGTTGTTTCAAATATTGGACTTGGTGGTAATTCCAAATTTTCTTCTTCATCCACTTCATAGTCTTCAGCTCGTGATGATAAGCTTAATTCTGGAGAGAGTAATCTAAATTCCATTTGTTCTTGATATTATCTGTAGGCAACAACAAGATGATGAATTTTAAATGATTGGAAAATAAATTATGTAATAAAACACAAGATGTTCCGATAACGTTGAGGATGTGATGATCACGTGAAGAACAACTGAAAATGAATCGTTGCGAAGAATTTTTTAAATTTTCTTGATCAAGGAACCGAGCCCAAAAATAGAGCTCAAACTGTTGGACTTCTAATGAAATCGGTGAGTGAACTTCATAATAGTAATACCCGAGAAACAAGAATTGCTTGCCTTCTTGTTCTTCGAGAATAAGGCCAAAAGAGTGGCTCGAGAATTCTCCCTTAAATTTGCTCATTTCCAAACGCAGAAAGGTCTTGAAATAAGGCCAAAACGGTTCTAACCGTTGATCAATTAAAAGATCCTAGAATGGTGGTTGAGAAGTTTGAACTGACCTCTCGCCATCATTTAAGGACTTGTATGGAGTTGTTTCGTATCTCTAATCAACGTTCATCCTGGTGTGTCTATGAGAACGGGTGTTATCATGGTACATCTCTCTTCCACCATATTTAAAAAACAACCAAATATTGTTGTTGTTGGGTACAATCTCTTTCATTATCCTTGTGGTTGTGGTCGTTGTTGTTTCAATACTAGTATTGTTTGTTATCATCATTAAAATATATTCAGTCCATATAGTTATCGATTTGAACGTGAACATGATGAATATGGATCAAGATTGGCTTGAACCAATTTCTGTGGTCAATCTTGAAGAGGAGCATGAATCTCATCCATGCAAACAACAAGTCCTCACTAACACTCATCATCATCCTCACCAACATTCACATCGATCCAGTTATACAGGAACTCTTCATCCGACCTTCATTGAAGACTCATTAAGGACAGCCTTGAATCGAGCAATCTCCCATTGCTCATTACATCATCTTGGAGAAGAATGGCTTCAGGAACATGTTCAAACACATATTCTATCTTCCAATCATTCGGAATTTCCAAATCTCATCTTGAATTCATCTCAGAAAGATCTCACTCATCATTCCCAAATCAAATACTCCATCTTCCTCAAAATGAGAAGAATGAATCATCATGTCGCTCCTCATTCACATATTCATTGCAAAAAACCATGTCATGAACATATTGTACAATCGAGTGGATCTCTCCATTTTGTAAAACCATTTCACACGAGTTCTAATTCGTTATCGAGTGTCCATCATACGACACGAACTTCATGGAAAGACAAGATGATCCAATTTGTTTCAAGTGAAGATTTTGGAATGACTTCCATGATGATATGTCCACCCTTGTTATTGGCTCATTGGTATGCCACTTATCAAAGAGATAGTCCAGTATTGAATTGTGCTCAATACGTTGAATGTGGATGGTGCATTACTCAAAGCTTGAACTCTCTCAATGACCATCATACTCCAACGAGTAGTAGTTGGTATTTAGAAAAGATTGCCACACTGTACAAATATCCTCGAAAAATTGAAAAGAAGCTCTCCAAATATTCTTCAAGCGAATTACAAGAAATGTTTCCAACTTGTATTTCAGTATTAAGAGTGCCTTTGGAAAGAATGATTCAGAACGGTTTGAATATTGAAATATCGTCGCATCATGATGAAGAAGGTCATTCATTGGTGTATAATGTCCATTGTGGTGTAGATTTGATTTTGTGTCAATTCACACAAGAAGAGTTTGCAGTCAAGACTTGTCAAGTGTTGCATTCCTTATTGAAAAGTGTGATCGAGGATGGAATTCGGAAAACTATTCCTGATATTCAATACGATAGCGACATGATCAGACAGCAAAGGATTCATCATCGAAATTCATGTCCACCTGCTATGGAGAAAAATTGTTCCTCCTCCTCATCAACCACGGAGAATGTGTGTCATCTTCATACACGAGTGAGAGGAGCTTCCAATGCAAGTTCGAATTATATTTCTTTGTAATTGTTGTTGTTGTTAAATAGATGTAATTTTCAAAGTAATGGAAATGTGTTTTATCAAAAGCAGATGTTAATAGGCTGGTGCTCATGTTGTACTTTTCGTTTTTTTTTCAAATCCAATCAAACTTCAGCATTTTTTAAATTTTATAAATTGAAAATTGCATGTGGAAAATTGTTACAAGAATCCCAATGCTGGCTGATAGTTTGACAGATTTAAGAATGACCATACGGTGTCACACAGTGATCAAGAGCAACTTTCTTGGATTGCAAATCAAGACTATGATGAAGAGACCGATGCTAGTGAACGCTTGGAGAAACATTAAAATTTTTAAAACCAATTTGCATTTTATTCAAACGAACTCACACAAACGAAAATCAATAAAAAAATTTCGGTTGGTGCATAAAGATCTCAATTTTTTAAAAAAAGCAAACAAAATTTTTTTTGTACACAAAAAACGGCAGTTGGTTGCAGTATGTGAACGCGAATGACTTTTTGTTTTTTGGGCTTGTTTCAAGTCTTGCTTAAAAATTTTCAGTTTGGCTGCTTAGAGGATAAAACAAATCTCGAATTTGCAATCTCAAAAAAACCTTCATTGGCCTTCGACAAAGATTGCTTGAGTGTCATTGTCAGTTATTTTGAACCTCGTGATGTCATTCGAATGTGTAGCACCAACAAGGCCACCAGAATTGCCATTCATGAGATGTTTCAAAATTACGACCAAATCTTGTTGGAAATAATAACACAAACGATGGTTTCTTTGATTGAGAACAAATTTTTGGGTGCTTCCAAATCTCTCTTTAACGTGCGTTCGTTGTTGGAATCCAATGGCTTGACAAGTCCTGTTCATAATGGAAAACATCCTCTCTCCACCTATGTCAGAAATGACGAACAAGTTAGGGTGCAGTTGAGACCCTTGTTATGCTTGATGAAGTTTGCATATGGAGCTTGTCTTATTCGTCCTAATTCACTTGAACTTGAACCAGTGATTAGAAGACATGAACATACAGTTATTAAATTCTTATTAAACCATGAAGGATTGAGAAGATTCAGTAACGTTTTGGAATGGAGTGTGGACAATGATGACGAGAAGGAGCCTTTGATTATTTGTGAGCTCATCAAAATTCAATACAGTGGCAACAATGAATTTCAAATGTTTCTTATTGACGAGAACATCAAGATTTATGGTGTCGACGAATGGAAGATGGTAATTGAGAGATTGTATTATTTAAAGGAAAGAAAATGATGTTCTCTCAACATGGATCGGCACATACTGTTTCCCTCAATACCTTAATTTGATCATTAAAGGAAACTGTACATATTTGATTCAAATTTATGTTCAATAAACAAGAAGCCAAATGCCAATTGACAAACAAAATGACTTCAAATCCCAAACCTTCGTCGTCGTTACTGAATGCTCCTCACGAGAGTATATTTGTTGCTCAGGAGTTTCCAATTTCAACCTCATCATCCTCCTCTGATGATCATGATACAGAACCTGTTGATAAGATCAGCGAAATCGAATTGGAAAGAGCACACATGAAAGACGTACCCATTGTGAATATGAGACTTCATCGCAATTTTTTACGCCGTAGAAAGTAAATTAAATTCCTTGTTGACCATTATACAGGTTTTTGATTTCTCTTGAGGGCATACAGATTTCCTGTTTTTACGGGTCATTGAATGTAAATTGAGTTATTATTTTGTTGTCATTAGTACAGTTGATTCATATAATGACCATGATATAGCATGTGCTAATCCTCGTTTCATGATTTTAGGAACAATTCCTCTCAAAAACAAAGTTCGAAGGCCCTCTTCCTTAGGAATTGTGACTAAGGCATCCATAAAGCCAGAGTAACCTCCTTGATTTGGTAATTGTAGACGTGTTCGGATCAGGTCGAAAGGGTGCGTTATTAAGGTAGCGCTGGCTCCAGCAATTAGAGAGCTCACTGCGGCTACACTAATAATTTGGTTCGAGGTGGATGTTTTGGCTGACAAATCGTGTCCAACCAAAAAACTTAGCAAATCATTACTCTGTCTATAGAATAAATAGAAAAGTCCTAAATTCGTGTAACGTTTGACCATGTACATGTGAAAATATCAACACCAGAAATCACAAATGTGAAATTTCGCAACAGTTTTCGATCATTACGTGTCACATACCTGAATAAGGGATATCTCTTATTAATGTTGGTGTGACTCCTGCAAATAAACCTCGCATTCCTCCAGTACCATAAATTTCTTTGATGGTACTTAGTACGCTCCTCGATTTTAAATGTTCACATGCTTCTATACTCTCAAATCTAGTTTTAACAACCAAAATAGGCATGGTAGAAATGGTTGCACTACTCTTAGATATGGCTCCAATCAGAAAATCATTGACAGGTTGAGGAAGTCCATTATTCTTAGTGTTTAAAGGACCTATTTTCAAAAAGTGTATGGATCCAAAATACATGGCGCCCCCAGGCAGATATCTCCAAAATGTTGGTACTAAACCTCTCCAAAGACCTCTAACTCCCTATGTAATTATTGGGCGAACGTAACACGATTGTTGTTAATAGAAAAATATTCGCCAGTTCCTTCTCCGAACATGACGATCGGAAACTTACTTCTGTTTTGTAAATGGTCGTGAGGAATGAAATGGTACCTTGCAATTTGTCTTGCATTTTTCCATGCACTAGTGGTATTGGTGACTTATTGCTCCTCTCTCGGGCTCCAATTAAATTTGTCTTCAAGACATCAAAAGGTTGCGTAACAATGCTTGCAAAAACACCAGATACTCCTCCGGCTATGATATGAGCATAACTCTTTTCCTTATTCATTCTTCGGAAAGGTACTTTTCAACAATTTTGATTCCTAATTATTCAATTGTCAATTCCGATAGGATGAATCAATAATTGAACCGAATATAATGTTCCAAAAATTGAAATTGCGAATTTTGGAGTATCGTTGCAATAACAACAGTCGAGTTGCTTTTCGCGTATTTTTTTACTTTGAGGTTCTTGTTTGGTCATCAAGTAGAGAGTCGCACGACGGATTATTTTACAACTCGGATTCATGCTGGCTGATTGAACTTGAATGTGGCCATTGAATCGTACTTGAAATTCAGCATTGAATCCAAATTTGTGAGTAAAATGGTTTGTTGATGATGTCTAAATGTTGGGCAATGAATGACCTATTGTATCCCAGTTCAATATCGTTTCTGTTGTTGATTATTGGATGGAATATCTTGTTCAAGTGAAATCTCTTGATACACACTCAAAGCACCAGACTGCAAATAATGACCATGGTCTAATGATTCACGATGGTCAAAGAGAGTAGGGTCCTGTTGATAAAACTTGGATGGAGAGTTAATATTCTTAGTTTCCAATTCTTTCCATTTTGTTTTGTAAGCTCTAGCTCTTGCATTTCTATCGTTGATGGCATTATGAAGAAAACTTATACTAGTTGGTGCAATGACAATCCCAAAAATCACGACTGAGGGAAGGAAAAAAAACAAGATGGAAACAGTCACTTCAACAATGGAGGAGACTGCATTATAACCATTGGAAGCATAAACCACATTCTTCAAAACAAGGACACTAATTCTTACTGCTGGCAGTAGTAACAAGTAGCATCCTAAAATGATACTAATGATGGAGACTCGTTTCAAATGTTTTTGAATGAGAACAGGAAATGAAACTTTTGAGCGTGTCGTGAGTCTTCTTAGTACGCCTCCAAATATAATGAAAAGTATTGGAATGGAAATATCAAATATTAAGGTAATTGAGGTTAAGAAATAGGAAATATTGGATCGTGCAATTGTGAAGGCCAAAAATCCAATACTAGCTCCAAAGAAATATACTCCAATAAATGCCCAATAAATTCTTCGAGTGACTCTTTCGAATCGTTTACACATTTGTGGATTATAGTAATAAGAGGCATTAAACGTGAGCTCAAGCCAAAAAACGAGTAAGAGTAAATAGGTTGATTTTACAACAACAGCAGTGGAAACATCGACTACGTTAATTAAGGGACATGTTCTTCTCATTTTGTTAACAATAGTGTCCAAGAAATGAAAGCATGTATATTCATAGGTCGACTCAAAAAAGTATTGAAGGAAAAATCTGTGAAGAGTTCCAATAAAAAAGGCAATTAAAAACTGAAACGAAAATTGAAGAGGTATATTCCAAGGAATCACCTAGTGCAACGTTGTTTCAAAATTGTATCATTTTCATATCACAATGTCCATCATGATAAATTGCATAAATTCCATAATTTCTAGGTCCATACCTGTGATTGTGAATCGTAGCAACAGCAACAAATATATCTAGTCCAATATTTCCACTTAAACGATTGTAAACGTCTCGTAGAACTCTTCTTCCTTCTATTCAACACACATGTTTGTAAGCAACAAATTGCAAAAAAGATGACAATAATTATTAGCGTGAATAAAGAAAGCCATGGGGGAAAATGATCCATCACTGTTGAAACCGAAAGCGTTGAATTGGTATTTCCCGGATCATTATTTGAAGAATTTTGTTGTTGTGCCAAGAATTGATATCCCGACGACATGAAAGGGAACCCAACACGAAAACCGTAATGACCATGCCAATCCGCTACTGCAACATCATCCTCATACTTGAGATGTATTACATTATAATCTTTCATTACCATTCCGACCACTGAATTTACGTGTTGCAAAAGTGGTGATTTCCACACCCATTCCAATAACGCCATTTTTTTGTGACCTAGCGTTGTGAGTGCGTTGGTGAATAACCGCCATGAAGCATAAACGTGCCTCACAAAAGACAAAAAATGTCTATCGTGAATTGTTGTGATGATGTGTGGATTGAGATTTTTTCATTTCTTGAACCGTTGGATATCATTGCCAGTGTTTCTGGAACATGTAAAAGGCTGAATGAGCTTTCGGAGATGTGTTTCTTCTTACTTGATTCATCACAAGATTTTAAACAAGATTATTCAAATTTTGAGGATTATGTAAAACTTAAATTATTGAATGATCAAATCCAAATCAGATATGAAGAAAATGGTAAGGAGTTGAAAACAATGAACGATCATGGTGGATATTATGAACGCGTTTCAACAAGAGTACTACATTCCGATCATGAGAAATAGCAAATATTTCATTAGACACTATTTGTTGAAATTGTCAGTCAAGTTATCTGAAAGTATTGGACCACCATGGCGCTATGATCGCAATCGTGCTTTGTCTTCTGCGATTTCTGAAGACATTGAGCTTTTTCAATTTTATTTATCACGGTTTGGATTTGACAATTCCAATACCTTACTACAAATGAAAGACATTGACATTGATACAACAAATATGTATACCATCAAAACTGTGCTAGTTGGTGACCATGGGGTTGGAAAATCGACTCTTTTCACCTCTCTCACCAGGGAACAATTTTCGTCAGCAAGACGCCGAATGGGTGAAGAAATTTCCGGAAAGCATGTTGAATTTTTGAACCACAAATTTATCGTACAGTTATGGGACTCTGTTTGTGAGAGCTTCTTTTATATTCCAAAGATAGTGGTGAGATATTGTAATTTTGCTGTGTATTGTTTTTCTGTTTCTAATCGAAAGTCATTATTGAGATAATATCAAAAATATTTGGGTTGGTAAAGTGGAAGAAAAAAGTGATGAGGAAAAGATAGTATCCGTCCTTTTGGGTCTTCGTCGAACGTGCACGTCTGATCCCTCTTGCCTGGAGGAAAGGCAGGTCAGTATTGAAGAAGCGTTTGAACTTGCAAGAGTGACATTAAGGGGAGCATTGTACTTTGAAGTGGATTATAAAAACAAGCTCAATCTTGCCTACTCACTTACGTGGTACACAATTTTAGAGAGTATGTTTAAGGACATTGCAAAGTTTAATTCCGCGCATTTTTCCAAAGCACTTGAAGAAGACCACACACAAAACACAACATCATGGTGGAGCTGTACAATTTAATCAATTCAACACAATACAAGTATTAGTGTGATTTTTGAAGTAACATCTAGTACTCTGTGAAGACTGTTAACAAGGATTGAATACAAATTGGAGAGTTAAAGGAGAATTTTGTGGTTCAGTTTCAAGTTGTCGAATTTAGCGATTTTGATTGCAAGATTTAAAAAAAATGTCCAAGCAGCAACATTTCAACATTTGTATTGTCGGTGGAGGCATGATTGGAAATGCTCTTGCCAACGCTTTAGCAAAAGCCAAGTATACCAATCAATTAAAGATTGCCATGATAAATCCAGCCGTTTCTACAAATAATAATATTTTCGGATCGGGAAATTCCGTTGGTATTAGAACTAGTGCTCTCACTGGTACATCCATGAAATTACTTGAGAAAATTCAGGATAAAAACAAGGAAATTCCCATGACCAAATATTATGGTATGAAGGTGTGGGATCAAGATGGAAACTTTTTGAATTTAGATCCAAAGGAAAATGATTTCAACGGAATTAACTCACCATTTTCAAAGACTGTAAACAATAATAATATAATTTTGAAATCATTGTCATCCCTTGGAAATCAAGTGTTCAAAGTTGGACAGACCATAAATGATGGGCTTGTTAAGAGCGGAATTGGCTTCTCAACTGTGTCGGAACGAAATGACGATGTGATTGGATCTATTGTCGATAACAATGATGTTGTTTTTAGCTTGATGGAGGCATCCAAAAAGCTCGAATCGATTTCACTCTTTGACAGGTCCGAATTGAAAGCTATTGCAGATGGCCAAAGTCCAAATACCAAGAAATTGATCATTCAAACAACTACCGAAGGAAACGAGAAAAAGAACGAAGAAATTTCATGTGATTTGTTGATTGCCGCAGATGGTGCATCCTCATTTGTGAGACAGTTCTGTAACTTTCCATTTTACTCTGTCAAGTACAAGCAACGAGCATTTGTCACAAATGTTTACGTAGACACAGACAGCGTTCCATGCACTGGCAAGAATACGTATTGCTACCAACAATTTCTTGGAGACGGACCAATTGGTATGCTTCCAACCAAACAAGCCAATGTAAAGAATATTATTTGGTCTACTGATCCTACGAGAGCTGTTGCATTGGAAACTGCTTACAAGTCGGGCAACCAACAAAAGGTGCTCGAAGAGATGAATTCAATTTTCAGCAAATTGAAAATTGTTCCTCGAATTTTGGCTGAAAAATCAGAAGTGGTTCAATATTTCCCTGCTGGTAGCTTCCCTCTTCAAAGACTAAATTGCAAAGAGTATGTTCAACCTGGAATTGCCCTAGTTGGAGATGCTGCTCACTGTTGCCATCCAATGGCTGGTCAGGGTGTGAACATGGGTTTTGTCGATGTAATTCAACTTGTTAAGGCAATTCAAAAAAGTGTCAAGTCGGGCTCAGTGATTGGAGATTATTCAATTCTCAAGACAGAATATGAACAAATTCAATATCGAAGAAATGAGCTTTATCTGGATGGACTTGACGCTATTAAGGGAATTTTTGAAGTTGAAAGCCACAACGATATTTTGAAGGGACTTGGCCTTGCAGGTCTTGCAAGAAAAATTGGTATGGATGTCATTAACTCCAATCCATTGAATTTAAAGAATGCTCTCATTGGAACAGCTATGGCTGTCGACGTGGACATGTCACACATTAACTCTATTGAAAATTAACCTTAGTATTTTTTACTTAACGCATTCTCCTCAAGGGAATATTATGAGGAGCAAGTTCAACTTTTTAAAACAATAACGGATTTGTGTTTTTCCAAACCGTCTCCTGACGTTCTCTAAATTAAACCTTTCGACTTCAAAACATTGTTGAGCTTGTGAATGCTGAACAACAATAAGGCAAGTACGCTTTTCTTTCAGATTTAAAAATGAGTGATGATGTTTGTTGTTTGTGAAGGTGTGTTTTCACACAAATGCACCTCTTTCACTTCACAATGATGAAAACGAGAATTTGAATCTATTCAAAGGCGTGTTCATAGCTTTTTGCTATTAATATTCTTTTGATGATGATCATGATGAAAACCTAAACCTACACTCGATAATCTGAGAGGAAAGGTGTGTATCGGAACGGAAACTCTTCCCGCACAAACATCAAACAACACACACTCAAATAATTATTTTCTATTAACTTTTTTAATAAATATTTTCAAGGTTAAATACGCATACACATGATCATCGTATTGATGAAAACAAATTAATTCGAAATTTAATTCTTAAAAAATGTTTCGTTCAAGCGTGAAGGGAGATCTCTCCACTCTCTTTAGAAAGGCTTTACTGAACACGACCACTCATAGCTCATTCGGAACATCCACAACAACTTTATCATCATGGACCATTGGAAAGGGTGGTATGAGCAATTTTCCATTCATGTCCGTTCCATCCGTTAATAAAACGAAAAAGACAGCCTTTAATGGGGATTATCAAACTCCGATTGCTATTCAATTGGCAAATCAAATGAAAACTATTCCTCCGATGGATTTTGCCAAAATATTGAGCGAGCAAGTCATGAAACAGAATCAAGAAGAGGAAAAGTTGTTGGATCAGATTGAAATTGTTGCTAATGGAATCATCTCCATTTCACTCCGTGAAGAATATGTGAAACGAAAAATTATTGAAATTTTCAAGGAGAAGAGGAGACGAGAAGAAATGAATGATACTGCTCTGAAACAAGATAAAATCAAAGTGGTCGTGGATTTTTCAAGTCCTAACATGGCTAAGAGAATGCACGTTGGACATTTGAGGTCTACCATTATTGGAGACTGTATTTGTAGAGTTTTGGAGAGAGATGGAAGGTTTGACGTCGAGCGTGTGAATCATGTAGGTGACTTTGGAACCCAGTTTGGAATGCTGCTCGCCTATATTGAAACTAAGAAAGTGGACATTTCTTTTTTGAAGACCTTAGAACCAGCTCAACAATTAGAAACTGTTGAAAATTATTATAAGGAATCGAAAAAATTATTCGACTCGGATGAACAATTTAAAAGTCTGGCTCATCAAAAAGTCATTCAATTACAACAAGGAAATGATGAAAACGTTCAATCATTGTGGAAATATTTATTGGAGTGTAGCAGATATGAATTCGATTCAATTTATCAACGTCTGGATGTAAAACTTGAAGAAAAGGGAGAATCTTTTTACAAGCCCTACATTCCACATGTGCTAGAAACATTGAAGCCTGTCATTAAGGAGAGCAAAGGCGCAAGATGTATCTTTACCGAAGATGAACCAGGCAAGAATGACTCCTCTTTGCCATTGTCCACAATAGAAACAACGAACACCGAGGATCAACAAGAACCACCTCTCATGGTACAAAAAGCGGATGGAGGTTTCACCTATGATACAACCGATCTGGCCACTCTTTGGTATAGATTGAATGTATCTAAGGCAAAATGGTTGATATATGTGACTGATTCGGGACAAGCTTTACATTTCAAGCATATCTTTAAAGTTGGAGAAATGATGAACTGGATTGATCCGCTAGACTCCAGCAAAGATATCATTTGGCAAGAAAATATTTCAGAAATTGTGAATTCTCCTAAAAAGGTGAGAATTGACCATGTAGGATTTGGAGTAGTGTTGGATGAAGAGAAGAAGAAATTTAGAACTAGGTCTGGAGAAACTGTGAAATTACATGATTTACTGGATGAGGCTGTGAAAAGAGCATTTGATATTATCAAAGAAAAAAGTACGTACAAGTTGCAATTTTTGCTCGTAATCATTTTTCTTTGACCTTTTCATCATGTAACACAAAGATATCAAACGATGTGAAGAAGACGAAAGTGTGAAACCATTGAGTGATGAGCAAATTATGGAGACAGCCAAAGTAGTTGGCTATGGAGCGGTCAAGTATGCAGATTTACGAACCAATCGATCAACAAATTACATCTTCTCCTACGAGAAAATGTTAGATTTTAGAGGAAACACCGCTGTGTATTTACTTTATGCCTACGCTAGAATTTGCTCGATCATTGAAAAGTCTGGAGAAAAAGACCTGCTTCAAGAATTGCAACAACGAGCCGCTTCAGGAGATTTGTCACTGTTTTCTGATTTCAAAAGCTCAAAAGCTGAATGGAAATTGTCCTTAAAGCTTATTGAGTTCCAGGATGTGCTAAATTTGGTCATGGACAAACTGGAGCCTCATTATCTGTGTGAATACTTGTTTGACTTGTCGAACGATTTCAGCGCTTTCTTTAGAGATTGCAAAGTCATTCAGGAGGACAAACAACTGCAACGATCGAGACTGCTGTTATGCGAAGCAACTGCACAAACCATGAAACAAGGTTTTGATTTGTTGGGCTTAAAAACTCTCAATAGACTCTAATTTATTCAATAAATTCAAAATTGTGTTTCAAAATTAAGAAACACTGTGTTAGATTGGCCTAGGGTGTTTCAAATTAAAAAAATGTTGTAATTACAACGGGGTAATAAACAACCACGAGGTTTGTAAGAAGTTGCGCTTTGTTACTGGACGCAGCTAACTAAGCGGGGATAAATAACTAGCTCAAAACTCAAAGGTATTTTCTGGATTTTCTTTGAGCTCTTTCCAGAGTCTATACTCTTCAGTGCGATGGAACCTAGAAAACGAATCAATCATGTTAATGTACAAATCTCTCTTAAGCTCGTGAATAAGTTGGCTTCCTCTCTCTAGGTCAATGTTGCCACTCTTTCTCTCTTGATCAACTAGCTTTTTAGTTTTACCTCGTACATTAACCTCTTCAGTTGAATTCTCATCCAAAAACTTGTCATAGACCATATTAATAACCTTACTTCTTCTCTTTCCTGACATGTCAATAAAATTCTTTTCCATGTCTTGCAATTCATTCCAAAACTTCAAATTCTCGACTGAGTATTCGCTCTCACAAAAATCTTTGAATAGCTGATAACCAATTGCGTCTCTGAGCAAAGCATCAAGTTCATTATTGATAATACTTGGTGCTGAGGATGACCTTGCCACAGGGGCTCGTTGAGGAGACGAATCATCTCCAAAGGCATTTACTTCCTGAGAGATTCTTGGCTTACTGAACTCTGACTTGGATCTTGTGATACGACTTTGCAAAATTGAGGCCAACTTTCTTCGATCGTCCTTCTGATCAAAAGACATGGTTGTTTCTGATTCTTCTGCTCGTTGGAGCACATTTCCACTACTTGACCATGAATCAGCACTGGCAGCACTCAAATTTGATATAGAGTATACTCTTTTTGTTCGCTCAATACTTTCATTGCTTCTGTTCACCTCTCGAGTGTCTGTACCCGTCGTGACATGTCCAACACCGGTAGAAACATCTGTATTCGTGTTGCTGTTCACTACGTGTGTTTCTTGTAACTCAATACCATTTTTTTGTTGTTGCTCTTGCTTGTGTTGATTGTTGTCATCATTGGAAATAAGTGGAATTCCAGTAATAATGGTTGATCTTGTGTCTTCGGTGGTGGACCTTCTCCGCAGAAGATGTAAACTTCGCAGACTTTTCGTCTTTTCTTTAAACCAAGATCTACATTTTGGCAGCGAAAAAGATTGTCTTGATAAATTACATCTTTTGTTTCTAAAACTACCATGGTTGTTCGTTAATGTATCAACAAATCTGGTACCATCAGTAGCACTGTTGTTGACAACCACTGGTGGAGACTCAATAACTTCAGTATTATTACTGGTATTCGTCGAGGAAATGGTAAACCGTGAATAATATTGAGACGGTGGTGCGACTGTGGGTGAAGGTGGTTTTAATGTAGGCGTCAGTGACGATGATTCTGGAGGAATGTTACGGGTAGTGATGGTGTTAGCAGAAGGAATGATCGAAGAAGAGATGAATGGTGTGATGTTTGTAGAAGCGATGGATGAATCAGCGCTTTGAGTATGAGCATGATACGAAGGCATCAAGGTGTTGCTGTGACTCAAAGATTGAAGGGAATGAGAGGTATGGCTGTGATTGGAAGAGGAGGGGAAAGAGTGGTTGGTGAGTGAAGGAGAATTCGTTGTTGTAGTAGTCCATGAATTTTGAAATCGCTGTAAGGACGAGGAAGTGGTTGGATGTGGTTCTTCTTGTTGTTTGGTATTTGTTGTTGTTGTAGATGAAGTGTGGTGAGAGTTTCGTCTGAAACTGCGTATCGGTCCCATACTATACCACCGGCACTCTCCTTGATGATGGTTCTTACTATACAAATTTCCCATTTTAATATTCGTGATGATGAGGATATATATCTCTGTAATTGTGTATGTTGTTATTGAATGTTTCACCGCCCGAGGCAGCGAGTCTGAACTAACGATTGAATTTTCAAAGTCCAATAACGCAATAATAATAACAATACTATTCGTACTAGTCCTAAATTTCAAAAGGTCTCTTCCGCAATTTATGTTCTTGTCGTTAACAATGCCAAGTATATTCTTCTATTATTTCAACAATGACGAATACAATGTGTGTGCGGAAAAGAAGCGCTTCTATAGGGTGAATGGTTGTATCGTTGATGAACACACTCCTACAAAAAGAGCTCAAATACTCCAATGATTCGCTTCAGAGAGAGAGAAACGTGTGCAGGAAAAGAGGACCAGATACGGAAAGAGTTTTTTTGGTGGTTGTTGTTGTGATGGACGGTTGGTCAAACGCCCTTCACGCTCTTCTTCTCGCTGGAGAACAAATTGTTCAAGCTTGCCTGATTTTGACAAAAAGACGATCAGACTGCACTCAAAGACTTTTTAACTACCTAGTGATTGCACAACGAGTGGACTTTTAAGAGGAATAGGTTGAGAAAATTTTGAAACGAAAAGAACGTGTTGGAGTGTCTTTTTTTTCAAAAATCAACAAGTCTTTGCTAGTAACTCTTCTTCTCATCCAATTTGTAAGTAAATAATTCCTTCGCCAACAACGAAGAAGCGAGTAATCGAACTACTACATATTCTCATCTGGAATGGCAAGGCATGTGATCTAATAGAGCCAGTGCCCATCCTTTTCAGATCGAGTCGAAAAATTGAGAATGATACCTGACATGATTACAGTTTGTCATTGCTTGATTTCGCCAAACTCACCATTTGGAGATTTGTATTGCCGTTTTCTTGAACGATGGTTGTTGGAACGAAACACTCGGGTCGTCGTTAGAAGGTTGCCTTATTTCAAATAATTGGAAATGGAGAATAAGGACGGCTCAAGCATGAATGAAGCGTTTATCTCATTACCATGTGTCGGGGAGTGGTGGCTAAGTAATTCAACCAATGATCCATTCTTCCTTTGCGATTAACAAATTAATTTCAAACTACCGGTAAATGAAACAGATACAAATTTGTTGTTATTTTATATCTCTGGTGTGCACTCTATCTGTTCGTAATGCTTGAGGAAGCTGTGTAACACAATTTGCCTTATCTCTGTTTCATCGCTAGCAAGTGGGAAATTTCTCAACAGCTATTCGACAACAAATTGTTCAGAAGATTGTTTTGTGCAGTGCTTTTCTATTGTTCAACCTGTAGAGTGTAAAGATGTATCGACATGTGCTGTGCTTTTCTACAGTTCCCATGTTGGCACAACTTTACCATACATTCCAAAAAGTATTTTGTATTTTCTACAAATTTAGAAAGATCAACCGGTAATTGTCCTCGTTCTATGATGATTTTAACAAACACAATTCGATGGACACCATGCCATCATACAATTTATTGTATTGTATCTAAACTCTCTCTTGTATATGTACAAATACATTCGTTTTTCAAAATTATATTCTTCTCGGAAGCACATGACCATATTCCGTGGTCCATGTACTGATATTGTTACATGTGTGTGTATGTGAGGTTGAAGGATCCGAATGCACATGTGCATGTAACAATGTGATCCTCTCAATCATGATGCACTCGTTGTTATCCATATCACGATGGTTTACTGTATTGGAGAGGCTATTGCCATTGGTTGGACTGTTTGAATTCCATTCAAAGAAGAAGAACAAGATGCCGAACAAGTTGAGGTCGAGCTTGTACAAGGACTGGATACTTTTTGATTCTTGTCCAGCATGCCACCACCAACATTCGACACGACAATGGAAGGAGGAGGAGGAGGATTTGCAGTTGTTGTTACTTTCGTGATTGGATCTTCATCCTCTCGATTCAATATAAATTCCAAACACATGGGATAGACTTGAGGGAAAATGGGTAAATCTTTGATTTCTTCATAGAATTGAGGCCATCTTTTGATGAGAAGAGCAACAATGAGTGGAAAATAGACAATGAATGAATGAATGAATGAATGAATGAATAACAAAAAAATAGCCTTGTCTTTGACTTACCTTTGTAAACCCATGTCATCCTTCAATTCATAAAATCTTCGTTTCAGAGTGGACAGAGAACATCCAATTTGATTACATGCTTGTGTTTGAGACAAGTGAAGAACCCTCAAAATTTCTTCTTTGGTGATGGAAGCTTGTGCTCGTCGAGTCTTCTTTTGTTCCTCACCATTTCTCGAGACAAAGCTGACAGATGTCTTTTTAATGTCAAAGACAGTGGTGAATTCTTTCAGTTTGGAGTTTGTTTTTCTCTTAGATTGTTTTTCAATGCCATTTGAACTTGTCAAGTTTGTTTTGGATGATGATGATTTACCAAGATTCGACGAGGACAAGGTCGTGGACGAAGTGGTAGAGTTTCTTCTCGAATTCATGGATGAATTGTCTGGAGCATTGATGTCTTGGCATCTGACAGCATGTATCGGTGATGGCGTTGTCATATTCATTCGACCCACAACAGCAACACCACTGTTATTATTGCTGTTATAGTGATGCATCGTCGTGGGTGTATTCATCAGTGATGAGGAAGAGGTTGATGAACACATTGTTTTGGTTTGATACGTTGCTTTTGTCATTTCTTTGCGCGAATATAGGTTGTTTTTTTTGTTGTTTCGGTTCGTTGGTTCGTTTCATTAATTGTTGTTTAACAAGAAGATGCAGAAAGCCAAACACAGGTTGTCTCTCTCAAATAATACACATCTCGAAGTTGCCGGACCGTTGACTTCTTCTGCAACAGCTGACATAAATACGTCAGAGAATTGTGCCCAAAAGGACTGCACTTTTAGAGCCAATTCACCGTTTCAGCGCAGATAATGAGTCTATACAAGTCTGTTGACATCTCTCGAATTGTTGTTGCTCTCTTCAGCCGGGATTCTTTCGTTTGTCAGACAGAAAGGAAGAAAAATTTTGTTCAACTTTGAAAAATTCGCTGTGATTGGATTGTACGAATCGTATTATCCATAGGCATGCATATTTGATACAATTTCGTAAGAAGGGAGATGCGACCATGTATGGAGTAGCTAAGGATGAATGAACCCTAGCGTGTTGTTAAAGAAGAAGAAGAAGAAGGATACTTCTACTGTTGTAGTTGATGTTATTGTTTCAGCATTGGTTGTTTTATGAACTGTTAGCTTCTAGTTGGTCATGTGGAAGAGCTTTGAATTTCATACAACCGTTTCGTTTGCATCATGGAGTGCGTGGCATCTCAAATTTGGACCTCCCAGTACCTGAACAACAAATAAATTAATAAATACCTGCGTAGACGATTTGGAAAAGCCGTTGTCGCTCCAGGCACTACTTTTACTGTTTTGTTAAGGAATATCTCAAAGAGTCAAAAGAGATGGAACAGTTTCATCGCTTCATCAGAACTGGTCATTGATTCTTTTCTGCTCTCAAAGAATCCTGTTCTATTTCAGTCGTTTGTGTCCGCAAGTTTCTCTCCCAATAACGTTATTGTGTTGTTTATTCATTGGTTCAATCCATTTTGTTTACAGTAATGCTTCTTCTTGAGGTTCTTCCTCATTCAAAATAAAAGCCAAACTCATGGGATTCACTTGAGGATAAATCTCCAAGTGTTTCATTTCATAGAGGGATTGAGGCCATCGCATTAATCCAAATTCTTGTTTCAATTCATAAAATCGTCGTTTGAGAGTGGAAAGACTGCATCCAATGAATTTACAAGCCATGGTTTGAGGAAATCTCAAGACACGAAGCATTTCAGCTTTTGAGATCGAGGAAGGCTTCACACGAGGTCTCTTGGAATGAATAAATTCCTCAAACGAAATAAATGTATAGAAATTACCATTGGAATTGGAATTGGGATGACGTGAGGAAGCAGTACTCGGGTGTTGATTCTCGGAATGGGAACTTTCATCCATTAAGAGATTTGAATCAATGAGTAATTGCTTGTTAGGTGTTTTCGCCAATCGAGATGCATTGACCATACCGCTTGAAGTGGGTGAAGAGGAGCATGAAGAAGAAGACGACGACGAAGAGATGGAAGAATGTACAAATGATACAACACTGCTATTGTTGTAAGTGTTTCCTCTCACCCTCGTTCGCTCGCAAAGCCTCGACGTTGTATGGTTTGATCTTGCGAGTATTGAAGTTGAGTATGAAGAAACGGATGATTTGCGGTATGAAGGTCTAATGTTACTGTTTGTGGGGTTCGTGTAATTCGTATTCGGATCGAGAGATGAAAGTGGAGTTTGGGTTTCATTACCCTTTCCAGAGGTTGGCTTTTGATTCAACGAGTTGAAAGAGATTGAACTGTTGGATGATGTTTGGGGTTCAACTGTAGTTGCAACTGTAACAGTGGTGGTGGTGTTGGAGGGAGTTGTTGAAGGGGTGGTTTCTTCATAATATCTGCTGATCTGTATTCGTGGAATGTTGTGGCCGTGCTGCTGAGCTTGTATTTCTCGTAATGGCAAGAAGTGTTGCTGATCGTCGTTGAATTGTTGTTGTTGTTGAGCATAGCAGGCTGCTTGTAAATCCATGTTTAAGGTTCGAGGTTGGTCCAAAAACAGTTGATGACGAGGGAAATGTTCAACGTCATCATGGTGGTTGTCGTGATGGGCAAAATCTTTTTGACTCGTCGTGCACAGGCCAAGAGAAGAATTCTTCACCTTTTCTGTTCTCTGATCTGCAACGTATGATATTGTTGGCTGTGTTTGTTCCAACAGCACCACATAATTATAACTTGAATGGGTTCGTTCATGACGAGGTGATGCTGTATGGATCTGATTTTGGTCCAAAACAGTACATTGCGAAGGAAAAGCCTCGGTACTACTATTGTGTGGACGACCATTGTTGTTGTTGTTATTTCTTTGAACAATGTAGGAGAAGTGGCCATTTAAAGATCTTTGATTTGAATCCATGTTCGTCGTTGGCAGCTTGTAAGACATCTTTCTCGATTTTTGAATTCCATGATAGTGCTCGTGCGGGGTGGTGTTTGGTTTCGAACGAGTAGAGGTCACTCCAAAACTATTGCTACTACCACTACTACTACTTGTCGCTCGTTGAGAATGGCTCATCACAACGGTATCAAAAGAAGGTAGCATTACGTTTGCAGCAGAGGATGGAACCATGATTAGACTCTGTTTGAGTTGTACACAATAACAATCGTGTGATTCTTTTTCTTGTTGTTCTTCGAGCTTCATTGGGAGATCTCAGAGTTGCATTTATCCCTCACCCCATTCGTTACGCCAACTAGTTCAACTACACGGCCAACTACAAGAGCCACAACAGTGAATTTGCCATTCATTTCCTAAATGGAATTTCCTCGTCATCAAAGATATCGTTCAAAGACCTTTGTTGTAAAATAATTTTGCATTTTTGGGCTGAAAGAACTTTAATGTAGAAACGGTCAAATCTTGTGTGCTCGACGAATTCATCTCGACAGTAACAAATTTTTGATCTCTTAACATTGTATTCCTCAAATCAAAGAACGTTTTAGGGCTCTGAGAGGATGTCGTCTAGTACTTGCGGACCATTTTATGATTTTTGAGCTAAAAACTGAAAGTGGAGCTCTATTTCGAAAGACGTACCTGCGAGAAGGAACATCAAGAATTTTCAATGTCGAAAAGAGCAATTCCAATTTAGGCGATTGGAACGTGTTGCACCAATGAGGATAAATACATCTTGTACATTGAAAAATCAATAAGAGAGTGAACCAACCTTTCATACATTTCTCATCTTTCATTACATTAGTCGTGTCATTGTAATTAATGGTTAAATGTAATAAAGATGTGAATGGATTACGCTTGGTACGTCCACGATACAAAAACCATTTTCAATTTAACTTTCCCAAGTCATGACTCGTCATCATCTTCATGAGTTGAACCATTCCATTGCATGCCTACAGTTACTATTATCATGTTGAGTTGTTCCATTATTCCATTCAAAATGATATTGTAATCATTATGTATCAGTGTAATACGCACGCACTACCGTTGTTTTGGAATGATCATTAGCACCCATTAACATGAAACTTTCAAAGAATGATCACAAAAGGTTTAAGGAAAAAAATGAGCACCTCAATGACGCCCGAAATGTGGAAGGCTGCTTGCGGGTTCACGAGAGCTGTTGTCGGCTCATTGAGTGCAGTATCAAGTTTTGGATTTTTGTTATATGTGATTGTTGTGTTTAGGAGGAGATTTTTTAAACTGCCAAACGTGAGATTCTTGACCTATCTTCAGTTGTATATCCTCGGAGCATCGTTGAATCATGTCCTTACGGTATATACGGCTTATTATTCGGATCAAGATTGGGTATGCTTAACGCAAGCATTTATAAATCAGTACGTATTGAAAGCTTCCTTAATCGTTTGAGAAAATTCCATCATTATGCTCGAATAGATACTTTTCCGTTGGTTTTTGTTGCTGGAGTGTTTTGATATCTATTTTCATGTTTGCAACCATTGTTCTGAGACGACTTACAACGAAGAGGTCCATTAGGATATTCGAAATATGTTCTCATGTCTTTACATTCTGCGCTACAGGTTTGCTTTCTGGTTTGCCTTTCATTGGAGACTCGTATGGTAATTCTGGAAAATGGTGCTGGATTAAATCAAAAGACACTGGATTGATTATGACATATGCTGCTTTTTACATACCATTATGGTGTGGAATTTTTGTCATTTTGATTCTCTATTTGGCAGTTCTTGCAAAAGTGTGTATGAACTATCGAAAAGGTAAGCGTATGCGGTTGTGTGCGATGCCATATATCTGTAACAATTTGTCTACTTCCATAGTCAAAAAATTTGAAGAGAAGGAGGACGAACGAAGAAAATCACAAAGAATTAAGGCCTACTCTAAATTATTGGCGTATCCTCTTATGATGATTTTGCTGTACATAATCCCGACAGTCAACCGAGTGACTAGTATATTTGTGACAAATAGTGACTATAATAACGTCATGACTCTCATTCATACAATAATCTCTCCACTTATTGGCTTCTTTAATGTGATAGTTTACTTTCTGAATCCAATGGCAGGAAAAAATATGTTGAATATTTGTAAGATGTGCTGCTTGAAATGTTTCACAAAGGATAGATATACAGAGTACAAGTGGAAAGTTGAAAAAAATAGCGAGAAAAAAAGGGAAGCAATTATTTGAGCTCCTTTGGTAATCTACCTTGGCGAAGAGCTTCCTTATAGTACTCAATTTCTTGTAGAGAAGTAGCCTTGAGTATTGCGTTTTTGATTTTCGAAATATCTTCTGATGAGAGACCACTGACAGGCTTCTTTTCAGTTGTCGCCTCTGCTTTGGTTCCAACATTAGGTGCTTGTTGACCTGTGGGTGCAGTTCCTAGAATATTTTGAGCCTCCGGTGTTGGCTTATCCAACGTTCCAAATACATGTTTGGCTCTTTCTCGTTCAATTTTTCTAACTTTAACAAAATCAATTACCTTGATAGATGGAACAAGAAAAATGATATAAATTCTGTAATTTTCTTTTTTGATCACTAGATTATCAAGTAATGAAATTGTTTTGAGTTTCTTAAACGATTTTAAACCATTCAATTCGTATAGCTCTCGGAAATTATTATTTGTTAGTATGAGTGTTTCCAGGCTCGGAAGGTTCTTCTCTCCGAGTTTCTCATCAATATAATTTAATCTATTGTTGTTAAATAATATAGTATGTAATCTCTTCAGTACTGGAAAATTCTCCATCCTAGAAATTTCATTATCACTCAAATCCAATACATCAAAACTATCCTTTGTCGTACCAAGATTTTCCACAGCTGCTATTTTATTTCCTCGTAAATCCAATTCTCGTTCCTTGATTGGATTAAAGAATTGTGGTGAGGATGCTATAAGTTCGGGTGAAAGTTTGACCATATCGTCAGGAATGAAGTATGTGCGTGATGGCGGCGTTTGTTGTTGATCAATATTTTTTCACTGCCAAATTCGTTTGTTTTTCATTGTTGAACCACCACAATTCTCAAAAAGCTTTGAAGAAATCAAAAGAAGCTCAGGAAACCAAGCTTTGAAGAAATCACTCAAAACGAATTGCTTTTGACTGGCTTTCACAACATCAGCATCCATTCAAAAACATCACGAACGACTTGGAACTTGAATTCAAATAGAATCTTCATTCCAACTCGCAAAAAAATTAATGGTTCGATCTTTGTGAACCACGCACAACAACAAGACCGCCATCAAGCAACATAGAGAGCAGCTGATTTTCGGAATTTCGAGATCTTGCTCCATGAATATTGAATAATTCACTTTTCCTCTGACAACTATTATTACAACGTTTATAACTCCCAATAATTTATTTGCAAAATGAAGCTTTTCAATTTTTGTCCTCATTCTCCGAAACACAATAGTGTACGAAACATGAACAGAACCTCCACAAAATCATTTCAAAAACACATCCTCTCCATTCTATCTTTCCTAATTTTATTTTCCATTTCAAATCTATTTTGCATGACATCCAAGCGAATCATTGAGATACCGTCAACTTTTGGAAAAACAGAAAACGTCACCTCAAGCAAAGCATTCAGATACAACACGTTTGAAGACACAACACTTGCAATTGCAGTGAATTTTAACGCAAATGTTACACCCATTCAAGTGATGGCAGAATCTCTTCCTGTTTCTCTGTATAATTTTTATCTTGTTATCGGAAATCATCCCCCTTCCTTTACATTACTGGGAGTATATCGATTAACAATCCGCAATGTCAACGTTAGTGATGTGCAAAACGACATTACGTTAGATATAACCTTAAGATCTCCATTTGGAATTTTTAATGTCAATCCGAGCACTGTTGGATTTTATAAGCTCAACTCGTATTATTTCTCACCGACCAATTCAAGAGCATTTTATAATTATGCAAATTTCAATACTACAGTTTTGAGTTTTTGCAGGAATACTCGTGTCACTTCATGCGACATTATTTTTGGAGTATTTGGAGTTGAAAAGGATTACACAACAGCATCATTTGGAGCCCTTCAAACTGTGTATGGCCCGAGCTCTTTCAGATATGTCGTTGGCATCTCATATATATATACACAAACCTTAACATTAAGTTTCAAAGGACAGTTTCCATATTCAGAGCCACCAACCTTTAATCTTACCACCTACACTCCCAACAGCACTGCCGAATTACCGTTGAATTATTACATGTTAAAAGCGTTCAACTATGAAACCTCTCATCCTGAGCCAGCTGTTTTTCAACAGACTTGGGACTATTACTTTGGATTGAGCCTATACTTTACAGATTATTCAGGAAAAGAAGTTATCGTGGATGTTTCCAAGCTTGAATGTGCTTGCAAATCATCAACCTCACGGGTTTTCTCAATATATTATGGTGCTATTGTGAATACTCTCAATGGCAAAATTACTTGCAGCGGGAGAGGAACCAAGTCTTGTCGACAACTTGCCATTGTAGCACCACAACCAAATGTTAACACTTTATACGAAGGAGTTTCATACATGGCCACACTTCGTAGAGGTTCCTCGAATTATTACAAATTTTCTGTCCAACCCTATGAAGTAGTCTACATTGAGATTTATGCAATTAGTGGAAATGGATTCTTAAAGCTCAGAAAAGATCACATTCCAACCTCAAGCAATTATGACCTGGAACGAGTGATCACCTATGCGTCCTCATCACAACAGATTGTTGGAAGTGTGAATTACCCACCAACAATGTATTACATTGCCATCTCAAATGAATACTCATCAAGTATGGAATATGTGCTCAAAATACGGACCACCAACTATCAAGATGTTTGGAGCAAGAAGCTGAGCCCACTGATGTTTTTTAGTATCATGTCCATTTTCTTTTGTGTATTGGCAGGATTAATTATTTCTGTGGTGATACGAAGAAATCGAAGACCTCCTCCCAAAGAGTATCATGTGCCAGATATTCAATTGGATACCTTCTCAATGACTCCTCCGAGTAGTAGTAGTACTTCAAATACTACTCAATACTATGAACCACATCACACCATACAGCCCAATGGAGGTGGTACTAATAATAATAATAATGGTTTTATTCCTCTGCGAAATGTGTGAATCCTATGAACTGAACCTTAGAGAACAGAAGAGGATGGCTTCACCAATTATTCAGGAGAAGTGTGAACTTGGTTGTTTTTAGATTTGCGATCTCAAAAAAATTGAGTGTATTGAAATTTTGTGTTTTTAAAAGATGATGATCGAAGCAAATACAAACTATGAAGCATTGGCAACATTCTTTCGAACAGCTCCCGAAGAAATGTTGTGTGAAATTATTTCATTTATTCCATTCCGAGACATGATTCACATGTTTCTTCTCTCAAAACACTATTACGAATTATTGATAAATAGTGAAGTGTTGTTTCACAAATTGTGTCTTGTATTTTGCAAGATCAATGACATACCATTGAGTGTTATTGATCATCAAATGAAATTACTTTTGAAAAACGATGAATTTAATAATAACAAAAATCATAATAATCAAAATAATATTACCAACTTGGAATCAAATATTGAACATCAATCCATTCGAAACTATTTACAAGTTCTCAAACGTATCATTCGAATGCATGGCTATTCGTGGGATACTGAATTCACCTATTACCAAAACTCAACAAAATACTCCACAGTTTATACGTGTGATGAACGAACATTGTGTGTCTTGGAAAAACCCTCTCATGGAGATTTTGTAACTGTGAAAGCAAGAAAATTATTGATTCCAGGTCATGTCTATTCATGGAGATTTGATCTTGAATCTTACAAACCAGAACAAGTTTCCAATGGTTTCAAAGTAATGCTTGGTGTTGAGTCTCTGGATTTCTTTCCATTTGGAGAACAAAGTAGCGGCGATGTCATTGCATGGCAAAGTGCATCCAAAGGTTGTGCATTAATTCTTGGTCCAAAAGAAGTCATTCGAAGTGCATGTTCGGATAAAACAGATGCCACACTAAAACTTCAAACCATGAAGTCTGACGAATATACTGAATTCCAAACAGGTGATTCCATTATTGTGGAATTTGATTTTCGTGTGAAAATTGTGACAGATCCACAAGCAGAAGCATTCCGTGAAAAATATCGAAAGAAATTGAACACAACTTGTCGATTGGAAAAGTATTTCTCTGGGAAGCAGACGATCACTTCTGGAGATGATGCTCGAGGAAAGATTCGATTTTCCTTATTACGAAAAAATCATTTCGATGGAGACAAACCAAAGATTCACAGATTGACAGAGTGGTTGGAATTTGGAGAGTCCCGTTTTGCACCCTACGTGCCAGCATGTAGTGTTAATAAGCATCAAAGTATTTCCATTCATCCCAATTTTTATGATCAATAAAAAGATTGTTCCATCAAGAAGCAATGGTGGTTCTTCTTGTCAGAAGAAATTGTAATTACAAAAATTTGATTTTTGATAATCGTTTTGAAAAAATGGCTGAAAGCGAATCATCATGTGTTTCATCATCAACATCATCATCGGCTGAGAGAAATCAACACGTTCCCATCCTTTCTCTACCAGAAGAAGTACTTGAATTTATCTTCTCCTATCTGGGTATTGTTCCGTTAATGAGAAGCGTTTATCCTTCCTGTAAGAAATTTAACGAAATCGTTAGTGATGGAAAAGCGTACTGGAACTCGGTAGAGTTATTCCCTTGGAATGAAGGCTTTGTGGATGATGACAACTTTAAACTTTATGATTTTGATGATCCAAAGAAGAAACCACGTTCAATTTCATCAAAAGCCTGGATCATGTTGTTTGAAATGATTGTTGCCAAGTTCGGAGATAAATTCCGTGATGTTGGCCTTTTCTTCTCTACTGATGGATTCCCTTGCACACCCGAAGCTTTTGAACTTGTCAGCAAACATTGTTCAAATATTAGATCTCTTAAAGTTGATGCTGTTACTTCTGCCAGAGATGCCATGACTTCTACTTTGGTCAAGGTTATTTCCAACTGTTCTGCCACTCTCCAAGAGTTAACTATCCAAGGAGGTTTTCCAAAGAATGATTTTGTGCAAATTTCACAAATTATTGCTCCAACCATTAAAGCACTCTATATTGAAGAAAAGGAAGAGACCAATAGTTTGAGTTTGAGTGTTAATGGACAAGAAGAAATCATGTACAAAGAAATAGAACACTTGTACTTGGGAAGTATCCGATGTGACAAGGCTCTCTTCAGAAGATGTTTCAAAGAGAGTACCAAGTTAAAGTCCATTGTATTTGATCAATGTTATTTGAATATTGAAGCACTGACAGAGTTTTTGGCAAGCAGCGAAGCCGCAAGCAACATTCAACATTTAGAAATCTTGTACTGCACCCTTGACACAAATGTCATCCCAAGCATGAACATGTGGAGTCGAATTTTTGAAAAGTGTACCAATCTTGTCAACGTTATGGTTTACGCCTGTACTGCTGGAACAGAAAAAGGAAACAATATTGATTTGTGCTTTAGAGATGAGGATATTACTGCATGTATCGATAAGTGTAAAAAGTTGGAAGTGATTGATATCCGTAACTGCAATAATGTGGATGGAAAATTCTTTAAAGAGCTTCCCAAGGCAAAACGACTGGAAACACTCATTGTGGAATCAAAGAATTGGAATTTGTCGAATGTTCTTCCAGAACAAAACTCTCCAGTTTATAGTCGTTCTTTGAAGAATTTATGTATGTACGGAGAGAAGTGTGATAGTTCTTTAGAGAAGCCAATTGCTGACATGTTCCCCAAGCTTGAGTTTGTTCATCTTGACAAATTTGCATAAGTAAATATTAACTCTTCTATTCTCAAGCAGATGTGTGATCTGGCATGTGTCAAGATAAATGAAATTGTTCAAAAATTTAAAGACAATGTCCAACAGAGCGCTCAACAACTATGAATCAAATTTCTTTTTTTTCTTTGGGCAAAACTCATCGCTTTCCAACAGGACCGAGCTGTCCTGCGTATGGAATCTTTTTAACATTTGAAACATGTCACCAGAAAGTTGATCAACTGGAACAGGTAATACGCATGGCTCAAAAAATAAGGACGCAACTTCATGAATCGATTCCATATCGACATCAGAGGCCATTGTGCTTCTGAAAAATAATCGTCCATTTCCGACTTCAAAGTCATTTGGACATTCAATAGGAGGCAGTTCAGCATCTTGATTATCATCTTCCATTAAGCCATCAGAATCTTGTTGTGTTAAAGCATGAAGTTGTGACAGAAAACTGCTTGTACTGATAGCTGTATTCATTGAATGAGTATGGCAAAGAGCATCCCTATGATATTCAATTTTGTGAAGTAGATAATGATCATATTCAGATAGAGTGCTGAAAAATGGCGCTTTACAGCACTCACACGTATAAATATAGTAAGGCTGGTCTGCAACATATAAAACGCTAGAAAATGGTTCCAAGGCCAAGTTCGCATTTGACGCTTTTGGTCTCTTGTTCTTGGATGGTCTCGTCACAAGACTCAATTCTGTACACACTGATTCTTCATCTTGGCAAGGGTCGTAATATTCATTTGAGCATTGAATGGTGATATCTACAAAGGTGTTACTACTATACACTAATTGTTGTTGGTTCACTAGACGTGTTTTAAATCTCTAAACAAGTTCAAAAATAATTGAGTGAGAAGAGGCGATTGTATGGCCATGCAATGACTTACCTTTTTACAATTTTTCAAAATGTGATAATTCTCAGCATCAAAATTCCTAATGTAAGCTGCAATTTCCTCAAAACCCTGTTCTCTTGCAATTTCCTCAGGTGTGGTGTTGTCAATAAGTGGAGAACATCGTAACTGTTTGGTTGCTCCTAATTTCAGCAACCTTCGAACCACTTTAAATTTTCCATTATATGAGGCAATCCAAAGAGCAGTCTGTTGGTTGTGAATTTTCCAGCATATGTTTTTAATTTCGAAAGTACTTACTTGCTATGTAAAATAGATCAATAACAATGATTGAAAATTATTATGAAAACACATACTTTTAACTATAGATATACAATGTCAGTAAAATTTCGAACAATTCTCGAAATTGCGTCAATAACTTACACTCTATTAAATATGGTCAAGATCGAATACTGAACCATACATCAAACACTTACTCCACTGTTGGCAGTATCAATACTTGCTCCATGTTTCACTAAAAACTTTACAATACTGTAATGCCCTTCATTGGCAGCATTGTACAATCCTGATTCATCGTATCTATCTTTTGCATTAATGTCGACTCCTTCTCTAAAAAGCTTGTACATTTGCACAAAATTACCATCCGAACAAGCCTGAACAAACTTCTTGACTTTCTTCTCTCTCACATCGGGATCCCAGTCTTCAAACTTTACACCACTTGTGGCTTTTCTCTTGTGCATTTTCAATCGATTCTCTCGTCGAATAATATTATTGTAGAATCCAGTCTGATTTGGTGTTAATAATACATTACTTGTTGATGATGAAGCCAATAATTGTTGTTGATCCGAGACCACTAGTTGATGATATAAACTTGTTGTCGGTTGATAACTCTGATTATCGTTCATCCGATCAGAGCCTTCATCATCACTCATCCTCTCCATTGGTTGCCACCGTGATATTTGTAACTGTTGTTGCTGTTGCTGTTGCTGTTGCTGTGGTTGGACATGCGTTGGTTTGTCCTCACTGGTTTCGTCCTCTCTCCGATGAGAGAGTTTGCTGTGCTGCATTTTTTGCTTTTTGAAATTCATCCTTATTTGGACAGAGTGCGACTGTTTCATTGTGAACTGTTTATGAAGCTGCTCTCAACGACTTTCACACCCCATAAACTGTTTCTCTCCACAGGTTTAAAAGCTCATAAAGAATTCAAAGAAAGATCTCAACTTGTTGGACTTGCATTTATTCTGCTAATGGAATTCGATGAATAATTTCAAAAGGTGAAACATTATCTTCTCCTCGATTCATGATACAAATTTCCTTCACCATAAAACTCACACTCTTCCAACTATCTTGAAAATCTTTCATAAAATCTTTCAATTTGCCACTTTCAAAAACTCCTACACTTAAATGAGGATTAAAACGACCTTTTCTCACCAATGCATTGCAATAAGGAAATGGTTTCATGACTGCTTGTTGTAATTCTCTTAATTGTTCAATTGCGTATTGATCTGGTTCTAAATGGATGGTTCCCAACCCGTCGTCTGTTAAATGTTGAATCGTGTCAAAGTAATGGAATTGAGACAGGGTGATTTGAAATGATTTGATTTTTGAGAGAATTGGCCTCAGAATGTCGAGTCCTTCGTCATAAAATTCTTTTGGAATGAATGGATAAAGGATACAGATGTGAGGTTGAGGCCATCGTTCAACTGTCATTGAGAAATTATTCAAAATACATGTTCAATTACGAAATTCCAATTGTATGTTCAATATTTCAAATACAATTCAATGGACCTACCGTTTGCATACTTATTTCTAATAGCTTGAATGGGCTCCCAAACCTCTTCGGGAGGAATGATACACAACACTGATTTTGGAGTTTTCAGCGTACTTTCGGAAAGAGAGGTTGGAATGGATTTCGGAACATATCGTTTCACAGAAGATAAATCTAAAATGTTATTTTCGTTGATAGATGCAGAAGCAATTGGTGTCGCTTTTTGCTTCTTCTTATTTGTAGAATGTTGTTTTTTGTTGCTGGAAGACGATCCTGTCATGAATTTGTTTTTTTTCAAAATTTGAGGATCTTTCCAGAAATTGAATTTATGAACGATTCTTTCCAAGTTCACTCTTCAAATTGAAAATGAAATCTGTCAATTTTAACGATAATCTTTAACTTTACTGTTTTTCAAATGATGAATAAGGTATTGTTGTCTCTGTTGAGACCATTGTTCCTATTAATAAATTATAAATTGAATCCAAATAGACTCCACTTGTAACAATTTTTGTAGTGTTCTCGTTCAGAGCTATCAAAAGCTTTTCCGCAATAGTAACAAAATTTGGTGTTGCATTGACTACATTGCATGGAATTACAGCCTCGTGTTTTTTGAATTACGGCTCCACAGGTAGGGCATACTTTAGCGCCTTGGTCTTTCATCCATTCTTTGAATTGTTCGTCTTGTTTAGATTTGTTTCTTGCATCATTTTCCTCACAAGTCAGCCCAGGATGATACTTTTGCACGCATTTGGAGCAGAAGTCCCAACCACAATGAGAGCAATGTACTTTAACAGATGGCATTCGTTTTCTAAAGCTTGGTATTGGGCTTAATAGTTCGCTTCCTCCACCAGTTTGAGAAGATTGTGCTTGAGAAGCATTGCTATTACTAGCAGTTGACACAGATGATGGCTCACCTCCAGTTGGTATCTCTTGCAATGGTAAAGCTTTGTGAGATAACATCTTTGGAGACATGGGCGATGCCATTCCGAGTGATGGTGTTGCTTCAACAATAATTGCGTTTCCACATTTAGGATTAGGGCACCACAGTAAATCCTTCATTCCTCCCAATGCTCTCTTGAGAGAAAATTCTTCGTACTTGGCAAACAAATCGTCGTCTTCGGTGTGAGAGGAGGCGTCATGATCTTGTGAAATTTTGTTCAGCTTTCCTTGATTCAAAATTTGCTTGACTTCCATCACAGATAAATTTCTGTTGCATTCTGGACATTGAATACTGTCTACTTCTCCCTTCTCAATTTTGTCCTTAACGTACTCAAAAATACATGCACTGCAAAATTTGTGTTCACACTCTTCCATGAAAAATACAGTTCCATCTGTTGGTTTTTTGTCTTCATAACAAATGGCACATGTTATAATCGAGGAATCATCATAGTACGATGTTGGAGGTGTTGAGTCAACACTGTCCTCCCCACTCAACTTGAGATAATTTACCACATTCTCCGTTTTCAAAGATGAGCTCATACTCAAACTGAAAATATCGTTGTCAAATGATAATTCTGTATCGTTTGTCAGCTCCTTCTCTTTGCTGGAGGTTGAACTCGTACCACTTGTACCTGATATTGTTGAAAATATTGAATTAAGCATTGAATTGAGAGTATCCAAATTATTGTCTATTGTAGATGGTGAAGCGGACGGCGTCTTATTGATGCTCATTGCAGCCTTCTTTTGTAACTTGCTGGGATGATTTTTCATATATTCCACATTCTTTTCAAGTAGTTCTCTGAGCATTGCATGCTTGACCCATCCGTCGTAAGAGAGCCAACCTTCCTCATTTGTTCCCTCATTGATGCTTCCTTCTATCATTTCTTTGTAAGGATAAAATTCCAAAAAGCATAACGACTTGCGAATTTCTACAAGTTTACACATTTTCTTAATTTGCTCTTCTCCCACCATGTCATGTCTTAGATCCAATTTGATGATGGAACTTTCATTGTTTTGAATGAGAGCATTAATAATCAAGTCACATCCCTGGGGCGTGATACCTGTTTGTGCAAGATTAATGTATGTAAGTGATGTGTTACGTATTAGCATGCCTGCTAAAAATTGAGCACCAATGAATCCAATATCCTTATTGAAACTTAAATCTAGTTCTTTGACAGCAAAGGCGCTATTCGACATTTTCTTGGTTTGCAGCTGAGGTGCCGAGTTCATAAATGCATTCGAAATGTATTGGGCACCTTTCGAAGTGATCTTGTTTCCACTTAGATTCAATCTTCGGACTGATGATCCAACTGACCATGGCGGTAATAATGTCCATGCAATACATTTAACATCTTCATCTCCAAGGCCAAGAGAAACCAAGTCCAGTCGTACCAATGCAATTCCTTTTTTAATGTGCTCTGTGTAAAGATCTAAAATGTATGGAACTGGGTCAATGACAGGATATGGGGTCGTAGAGGATGATGTGGGAACATAGGATTGTGTTTGTCTACACAACGACACATATCTCTCAATGATTCTATATTCAATTCTTCTTTGATGATGTTTTTCGTTTGGTATTTGTTCTAAATCATTGATTGAGAAAACTAACTGATAGGGATCATCCTCGAGAGTAATTTCTACAATTGATATTAATTGAGGACTTGTCGTAGCTACATTAGGATTCGATGGTACCGTTAATTTTGATGAGTTTTGTGAGGTATACATGTTATTCGACTGTTTGCCAACACCGTAATTTGTTGAGGGAGGCTGTAACAATTGTTGTTGATCATTTGCAGGTACAAGTCTAACTTTCACTGATTTAACAATATGAACTGAATTATAGAAATGGTCGTCATATAAATATGGATAAAAGAAAGCCATTTGACTGTATGGATATTGTGAGGTTGGAAACGAGTGTTTTTGATAGCTATTTAGGTCATTAATAGGAACTGGTGGTGGAGGCATTACAAATTGAGGATGTTCTTGCCCGGTGACTGGTGTTCGTCCTGGTTGACCTAAATATCCACCCTTCACTTGACTTGTTGAGGTATTTGTAAGTAATACCCCAACACTACTATTATTTTCTGGCAATGGTTGCTGCTGTTGATATAAAGAATTCCAATGTACGCCATGAGTATTTGATGCCTGTACAGGATTCACCGTTATGTCATATCTTATTGAGGACGGGTTCAATAACGAATAATTGGAGTTATAAGGATAATGATATTGAGGTGGTTGATTGGTTAGAACTACTGAGGAAGCATTGTTTGAAGCCTGTTGTTGTTGAGATTGCTGTACAAAATAAGGACTAGTTGTTGGAATTACAGAACCGGTAGTTGGAGGTGGCACAAGAGGACTTGCAGGATCAATCAACACAAAATCATCCACTATTTTGGTCTTGTTGGGGGTTGCAATTTTTAACGATGGATTTTTGGCTGCTCCATGTTGGTGCTGAACTGATTGATTCAATGTGTTCCGAGAATTATTGTTAGTTGTTGTTGATGATGGATTATAATTATTAACGTTACTGCCACTATTGTAAGACGGTGTGGATGAATAATGTGTGTGCAATGGTGGATGAAAGGAATTGGGTGGAAGAATGGGAGGAGGACTATGTAGTTCATTCTCCGTAAATGATGGATACATGTGCTGCTCTTGCATAGGAGGAAGAACTTTCTTATTACTTGTTGTTGTTACACTATTTACATGATTCGTGATTGCTGTTCCATAGTTGTTATTATCGTTGTAATAACTCGTATTATTTCCATAGTTATAATTGCTAACATTATTTGGTTGAGAAGAACCTCCAACGTTGTTTGTATAGGCTTGTTGATTTGAGTTCAAATTGTAGGGTACGGATGAATTCGTCGATCCCGAGACCAGAATGCTTGATGGTTGTTGGAGGGGTGATGTACCCGAAGGGAATGCCATCGTATATTGCAACCTTTTCACCTTGACCTCATCACCGGGAATGAAATCGCAATAGAGTTGTACTTGCTGTTGTTGTTGCTGCTGTGATGAAGTGAGTATCGGAGAGACTCGTCCACCTACAGAATTATTATTCGTTAATGCATTGCCTCCATTGTTATATCCATTCCCATTTGTTGTTGTTGGTATTGGTGATACTGATGGCTGTACAACTGGGCTGTTTCCCATATTTCTCTATTTCTCTCAGTAATAACAATATTTAAACACAATTTCCGAAATCCTTCTCTCGTGAGTGCTTCCAACAGCGAGAATCAAAATTTTTTTTTGATGAATGCGATTTGGAAGGTAGCCCTTTTGTGGCGACTTCCAATTTCAAGGTTTTAGAATGATAATAACGTGACGCCATGCATGAAGAAAGGTTTGCAAGCAAAACATTAGGAAGAAATGTATTTGACCCATTTTCATAAATACTTCGAAGTATTTGGCCTGCAAATTTTTCCCGCGCTTTTTGTCACTCTTAATTTCTCAAAGTCTTTCGAAAAGAAAAAAATGAGCCGAAAGATTAAATCATGAATTCCTGAACTACACATGATCGTACCATTGCCGAGAAAATATGATTGCTAATATTAATTGGTCGGATTTTATTCGGAATTAAATGGTTTCTCTCTAGAGAGCATCCATCAGGAATTTTCAAATATTTTCTTGTTGCAGAATGGATGCCATTTAAATCTACCAATAATGGAAATTTTGATAAATAGTAATTCAACAAAATAATTCTATCTGATCCCATTAAACAGCCTAAAGATCTCAACACCACTGGAAATAATACAAATTTAAATACTTTGCTTCAACTAGTCTTTGCATATCATCCATTCCTAACACAACAACCAATGAAAAAATGGGAATTCTGCCTAGCGTAGAAAGGAAGCTTCTGCAACACTCAGAATGTGTCGGAAAATGGATAGAAGTTTCAGAACAACAACAACATGAACCTGCATCATCGCTATCGCAAAGCAAGTACAAAGTTTTTAATTTGGATTTAGAACAGGAATGTTGCTTTTCGCGTTGTCAATGTTGTGATGAGAGTGTGAGCGTAGGAGACAGTCACTGTCATCAGCCACAACCTAATTCTCGCCATCACTTATGTGAGATCAAAGTCGTTCCAAGTATTCACACCCTTCTCATGAACAGCACGCCCCAACAACAAATTAAGGCAGATTTTAAATTTACACCTGCAAATCCACGAACTGGTGGACCCTCTTCATGCAATGAGCAAAATTTATCCTCTTCATCAGATTGGTGCGGAAACAACATTATACCTCCTCAATCGCTGCCGCTTGGCATTCATCTACACAAAGCAGTGTATTTAAACTCTCGAATTTATGCTTTTGGAGGAAGCACCAGAAAGGAATTGAACTCAAACTGTTTTCTAGAATATGATGTTGAAAGTGAAAAATGGAAACGACTGTCAACCCTAATATCGACACCACATGTCGATGAAAATTCAAATCCTGCTTCCTCAAGTAGCAGCAATTTGAATCCACCTAATGCTAATATTGAAAACTCAAACGACTTGACGCAGTCTTCAAATGGTCACAATACCATGCATACTCCACAAAGAGCAATTCCCATGTATGTTAATCCATGTTTTTACCACTCAGTGTGTGTTTGCAAAAAGAGAAGAAAAATCTATGTATTTGGAGGAAGAACAAACTCCGTGGTCACTTCTAATAATTTATATGAATTTGATGTTGACAAGCAACAATGGAATGTTTTGACACCAATACGAAATAATTCAAAACAAGAAAAACTTCCAAAGCGAGAGGGTCATTCAGCATTTGTTAGAGGTGATTTTTTGTACATTGTTGCTGGATATGAATATAACACGGACCAATATTCTAACGAAATTATTGAAATCAATTTGGAAAGCAATACATGGCGCTATCTCTCTGAGGATTACTCGAACATTGTTAAACGAGGTGGTAGAATCACAAAAAGCACCAACAAGTATCATTCGAATGACAGCGATGAAGAGGATTTTGATGAACATGACACATCCACGCTCTTCACAAAGGTTGCCTATCATTGTTCAGAATATTGTGAGTCCAGAGATGAACTCTTAATTTATGGAGGAAAAACAAGAGAGAAGCCTTTTGGTCCACTTTCCAACAATCTTTACGTCTATTCATTTAAAAGAAAGGAATGGACCTTGTACAAAGCTCCTTGCTTATTGAGAAGAAATCACTTTGAGAAAGATGGTCACGACAACACTCTAAATGCATATCTTACCTACGACGATCATCGACAATTTATCATGTCTTATAACAAATCTAGTACACTAGTAGATGATCGATATTTTGTGATATGTAACGGTCTAATTAATGATCATTTTGATCGAAGACATTATATTGATGAAATGATAATTATTGACATTTACAGCAACAGCTGGTACAAGGTATCAGATGGATTGGCATTGTCGATACCATTTGACTCATGCCTGGTTTATTGTGACAATTACAATAGAGTATATTCGATTGGTGGATACAATCCTTGTGGTGAAAAGCCTCATCTGCCAAACGTCACAAAACTAGAGTACAAAATTACAAATTGTGACTTCTTGAAAAATTATGTTTCTAAAATTTCTGACACTTCATTTCCAATTCCATTCGTCACTGTGACATCAATAGACCGTAGGCAAAGCGTTCAAATAAGCCGAATAATAGCCATGAGGTTATTTGGAGAAGAGTTTGGTAACATTAGTTATGACAAATCCATGATCCTTGAAACTCCGTTTGATGAATCGCAACTGTCTGACATCGTTGATTATTTACATGGCTTGGACATTGAATTTCGTGATGTGAATGAAATTATCGAACTGTTAGAAAAGACTATCAAATTCCCAGCTTTGGGATCCACTCTTGATTCATATCTAATACGAAGATTAGAGACTGGGCTCGTCAATGAAAAGAATGTAGTGAATATTCTCAAATCTTGTCAACATTTAGGTAGAGTAGAAATGATATGCCTGTCATTCCTGAAACGAAACGGTATGAAAGTTCCAATCAACGATTGTTCAGAACTTCCAAAAACCATCTTGACAAAACTTGAGCAGTTCAAGCAAGTTAAACATGGTTCACCTCAAACCACGCTTTCATCAAACGGTCCCTCAAATATTAATTCCTTGAAAAATATCAACCATACGTCCTCGACCAATCACTCCTATCGACTCTATTTGGCTGACCCCATAACAACGTTGTTAAGTTTTCTTCGCACTCTACGTAAAGATTTAGATGCTTCACAAAGAACAGGAGATTTAACTCTCATCATACACGATCAAGAGAAGGACAGAATGAAAAGTATCACTCTCGACTCTGCCATTGCTCTCATGACATCCAAGTTCTTTGAGAGAATGCTTTCTGCAGATTTTAAAGAAAGAGGACAAAATTGCATTGAACTCCAAAATCCAGTCACACTGAATGAAAATGATTTGATTAATTTGGTAGACCTTTTATATTTGACACCACCGTCGAGAATTGATCCCTGGATGAATAAGAAAACCAAATTGAATTACATTTATAGAATTGCTGATTTTTATTGCTTGGATATTATTACATGTATTTTGGAAGATAAATTCATGTCTGATTGATTCGACATCCACTTTTCAATAGCAATTTGAAATATTTATCATTAGAACTACATGAATTTTTAGAGCTCGAACACTTCTTTGTGGATGTGAAACTTCACACCAGTGGATTTTGAGGCATTTCTAGCTCCATTATTCACATCGACAATCATTTCATGAGGTCCACACACAACCACAGCCGCATACTTGTCACTAAATGAATCCACACTCGACAAGACACTATTTTCCAAAATCTTTTCAAAGTTTGGTCTCTCTCCAAAGTGCATTCTCGCATCTGTTTGACCATTGACAGCAGCTGCATTAAATTGTTCCTGTCTTGTAAAATAGAAACTCTGCTTCACATTTTCTTTCTGATTCAAGAGCGCTGGAAAATGTTGTAACAAGGCATTGTTTTGCATGGTCCACACCAAATACACATTCTGATTGGTTCCCTTATTGGCCATCAATTCCGAATAAATAGCATGAATGGGTGTAATTCCAATACCTCCTGCAACGAGTATGACTGTTGAGTACGAAGGTAAATGCACGGAGAGTTTACCGTACGGACCTTCGACACGAGCCATCAATTCACCAGAGGAGTGATACTTTTCTTGAGCGACTTTGGCCAATGATTGTGTCCATCCATGTCCCAAATTTTTCACATGACATGTGAATTCCACTGTCGAATCCAATTTTGTAAAACTACTCACAGTGAATGGATGGGCTTGGAATGCATTCACTCTTGGTATATAGACATAGACAAATTTACCCATTCCCAAACTCTCTCGATCCAAAGACCAAAATGCAAACTGTGGCTTTTCAAACACACACGTCGTTACTTGAGTTTCTTCATTGTATTCCAAACGAGCAATTCGAGCAGGAACCAAATAACCTAACACCATTCTCAATGCATGATCCACAACGAGCAAGAACAAGGAAATGGATAAAATTGGTAACGTTCGAGTCCATCCATTGGCATGCAAGGAAATCATCACTAATAGAGTTGGAACAAAGATGTAATGTACTGCCTTGAATAATTCCCATAATTTTCTTCGAATCGTTTGAAACGAGAAGATGATTAAAATCAATAAAGAGAACCAAGCAATGGGTCCAAAGAGAACAAAATCAGGAGAGTCCACACTCACTAAATCCAATAAATTATTATCATTGGCTCTCGAAACAACCATCAAAATACCATGACTGGTGGCCAATAAGAAACTCAATCGTGCTTGCCATTTATGGAATTTCACAGCTCGTTCAAATGAAATTCCAAACACATGAATAAAAACAGAATAACGAGTTATAGGTAATAAAGTTGTTGCTAAACTGAAAATCAAAGCGTAGGCCAATCCTTTTGCTACTTGTGAAGAAGTTGCATTAAAGTAACCATATAAAAACCATGTCGTGGCCAAACACAAATGACACAAAACTAAAAACACCTCACCCAATGTCAAATCCAAAATTGAATTGAACATGGAGCCTAACCATCGATTTCTGATTAATTTCAATAACCTCTTATGGAAAACCAAATCAATAAAAAAATTCTTTTCTTTCATGGAAAAGATGGAATACGATAAACCAAAACAAATCATGACCAAAGCCACACTTCCAGTAGCAATCAAATGAAATTGCAACACTGGTTCAGGATATAAATTCAATTCACCCACATGTGTCACTAAATTCACCTCAAAATCTCCATGATAGGTATGTTTCTGTGTAATGTCTTGAGTGTGAACATTGAACGCCCAACTAATGGCAATGGTTTTGTTTTTCACAACATGATCCGAATGAACATCTCCAGTATCAATGAGTCGAGTGAATTTTAAAGTAGTGACTCCTTGAGAGTTGAGACTTCCTGCTCGTTGCAAAATGTTATCGACACCTCCGAATAAGGAATCGTTTTTGGGAATGGATTTTCCAGGAAGCCAAAAATCGTAAATCATGGGTTGAGAGTTTTCCTGATCGAAGAAACCAATGAAACAATCTGCTTGTTTCATACCAATTCCGTCTTGGAAATCGAGACCGAGAGCGAGCCATCCACGTGTTTGAGCTTGAATGGCAAATTCAATCACATCTGTGGATTGAATGACACCAGGAGTTTGAGTGTGAAATTTCCAGAAGAGTTTGTATTGGGGAGTTCGAACTGAGCTTGGATATTCATTGGGAGAGATGATGGGAGAGTTCATGTCAGCATGAACAAGTAATGTGGAATAGAATACGATCGTGAGTGCTAGAATGACATTTGACATTCTGTAGGCTGGAGCTGTCAGCAGCATGACTAGAAAAAACCAAGTTCTTTAATTGTGAAAAGGTTGATTATGTACAGATGTGGACACTCGAGAGAGAGTTATTGAATACTGAGGATACTAGAGCCAAGTGGTTTGTTTTTTTGTGGTTGGAATTTCACAGAATGCATTTCGTTTGTGAACAATAAATACTCTGACAATTTTTTCCATACGGAGTTTTTACTCCGGTGGAAGGATTCCCATGCGGAAATGCTTACGGATTGCTGTTGGGTGCTGAAGATAGGTTCAACATGATTTCTTGTAACTTTTCTTGCATTCGGCTTATGGCTTGTGCGTTACTAGAAGTTAATCTCATTAATTCTTGGATTTGATCTTGTTGTTGACGGAGCGAATCCTCCAAAGTCCTTAACAAATTTTCTGGACTTGTCATTGATGTCGAATCTTGTATGGGAGATGAATGATTTACAGGATACAACAAGTTGGTCGACGTTTCTCCTTGTTGTGGATGTCTAGGGTAGTGTTGTGGCTTTGTAGCAAATCCACTTGTTTGTTGTTGATGAATACTCCGGATGGGATGCTGAGTAGTTACCAAACTAGTTCCATTTGGACTTGTAGTGGTCCTTACACCACCTCCTCCTTGCTTTGGCGTCGTTGACGGTGCAGAATACTCCATACTCGACGATGATGACGACGCTCCGTTAGTCATTTGAGGAGAAAATATTTCTCTGAGTGGAGGAAGTGTATGACTCTCTGGTTTAAGGTTGCTACTACTTGGAAGTACAAGTTGTGGACTCTCCATGGAGGAGGATGCCTGGGTGCGACCAGGGCTTCCCATCACATCAAAACTGGAAGCAGTGTGAGGGTTCTGAATACTCGTTGTAAATCTTTGAGGTTGAGGACTTGAGAAGGCCAAGCTTGATTGTCGAGAGTGAGATGCACTGTTAGGAGAGATGACATTCTGTGGAGGTTGAGGTGATGACACAAGTGGAGACATGATTGAGCGAGAAATTGGAGTTGGTTTGATCTTTTTAAGTGATGGCTCCATCGAAGAAGGAGTGCTTGAAGTAAATGTCGCAGAGCCAGAACCATTGGAAGAATGAGCATGATGATGCATGGCTGCCATATTCTTTCTGAATGCTTGTTGGTTGGATCGTGCTCTCTTTTTCGTGGTCTCATCCTTAAGCATTTGGTCCCTAGATCGAGATCGAATCCAAAACTTGTCACTCACTGCCACTAACTTGTTATTCGAGTCATAAATTTCAATAAAACCAACCCTAGATGAGCTACTACCCTTCTTTGTATTGAGAGAGGGAGGGATGTCAATCTTTGCTTGATACAGTCTCTTTTTCTTCTCCTTATTCGTTGATGAATCAATGTATGGAGTGAGAGGCTTGAAAAAGCAACTACACACGGGTTGACCATGGGCCGAGCCATTGTCCAATCTCAGAAACATTTCACAATCTCCCAAATCCACACCAGTGACAAAGAGAACATCCTTAATCGAAACGTTGAACTTGGTATTTGGTGGGTTCTTTGTCTTGGTATTCAATCTGAAATCGGGATGGCAAGTGAATTCAGCCTGATAATCATTCGATCCATTCACAAAAGTAAGGGAAGGTCTTAAGCTAGCATCAGAGCCTGAGGGTGGCGACGAAACCGAAGAACTGGTTGTTAAACTGCCATTCGTATTTGGTGAGGTACTTGTGTTAGATTCATTACTCATACTAGTTGTTGTTTTGATTGGAACACTCGTTCCCATAGATTGATCCTTCGATGGGCCAGCATTTGAAAGTGGTGATGACGACGATCTCGTTGAGTATGATCGAGTATAAGCATTGGGCTGAAAGGTATTCGTACTACCGCTCGATGTCGTAGTATCTTTTGGTGATGAATCATTGGGAAATGTCGATGATGAATTGGTAACGTTCGTGTCGCTCGTGGTCATTATGCTCATGTAATTGGGTGGTAGTTGTTGGCTCGTTTGAATTGAGGAAGTTGCGTTGCCTGAAGGAGAGGATGGTTGTGCGAGCAATGACGATGAAGAAGAAGGTGGTTGTTGCGCAACAACAGGAATGATATAACCGCCGCTACTATCACTGCCTTTCGTTTGAGGTAATTGTGAAGACATGGGTTGAATCATGCTGAACGATCTTTTGGTGTTTTTGTTGTGTTTGGAAAAGGTTGCTGTTGTTGTGAAAGTGTGCTCGTCTTGCGCAGTTGGTTGATGATACATGTGTGTATGAGCGAGAGAGTATGAAGAGTCTTGATATCCACTTGAATGTTCGTCTGCACATGAACCGCGTTAACGTCGAATCAGGGGAATATCGATGTTTGGGTTGAACTTGGCTTGTGAGGTCTTTTCCAATACAATGGATGTTATTGATTCAATGATAAAGCTGTATTTAAGATATGTTTGGGAATACGATGAAACATTGTCTCTCCATGAGGATTACCTATAAAGTGATTCATGGAAGTAATTTTAAATAATTTCCTTGTGTGCTATGCATCTTTTTTGTACATTTTCCATGTAAATTATAAGGATGTCGCATGAAATATCACTCAATGCATTAATTTAAGCCTATGTTTGTGTGATACAACTTTGTTCAATATTTCTAAAAGGAATAAGGAATAAAAGAATATCATGGTTTGGGTTGAACAAGAAAGGCACCAAATAGGCTGAATGGAAATTGGAATTAATATTTTCCCTTTAGTTAATAGGACAAAAAAAGGTAATTTGATATAAACGATGTAGTTTGGAAATAGTCCCTTTCATGATCATGGTCATCATCATTTGGGATTGATATCACATATTCGAGTGTTGGGTTGCCAATCTTCGACATTTCAACACAATCCCTAAAAAGTTGCAATTACTTTCGGGAAATGTATACAAAGATTCTGTTTGCTCTCATTATCTTCTCCAATAGTGTTGGATATTTCCATCATCAGACAAAAGTGAGAGCATGTTGTGGTTCCGAAATTGAAAGAAGCTGATCTTTCGAGCATTTGTTTTTTTCAAACATTCATTGTAAACGATAAGCTTTGGTTGAGTAAAAATTTTTGAAAAAATCGTTTGAAAAAAATACGCCAAAAGTACGTTATCGATTCTCTCTCTGATCGTATTGACTCTTGCTATTATTTCTTTTCAAATTCACTCTTCCTATCATAATCACAACATAGATCCTCACAGAATGAGCTTGACCAGTAACGCAAAATCCACAGTGTTGGACCCAACTCCAAACGACATTCAAATGTTCTTGGCTTGTGAATGCCACAAGGGTACCAAGAATATGGAAACTGATATGCAAAAGTATGTCCACACCAGAAGCCAAAAGGATGGTGTCCACATCATCAACGTTGCTAAGACTTGGGAAAAGTTGCTCTTGGCTGCTCGTATCCTTGTTACTATTGAAAATCCAAAGGATATCTGTGCCATCTCCACCAAGCAATTCGGTCATAGAGCTGTCCTCAAGTTTGCTCACTACACTGGTGCCAACTACATTGCTGGTAAATTCACTCCAGGTACATTCACCAATCAAGTCCAATCTAACTTCATGGAACCAAGAGTGTTGATTGTCTCTGACCCAAGAGCTGATCATCAAGCCATCAAGGAAGCTTCAATGGCTAACATTCCAGTCATTGCTTTCGCTGATACTGATTCTCCACTCAAGTTTGTGGATGTTGCTATCCCTGTTAACAACAAGGGTAAGAACAGCATTGCTTTGATGTTCTGGATGTTGGCTAGAGAAATTTTGAGATTAAAGGGTGTTGTCTCCAGAAAGAAGGTTTGGGACGTTAAGCCAGACTTGTTCTTGCACAGAGATTTGGATGAAAAGAAGGAAGAAAAGGAACAAAAGGAAACCCAAGAATCCAAGGTACAAGCTGTTGTTGCTACTGAAGGTGCTGAGGAAGCTGAGGAATATGAAGCAGGTGCTGTTGCTGGAGAATGGGGAAATGAACAATAAGTCCATCATTTCCGAATTGTGCTGACACTATTAAATAAATAAACCAAAAAATTATTATTTCGACACTGTTCTTAATTGCTGATCACCTTACTGTGACAACCTGTCACGCACTATGACAACCTGTCACGCACTATGACGACTCATTGTAAAATTACGAGATAATATAAAAACACAATGTACAGATTTGGTTTCTTTCTCTCTTTGTAGTTCAATAAGTGCTGGCCATCATCCTCACTGGCTGTGTGGACATGAACACTTTTCAATCAAAAAATTCTCCATTTGTTGCAGCTTAATTCACAACACACGATTATTTATCTTTAGAATTTGATCCGATCAAACTTGGTTTGAATTTCATCATCTTGTTTCATTGTCCATAGCAATAATAATAATCATAATAATTGAACAACCTTGTTTGTGGTGTACACATCCTGACTAACACTTCTTCTTCTCATTCATTCATACAAGTAGCCTTGCAACAACAACAACATCCTTTCAAAAAACGACCATCATCAACGACAACATGATCCAAACCAAAACTACAACCATCACCACTCGTACCATTGATGCAGGTACTGATCATCCCTCCACAACAACCACAGCTACCACTTCGGGAACCACCAAAACCAGTACAACAACCAAATGTACCTACGGAAAGACAGATAGCCTTCCCAAATTCCTCAAACATGCTGCTATCGGAACCATTGCTTTGGCTCTCTCTCGTATTGCCTTGTATGCTCCTTTCAGTGTTCAAAAGACTTTGATTGCGATCAGTGATACTCCAGAACGTGAGGATGAAGAAGCCTCCAATTCTCCTACTTGCCAAGCTCGTCTCTTGCAATACTTTGAGAAACCACTCCTGATTAAGCTTACTTTATATCAATTGGGTCATATTGCCGTTACAGCCTTACTCAACAAACAAAAGTGGGTTCCCTTCTCTCAATACAAACCATTGGAACATGCCGTTGTATCTGCCTCAACATTCCCTCTGTATTATATATTGTTGGATCAGGAGTCAAGATTGGCCGTTCGTCGTGGTCGTACTCTCAACACCATTCAACCTGAAAATAAGGACGCAGAGAATACCTTGTATTGGCAAGGATTTGCATTGCATGTTCTACAATCCTTCTTGGTTCATGCCATTGGAGTCAAAGTGACTAGCATGCTCTCCAATACGGACACACTCCGTAATGTGAGTGATGAAGGAGTGGTGAACACAGATTGTTCAGATGCAAGAGCAAGAGGAGTCTTGATTGAAAGTGTGGGCATGTTGATTGGACGTTTGTTGTGTTTACCTGTGGAAATTTGTGCCAAACAATTTCTGTTACGAAGTAAGCCAAAGAAAGATTCGTACGTTTCAGTGTTGGCCAAGTCTGCCTTGTTGACCATTCCACAAGTGGCAACAACATTGGTCGAATATTGGGTGTATCGTGCCTTGAATAGATTGTCTAACTAAAGAGCTCTATGTGTGAAAAAACAAAGAATTTAAAATTATTGTGAGTGTACGAGTTGAAATGTATTGTGGTCTGATGATACCATGGTTAGTAGAGACTGTGGTAGTCTTTTCTAACGCTTAATTATTTATTATAATTTTAAGGTTATTTTGAGTGAATAAAAAGGTGTTTTTAACAGAACAAGTTTTCGTGTTGGTTATTCAAGTCTGCTTCATTCTCGAATGTCGCAACAGAAAGTGAACACAAACCACTACCAATAAGCAGTTGTCACTGAACTCACCATGACAGGATAACCAATTGGAATGTCCATGCTCGAGTTACAAATATTTCTCAAAGTGTGTGACATGTTTTGAATAGAAGCTCTCTCAGGTTGTTCCACTCCCAAATACACCAATTCATGTTGCTGAGAGGCCCATAAACCTCTCACACCTTCCTTGTTCAACTTGACAATACTAAACTCAATTTCTCTCATTTCCAACATTAAAATAAAGTAATCAATCGCTCCCTTATCCAGCACCTTCTTTCTCAGAGAGAACAATTCCGATTGATCGGCCATAATACTTTCTCTCCACTTTGGATCTCCTTCATGAGCAATTACTAAATCCTTATAATCGTCCTTAATGAGATTACAAAACACTTCAGGAGCATCGACTTCTTCTGCAGCAAATCTTGCTTGATAGAGACGAAGAGCCATACAAATGGCAGGTTTGATACAATGATCTAAAATGCTAATATCATTAAATACCCATTCATCATTCGTACTGGTAATTCTATAATCTCCAACAAAGAGAGTGTGAACTTTTTGAATAAATGTTCGAAGACTGTGTGCTGAAGTCGTTCCATCATGAGATGCGAGAGCTCTTCGTGCTGTCAAACTTGCCAAGAAACAAAGTTTTCGAATTCGTTCTACTTGTTCTTCATTGTAGTTCAAGCCATTTCGAGATTTCTTTCGATCCTCAATGAAATAATTCATAAAGTCATGGTGTTTTTCAATAAATTTCGTGTAGGAAACTCCACCCATTCCAGACGCATCAAAATCAATATCGAATTTGGAGGTAAATAATGGATCAAAATCCATCTTTTTCTGGTTTCCAATCTTGTCAATATGTGGACAAAATGAATGATCGGCTTGAATCCAACGATCCAATTGATCTGATTGAATGACATAATACAGCACCGATCGTACATAGAGTGTAACAACTGCTTTTCTTTCATCATTGGAGCTCATCAAGTTATCAACCTTATTTTCCAACATGTTGTATGTTTTGAGTTTGATTCCAGTTTGAACCACTTCCCAACTGTGCCATCTCAGCGTGATAATATCCTTAATGGAAAGAAGTTCTAATTTTGGTGCATAGGGAGAACATCCATCTTCACACCATGCATCAAACATGGCCTCTTCATCTCTGTTAATTCGACTCAATAAATTACGTTGTTCTTCTTCTTGACAAATTGTTCCTTTAAATTCAAGACCACGAATTTGGAAAGAGAAGACACCATTTCCAACCTCAATAATGTGAACAATTGCTGTCAAGTTGTCATTGATAAATATAAAAATGTCTCCTTGTTGAATTGGTCCAACTTGACCTTTTCTGATAATTTCAGGGAATCTCTCTCTTAATGCGTTCACTAAATGCTCATAGAAAATTGAGTTCAAATTATCAACTGTGTGTTGATCGAGTCCTCCACCTTCCAATGTTTGTCCTAAGGTTTGATTGGTGACATCTTTTCGACTCGTTCGATAATCTTTTTCAAAGAATTTTGCAGCTCTACTGTATCCTAAAAACCATAAAGCACCTCCAATGAGAGGATACATGGGTGCATTGGAAATGACTGAATAGATGAGTTGCACAAAGAAAAATTGAGAAAATGGAATTCCTAATGGTTGCATGATAATATAAAGACCAGAGGACCATGAAAGTGGAGTGCTGTAAATGCAAATAAATTGTAACTTGCGTCCAATTTCGGCCATTTTAGGCATTATGTATGTGAAAACGAAAAAGTCAACCAATAAACCTTCAGAAATATTAAAAGCATCCACGTGTGAAATAATCACACTGAAAAATAAAGCTGAGGTCAACCGGGTAGGATCTGAGAATGTACATCTCATTAATTTCACAGCACAAATGGAGGCAATGGTCAGTGCTACTCCAGCATGACACTTGGTTTGTAAATGGAAAACAGTCGAAGAAATGCTTGAAAGAATAATCACCACATAGAACACATGTTCTGTCCACTGTAGAATGTAAAATACAAGTTCGTACCAAATCCATTTCTGTTTTCCTAAAAACTTGACGGAGGGTTGATTCTTTGAAAGGAGAGGATATCTAAAGATTGTGAATGGATGATGCTTTGAGAGATGAGGATAGATATAATAACATAAAATTCCAATAAAGACATTCAAAGCTGTCAACACATATAAGAGGTAGGGATTTCCTCTTTGGAATGCATCCCACAGTTGTGGGACGAATGCTACAATAAACAAGACTACTGCAATTGCCAAATCTTTGACAATTCTTAAAATTGGATTCACATTTGAAATGTTCAACTCCAATTCCTTATTTTTTCGTTCTCTAATTTCATCCTTTGTTTTTTGTTGCTTGCGAATCTTTGAAGGAATATAATTATCCCAATATAGAGCGAACACGTCTTCAAAAATTGAGGTATAGAATCGATGATTTGATGGCATTCTGCTCAAAATGTAACAACCTGACACGAGAACACCACTGTAAAATGCAGAGTAGTAATCAGATGTCCATGTCAAATTGAGAGCACTGGTGTATCCAACACCAATAAGAATGCCAACTGTCACAAGAGAGGAAAATAATTGAAATAGGAGACCGTATAGAGAGATGGATCCACTTCCTCCAAACATGTGCATGTGAATTTGTTCACAAAAAACAAATATAAATGACATGGGTTGAGGTAAAACACCAAATAGGAAAATAATTGGGAAACACATGATGATAAATGTTGCAATATCCTTGACGGAGAGAAAAATTAATCCAAAATTAATATTGAGACCATAGATCACCACACTGTTGTTGTGAAATGCCGTTCATATGAATTTCATCAAAATTCATATTTTTCATAGCATGAAAAAGTTTCGAAATGGTTCGTCATCACCCATAAGCCACACGTTTCATGAAAAATTCCAACAAAAACAAACTACTTACAATGGGTCTGAAACTCTCGAAATGGCATGACAAATCAGGGCAATAGTTCCAAAAAACAAGACATAAAACGATCGAGTGTAATTACTTCCTCGTGAGAAATGGAATGGAGAATTGGCCTCAGGTTTTGGACTCTTAATCAAAGAAAAGTGAGATTGAGCAATTGCTAAAATCATAAAAACAATACTGGCCCAATTTCTGTCTAATAATGCAGTCAATCGAAGGCCCATCCAAGCCACACCAAAAGCAATTAAAGGAACTGCTAAAACCTCCACTCGTGGATTGTGATCTCTATCAAACAGGTATTCCAATGTTCTTCTGTCGAAAAATACATGATAGGACTTTCCAAAGATAGAAATTTTGTAATCTGAGCTAGTATCTTTTTGTTGTGAAGAAGAAGCGGTAGCAGCAGGTATTCTTGATAAATGTTGTGGAGGTGTGATTGAAGTTCTGGATGCACCTTCTCCATTTTCAGCAGTATTTGCCACAGGAGTCGAAGTAGGTGAAGTAGCTCTCGAATTCTTTTTCTTTTCTCTCATTAATCGTTCATACTCTTCCAATGTGACAGACATTTCATACGATTGAATATCTCCAAATTCATCCACAAATTCGAATACAAATGTTCTCATTTCTGGAATTTTAGGTGAAGCATTAGCCTCATGTCCCGAAGAAGAAGATGGCTCTTGATCCTGTTGAGAATGACTATTACTACTGCCATTATTTGTGGGTAGTGTTTCTGTCTCGCCAGACACAGTGGTTTCATGTGCCGCTCTTGTTGTTGTGGTGGTAGTGGTGTGATGAACATGAACTGGAATGTTAGTTCCAGACGAGGAAGATGATGATTTACTCGAAGAAGATTCATCCTCATGATCATCGGAAGGTCCATCTAATTGTGGAACAATTCCGACTACGACTTGAGGAGAGGATGAATTTTGTTGTTGTTGTTCTCGCGTTGTGGAGTTATTGTTGGATGATGAGAGAGTATTATTCTCTTGAGAGTCCACAATGCTGATGGAAATGTTCTGAATATCCTCTGTTTGAGGCTGTTGTTGTTGTTGTTCTTCACTAGATGAGGCTATCGCTGTGGTAGTAGGTCCATTGGTCGTTGAATTCTTGTTTTCATAGGATATAGGCTTTTCTTCTACTTCCTCAATGGTAATTGTATTTGCATGATTATTGAGATGGTCATCATTCCGAGGAGGGTCTGTGGTTGTTGGGTTGTTATTGTTGTCATTGGAATGAATATTGTTTACAGTAGAGGTCGTTGGTGCTGTTGTTGTTGTTTTTGCCGTAATTTTCTCTTGTTTTGAATGTGAATCAAAGTATTCATGAAAATACACATTGAAGATCTTGATGACTCCAAAAAACAGTAATATGCAACATGAGTAAATGATCTCGGCAAATATATTTCCAAATCCAAAAACCTGGTAAGAATGAGAGGAAAATAGTTTTTTGAAATGTCATGACATGTGTATTCCGAGATCGAGCAATGAGATCAACAAGTCGAGAGGATCATGTTGAGAATGGAATTCATGGCCATTCATTGTTGAGATGTGTTGATTCAAAAGATGTTCCATTCATTTCAAAGAAACACACAGTTAGTTTTGAAGGCCATACACACGTCATGTTATCATGGATCGTGTCAATGATGATGATGTCTTGTGTAACAACATTATCATTGTAACGCATCAAAACAACTTACCAATATGAAAAATAAAGGAAACAATATAAAGAATGTATAAAAGAGAATATGTATCACGTTAATGAACAAATATGCAGCATGTTCATAGTAGAGGCCTCCTGTCAGCGAATAAGTGAATTGTTTGACAAAGAAGAACAGAACTGCTTGCACGAGACCCATTTTTTGCGAGTTGTCAAAGCGAAGTTCTTTTGTGATGATGTGTTGACAAGATTGTTTTCTAAAGTGCGATTAGAGTCGGAATCGAATGCCAATGAATCATAATTGCAGAGACAAACTATCATCATGATGAAAAGAATTGGTCATGGTTGACAGTTATTCATTATCCAATTTCCGAAAAGGAATGAACACTCAAATTTATGGAATATTTAATTTATTGTGTTTAAAAAGAGAGAAAAGAATATCACTGTTTACAAGTTCAACTTGGTTCTTCTCCAGTGTCTTCTCTTGGCGTTGTATCTGATGGTGTTACCAGTTCTGAAACGGATCCAATATGGAATTGGTCTGTTTTGCTTTTGCTTCTTGGCGAGCTTAATCTTCTTGGTCAATGTCTTGTGAGCTGGCATTGCGAAATCTGGTTATATTATCCAATCATGAACGGTTTGAATCATTCATTGATTATTTTGATCATTAAATTTAAAAGTCAAAGAGACAAGGGATGTGAACGTACCTGTGACGAATTTTTTTTCAACAAATTTTTTTAAAAAATATTGGTCAACCCAATTTTTAGGTTTTACAATGAGGTAGTAAAATTGTTTTTTCTGGTCCAATTACTAGAACCAGTTCCTCATCCATTGAACCATATGGAGTCTTTGGGTTTTCCTTTCTTCTAAGACTTTGAGCAACTACTTTTAGTTCATTCCAATGACTTGTTGAATTCTTTTATCTTATTGTTTGTACTCAATGAATATAAATGTTAAGAGCGCTCATTTTGAGAGTTAACATCACATTAGCAACATCAACATGAAAAATAATGAACTGGGTTTGTTGTAAGGCTGGGCCCGATTGTTAGAGTGGGCATTCACGTTACCGAGATGGAATAAATAAACGTGATGTAAAACGTTCACGCCCACTTCCATATTAAAGAGTATTCTTTGCATGACTGTTGATATGACTAAGGATTTCGTTTCGTTCAAAAAAAACTCAAACTCTACTAACAAACACACAAGATATGGTACACACCACTCAATTCTTTGTTCTTTTCTTCGCTCTCTTGTTACTCTGTCATGTAATTCAAGGAGGGCTTCAAATTTCCAAGGTGCAACCAGCTTCCTCTCCACTCACTGTTCATGAACCATTCCCACTCTTCACAAACCTATCTCATTCCTCCAATCCTCAAACTGTTAAAAGCTCTCCAACTAGATCTTCCAAGCACCTTTTCAACACCAAAGACTCTATCTGTTGTTATGAATCTGATGGCAGTTATCAATACTGCACAGGAACGTCCGTTTGTTGTCGAAAAGCTGCATATGGCTGTACAGGTAGTTACATTTGTGCTCCCTATGGAAGCACATGTTGTGGCACTGGCTATTGTGCATCTAATACACAATGTGAAACATGTGGAAGCGCAACAGGTTGTCTGCCTTATGGAGCTACTTGTTGTGGCTCTGGTTACTGCAACAGCGGTTATTATTGTACTGCCAATTACCAATGTCAAGCTAACTCTGGAGGTGGTGGAAATAGCAACAATAATGGAGGTTCTTCTAACAACGGTGGTTTGGGTACTGGTGCAATTATTGGAATTGCAGTAGGAAGTAGTGTTGGAGGAATAATCATTCTTGTTGGTTTGATTGGAGGATGTATTGCTATCATGCGAGGTGACAAGCACTGTTTGAAAGAAATGATGGATATGGTACAGAATGGTGCACAAACAATCCAAAATAGCACCCAAAACTAACACTTAATGGTGATGTCAGTAACAAAATAATGGATTGAACCCAATGATGTTAACAGTTTAAGGGCAATCAATGAGGTTCCTTGGTTGTAAAAACCAAATACGAATAATTGGTGTAGAAGTAAATCAAACTTGATTTTTAAAAACTTTTACAGATTGGCATCTTTCAGAAATTACTGAAATAAATAAATTGTTGAGAGAATTATCTTCTTTCAAACAATATATTTATTTCTTCTTTGATTTCTTCTTATTCTTATTTGTTGGTTCAATTTTAGTAATTTCCATTGGTGTTGTTGCTTCCGATGATGATTGTGCAGTATTACTAGTGGCTGTTGTTGTTGCCGAATTATTTGAACCCTCCGATGCTTGTTGCTTTTCAGAAATTAACTTGGCTGCAACCTCTGCTGTAATTGAAAAATTAGTATTGGTTGAGAGTTTGTTTTGCAATTTCTTCACTCCTCGATTGTCTTTCTTGGAGGCTTTGGATTGACGTTTTGAACCCTTGTCCGAATGTTTTGGCATTTTTTGAAGAAACGTTCAAGTAATTTTCAGAGCATCCCACATGAGTTGTGAAGTCAATTCACTTCTCAGAGAATCCATTGAGTTGTTGAATAATTGATGATGATTTTCGTAATGCGTTTGCCAGGACCCACTATGAACTAGAAACTCTGGCAAGATTGAAAAAAATGAACAATTCCGAACAAGCCTCATCTTCCATCTCACACGAAGAGAATGAACCACAAAATACATCATCATCATCGGATGTGCTAGAGGGTACCTCGGGGTGTGATACACGTGTGGTGTTTACGGTACAGAATAGTTATGTACCTACTGATAGCGAGTTGGATGTTTGTGATAACCCTCTTTCAACCCGATATGCAAGCAAAGAGATGAGTTTCAACTTCTCTCCAAAGAAGAAATTTTCTACTTGGCGTGAATTGTGGTTTGCTTTGGCTGTGGAGGAAAAGGCTTTAGGATTAACTCAAATTACTGATGAACAAATTAATGAAATGAAAGATCATTTGATTATTACCGATAAGGAAATAGAAGATGCTGCACAATATGAGAAAAAGTTTAGACATGATGTCATGTCCCACGTACATTGTTTTGGAGATGCATGTCCAACTGCAAGACCAATAATTCATCTTGGAGCTACTAGCTGTTTTGTTGGAGACAACACAGATCTCATTCAAATGAGAGACGGCTTAAAAATCGTTCAAAGCAAAATGTTACGTGTCATGCAATTATTGAAGAATTTCTGCCTAAAAAACAAGGACTTACCATGTCTTGGATTTACTCATTTTCAAGCTGCTCAGTTGACAACTGTTGGAAAAAGAGGTACTCTGTGGCTCCAAGATTTCTTGCTTGACTATCAGCAACTTGTTCATCAATTAGAAAATCTCCCATTCAGAGGAGTTAAAGGAACCACTGGTACTCAAGCCAGCTTCCTTCATTTATTCAATGGTAATCATGAGCTAGTTAAAGAACTAGACAGAAAAGTAACATCAAGAATGGGATTTTCCAAGTCCATTCCTGTCAGCGGACAAACATATACAAGAAAAATTGATTTTCAAGTCTTGAGTGTCTTATCACAAATTGCCCAATCTGCTCACAAGTTTGCCACCGATATTCGCTTGTTGATGAGCTTGAAAGAGGTAGATGAGCCTTTTGAAAAAAATCAAATTGGATCAAGTGCTATGGCCTATAAGAGAAATCCAATGAGATGCGAGCGAGTTTGCTCAATTGCCAGATTTGTCATGTCACTTCTTTCAAATGCTGCTCATACTCACGCCAATCAATGGTTTGAAAGAACTTTGGACGACAGTGCAAATAGAAGACTGAGTATTTCACAGGCATTCCTTGCAGTGGATGGTATCTTGAACATTGTAGCCAACGTATGTGATGGATTGGTTGTGTGGCCTCTTGTTATTGAAAAACATGTGATGGATGAACTCCCATTCATGGCAACCGAAAATATTTTGATGGCAGCAGTAAAGGCTGGAGGTGACAGACAGGTCTTGCACGAAGTTATTCGTGTTCACTCACTTGAAGCTGCAAGAAGAGTGAAAGAAGAAGGTGCATCCAATGATCTTTTACATAGATTGGTCAATGATGAGGCTTTTAAAGGAGTACTCTCTGAGGAAAAGATTAAGGAAATGACCAACCCAAAGCTCTATATTGGAAGAGCAAATGTACAAACAGAAGAGTTTATTGCCGAGGAGATAGATCCAATTTTAACACAAGATGCACATCTCGTTGCATCCTCCACCTCTCAGCTCAAAGTTTAAAAGAACTGTTATTGAGGAAATAAATTAGCTTGTGTTTATAAATCATACTGGGCGAGCATTTTGTTGACTTGCATTCTGTGCTTCTTTGAAATACTTTTACGTTTGACGCTTGTCTTCTTGTAGCCATTAAAACTTCGTTGGTGATGCTCTTTTGATCTTTGATGTACTTGCTTCTCAGCTCTCTCGAGCGACACGGTCTTTTTCAAAGAATCCTCTATTAGTTTTCTAATGATTTCTTGATATTCAAGTGCTTTTTCTCGTTCATTGAAGGGCATTAATCTGTAACTGAGCCAACAATAAATATTCAAGCATTTGTACATTACTTCGAGCTCCTTTAACTTGTGCAGCGTGTTGATAGGCCTCAATGAATTGGGATTGGGAATGAGAAGAGGAACGTATTTTCCTTCAGAGTACAATTTTGCCCATTTGAATGTCATGGTTTTACATAATTGCTCGTCAGGATCTATGGGTGATTTGACAAAAATCATCCTCTCTGCTGTGGTTAAATTTTCGATTGGATGAATAATGTTGGCAATATCTTTCTTTTCTTTCATATCACACATGAAATACTTTCCTTCGTTTAACTTGGCCATTTCGTCAATCTTCGAAAGAATAGTGCTCAATCTCACTCGAACCCCTGTTTCAAGGGAGATTCGAGAGAAATGGTCAATTTGCTCGTCTGTAGGGAAAAGACCAGCTCTGAGTTCTTCTACTTCATTAGATGGATCATATGCAAATGCTTGCTGTATAACACGACAATCACTAGCACGAAATGATGTCACTTCTCCCTCTTCGAAGGCACTGTTAAATCTTCCAGCTCTGCCTCCTATTTGCTTAATTTCATGTGGTGTTAAAGTTCTTACTTCTTTACCGTCAAACTTCTCAGTTTCACTAAATATAATTCGCCTTATATTAAGGTTGAGTCCCATTCCAATAGCATCAGTGGCCACTAGCACATCATAGGGAGATTGTTCATGATTGAAGAGAGCAGCTTGTGTAATTCGAGTTTGGGGAGGTAAACCGCCGTAAACGACACAAACTCTAAGATCAGTGGATTTTTCAATTTCGTTCTTAATTTTAAAAACCTCCTTTCGCGAAAAACAAACGATACAATCTCCTCGTTGTAAATCACCATAATCTTTAACAGTAGGTTTCTTTGTCACTTTCAGTGGGGTAAGCCTATCATACTCTTTCACCTCTAATTCATCTCCTGTATCTTCACAAAGCTTTTTAACAAGCTTTAATACTCTTCCCTCTCCACATAAATGTACTTCTTTGGCTCGTACGCCTAGCAGTGCACGTGTCCAAGACCATCCTCTATCAGAGTCAGTGATTAATTGAATTTCATCAATAACGGCCACATCTACCTCTCTCTGTGTATCGACCATTTCAGTGGTAGAACATGTGTGAGTTGCATTTTCTGTCTCAATTTTAAAATCTCCAGTTATAAGTTGACAAGCAGCAATTGGGTTATCTCCTGATGTTAATTTTACAAAAGCCTCCGTTGCTAACAGCCTCAAAGGAGCGCAATAGATACCGGTTTTGGCGTTTCTCAATGCTTGAAAGGCATTGTATGTTTTACCGCTGTTTGTTGGACCTATGTGAAAAATTATTTTTCTCGGCTTGAGTCGAGTTAATGGATACAAGTGATGAGGTTCAGTGAGATCAGCCATTTGCAAGTTCTTTTCCTCTTCAATTTGTTGTTCAAGGTCTCGCAAATACAAATTCCATATTAATTCTTGAACCTTATTTTCTTTTTGAGCAGCTTTAAAGGCCTTCTTGACCTTATGCCTGTACTTGGAATCTGTGTCGAAATGATGGAGAAAGTTAAATTGAAAAGATGACACTGATGACTTCCAATCATTGTCGTCCTCCACACCCATAGATCTAGCTAATTCTCTCTTTTCTTGATTTTGTGTCAGTTCCTCAATAACAGTCAGCAAGTAATCATAATCTACTCGCTGCTCCAAGCTATTTCTGTCAAGTGAATGTTGTTTTATAAACTCTTGCATGTCTTTACTTGCAGCCTCGTCAAGCAATTCAAGAATTGATTGTTCCTTATCCTTATTCAAAACAGAATTGAACCTATATGAGGATGTACAATAGTTGACACTGCCATAAACTCCATTTTGTTCGCTATACACATTTCCGAATGATGATACTAATTTACAAGAAGTAGAAGAATTTATCACCAAATGTTCGGGCCATGGGTGGTAGCCAAAACCATTCTTCTTCCTCATCACTAAATCCAAACAAGATAAACCCGAAGAAGTGTAATTCCTCACTTGATCATGATGCAAATCTCCTTTCTGATGCTGAATCATTGTACTACTATTATTCTTCAAATTTTCCAAACACCACACATGGGCAACACCGCAGTTACCACTGCTGTGCAAAGGCGAAACCCCTCTTCCGAGAAGCAACAGCTTTTGAATTGAGGAAGAAGAAGCCCGCAAGTGATGATGACCTTTGAGCATTTTTTGAAGATGATTGGTTTCAGTTTCTGATTGAATTCTTTGATTTCTCTACAAATTTTGAAGACTGTAAATAGTGATCATGGGTCATCCAATGCGACTTTTTGAAACCCATCATCACATTATCTCATCATCCATTTGAGTCTTGATGTGCAAGAAATAGTCAAAAAAATTCGCTCTCGTGGTGGTCTCTTTGGTTCATTTGCTACGTGCTCCACTTCATTCGAAATATTTCAAAGAAAGAGAATCGCTCCGACGACGAGAACACCATCAAACAAATCGAGAAAAACTTGGAGTAAATTTGTATCTAGACCTCTTTTTTACAACTCTTGAATAGGTTCTTCTTGAAAACAAGATTTACATTTTTATAGCTAATTCCGAACCATAGAATTTATGAAAAAATCGACAAGGAAGAGGACTAGTAATACTAGTAGAGCAGCCAATCATGAGGATAAAGTGGAACAAAGTCATTCAGTTGTGAATGATGCTGCAATCATAGAGGCAGATGCTGCCACTCATTTGACGACTTTCCCAAAAAGTCTTCAATGTTCTCATTTTAAGAACTTTGTTAATAGTAAGGCAAAACGAAGGAATAATGGCCACTGTACTGCAAATGGGCACATTGACATTGATGACTATGAAGAACTTGTTGAATTGAATGAAAAATTAATTGCACTTTGGAGTGGAAAATTGAGACATGAACAGACACAGCATTGCTCGTGTTGTGAAAATCCCTTCTCTCTGAAAGACGAACAAGTTATTTGCTCGCATTGCTACCACATTTTCACGGTTCATGCATTTTATGAGAACAAGGAATCTTTTGAGAACAATGGAGAAAAACAACCCAAACGTTGCCCTAATTGCAATGACCATACGATTGTATTTCACTTGACCTATAAGGAATTCTTTTGCCTGGAATGCTTTGATTTTATTACTCTCGATTTTGATGCAATCAAGTTCATTCTATTACCCTGTCTTTGCAAATCCATGAGCCAAGAATCGCCAAACGAAAAGCAGACGACAAGCACAAAGAAAAAGAGAAAATTTTCACATCCTAAAAGTGGAACTGAAAATTTACCACACATTGCTGTTGGAGAGTCAATCAAGACGATGCTAAAAAGCACTGTACAAACTCAGACAAATCCCCTTATTGGACTACGAGGAATTGTAAACTTGGGAAATACCTGCTTTATGAATTGTATATTACAGACACTAGCCCATAATGTATCACTACGAAATTATTATTTATCAGGAGTTTATTCTCAGTTGATTGAAAAAGAAATTGAAAATGACTCCAAATGTAAAAATTTTGAGGATATCCAAACATACTTGAAGATGAGTAGAGCCATGAATAATTTATTCAAAGAAATGTACGATAAATCATGCAGCGAATTAGAAAATACGAGCAGCAAAAAGAGATCGAGCAATGGTAAAAGAAAATCTGAGACCGCAGACGAGCAACCAATAGTGCTACCATTTGTTCCAAATCAATTCCTGTACATCATGTGGAATGTTGCTGGCCATTTGGCAGGCTATCAACAACAAGACGCACACGAGTTTTACATGGCCATACTCTCAGCGCTTACTCCTGCAAAACTTCCAAACAATCGAAGAAATCTTATTGAAGATTTATTCACTGGAACCTCTCAATCAGATTTAAATTGCAAAATTTGTTCAAATACCTCCTCGACCGTGGAAGCATTTATGGACATTTCTCTCCCTCTCAAAGCAAAGAGTGGTGATACATGGATTGAGCTAGAATCCTTAACAGAGTGTCTGGAACGATACACAAAGGACGAAAACTTAGACATTAGTAGTTATTCTTGTAAAAATTGCGGATCCCAAGGGAATTTTTCAAAACAGATTCGCTTTAAACGACTGCCACACATTCTATGTTTTCACCTCAAAAGGTTTGAACATTCAGAACTCGTGCACAGAAATCGTAAGACAACGACAGGAGTAAGCTCCAAGATTGATTGGTTTGTTTCATTTCCCTTGCAAATAGAAATGAAAGACTTTGTGGTTGGTGAGGATGGAGGTGGTGTTCCTGATAACAAATATTCACTCTTCTCTGTGGTTTGTCATCAAGGAGATTTGAGTGGAGGACACTACACATGTTACGTCAAGCATAATTCTAGTTGGTTTTTGTGTAATGACTCGAGTGTGTATTTCGCCAAAGAGTCAGATGTTTTGAATTCAGAAGCTTACTTGCTGTTTTATGAGAAGGCAAGTTGATTCATTTCCTTTACTTGGTGCAACATCACACATTATAAATTTTTCGCTGCCATTGTAAATTCCAAAAATATTGGTTGACCAGGATTTTTGAAAAACGCTTTCGAAAAAAAAATACTCGCCAAAACCATTCCCAATCTCACCTGAAATGAGTTCACAAACCAAGAAGACTGCTGAAACAACAGCAACCACTGCTCCTCAACAACAACAAGGAAAGGTATGTTATAGTATAAAACAACTTCGAACGTTTCTTATCGTTCTCATCATTATCCGATGTTTGTCTTGAAAATATAAAGAAAAAAACCTCTGAGAACATCAATGCTCGTTTACAATTGGTTATGAAGAGTGGTAAATACTCATTGGGTTATTCTGAAACCATGAAGAACTTGAGACAAGCTAAGGCTAAATTAGTCATCGTTTCAAACAACATTCCTCCAATCAGAAAATCTGAAATTGAATACTACTCTATGTTGTCACATGCCGATATTTATTTCTATCCTGGAAACAATGTTGAACTCGGTACTGCATGTGGTAGATATCACTCTGTTGGTGTCATGAGCGTTTTGGAAGCAGGTGACTCTGATATCGTTAGAGCAGTCAAGATGATGCAAACTCAATAAATTCTTTCCGAAAATTATTAATTCATTGTAAGCATTGAATGTTTGTGCATTTTAAAAAGCATGAAAGTTAATTGGTACGCCATACATTCATTAACTCCAGGTTCAAAGAGAACACAATGAAATTTCCAACAAACAAAAAATGTCTTCATCAACATCTAACGAAACACTTCCACCCATTCACGATTTGGCTCCTCTGATGAGGAATCCAACAAATCCAGTTGTATTTTTCGATGTTAGTATTGGAGGACATGCAGCAGGAAGAATTAAAATTGAATTATATGCAGATGTGGCACCCAAGACTGCTGAAAACTTTCGACAATTTTGCACCGGAGAACATTTAAAGAATTCAATTCCTACAGGATACAAAGGATGTTCTTTTCATAGAGTCATCAAAGATTTCATGATTCAGGGAGGAGATTTTGTAAATGGAGATGGAACAGGATCATACTCAATTTTCGGATCCAATCAGTTCGATGATGAAAATTTTACATTGAAACATGATCGTCCTGGTATTGTATCAATGGCCAATAGCGGACCTAACACAAATGGGTGCCAATTCTTTATTACAACCACAAAAACTCCATGGCTTGATGGTAAACATGTCGTTATTGGAGCTGTATTGAAAGGATTTGAAGTTGTTAGAAAAGTGGAAGCTGTTGCTGTCTATGGTAAATCCAATAAGCCTAAAGTGCCATGTGTGATTACAGAATGTGGAGAATTGTAGAAATGATGTAGAAAAATAATTTCTGTAAGACTTTGTTCTAGGAATGTATCGAAACAAGTTATTGAGTGTTAAGAAATAGAGCCAAACTGAACAGTCACTAATTTATTGAGCCATGACAGCATGTAAGGCTTTCTTCTCTTTTTTCGAAAAAACAGGTGGAATGATTTTCAAAGAAACATTGAGGAGACATAAAAGATTTAATTCTTCAACAAGTAATCTCTGGCCTTACTTTTGTCAGAATTGAAGGTCAAGCAGCCTACAACGATTTCAGCATTTTGTTTTCTATCCCAAATATATGGGCACAAGTCTTGGACAGCCTTAACCTTGGTACTGTCACTGCTAAAAAGCCTTAAAATTGAAGCAGCTGAGCTAGCATCCATACCAGCAATATTATTTGTTGATTTCAATTGAGCAATGACTTTTCCTCTGTCTGAGTCAAATGTGAAATATCCTAATACTTGAACGATTTCACTTGCTGACAATGGAGAAATTTGAGACTTTGAATAAGTGGTGACCGCTTTCAATTTATCAGAAGCAAACGATGATTGTTGGCAAGCTTGAATAATGCTTGATGCGAGAGAAGTTCCATAAGTTGGCATTGTTGAAACGGTTGCAAAACCAGTTGAGAATGGTTGTGGAGGTGGGACATGTGTTTGTTGTTGTGGAGGTACATAGGTCGTTGGAGGTGGAACATAACTTGACGTTGGAGGAATATAGGTAGTGGTTGTGTGAGGTTGCACAAAGGTGGAAGTGTGAGTTGGAACACCAAAGCTAATTCCACTGGATCCAATACTCACATTGAATGAGGGAGTTGAGGTAGTGGTGGTTGTAACAATATTCGATGATGGTTGAACAATGGAGGTTATTGCTCTGAAACAATCTCCATTCTGAAGTGGCCAAGTATTGATATCAAAAGTGTCAACACGGAAAGCAGTGTCAGCTCCTTGGAAATCAATGAAAATAGTGTACTTGTTTTGTGAAACATCACGAACAATGTAAGTATAGGCTCTTCTTGAATCTTGTTGATTTTTCAAGATGACATAACCAGTGTGTGGTTGTGATTCAACAATCCAAGTCTTTCCTGAATTTTCTCTGAAAGTAACACCCATCAAATTCACATGCATGGCTTTCAAAGTGTGAGAAGGAGTGGTATTCAAAGTTTGAGAAGGAACACCAGCCAAATTGTGAATGGTTGCAGGTGCCAATGCAACTCCTGTGCTCACACGATAAAACGTATCACTTTTACCAGTCAATGCAGTTCCATCCAAACTTGGAGTCAATTTCCAATGAACATTTCCATCAAAAGTAATGTGAATGGAGAATGAAGATGCTCCTACAGATGGTGACACGGCAACAATGGTTCCGTTCGCTTGTCTTCCAGTACCTTCCTGAGTCCAAGTAAAATGATTGCCGTTTTGTGTGCAGTGCCAAATTTTGCCAGAGTTTTCTCTCCATGATCCTGCTAATACTGGTGACATATTACCCATTTTCGAATGCTTGTGAATTGTGTGAATGTAATTTGTTGAATGGTGAGATGAGAGCAGGGCTCCGTTTTGTTTTTTTTTAATGGTAATATTGAAATTACCTCCTCTCGTGTGATTTTATTGGATTTGAATCGGAACGCAAAACGGTAACCCTGTAAAAACTATGAAAAGATTTTTGTGATTTGCGCTTCCATTAGTCCATCCACGAATCGATTTGAAATTGCATGAACTTGACTGGTCACACGGTACCAGCAAAAAAACAAAGAAAAAAGGCAAGGGTGGATTTACGCCACCAGTCGCTTCTGATCCTTGGGCAGATTTCGCGGTGTTAGAATTCTACTACTTGCCTCGAGCGTATCACCAAGTTTTAATGACTCAAAAGGAATGACTAGATGTCGGTTGTGTTCATGTTATGGTTACAGGAAAGCAAAAAATTTCAAGCAGGTGCAATCTGAAAAGGGATGGTGTTTCAAAGTTTAATGTTCATGAGATATTTACCACAGGATGAAAAAATCTCGTTTACAACAAATTTCTAAAACTCAAACAAATTCGAACAACAAATGGTGTTGTCAATTCTTAATCCAAACGCAGGTTTCACTTTTGTACGAAATAGAGAACTGTTATCTTCTTGGCCCTGATGGATCCACAATTTATTGAAACCGCAACTTGTATAGCAACTTTGGAAAGGTGAAGTGATTTGCCTGCTTGAAAGAAATCCTTTTCTCGTTCCTCAAAGTACTTTTCATTCTGGAACAGCCTCTGTGAACTATTTTACAAAAAATGAAAACATCATTGCGAAAGGAGGATCATCACGCAGAATCGGTGTGGTATTGCGGTCTACAAGCAAACTCAGGTTTTCGGTATGAACAAGGATTTGAACCAAGCTTTTTGAAATTATTGTACAAGCCTTCCTGCTTATCCCGAACTAAGAACATTAAATCCAAAAAAAAAATTAAATTATTTTGCGATGAAGAGAAAAAACAATATGGCGATGATGAGCCTTTAAAATTTTCATTTGTTTGTAGCGGTGGTGACCTGAATGTTTCGTATAGTTTGATATTCTTATGGGGACAGGAAACAAAATTCTTCCTGTCTATTTCAAGCAAGCTGCACTATCTCCGTAAAGTGACTTTTCACGAATTATTTAAAGGAATGAAAAAGGCGAATTTAGGCTTGCCAACATCCAAGGAGATGAAACGAGTGGTTTGCAATAATTGCAGTCATGTTATTTTTGAAATGATGGACGATAGACTTTTTATTTATGATGTCGAATCGTTCAAGATGAAGCCTTTCAAAGTGCATCGACGGGGTGATCTAATTGCTATCGGAGCTGGTACGATGTCTCCCTATTTTTTACTTTATACGAAACAGGATCCTACTCAATTTATTGCCTATCAATGTGAAACTGAGACTGAGGAAGCATTTCCAGTTCCAGATGATAAGACAAAAATCAAATTTATGACATCTTATTGCAATGATTTATTCATATTTATTTTGGAGGATAACAAATTTTACATTAGAAAATATGGGTCAGAAGCATGCGGTTTTGATTATTACCCAAAAGGGCGTATGGTTTATGTAGAGACACCTTTTGAAAAGCGTTCTCCTGTGATTCAAATTTCATCTGGTTATGCACATTTGGCAATCCTTCTTCAAAGCGGAGCCGTATTTGTGAGAGGGCTCAATGATCATGGTCAACTCACAAGCCATCCTGAAATCATTATTGAAGACTTATTTTTTGAGCTTAATATTTCTTCCCCAATTCAATCACTGTGTTGTGGATCTATTTGCACATGTTTAATTAGCGTAACAGGTGAAATAATTTTCATTGGTCCAGTAGTACTGGAATTAAAAAAACAGAGCAACATTGATCAAAAATTTAGAGGGTACAACAAGATTTGGGTTCTCAACAAAGAATACGACGATCAAGAAGTGAGGTATGTTCGCTTATTTCGTATTTGGTTGTTTAATTGTGAAATATATTCATGAATATATTTCAGCTTAGGGCCATGGCATGCATTTATTTACAGAAAACGGTTTCCTATCAGAAAGTCAGATTGGCTTTTCTTTTTGAAGTTGAAAGAACTCACCGGAAGAAGCGCATTAAGTGACATCATGTTTAGTTTTAACGAAAATTCTGATTCTTGTTCACCAATGAAGGTGTTCCAAAACATTCTCAATCTGACTCAAAAGATTTTGAAGAAATGAAACACAATATTTTCCAAAAGTTTTTGTGACACATTTATTAAAGAAGCACACAATCATCATTGCTTTCTGGTACTCTATAAAATTGCTTGAATGGATCTTGGGAACGAATAAGATCAAGAATTCTCGGTACGATAAATATTGAAGTCGTATGGAGCCACCATGGGGGAGAATCATTTTCTCTGGCATACTTGAAATCCTCTTGTGTGAATCGATTGCTATCAAAGAAGGCAAGTTTGGCAAATCTCCATACCGACTGAATGGAATATTGAGCCAAAAAATTTGCGTATACAGTCTGAACTTTTGGAAAATACTCATTCTCAATATCAAGTGCTTTCAATTTGGCAAACAAAAAAGCAAGCACGTCACTCTTGTCTATTAATCCACCAGAAGTAGGTTTGAACTCTTCTAATAGTGACAATACAAAGTTATTATTCATCAATAAAGTGTGATAATTTTGGGCATATTCCTTTCGCTGATTCCATACCACTGGAAAGTTTTCTTGAATAAACAATTGAAATATAGCAATCATTAATCCTTCGTCGTTTTCAATCTCTTGCCCAATGGATGCTTTTTCATTGTTGGCCTTGTCGACATTCAAATAATTTCTATAAATGTCATGATTATTAAAGGCCAATATCGTATGACAACCCACAAAGTTTTGCATTTTGTAATGTCCTGCAAAGGGAGCTGTTTCAGAACAACCACTGTCATGAAACAAAAAATCAATTGTTGAATTATTTAAACTGCAAATAGAGGCCTTCTTGGTCGCTTGATGGATGAAGGAAATTTCACACGGAAATCCAGCATATCTTTCCAGCTCGTTGCGATCAATATTAGGTTCAAGTATGATGGGTTCTGCCGTGGACATAACTATTTTTTTTTGTAAGGTTTTTCAACACATCACCTTTCCTTGACAAGTTGACATTTCACAAAAGTATTGAGCTCAATTTTGCCTGTTGAACAGTTGAAACATTTAGGAAAGTCTAAATAACTAACCAAGCTTTTGAATATCGTTTTGCTTCTGTTAAGGCCTTCCAATGATTTTGTGAAATTAAGCGAAAACCAGTTCCCATCCAACGCTGAATGAGTGAATTGCCAAAAACACCCTAATTTAAAACCATTTCCTATGAACAATATGACTTACATCCATACAATGAGGTCGAGATCTCTCATCCACCAATTTCACACATTGAATCAAAGAAGGAGGAACCAGTAATTGTAATTCTCGTTCCAATCTCTTTTCAATTCCATGCCGTTGACAATTTCCTCCAGAAAGTGAAATTGTTGAAAATAATTCTTTTCGTAAATCGAGATCACACTTCAAGACGGAATGATAAATTTCTGAATGGAGTCCATCCATGTCGTTGTCTCTTGGAATGAAATTGGGATCGAAGAGAGGTTGACTTGTTTGAATACTTTCCTTATCGAGAGTGATGAGCATTTCATCGGGAAGTTCATAGGTTTTTTCAATGCTTTTGGACATATTCATTTCTCTTTCGAAATCATTGCTGACAAAACAAAGTGTTTCCTTAATGTGTTGAATGATTGGAATGAGGGACATGCCACCTGTCATTAGATATCCTTTTTCGGATATTAACAACTTGATCAAATACATGGTCAAGTCATGTCCACCAATGTCCATTCTTTTAGAGGCATGTTTTAATGCAAAACCTTCATACACTGGAACTAGGGTCGTAATAGAGTCACCAGAATTTACCGAACAACCAGTCACATAACCATTTCCATATAAAGACATGACATTTCTATTGGCCAAATACATGGCAGGAATACAGAACTTTTCAAAACACAACATGGTCAATTGTTCTCGATTTTCTTTCGGTGTCAATGCACATTCTGTCATGATCAATCCTTGTTGTTTTGTATCCATTTCCAATTCCTTAAAAGTATAAAGAAGTAATAATTCAAAATCATTCCATTCAGTAATTAATGTCCAACGTAATAATCCTTTTCAACAATTACATTGGAAGTGAGGAGAGAACGTTGTTTGAGTCGTCCAATAAGTGATGGAAAATCATGACTCGGAAATGTATCGAAAATAATGGAATGTCCTGCTCGTAAAGAGGTCGAACCTCTCTCGAGAATGATCACACCTCGAGGTGACCATGAAGATGATGGTGCATGACGGTCTTTTTTAAACTTTCGGTTGTCTCCATGTTTCATCTCGCTTCAAGGATCAATCTGTCTCTCAGAAAAAGAATGAGAATGGAAATCGAAAAGGTCTGCAAGTTTCTTGAAATTTAAAAGAATAAATAAAAATTGTAACATAAAAAAAATGCAAGTACACTCTGAGAAATTAAATCATCCCGTCATGCCCGGAGATGAAATTGCTTGTTTATCAACAGGTAAACACACGTCATCAACAAGTTCAGGAAATGAATCAAATACAACAACAATGGCCATGATTCAACAATCGGGAATTATTAAAATTGGACCAGGACTTTTTCAAACAGAAAATAATATTATTGCAACAAAGGCTGGAATCTTGAGGCTAGTTCCACCGAATAGATATTTTGTGGATAATAATCAACATCGTTATGTTCCGATGGTCGGAGATATGGTTATTGGAGTTGTGAAGGATAGAGTGCCTGTGGAACAATATAGTGTGGATATTTTAGCTCATCAAGGATTAGCGTTATTGCCATTTATCGGGTTTGATGGCGCTACCCGAAGGAATAGACCTGACTTGGGACCTGGCTCACTTGTTTATGCACGTGTTACTTTGGCAAACAAAGATTTAGATATTGAAATAACGTGTGAAAGTGCGCCTGGAATGAAAAAGAAAGATTGGAGTACTGGCAAATCTGTATTTGGAGAATTAAAAGGAGGATATGTGGTGGAGTGCTCTCTAGGAATGGCTAGAAAATTATTAGATCCAAATTGCTACCTGTTAAAACTAATTAGCGAATATGTGAGTTTTGAAGTAGCTGTGGGATTGAATGGAAGAGTTTGGATTAATTCAGAAAATTCAAATGACTCTGTTTTAATAGCCAATGCTATTCAGAATTCAGAGCATTTGACCCAAGAACAAGTTGTACAAATGTTAACATTCCTATTCAAAACAAAGAAAAAGACCAAGTGAATTATCGAATTATTTCTTATTTTGGTGTTGCAAAATTTTGTGCAAAAATTATTATTATTTCACTTTTTCAACTCGAAACAACATCGTCGAAAGTTTTTCCACTATTTCCAACTCGTGAATAATCTTGCAATCCAAAACTGATTGTTTTCTAAGGATCCTTAGAAACAAGTTTGCAAGCCTGTTCCACAATAAAACAAATCTCTGATTGCTCACACACGCAAATTGTTAATGCGACGAAGGATACTTGCTGAGATAATTCAAATAGTCATCAATTCGAGGACAGGTGACTTGTAACTCTTTGAATGATTTTCTCATCACATCGTCTTCATCAATAATCTTTGACACATACACCACACCTCCGTTTAATATCTTTGTGCACGGCAGTAAGAACAATAATCTTGGATATTGTGAATAAAATTGAATCAATGATTGCTTGGTTGACTCATCCAAATCACTTCTTGTCAATTTGTACAACGTATCATACAATGGTTTTGAACTCTCTGTCTTCATAAACAATTTAATGCTTTGAGTAGGCACATAATCGAAATCATCTGATCTTTTCAATAAATCCGTAAGTAATTTTGTAAAAAATTCTTTTTTTGAGAGGACTTGCACGGTTTTTATCGGCAGCAAACTAGCCGCATCACTATCATCATTGAACCAACAATCATCAAGCCTCTGCACTGTTTTTAAATAATCCAATAGATTCACTTGATGAAAATTTTTCATATCCAGCTCTTTTCCTAGATTTGCAAACTGATCATCGGGAATGTATTTTAATATTGAAAATATGGTTTCAAGCCTGTCCATTGGTTTTTGCTCTGTTAGTGCTTTCATGATGCGAGAAGCAACTCGGAGCCTTCCTAAATCTTTAATGCTATCCTTTCTGCAGAAGGAAGGCAATGAAAGATGAGTCTTTTTTCGCTTTACATTAGAAAGCGATGTGGTTTTTGCAACAAGACTTGTTGTCGAGGATGAGTTGGATCCAATATGTTCGTCAAAACCTCGTTTCATTGCAATAGTTAAACAATTTTTTGAGTCCACTCCATTATGATGAGAGTTTAGATGATGAAACAAAATTGTTTGCATTGGTCTCAAACTCTCAATGAATTGAGATGAAATCACACACACACTTTACTGCTTGTTGTTGTTGACCCTACACTTTTTGTTCATGATATGCATACTACTTAAACCTTTGAGGACGGTTTCATTACTAAATTCAGATCTTCAAAATTCCCAACCTTTCGCACGCACAAATCGAACGCGTCCTCTCTCTGAAAGAAGTATTGGCCAATCCACAAAGTATTTGAAGATCTTCCTTTTGGAAATTCAAGAAAAACAAATTGATCATCAGATCTGGACCATGATGAGTTTCGTCCACACAGAGCTCACATCCACCGACGTGATGAAACCATCGATCGAAACCAATGCCACTAACAACACCACACTATTTCACCAACCTCACTACCAGGAACTTAAATCTTCGTTCACACGTCCAATTTCAGAATCCAATTTTCACGAAGGAGAATGTTTCTTTCAACATCAAGTAGGTCTTAGTGAGGACAAGTCCTCTCAACTCTCTCAATTTGTTCGAAATTACATGCCCATGCAACATCGAGAGTTTTATGAAAAGATGCCCTTTTTACTTGTTTCATCCATGGATGAGAAGGAAAGAGTATGGGCTTCTATTATTGTTGCTCATCCTCCTTTCTTACAAGAGAGTACCAATGTTCAGACTTTACAAGAATCAACAAATGATTTGACATTACCTTATCAGGCAAAACCTATGGTTTCATTGGCAAGAACACTTGACGATCGCTCGATTCACATTGAAACCATGCTCTTGCATGGGGATCCCTTACAGAACAATCTTAAATCTGAAATTCCTATTGGAATTCTTGGAATTGAACCTCATACACGAAGAAGAAATCGAGTGAATGGCCGAGTGAAAGGATCTGTTGCATTTTCTAATTCAGGTATCAATGATCATCATGAAACAGTTTCATTCTTATTGGAGGTTGATGTGACTATGGGAAATTGTCCTAAATACATTCAAGCTCGAGAATGGAATTGGAAAGATCGACGAAGAGAGGAAGGTTATGGTAATGTCTCTCGAGGACTATGGGTTCTTCCTTCGCAATTGGAAGAATTTATTTCAAAGAGTGATGCGTTTTTCATTGCATCTGCTTCAAAAGAGTCAATGTCATCTAGCTCTCTCAATCCTACTGAGCATGACAGACGACAGGGTTTGGATGTTTCACACAGAGGAGGAAAACCAGGTTTTGTCACAGTAAGCAGAACTATTTCTCAAGTAGAAAAGACAGAACAGACAATCCTGGAGTATCCTGAATATTTAGGGAATTTCATGTTTAACACTTTGGGTAATATTGTCACGAATCCAAAGGTTGGATTATTATTTATCAATTTTGATAATGGAGATTTACTGTACATGACAGGGAAAGCATTTGTAGCTCAAGGATTTCAATCCAAACCTGGAGCTCAACATACCGTTCGTTTTTATTTAGAAGAATGGATTTATTCTCAGAAACAGGTCCCTTTTGAGTGGAAATACCTTTCAGAATCCATCTATAATCCTCAGGTTCAATTCCAATCTTCCTTGTCAAAAGTCAACTCCAACAAGTTAGGAATGGACTCAATTGTTGTGCGCTGTAAGGATCGTAAAAAAGAAACCCATGACACAGTGACTTATACCTTTTCAACAGCAGTAGCTTTGGGAACTCTTCAAAAAGCAGGTCAATATGGAACCTTTTTAATTGACATGGGTCCATCAGGAGTTGTAGAACGATCTTGGACACTCACTTCTCCAGGTGGAGCAGGTCTCTATGAAATTAGTATTACTGTGAAGACAAAAGAGGGAGGACTTGTTTCAAATTACTTGTATGAACACATGTGGCCAGAAAAAGAATTACGTCTGAAGGGAATTGAGGGAACATTTACATTGGAAGATTGTATTCATGATTTGAATGAAACAAAATATTTGGTTTTCATTGCAGGTGGAATTGGTATCACACCGTTTATGAGCATTTTGAGGAGAAAAAAGTTGCAACAGTTGCAATCGATCATTCCACAATTGGAAAAGATTCACTTGATTCATGTCGTGAGAACTGAACAAGATTTGGTGTTTAGAAGTGAAATCGAGAAAATGGTCCATCATGAGTTTAAAGATGTGTTCGTGTTTCATCCATTCTTGACGGCAAGTCATATTTCTGAAGACTGGAAAGGAGGACGAGGAAGATTATCCAAAACGGATTTAGAGAAGATCATTTGTCATGAACAACTGCTTGAAACACAGGTAATGATGTGTGGACCCTTTGGATTCATGGAAAACATTGAAAATATTATGCAGGAGATTGGGTTAGAAAAAGGAAGACTTCATTCAGAACAATTCAATTTTTAGAGTTTGAGGTGACATGTGTGTGGATTATTTCCATCATTCCAATGAGAAGCGTCAATTCACATTAATACTCTACGCTTCGTGAAAACTAAATGCAACGAGAGCACTCATAAACATTCTTTATAAGATCGTAATGAAATTTATAGTTGATCTTGAATGACAAAACAACTTTCAAAATTCAGATTCATCATCATCTTTCATATTCGAAGAAGATGTGTTTGAATCATCTTGCGTATAACCAATGTTCTCAATGACCTAAGCTGAAAACATCAACCTCAACAATTTCAGTTCTCTCGTCTTTGTACAACAAACGCTTGCGTGAGGGTTTCAAAAGGTAGGGCTTTGTCATGGTTTATTAATGATACTTCTGCCGCAGTCTTTAGAATGTAGACATGAACAAGAAATCGATCGGCTCTTGTTTTGTTCTCATTAATGATGGGTTAAAGAAACATGAAAGGGAAGATTCCCAAACATCGCAATTGATATTGGGTCTGAAAGTAGGATAAGGTTGTAACAATGTGCAAGGTTTCATCATCCGATATATTAATGGCGTTGAAGTCAGCTTTTCAAAAGTCGTGTGGTGAAAATGTGAACTTTGCAATTCGAAAACTCAAAATTCGAATTGATATTTCAAAATCTCCTACATAAACTTCGTGAAAATTTTTTAGATTGCAATAAATAGACACTCAGTGCCAGCATTATATCAAACAAGCGTCTCTTGTAAAAGTAAAAAAAGAAACGAACTGCAATCATGGCTTTTATGCAGTCGTTCGAATGGCTGTCACGCCCTTTGTGATCCTCAGTTGAGTCACAAAGGGCGTGCAACTTCTCTCGCGGTGCTCAATGTTTCCTGATTAAGCATCATTGATTTAACGACGATCATGACAAGGAAGCTAACAGCAACTACTCCACCACCAAGTATTTCATTAAACATGAACACCCACTTCAGGAAGGGTTAATTTCTTGAAATCTTTGTAATGAATGATCATGAGTATAAATAAATATCAAAAGAGATCTTACAATTCCAGAAGTTAGTTTTACAATTGCGAAAAGAAAGAAATGGTTCGAAAATTTTCTTGAAATTATGTTAAAAAGCTCATCAATGATGGGTGAAATATGGAAAACTGCATGTAGAACAAAGTATTCTATTGGAGAGGTTATAAAAACGGTTAAGGAAATTGCCTGAAAGTCCTACGAGTGTAAATCCCCAGACTAATGCTGCGATCCCCATCCGGATTTTGAATAAAAGCTTTCGTGTTAATGAATTCCTTGCTTTTCCATCCACAACTCTCCAACATGGAATTGATCTACCTCCACTTTCTTGAGGAGAGGACGGTTTCTCTGGAGAAACCGATTACCGGACTCAGAACCCTTCACCGGTTTAAAACCCGATCACTGGTCTAAAAACCGGTTACCGGTTACAACTACAATTCTCCAATCTGTTGCCCCTCAACTGTGTCGGCTGAACCACCACTACATCAATATCAGAGATGACAACCCTCGAACAAACCACGAAAATTAGCTGAATCCAAAAGAAATTTCTCAAACGAGTGGAAGTAAAAAGCACCAAAAAAAAGAAACACAATTATTGTTTGCAAACAAGTTATACAGATGACGTTAAAAAGGAAACCGAAACTCATTTGGAGGTTGGTCAACTCGATCATTACTAAAAATGAGTTGGATTGTAGGTTGAATGAGAGATGTAAGGCACATAATGCACAGGAAAAATGTGTTTGTAACAATCACAGTTATGTAATGCATCAATATCATTGATAATTTCTCCATACTGAACCACCTGTTTCTCAAGCACTTCCAACAAAGTCACACACGCTGACCATTTGTGTGGGTCGTGTTCTGTGTTCAGCGAGCGGATCATTAAAATCTATGTTCTACATGATCAAACAAAAAGAATTCACTCCAATGTGAGAATTCATCCTCACATTTACAAACATGTATTTTGTGTATTGAAAACACAATAGCAAATTTGACGAGATCCGTTCTCTTTAAAGGTTGGTGACATCCAAAGGACGGATGTTCAGCGAGTTACGAACCCATTAGTTTCTTTAATTATTACCAAACTCCTGCTGTTTACAATGTAGAAACATAAGCATTATTGGAGACAAGCTGCATGCTTGATCAAGGAGTTCTTCAACAATATTTGAGGCAACCAAGACGTTTATGGAAGAAGATTGCAATAAAGTCTGATGAAAATTTTCCAAAGGATGGATGTTCGGCGAATTACAAACCATTAGTTTTCCTTTAAGTCCAAACTCTTGTTGTTTACAATAGAAACAGTGGGCAAGCTTGTGGATCTTATTGTTAAATAAAGTGAGTTTTAACATACCAAATTACAGGTTCCATCATTTAAAATGCAAAACGTGATTTTTGTGAAAATTCAAAGTGACTACTGAACGTGACATGATGACTTGTTGTTGCGAGATGGCATTTTAGTTATGGCAAAAATTTTCATAAACAATTCTGGCAACTCCCTCAATCCAGAATATTTCTTAGAAGAAGTTTCCACATAGGTCATACATCCCGTTCGTTTCGCCAATTCTACTCCTAGATCACTAGTGATAGGAGCACTCAACTTTTGATATTTCAGTTCGTTCAGAGCTTGCATATCTGTTCTCAGATCAGTTTTACAAGCCACCAATATTATTGGAACTGTTGGTAAATTTTGTCGAATTTCTGAAATCCACTTCTCTGTGATTGCAATATAACTATTATGATTTGTGACGTTAAAACAAACACAAGCAATATCAGCCCCAAAATAGGAGAGAGGCCTCAGGCGATCATAACTATACGTGGATCGATATTCACACGTTCCAGTGTTCGATTGAAGCGCTATTCAACTTACTCTTCACAACCAAGAGTGTCCCTCAAATAAAAACGGTTTATGCTCTTGTCCTGTTCACTCACATAATAAATATATCCCTTATTCATATATTCAGAATAATAATCACCTCTGTCCAGAGTGTCTACCAATTTGGTTTTTCCTACTGACGTAGATCCAACAATAACGACGTTGAAAGACTTGTGTTTCTTTTTCAAATGCTTGTTAATTTCTTTTTGGATTTCTTCATTGTTAACTTTCAAAATTTCTTCTTTTTCTACATAGGTTGTGACGAAAGACAACACTCTCTTGTCATGATCATTGTTTGGAATTGCATCATGTTTAAAATGACAAACACTATTTTTCAATTTTTTGAAATTATTTTCAATCTCTGATTGTACATGACAAACAAATTCTGAAAGTTGTTTTCTAAATTCTCTTTCCATAAAATTCGGTATTAAGCTCAATACTTTTTCATTTTGATTGAACAACAATTGTTCAATTTCGTTTCGGATCTTGTCAAACTTTTGCCGAGAATACAACTCCCAAAATTGATCATCACGTGCAAGAATTGGCATGGGATGGTTTTTACCTGTAGCAATTATTTAGATCATGAATGGTAAGAAATGAAAAGATGATTCGGAAAACGTCTTCATTTAAATATTCGAGCCAACCATTCTCGGACGACATTTTTTTGATGATTCATTGGAGTTGGGTGAAAGAGCAACAAAAGCTTCTCAGGAGAAACAGAAATATTGCTAATAATCAATTTGCCCTCAATTTAACAGCGTATGGTGTTTTCGTATTGTCTACCAACCAGAACGTCAAGAATCGTACTGATTTCTTGTACCTCACTGTTCATACAACCAAAGGTTGTAGAGGTAGAGTCGTCATACTCAGGCATCCCGTCCATAAAAATTGTTTAGTCCATGTTTGAAATTTTTGCTTTCTTGCAATCGTACACGAACATTACACATCTAGTCATTCCTTTTGAGTCATAAAAAACTTGTGAAATTCTCTGGGCAAGTAGTTGTTCCGCGAAATCTGATGCTTGGGCAAACTAATCGGACTGTGCGACAAAAAGGCTACAGCACTGCAGGTTCCCAAGTTGTCTCCAACCTCAGTACTGATGCAGCTCGACGATGCTTAACTTCTCAAATCGGACGGGATGAGGTGCATTCATCGTGATATGGCCGTAGCCATTAACAGTCCCTCATTATCTGTTTTGTCTGTATTCTTAGTTGTTATTCGCAGATCCGTCTGCTGTACGGTTGCTCATTTTCAAGTTTGTCTAAACTTCCACCAATTCTAAGCTTGAAAACCCAGCATGTTTTGAAAGCTTTCCACAAGACGGCATTCAGAGTCCATTCTGTCCTCGGTAATCATGTCGAAATTCTTTCAACCTTCTCATCTTTTGGCTAGTAGCAATAGAGAGGGCACCTTCCATGCCAATATCATTAAAATTCAAATCCAATAAGGTTAAATTCTGAAAATTGTTACCGGTGGCAATAGCAAGGGCGCCTTCAAAACCAACATTGTTGTTACAAAGGTCTAATGATGTCAAACTCTTCAAATATTCACTATTTGAAATGAATTTGGCACCTTCACAGCTAATGTTGTTGTGGCTTAAATACAAGGACCTTAAATTTTTCAAGTATTCAGCATTGGCTAGATATGTGGCACCTTCTCTACCAACGTTGTTGGAAATCAAACTAAGTGAAGTCAAATTGGACAAAGATGCGCTGCTAGAAATGAATTTCACGCCTTCACTGTAAATAATATTTCTATTCATGCTCAATGAGGTAAGCTTTTTCAAATGTTCGCTATTGGAGATGAATTTCGCACCATCATTACAAATGTTGTTTACACTCAAATTTAGTAATGTTAAATTTTGCAAATTTTCGCTGTTAGCAACGAATTTAGCACCCTCACAGCCAATTTTGTTGAAACTCATATCTAAAGAAGTCAGTCTCTTCAAATTTTCGCTATTGGAAATAGCTTGCGCACCACAATGACCAATATTATTTTTTAACAATTCTAATGAAGTTAAATTCTTCAAGTGGTTACTGTTGGAAAGACATTTAACACCTTCACAGTCAATGTTGTTATATCCTAACCTCAAACAAGTCAAATTATGCAAACTCTCAGTGTTAGAAATATAATGAAGATCTTCGTTGTTCATCTTGTTGTGTCGTAAATCTAGAGACGCTAAATTTTGAAATATTTCGCTGCTAAGAAATTTGAGATCTTGATTGTTATTTAAACATTTTAACTTTACGGACGTTAAATTCTTCATGCACTCATTGTTCTCTAAGTGGGTAATAATTCCTAATCCGAGGAACATCCAGTGCAAAGGAATTTTCAACGAAATTTCTCTCCACTGTTTTGAAATTTTCATACAGACCCGAAGGATAAATTTTGAATCAAGAAAAGTAAGCATTTCGAAAATAATATCTGGACAGAATGGTCCATTATTATGATCATCATATGTACTGTTCGTGGTTTTTTGGTTTAAATTTTTTGTTGCAGATAATTTCCTCTTTTTGTTGGCTTGAGATCTTGCGGAAGGCATGATGCTATTTTTTAATGTTGAACAGTGAATTGTAACTTTAACAAAACATGGTGGTGTTCTCATGTTTCCATCCTCTCGTTTTACCTTAATGACGTCTGAAACTGAAACAATACAGTAGTTCACAACCAACAAAGAAATTTATTTTCCTAATTCAGGAAATACATGACAAAGCGGAACAACAAATAAAACACAATGCAAATGACAACCACTACGCTAGCATAAAATATCTCGTCGATAGGGAGGAGGGTTCTCTTGGTAAGAACGGATTCTTGTTGCTTCTTATACTCAACAGCAAGTTTCAAATGATCCTCGTTCTCAGAGATGAGTAGTTTTTGGAAGAGGAAAATCTTTCCCTTTGTGACAGGAGTTAATTTCACAGGCATCACACCACTCACTAAACCGGATGAAGTGGAGGGCTGTGTTGGTGCATCATTGATTTCATCATCACTCTCGCTTTCGTCACTGTAAACATTTTCTTCAAATTCATCTTCATCGTCGCTGAAGTTACGAATATCCTCTTCGCTGGCAGTTCTTCTGATGTTTCCTTGTGGAAATGCGAAAGGTAGTGGTGGTGCTTGTGGTTGTTGATATCGCATTTGTGGCATGGCTTGTTGTTGATATTGCATTGGCAAAGCATTGCTCATCATTTGCATTTGTGGCATGGCGTTGTAACGATTTTGGGATTGAACCTGTCTTTCACTTCTTGGATAAGAAGTATTCGACATTTCTTGACTAACAAAATCTTCAACAGTGGGTTGCTTATCAAAATTAGGCACTTCCTTCATCGATCCTTCAAATTCTCCATAATTGTAATTTTCAGGTAGATAGACATAGTAATAGGATCTGTTGGTTGGAATGTTAAACTTTGGAAGCAAGAGCTCAATCCTTCCATTTTCCGTCATCACTTCTTTCACAGGAACTGTGTAGTAAAGTTCTACTGAGAAGGTCATCTCGGTAGCTCCTCTCTTCAAAGGAATGAGAATTTTACCTTCCTTATCAATGGCAGGTCTGACAATCTCTCCTTTAACACTGGTAGAATAGAGAGCATACTGAATGTCCTTTGGCACAAGATCTACCTTGGCATAGTTTTGTGAAGAGTTTTTCACTTTCATGGCAACTCTGTAAAACAAGTGACCACTCTCAGAATATGTAATTTGGTACAATGCTTCTTCAATCACTGCAACCAAGACTTGTACATCATCGTGTTTCTTGATATCAAGGAAAATATCGGTTCCCAGTGATTGCAAGAACTTGTAACCAAATAGTAATGAGTCAGAGGTTTTTGAGGTGATTTTAGTTGGAAGCTCAGTGGTAGCCAACTTGGTTAAGCCCACATTCTTCAAGTCCTTAATTTCGACGTTGGTAATTCCTTCCACACCAATGAATCCCTTATCCCTATTCACATTCATACATGAAAAGGTTGGCAAATGGACCTTACAACTTTCAGATTTCATGTCCTTTTCTGTTAAAAGTTTGAGTTGATAGCTGCCTTCCACACCACAATGCAAAGTCACTTTCAAAAAGTATTCAGCATACGCTGAAGCTGTTTGAATGAAGGAGTTGATACCCTCTGAATGAGTAGAATTCAAAAGTTGAATGGAATAATTACTCTCACTTTGATTGTCGTTATTGAAGGGTGTTACTCCTTGTGTTGGAGTAGAGGCATTGGTGGCAGCAGATTTCAACTTTTTAATCTCCCAATTCTTGATATTACGACCATCCACTCGAATGACTCTCAACGGACAGACATCCTTCTCAAATTTGTCGTGAGGAGAATCCTTCATTTGAAGCAAGACATAGAACGTATTTACAGATCCATTCACAATGGTATAGTCCAAATCAGCAGAGGTTGAAATGAGTCCACCTCCCACACTGTGTAATACATGCTGTTCTACACTAATGTTCAATTGCTTCTCTTCCTTCTTTTCTTCTTTCTTTTCCTTCTTTTCATTCTTTAATGTGTTCTTCAACATTTCTTGAATGACCTTTTCAGATCGCTTCCAATACAAGGAGAGTCTGTAAGTTGGAGGAAATGAACAATCAGTCAAAATTGTGGATCGTTGCTTTGAAGAATTTTCTTCAAACTTGGTAGTGAAATGAGTAGAAGGCTCTACATTGAGATCATAGAAATCTCCAATAATCTCAAATCGACGCAAATGATTACGAGGTGCACAGAATGGGAAGGTAATGTCCAATGACTTTTTCTGATCAGATTGATAAGGAACACAAAGATTGAGTGTGACATGATAACGACCACGGTCATTGGTGTGTAAGCAATAAGCACCGTCAAAGACACCAATAAAACCAACATTATTTTCTAATGGCACTTCCACTTCTTCCTCCTTTTCAAAGTAATTGGTAATGACATCTTCTGATGCAGAATTCTTGCTGGTATTCTTTTCCTTGCTGACGGTATATCCCAAAACAGTTAACTTGTCGTTGACATCAAAGAGTTTAAATTTGGTGTATCGATCAACCAACACCAAAATACAAATTTTACATTGAAGAACAACCTTATCCTTTTCTGTTTTTCCTTCAATGTCCATTTCTTGAATCATGGTTTTTCTTGGAGGTTCTTTGTCCTTGTTGCTGCTAATGTCATCCAATACATTGGAATACTTGTCATATGCTGAGAGTAAAGTTAGGAATTGATTGAGAGGAACCTCAACTTGATCTTTCTCATCAAATTTAGGTGCTTGAGGAGAGACGTTATTCTTCTCACCATTGTTGTTGTTGTTACTAGCATCTCCGATCATAATAGATCCCTGAAGAAGAGGAATGTCCTCTGTAGAAGTGGTTGTGGTTAAACGTTGATCGTTACTGCTCATATTGATCTCTTATAATGATGACAAAGAAGATTTCAATTCTCTATTGTTGTTTGATCAATCAATCGGGTTAAAAAAGAACACGGAGGAACTGAATGCCAGTAGGTGATTTTTTTTTGAGATGTATCTTGATCGTGGCATGTTCATTGTTCATTATGTGGCCAAGTCAAGGTTCACTATTACCATCAACGCAGCCAATCTGCTGCATGTTTCATGATCACGCATGGATTCTAAAAGAAGAATAGGACGCAAACGCTTGCCACCTTTCGTGCACAACATGAACTCGCAGCTGATGAGAGCTGTTTCCGTGGCAACGACCAGACCAGGTTCCGTTGAAACTCCAAATTCTCATGGAAATGTTTCAATACATTTGGGATGGACCAATCTCAGCCAGCCAAAATTTGGGATGGTTCAGGTTATTTGGGACGAGTTAATTTCCCCGACACCTATCGGTTTCATTGGTTGAAGCCAATCCCTAATTGCCCTCCATGAACCAAAGATACGGTAGATCTGGTCGCTACGGTAAACAATGAAACCAAATAAATGTTCGACAACCTATCCTCTGCAAAGAACACAGAGGTAAAGAAGCTGTTGTCCACTGAGTGGAAAAATTTATCGCAACCTCATGTGATGGTAGTACACACAAAATACCATAGAACAAGAGTTCAGAATGTGCCACAGATGGATAAGGTGAGGGAAAAACTTTTAAATAAGTTAGGTTACATCCCTGTCTTCATATTCCTTCAACAGTTTGCCAAATGTGGTGATAGTCCTGGTCCTTATCGAAATTGTGATAAGGCACTAATGCTTCTCTACTTTATGGTGCAAGGTTTGCCTTTTGATGGTACTGGCCTTCCAAAAAGCACTCTTCATAGAGTGTACAAGTTCTTCTTTAAAGAACATTACACTGAGAACAAAAAATGGGCAGCTTATGCGTTGAAAACCTGGTTCTCAACTCCATTGCTAAGAGTATTAACTGCACAAACTGAAAATCCGACCACAAACGAAGGAAGGGAAGTTGTGACAATGCATGGGGATGGACATGACACAGAGTTTGATTACGCCCCAGTTGACGAGAATGAAATCGTCTCAAGAAAAGACCTTTATTCGTGGAAGCTAAAGAGAACAGGTCTCCGCACTCAAGTAATTCAGGACATTCAAGGGTTTGCATTAATGGTATCAGACGCAGCTAAATGTAAAGACAATCCTGATCAGACCATGTTTAAGAAAACGCCAATCCATACTCTAATACATCCAACCGATGTCCTTCAACTTGATGGAGGATATTCCTACAAATGGATCATTAAAAAGGCTCCATATACTCCACCACAACCACAAAAGAAATCAAAAAGTCGTTAAATCCTACCAAATAACTTTTGGGATGTTCATAATAAAAATTTGGGATTAAGGCAGAAAACTTTTGAAACAACATCGTTTCACTGGAACGTTCAAAAAAAAATGGTATCTCCCAATTCCCGCCACCTCTTTCAATTTCATTAAGGAAGACCGATCTCAAATCTCCGTTCCGAGTTAATTGAGCACAGCATCTCCCTCGATCAGCTTTTTGAAAGATCTTTCCCAAACAATTAAAAAATTATTACAAAAATGACCCAAATCTTAAGGGGCTGCACTCGCCTGTTCGTTTTAGCATTGGCTTTACTGATGATGTCAACATACCTCGACAGTTCGTTATCCCTGGTCATCATAAAGACAATGCATGCAGATGATACCAACATCCAAAAGAATACACCTTCGGATTCACTAACTCATGATACTGGAGGATCGTCATCTCCCTCAACACCACAAATCGATAGCATACCTCCGATTTCACAAGCAACTGTAGATGGCCTCTATCATTCTTTGATGAGTTTTATTCAACAAGATAATGGAAGAATATTTGTTGAACAAATGATTCAATCGATCATTCCGAAATATTTAAAAGAAACCTCTGCTCCCACTTTTTCAAAAAATGTTGGAGAGGAGTCTTCATATGGACTTGTAGAAAATTCATATCAATTTTCGAGGACCACAGATGAAAATTCACCATTTAAATTGCTCACGAATCAACAACAAAACTTGTTATTCTTTATTGTCGGAGCTGCAGCTGAAACTTACAAGAAAGTTGTTCTTGGGCAACATCAACAAGAGCATTTATCCAAATTTGATATTGACAATGCTGATAACGCTCGTCAATTGGATAATTATGAACAAGATTTAATTCGGCTCAAAGTTAAATTATTCTTTGAGGAAATTGAAAGAAATGTAAAACAAGGCGTTTCAAAAGATAAAATAGGATGGCTCCTCAAACAATTGAAAAAGCGTGACACCATGGTCCAACAAGAGTTTGATGTGGAAGGAAATATTATCACAGAAAATTCAACCGCCGAAAGTCAATTGTTGGACGATATGGAGGCATTCCTAGAAAAGTCATTATATGAAGAAGAAACTGAGCTTTTCAAAACATTATATCCTAAAGCTGATGAATGCTCTAAATACAGCGGAGTTTTATTTGTAGGAGGATTGTATACAGATTGGTATCCATTCTATTTTCATGGTTTAAAGAAGCATTTAAACGAATGTGGAATGAAATTCAAAATTTCTAAGGTTAATTCTGGCGGGTCATTAGAAAAGAATGCTCTATTTCTGAAAAACGAAATTATTGAATATTCAAAAGAATTGAATGTCACGAAAGGTGTGTTACTAATAGGCCACTCTAAAGGAGCCTGTGATGTACACCGAACACTTTCAAAATACGAAAATGAGTTAAAAGATCATGTTAAAGGAATGATTGCTCTGCAGGCTCCTTTTGCAGGCTCTGCACTTGCCAATGACATTTCTGAATATGGAGCAAGCAAAATTGCATTACTTTCCATTCTAGTTGAGGGTAAGTTTGATCAGATTGAGAGATTTCAACATATCATTTGTAATAATGTTTATGTACAATCGTTAGAAATTTTGGGAGGTGAATTGCAAGCGATAGAGGATTTGAGCTATGAAAATAGAAAGAGAGTAATTGAAGAATACCCATACAACAATGAGACATTTCCTTGCATTTCGGTGAGCAGTCATTACCAAGCGCCTTCATCCTTGTTATATCCCGCAATTTCTTATTTGAATATGAGATATAATGTTAAAAATGATGGAATGGTAATTACCATGGATGGATACATTCCAGGATGTAAATATATTGTAATTCCTGAAATGGATCATTCAGGAGGTGCATTTACTGGCTTTCCCAACCTGAGTGAATATGATCCTGCCAAATTAGCCTTAACTCTGGTTCATATTTTCCACCATTATTTTTCACACAAGACGAACCAGTTGCAATGAAATTTGCTTGTCCTTTTGTTTGCTTGCTGATTTGATTGTAACCAATTGAAATGATGTAACTTTGCTTTCTCATTCTTTCACCCTTCTTAACGGGTTGATGCAAAATCGCATCAAAACCTTCCAATTCGCTACCACCGCAAACTTTTCAAAAAAAACTCTCCAAAGCACCACACCAAGTTGCGATCTGCTACTCCGAGCTCCCGAGTTCTCTAACCACCACTTTCATCATCCTTTCAAATTTTCCAACAACAACACAATAATCTAATTAGAAATGGGCAATACTTCACCAATCGTAGCAGGATCATGGAGAGAAAAATCAGGTAAAATTTGGCACTGCACACAAAACGGCAATCAATTTACTTGGACTCAGGAAGGCACAGGAAGACAAGCGAACGGAACCATTGTTGCTGTTTCTATGGCTCCAGCTTCATTCTCCATTCACATCACTTTTGATGGAAATGTTCATTGGAAATTGACTCCAAGTTTGGATGGAACTGCATTGACTGGTAAAAGTGATACTTTTTATCGTGTGAGCACAGGAGTTGCATTGGCACCTGCAACCATTCACAATTTGGCTGGTGTTCCTTCTCAAACTTTGAATACCACTCCTTCTCACACTTTGAAAGCCATGCATGTGAATTTGATGGGTGTTACTTTCAGAGAAAATTCAGGAAAGACTTGGATTGTTGAATCACAACCACACACTGGTTATGTCATCTTGAAAAATCAACAAGATTCAAGAAGAGCCTATACCTACATTGTTCGTGATGTTTCACAAAACAAGTACACTATTTTCATTGATTTCCAAGGAGCTGACACTGCTTTCCGTGTTGACACTTTTGATATCAATACTTGGCCACTTCAGAATGGAGATTGTTTCAGAGCAATAACCTCCATTGTTCAACCATCAGCCACTGTGGTCACAACAACCACAACACCAGTCTTCAATGTGAATATTGGATCAAGTGGAATCAGTGTCGGTGTTCCAACTCACACAACAACCACCTATGTACCTCCACCAACAACATACGTTCAACCTCAAACAACATATGTACCTCCACCAACAACTTCCTACATTCCACCACAACAAAGTTATGTACCTCCGCAACAACCACAATACGTTCCACCTCCACAACCTTTCTGTGGTGTTTCATCAACAACATTTACTCCACCAGTGACAACATCAATCTATCCAAATATGACTGTTAGCAGCAACCCTTACGGAGGAATGAATCCAATGGTTAATTCAATTGTTCAAGCTTGTCAAAATCAAAATTTTGACTCTGACAAGCTCAAGACTGTTATCACCTATTCCCAATCTCAAATGTCACCAGTGGTTGGAACCGATATCATTAGGATCATTGGCTTGTTTAACTTTGATTCCGACAAGTATAAGGTTATTCAACAATTGAGAACAACAAATAATATTGCTGGATTGGACTCTAACACCGCTGCTTCTATTTTGAGATGTTTCGCTCATGACAGTGATAAAGTCAAAACAGTCCACGAACTATGTCCTTTCATTTGGGATCGCAGACAAAACGCAGAGGTTATTGTGGGTTGTTTCACTTTCTCCACTGACCAAACCAAGGTTAGAGACTATTTGTTCAGAAATTAAAAGTCAACAATTTTTTAATTGATATCAATATTTACATTCTGTGCAATCTGAGAGACAGAGAAGATAGCAACACGCAAATTGAGGAAGAAACCATCGCAATACCAGCCACCCAAGGTGGAATCATCACTTTGATGAGTGGGAAGAAGACACCAGCAGCAAAAGGAACAGCAACAAGATTGTAGCCAAAAGCCCAAATGAAATTGAGCACAATCCTGTTGTAAATACTTCTACAGAGTGAAATTGTGGATACTAAAGCTCTTAAATCGTTCTTCATGAGAATAATTTGAGCACATTCAATAGCCACATCTGTTCCTTGTCCAACTGAAATGCCAACATCCGCTTGAACAAGACTTGGAGAGTCATTGATACCATCACCAATCATAATAACTATTTCCTTACTGTCTTGCAATTCTTTGACTTTGTTCGTTTTACCGGCAGGTGTGAGTTGTGAGAAAATTCGGTCAGATGGGATGCCAATCTTGTCACCTACATAGTTTGCAACACTCTTATTGTCACCAGTCAACATGAAGACCTTTAGACCCTTATTGTGTAAATCTTTAACCACTTGGAAAGATTCTTCTCTAATCTCGTCAGACAAACTAAATAAAGCCTGTAGCTTTTTGTTGACAGCAACAAATACCAAGGTTTGATAACGATTGGAATCATTAAATTCTGGCATGGCGCATTCTTGGTCATACATAAATTGTTGGTTTCCAATATCAATGTGGACATTTTCAATATTACAGCTGATACCTCTTCCTGAAACAGCATTAAATTCGGTCATTGTTGAGGAGGAGACATTAAATAATGCCTCATTATACGACACATGCTGTTTACAGAACTTGACAAGAGCCTTTCCAATTGGATGCTCACTGCTTGATTCTGCAACTGCAGTGTATCTAATAATATCAGCAAGTATTGCATGATCATCAAACATTTCAATATCATCAACAACTAGTTCTCCCTTGGTGAGAGTTCCTGTTTTGTCAAATGTAACAGCAGTTGCCTTTTTAACAATTTCAATTGGACTACCACCCTTAATCAAAATACCATGCTTGGCTCCAAGACCAGTACCGACCATAGTGGCAGTAGGAACAGCAAGTCCAAGTGCACATGGGCATGCAATAATGACAGTAGAAGTGCTGAGCAACAATGCAAAAATATATGGGCTCATGTGGTCAGGTCTCCATTCTTTTGGATACACGTCAAAAGCGCCAAGAATTGCCCAAACAACAAAAACTACAATACTAAGCAAGATGACAGCTGGCACAAACCAAGAAGAAATCTTATCTGCTAATCCTTGAATTTGTGGCTTATCTGTTTGCGCTTGTTCTACAAGCTTTGCAATTCCTGACAAGGTACTGTCTGATCCTACTCTGGTGGCTCTCATGTAAAAATAAGTGTCACCAACATTAACAGTTCCACCAATAACTTCAGATCCAACTTTCTTTGTGACAGGCAAAGATTCACCGGTAATCATTTGTTCATCCACAAGAGCTTCACCGTCCAATGAGGTAATCACTCCATCCACTGGCACCTTATTTGCACGAATGACTTTTAGGATATCTCCTTCTTGAACTAAATCGACATCAATCTCCTTCTCAGAGTTATCTTTTTCATCAACGAGAATTGCAACAGTTGGTTGAAGGTTCAACAAGGTGACAAGAGCCGAAGAAGTTTTTCCTTTCGCAATACTTTCCAATAGTCTTCCAAGTGATAAGAACATGATCAAGGCAGCAGCTGTTTCGAAATAGTCATGCTCAATAGAGATCTTTCCTTCAACCATGTTATAAATGTTTGTAAAGAGAGAATATCCGTAGGCTTCAGTAGTAGCGATTGCAATAAGGACGTTCATATCAAGTGAACGTGCTCTTAATGCCTTCAAGGATAGAAGATAGAATGGGTAGCCACCAATAATCTGAACTGGAGTGATCAACAAAAACATGACAAGGCTCATCACAGTCAATCCTGGAGCCACTTGTGTCATCAATCCCATTTTGGTTTCATGAATGTTGCCAAATATCATGGCAATGATCATGGCAGGAATTGTAAAGGATGCAGCAAAGATAAAGTAGAACATCCATTTCTTAATTTCCTGTTTTCTGGCAAGGGTGTCCAATTTGTTCTTCATCATGGATGATTTAACAATCTTAACGTCAAAGTTGAGTTGATCAGCTCTTGCCACTGCTTCATCATAAATCTTTCTCGCCTTAACCACGTTGCTGTCAAATAAAATAGTGAGCATAGAATTGGAAGCAACGTCTTCATCAGCTCCAACTGAAATGTCAATAACACCTGAAATATGAGTAAGCAGGTCTACCAACTCGTCTTTGTAGCCTGAAGGGACACTTAATAAAAGCCTGTTCTTTTCATGAGACATTTGTTCTGTCAAGCTTTCACACTTGTATCCGAGCGATTCAATTTTCTTCACAATTTCTTGTTCAGTGATAAGTGAATCGTCATAAGTGATATCACCCTTTTGCATGATCAGGTTTACCACTGCAGTACTAACACCAGGCAATTTCTTAACTGCTTTCTCAATTTTTGCAACGCATGATGCACAACTCATTCCATCAATGGAAACAACACACTTCTTGTTGGGAGAAGTGTGTTCAGCTCCATCATTACCATTCAACAATCTAGTATCTTGCATTTCAATTTCAACCTCCTCCATTTCATCAACAGGAGCATACGAGTGTAAAGTACCACCAGTAGATGGGGCCTCTTTCAATGCATCTTCATCCAATTCCTTCTTATACGCAGTAGTTGGAGAAGGTTTAGCTGTTCTAATGGTGAAAATTTCGACCTCCTTTTGACATTCAAATCCAAGACTCTCAATTTTCTCAATCAATACACTTGGTTCGTCATATTCACATTGAACGCTGACAACTTTGCTTTCCAAATCCACGTCAACAAAGTAGACCTTTTCATCGCCTTGAAAAGCTTGAATAATCTTGTTTTTACAGCCTCCACATTTCATTCCGTTCACCTTAATACTGTGCTCTTTGTAATCAGCAAATCTGGTGCATGAGTATCCAAGATTTTCAATTTCTTCAATAATCTTTTCTTCCAATGTTGGATCAGCAATTTTGAAAGCGACCTTCTTTGTCAAAAGATCGATATTCACATCGTGAGCCTTGAATTGATCCTCAAGCAATTTCTTGACTTTGGAGGTACAATTGCCACATCTCATACCCTCAACCTTCAAAGTCAGCAAATTCTCTTGATTATGTTCTTCATGAGCAATCTCAATATTGGTGTTGAGAATATCATAGGTCTTTTTCAAATCATTGGTAAGAATATCATTGATACTATGTCTTGTGGACTCTTGGCTAAAGAAAAAGATGACAGTTTGATCTTCCAAGTCACAGTACATGTGTGATACATCTTTAACATCAGCAAAGGCTTTTTCAACTTTAGAGCTACATCCATTGCATCTCATTTTGCAAGAGTCACGAAATTTAACCTGATGAACCTTCATAGTTCTTGCGCTCTTAATATGGAATAACTTGCGATTGGATTCAAACAAATTGTTTAGCAACTGGAAAAGTGAAACGTAGCCAGAAACATAGATTCTCACTTCTCCTTCACGTTCAGCAATAGAGATGAAGGCTTGGTCTTTCAACTTTTCAATGATTTCCATAGCGCTGTTTTCGTTCTTTTTACGAACCAACACAATTTCAAAGTGATAAATCTGTCTTATTCTCTTCATGAAGCAATTATCAATACATCCAGAAGAAGGATCATTCATTTTGCTTTCGGAAGGGGTTGAGTCTCTCTTTCCAGATTGACAACAAGATGAGGAACAACCGCAAGCCAAGTCTCTCTTCTCAGTGTTAGTAGATTCGGCATCACCACCATCAAAATATTCCTTGATGATTGAGGTACACTGGCAAGAAGAGCATGAGCAGCCACATGAGCTGTTCTTGTCTACATGAAATATGAATGGCGTTTCATCATCGGAGCGCAATTCGTTTGAAATCGCGGCCGGGAGTGCAACAACTGTCATTTTTTTAAATTTGGATTTTTTGTTGGTCTATGTTGGCTTATTAAATAGTTGAGGTGGTGCGGAATTAATAGTGCGCACTCAGAGTTGGAGAAATCCAAAATAATGGTATTTAAGACAAAAATCCGCACGATGGTATTTATTAATTTCATTGTATTTAATTCGTTAACATTAACAGTACGTTGAAATTTTGAATTTAACAGAACTGCACTAAAAAAAATGAGTCAGCAAGAAAAGATTCAGGCTTTCGTGGACTGGGCTGCCAAAGTTGGTGGTTTCAAGCACGAGGCTATTGACTTAAAATTCATCAATGATGAAGAAGGAATGAGTGGTACTCTTAATTCAGACATAGAAGCATCGGAAGAGCATGAAGAAACATTGTTGTCCATTCCGTTAGATATTTGTTTGAATTTTAAAAATATGAGCAACGAATTCAAAGAATTAATATCGGAATTGGAACAGTTTAAAGACGATCAGCTTGATGACGGTCAAGAACTGACCACACAGTGGAAGGGAACAAATATGTTCGAGAATCGATTGGTCGTTTTTTATTTATTTCTGATTCATGAGCTCTTTGTGATGAAAGAGTCGAGTATTTATTTTCCATACTTGGACATGTTACCACAAAATTTTACCACTGCTATTTACTTTGATGAAGATGATTTGAGTGAACTACGAGGTACCAATCTCTATAAATCTATCACAAGTATCAAGGACAACCTAAATCATGTATTCAATTCCAAAGTTAGCTTTTTAAAAGAACGAAGAGCAAAGCTAATAGACGACAATTACACCTACGAAAGATTCATGTGGGCATTTTCTGCTGTTTGGTCAAGAGTTTTTCCTATTGAATATGAATGTGGAAATAATGAAAAGGAGATTGTTCCAACTTTGTTACCTATGGTAGATATTTTGAACCACAAATTTAATGCTAAAATTACATATTTCACAGGATCTGACAGCAGGTTCTATTTAAAAACAAGAGAGTCACTTAAAAAGGGCGACTATGTCTACAATAACTATGGAGCTAAAAGCAATGACTCGTTTTTGCTTAGTTATGGATTTGTAATTCCTGACAATTCAGAAGATACACTCTACGTTCAATTTGGCATTTCAGATACCAACGATGAAGAATTAATTTTGTGTAAAAAGAAATATCTAGAAGATAATTCTTTAAAGTAAGTAGAACATTGCTGAATTAAATGTCAAGAAAATGTTTCATCTAGACTTGGTTATTACTTGAAACAGAAAGATCTACCAGAGGATATGCTGGATGCTATTAGAATTTGTGTAATGGATGAAGAAGACTTTTATTTTGCCAAACAATTTAACATCGATCATCATCGAAAATCTTCAGAACGCTTTAGATTTAACGTGAAAAATGAATACAATACTCTGCGGACACTTAGATCCCTCTTTATATCAAAACGGTCGGTGTTCTCAACTTCTCTTGAAGAAGATATAAAACAATTACGGCAAGAAAAACGGTATAACATGAGAAATATACTTGTTTATAGGATTGGCCAAAAATATATAATAGATAACATTTTGAAATTCATTGATCAATCCATGTCACATTTAGTAATGGCTCACTCTCATTTCCTCTCATATCCAAAACACAGCACCAACATATTGGATAATTTCAACAATCTGTTTTTAGAGAACTCAGGAAAAATAGCCGTGGAATTTGTTGAAAAGGAAGGATTTAGCGTAATTACAACTCAACACATCACAAGAGGAGATACCTTACTCGTTATCAAGTCAGAAGAAATGATTGACGCAGATTGTGCCTTAGATTCTCCTGTAGGGGAGTATTTCACCACTGCTCGTGAAGAAAACGAGGATTGTAATTATTTAGATGATGAAATGGCCGTAATTTTTTACATTCTTTTCGAATTGTTTTCCTCCTCGATGAAGACAAATACCCACTCCAAATTTTTTAATGAGATTGTTAAACAACTCCCCATTAATCAGTTTCCCTTAGTGGCAAAGAAATATGAACATGAATTGGAAGGCACCATGGCCTGTTTACTTATTCAAAAAACTCAAGACAGCCTTCTTCAAACTTTTGAAGAGATCAAAGATTGTTTGTTGAATTGCGGAGTAAGTACTACTGTAAATGAACTGGGTACGATTCCTTGCTTGGTATATCTAACAGTTGAAGGATGAGGGAATTTTAACTTTTGAGAACTTTCTTGTCGCATATTCAATATACGATTTGTTTTGTGTTGGAATGGAGACAGTTGTTCCATTGCCCACTCCTATCTCCTCTCTCCCACATTTCTTGCGTGAATTTGATGATGGTAATCTAATTGTGAAAAGCTTAGTTGATATTGAACAAAATACCTTAATATCTAACTCCATTTTGGCACTTATCAAGCCTATCGAGGAAGTATTTCTATACAACATAATTCCATTAGATGAACGAGGAAATACATGCTGCACCTATGCAGCAGAAATTGATCTCGAGTCGATGGAATCTCTCGTAACTCAAGAGAAATTAGAAGCGTTAAATAGAATCAACAATTTGTCATTTAGACATTATTTGAGATGTGACACAAATTCGGACAAAATTGTTCAACAACTATGCATTCTACTTTCTTCACATGAAGAATTGGCAAACAATCCTCAACTCTCTCTTGATGGGTTTTCGCATCGAGTCCACTCTCAAGTTAGATATATTGTCGACATGATGAGAACAAATTTTGAGCAACAATTCATCACAACCATGGAACAAGATGAAGCCCTTCTCAAAACACCTCTCCAAGAGTTTGATACTCCTTTCCTTCAAAACATTATCAAGTATCGATTAACCTCCAAGCGCATTGTCACAAACCTCCATTGCTGAATGTGGGCACGCATACAAAAAAAACAACACAATACAAAAGTCACCTTTGTCAATCAACAACCTGTGAAACGCCGAGAAGTTATTCTTCAACTTGAATGGACCAAGAGCTTTTTTGTAATTTTCGCAATGCAAGACACTTTCTGATTGCTGTTGGAGTGCTATTAATTGTGGCCACTGTGATCCTTTTTGTATTTACAAATAACCACGAAAATGAACCAAATCGGAATTACTGGGTAGGATTGAATTTGCATTATACACAGGAGCAAATTCAATATTATTTAATGAATTTGTTACGACCCGAGCGTCATCATGAGGAAATATTCTCGAACAAAATAATGACATGTTTCACCCAAGAACACAGCTTGACCTGTGGATTGACCAATCAATTATTCGAATTAGCAACGTGTCTGGCAATCAGTGCAAAATTAGGAGCCAAACAATTCATATTACCTAGCATATGTTCTGATGGAAATTGGGGCTTATGTTACTGCTCTAAATCTCAGCAATATTCCACGTTTTTTAATTTACAACGTATGAAAAGGTTAGCAAAAGAAAGATTTGGAATAACCATTTATGAATACGAAGAGAGTCAAACTTATTTACAAGATGTTTCTGAAGAACTCTTTCGTCTACAAGACAATACTCTCTATTTGAAACCTCTTTCTGAAGCTGCTGAAATTATTTATGACATGTCGACTAAAAAGAAAAATTATTTGGAGCATGGAGTGCTGAACATTGGGTTTGCTTGGGGAAGATGGAAGGGAGATAAATTCGAAGAAGATATGCTTTATTTAACATTCTTTGATTTATTCTATCCTTCAATGGCTGTGAAACGAGTAATTGACGATTGGGCTTGGAAAACAAAGCATTTTGATTCAAATGGCCCACTTATTGTGATTCATAACCAAATTCCTACAAGCGAAGGAATATATCCTGGATGTCAACGAACTGAAATCAATGACTATGTTTCTCTTATCACACGAGAAATGTCACTTGGTAAAAAAACAAGAGTGTTGTTAATAGGTTCAGGATTTGAATTGAAAACATCTGAATCATTAAGACTGTCAGAGTTTTCATCTGCTCACTCGATACACGTTTATTCTCAATCAGATATTATGCGAATAACAGCTGATCATCAGTTACATAATTCCTTGGCTGCTTTTTGGATTGCCATTGAAGCTGATCACTTTATTGCCACAACGTGTGAAAGCCAATTCCTTTCTCATATTGTCACCATTCGAATGCTTCTTGGTAGACCTGTTTGCTCTTTGACAGACGTGACAAAATCCATACATCCCAATGCGTATCCCTCAAAATTTAAAAACAATGGTGAATACAACGGAAGAGTACCTTATAGATTCCCTCATCCTTATCAAGGATCTCTGTATACATTGGAAAAATGTAAATTCCCACTTCAAAACAGAATTTTGTGAGGAGTTCATTTTCTTAATTGCTTGCGACTGAATGGCTCAAAGGTTAATTTGCATTTAGGTGCTTGGCACTCATTGAACTATCAAGGTCATGAAGTACATGCGTTTTACAAGCAGACATGAATCTCAAAGCAAATTTTATGTTTCAGAACGGGTATTTGTTGTGTGTTAGGAGGAAGACTGACACTACTTTGTGAATTACCTTTGGCTTTGACAAATTATAATAACCCCAACAATGCCCTTGAGTCAAGCCACTCGTACAAACCATGAGACAAACTCTTTGGGCATTGTTTTTCTGTTAGCGGCAGGAGTGTTTGGCGGTTTTTCAAAAGCTGACGTTCATTTTCTCCTCAAATGGAGACAAGAGACAATTATGCGCAACCATAAACAATTTAATTTGTCGTTTAAATTTGGAGAGTGGATGTCCATGAAAACAACATATCATATTCAAAAAAAAAACAAACTTATTGTACCATAAGGGATTCCAAGATGCCAGAGAATATTACTCTTGGAAGCACAACTGGTAAGTCTTGCTTGTGTGTGTGAAATCAAAAGCATGTATATACCCGTATTCTGGCATGAATGGATAAAACCTTGATGTTTTTAACCTCACTTATTATGCTGTCGTCAATCATGATTGCTCTAATTCTATCATTTATATCGGCGTTAAACAGCTGCCAGACAGGTAGTGGGATTCAACCTCAGCTTGTTGAAAGGAGGAACCATCACACAAACAATTGGTACGTTATTTCTTGAAAGATTTTTTTGAACACACGTGATAACCATGTTGCTGCTGCTGCTTTGTGAATCCTTGACTTCGTTGTGTTTCTACTTTCTCCACTTGACACACTAACACAAAATTGATGAATACACATGCATACAAACCTATCATTATGCTCCTGTGTATTTGTACCATCTCTCTGTGTGCGCTGGACATTTATGGAAAATTGAATCTATGCGCAACATCCACTACTTTTGAATACCCAATACTTGCTTTTCAACAGTTGGTGGTATTATCACTTCATTGGTGATTGCCTCCACCGTTGCAACCATCATTTTGGTCTCTGTAGGTGTCGGTTACTCTCCACCAGAACCAAAGAATGATGTGGCCACTACTTTCAAACGTGTTCCAGTGACCTTAGACGTTTTGTTGAACGATGTGGATCCACGTGGAGGTAATTTGACATTGACCAACATTGTCGTGAATCCACGTTTTGGTATTGCCAAGATTATTTCCAAATCCAAGATTATGTATCAATCAGTGGGAGCTTTCACTGGAAATGACACCTTCTCCTATGAAGTCTCAAACTCTTTCATGACTGCCAACGCCACGGTCACGATTCAAGTACTCAATAGAGCTCCTGAAGCCATTCCAATTGTGAAGACTGTCCCAAAGAATGCCAACCGTTTCGTCATTGACATTTTCTCATACGTTGGAGACAATGGTGAGCGTATTTCTGATGTCGACAATGATGCTCTCTATGTTGATGGCTTCAATGGTAATCACATTGTTGGTGGCAATGACACTAATTTGGGTATTGTTGAGAAAGATACATGGACTGGTTTCTATTACACACCAAAGAAGGATTTCAATGGTGTTGAACAATTCAACTATGTCATTTCTGATGGTAATGATACTTCAACAAGTACCATTACTGTCTCCATTCAAAACAATGCACCAACGTGTGCTGACGATACCTTCCAAGTTCCCAAGTATCGTGGTGCCACCTTGGATGTATTGAAGAATGATATTGATATCAATGGTGATGAAATTTCCATTACTCGTGCTCTAGGTGCTGGTTTTGGAGGTGTTTCTGTTCGTAACAACAGCAAAGTTGTGTACTATTATACGAGTGGTGATCTCACTACCAAGTATGGTGACTCTTTTGAATATTCCATTACTGATGGACAATTAGAGAGCTCATGTGTGGTCTTTGTTCAAGTGTACAACACTCCTCCAGATGTTTTCACAAGAACTGTCACTGTTACCAAATCCACAACTGACAATTTGATTCCAATTCATTACTTTGATGTTGATAGAAAGGATTTAATTACTTTGAAGAAGATTTCTCCTGCTCTCAATTCATTGAATCCAGCTGCTTCTGTCCAATTAGCCAAGTCTTATGAAACCTTGTTCTTTGAATGTTGTGATTTCATCAAGGTTGAGATCAACAATTACACCATTGTATTTACTCCAACTCCTAATACTGTTTACACAACCACTTTGGACATTACCATGACTGATGGTGAAGCTGAAGGAACTGGTAAGCTCACGATTAACGTTGTGAATACTCCTCCAACTGCTGTTGATGATACTGCCACATGTGGTAAGAATCTTCAAACTTTGATTAATGTCATTGAGAATGACTTTGACACTGATAACGGTGACACTGCTCTTCTCAAGTTGACTACTAATGGATGGATTGCTGCCACTGAAAAGGGTGGTTCAGTTTCTCTCTTCAACAATACCCATGTCTTGTACACTGCTCCAAAAGATTTAGTTGGTACTACTGATGTTGCTTATTATCGTGTCACTGATCAAAGTGTGGATGGTAGTGGTCAACCAGATCCAACTGGCTTTGCCACTGGTAAAATTACCATTTCTCTCATTAATAATCCTCCAACTCCAGTCGATGACGTCATTACCATTCCAAAGGGTATTGCCTCTGTTTTGAATGTTTTGGCCAACGATGTGGATCCTAACGATGGTCCAAGTTCTGTGAAGAAAATCAAATCTGTTGGTGCTTCTGAACAAAAGAATATTTCTCCATCTATTTTGGTGAACCAAATCAATGGTGACACTGATGCTGTTTCCTATACTGCTATCAATGAAGAATATACTGATAGCTTCTTGTATGATGTTACTGATAAGGATGGAATGGATTCTACCTATAAGGCAAAGGTCACTTTGCAAGTTGTCAACACTGCTCCAGTGGCAAACAATGATAACTTTAATACCAAGTGGAATCGATCTGTGGATTGTGATGTTAAGGCTAATGACGCCGATCAAAACGGAGACTTACCAAGAGCTACTGTGATCATTGTTTCTCAACCAACTCATGGTTCTGCTGTTGTTATGGGTGACAAGGTTCGATACACTCCAACTAATGGATATGTTGGAAGCGATTCATTCACTTACAAGTTGAACGACTTGAGCTCTGCAAATGCTGAATCCAATGTTGCAACTGTCACTATTCAAGTCACCAATACTGCTCCTATTACTCAACCAGACACAACTTCTTCTCACTGGAGAAACCCTGTTGGAGTTTTGGTTTCACCTTTGGACAATGACAGTGATCCAGATGGAGATGCTTTGGTTGTCTCTGCCGTCTCTTCCTCATCAAGTGTTGGCACTGCAACTCTTATTGATTCACAAACTGTTAAATTCGTTCCAAGCACTGCTGCTCCAATTACTCTTGGTGCAAAGCAATTCACATACACTGTTTCTGACTACAATTTACAAACTACTGGTACCGTGAATGTCGAGATCACTAACACCAAACCAGTTGGTCAAGATGATGCTTATTCCATGCACTGGGCTGCAGGTGCTACCTCATTGACTGTTTTGAAGAACGATGTAGATGCCAATGATGATTATCTTTCTGTTGGATCGATTGACACCACAACTTATGCCACTAAGGGTACTGTTGTGAACTCTGGTTCAGCAATTCTATACACACCACGCAAGGATGGAGTGACTGATAAGTTTGCTTACTATCCAAACGACGGTGCTGAGAATGCCCAATCACCTGCTGTTGTTACTGTCAGTTTCACTAACAATGAAAAACCAACTGCTGATGATGCTTCTCTCACTATTCATTGGAGAAGTTTGTCCACTCAAGGAGGCAAGCAATTGTTTGATGTTCTCACCAAGACTGTTGATGCAGACGGTGACGCTATTTCGTTGAGTGTCACTGCTTCTTCATCATGTGCTAAGGTTAACAATGCTGGTAAGGACAAGGTTCAAGTTTCTGTCTCAAATGGAGTCATTGGTACCACCAATTGTCCTTATACTGTGAGTGACGGCTTGAATCAAGCAAGTGCTACTGTTTCAGTCATCACTACGAACAATGTTCCAACTTGTTCGGAGATTGTCACTACTTTCAATCCAGCTAACTTTGACAATGGCCAACAATACAGTATTGCCAGCTATGTCTCAGATGAGGACGCTAATGATATTGCTTTCCTCGTCCCAACTGGACTTTCAGGTGCCACTGGTGGCGATCAATTCTATGTTGATCCTGTTACTAACAATCTTGTTTTCAAGCCAACCAAGACAGTTGCTGTAAGAACTCTCTATTATAAGGTCACTGATAGCGTCGGTACTTCTGCATCATGCATGTTTAAGGTTTCAGTCAACTCGATTTCTCCTTCTGACTACACCAAGAGATATGATGTCCACTGGAATGCCAATGATGCTGTTCTCAACATTTTGGATACTTTCCCATCCTCAAATATTGTTTCAATCACTCCTGGATCCATGACTGGAACTGCTTCAATTTCTGGTAGAACCATCTTGTACACTCCAAAGAGAGCTGTTGGTTTTGACACATTTATTGTTAATATTTCTGATGGTGTCTCCAATTATCAAATCACTGTTGAAGTCACTGTTTACAACAATGCTCCAACAGCAACTGTTGCACAATCTACCACAACATGGAGTTCAACCACAGGAGTGACTATTGACTTGTTAGCAAACTATGCTGATTCTGATTACACTGCTGGAAGAGAATCATTGGGTACTGTCACGTCACTCATCACAACTGGTACCTCAGGAAGTGTCACCTTACAAACTTCCAGATATGCCAAATATCTTCCACAAGGTACATTCACTGGTTATGATCAATTTAAGGCAGTTATATCTGATGGTCTTGCAACTGTTACCGTTACTGCAACTGTTTTGGTCACTAACACACCACCAACAACAGTTCCAAAGTCTGTCTCCATCAAATGGTCTCAACACAAGGCAGGTTATGCCATCAATGTATTGAATGTGAATGGAGCTACTGATAGTGATGCTGAAAACAATCCATTGACTGCTACTGTCACTGGAGGAGTTTCTCCATCGAGTGCCGGTACTGTCCAACTCACAACTTCTCCAACTGCCACTGTTAGATCTGGTGCTAGTGTCTTTTTGGGAACTTTCTCCTTCTCTTATTCTGCTTCTGATAGCATTGCTTCAACTCCAGGAAGTGTTTCCGTTACTGTCACCAATACTTTACCAACACCATCTCCACAGAGTATTGACTTGCATTGGAGATCCAAGAATGTTCCTCTCGATCCAGTAGTGAGCTATGCACCCACTCGTCAAGATGCTGATGGTGATAGTTTAACCATTACAGCTGCTTCTGCTCAAAAGGGTACTGCAACTGCTAACACCAATACGATTACTTACAGTGCTCCTGCTTCTCTTGGTTTGGATGTCGTCTCATATACTCTTACGGACGGTGCTCAATCCGTGTCCAATGCCAATACTGTGGTTAATGTGAATGTTGTGAACACCAATCCAACTGCTGCTGCATTGACTGCTTCTGGTAAATGGTCTGCAGCAATCACCAAAGATTTAACAGGTGCTTGTACCGATAGCGATTCGTTGGATACTACCTTTGTGAAATTCAGTGGAGCTGTTTCCAATGCAGTCGGTGGTACGACCGCTGTTTCTGGAAATGTGGCTTCCTTCACTTCCACTCTTGCTGCATCATCCTATTCATTGTCAGGAAACGTTTACTCTGGAACTGGTGGTTACAAGTATACTTGTACTGATGGTTTGGGTACTTCACAAGGAACTGTCACAGTTACGGTCACTAACAATGCTCCAACTGGTACTGGTGGTTCCGTTACGGTTCCAAGAGATTACACAAAGACCACCTATGACTTTACATGGGCTCAAATGGGTACATTTAGCGATGCTGACGGTGACTCTGTGTCTGTCATTAAGGTTGCTACTTCTGCCTCTGGTGTCACTGTCTCTACTACTGCCAGTGGTATTCGATTGACCACTACCTCACCAACAGTTGTTGGAGCTAAGGCAATTACTTTCAAATTATTCGACGGTCTCCATGAAAGTGTGAACACATTGACATTTACTGTGACTTTCACCAATGCTGCTCCAACTTGTTCAGCTGCTTCATTCAATGTCAACAAGGGAACATCCACTGATGTTTTACCAACTTTGAGAACTCTCATTGCTGATGCCAACAATGACGCACTCAGTGTCTCTTTGACAGGAACTTTCCCATCTTCATTGGGTTCATTCAGTGGTACTGTTTTCACAAGCGCCACCTCAAACAGTGGTTCTTCATCTGCAGTGAGTTATATTGTCTCCGATACACAACTCTCAAACACTTGTGGAATTACCATTACTGTTTCTAATAGAGCACCAACTGCTCCTGACACTAGCTACTCTTTCACTGCAGTTAGCAACAATTATGTTCACACTGCCACTTACAATTTGGCTTCTGATCCAGACGCAGATGCAGTGTCCTATTCTTTGGTTTCAAATGATTGTAGTACCATTGCCACTTCAGTGACTGTTTCTTCTGCTGGACTTGTTACATTCACAAGAAAGAGCTCAGTGATTGTTGGTTCTTGCAGTTTGGTCATTAGAGCCACTGACAATGATGCCTCAAATCCACTCTCTGATACTGCCAATGTTCAAATTGTGTTACAAGCAGCTCCTCCAGCAGCCAGAGACGATAGATTCTCGATCAACCAAGGTCAAACTATCAGAATCTTTGTTTCTCAAATGTTTACTAACGATAACGACGAATTTGGTCAAACCACTGGTCTCTCATTTGTGAGTACATCATGTCCTGACGCTTCCTACTGTCACAAGACTCCAAGAGTTGTCAATGTTAATGGACAAACAGCTATTGAACTCGACAGTGATTCCAACACATGTCAAGCTGACAAGTTCAGATACACAGCTGTCACATCCTTCGGAACTCAAGTATCTGCCAACGTTTTTGTTGAATTCAAGAATTGTTATTGTCAAGCTAAAATTGATTTCGTCTTTTTATTGGACTCTTCTGGTTCCATTGGTACTTCTAACTTCAACTCGATGAGAGATTTCTGTAAGAGAATTACTGGTAGATTTAAGATTGGACCAGATGCTGTACAAGTTGGTATTGCCAGATTCCACACCACTGGTGTCCATACATTGGCCCTTTCTACGGATGGTACTTTGATTAACAATACTTTGACGAACATGTATTACGATGCTGGTAATACTGCAACCATTCCAGGTTTGAGAGTTGCCCTTAACATTGCTGCTGCTGGTCGTGCCGATGCTGATAAGGTCATTTACATTTTAACCGATGGTTTGGCCAACGAACCATGCTCATGCTTAGAATGCGAAGCAGAATGGGCCATCAAACCAAGTGTTTACAAGTATACAGTGCAACAACAAATTATTGATAACACTGCTCTCACATCCACTCAAAAGAAGACAGCTTATCAAAACATGTGCAAGTACCAATTCTCTGACACCAGTTACGCATTCTCTGGAAAGACATGTTCTTATTGTGCTTGGACCACCTCTTCCTATTGCTTACCATGTGCTGATGCAGTTCCTATTGCCAAAAAGATTAATTCATGGAAGCGTAATTCTCAAGGAATTGTTCCAAATGATCTCGATAACCCATTCAACGGAAACAACAGAGTTTCATGGAAGATTGTTGCAATGGCTGTTGGTAATGCCATGGCCAACAATATTGGTGCTAGACAAATTCAAGGAATGAACTATGATCCATCTCGTGCCATGACTGTTTCTTGGAATGATTTGCAATCGGTCATGACAGAAATTGTCGATCAGTCATGTAACACCAACGACGTGCAAATAGCTCAATAATTATTTGTTTCTCAATTAAAGGAAGATTATTTATTGATAATTTAAAAATATTTTGTTTTTGTTGAGGATGTTTTTCGAGTGTTGTAAGCCTTTTTGGTTTTCTTTTTCTTTGGAGAATAATCTTCCTCTTCCTCTTCTTCGTATGGCTCCTCGTCGTCGCTATCTGCTTCAAACTCATATTCTTCCTCTTTCTTTTTTCTTTTTTTCTTTGTGGCTTGCTTGTCAATATGAAGGTCAACATCACTAATTTCATTCGAAAATGAGTGTAATCTTATCATATCCTTTACCTCATCTAGTAGTGCTGGACAAATACTCCATCCTTGCTTTTTCACAAGCTCATCGGACAAGCGTATCATTTCAATAATGGTAAGACCTTTGAATTTGTCTTGTTTTCTTACAACATCCAATCCTCTACTAATTAAATACTTCAGTCCTTCCAATACGTCTTTCACTTTTTGGCTATTTCTCCATTTCGTAACATTCTCTGCAGTTATTCTTTTTTGATTAATGTTTTCATTCAAATTTGTCCACAAAGAGGTAGCTAAGGCATGTCCAATATTATATCCTAAACGAGGTGAAAGTACCTGATGAATAGACAGTACGTTATTCTTATAAAAATGTTCAATGTCACCTTTCCAATTCTCGGTTAAAATATTAACCATTGGATGAATATAGGTTTCATCAAATTCCTCATCATCAACATCATCCCATGGAGACATGTCAATTAAAAATCTTTGAATGTGATATTCTATTGGTATTTCCTTCTCTATGGAATTACTTTTTAACAAGGACACATAAGTTGGGTCGTCATATTCAAATAGATCAATAAAATGTAACCAGTCTATGCGAGACTCCTTAATATCATAGAAATCTTCCCTTTCATTCTTAATGAAGGTGTCTAATAGGTAGCACATAATAGTTTCATAATCGTAGTCTTCAATACTTTCATGAGTAATGAAAGTTATCCTTTTGATCGAATAAGGAGCATACGGAGCTATTTGATCGCCAGTTTCTGCTAATCTGTCTTTGGATAGTTCTAGTCCAATTTTTTGCCATTCAATATTCTCCCATCCCCTCTTTCCCACGTGTGAAGCTGGTTCGCATAAAGCAAAGACAATTTGTTGTAAATTAAAAAAATATTTGCACAACAAATATATTAATTCGTTGCTTATTCTAATCGAAGGAAGAGTTATTTTCTCTACATGTTTACCAATTCCAAATTTGTTAAGACTGTCCAAGAATGAGTGAAAGTATGTGTGTGAGTTCTTTTTGATTTCAATTTTGAGGTAGGCATCGAGAATAAATACATCACTGTCCCTTTGAGGTACAGAAACTGTTTCTTTCTTCTCGTCTTCTTCATCATCGTTACCAGTAATGAGATCAACGTTCGTACCAGATTTCTTTTTCGATTTCTTTTTCTTGGACGATTCTTTGTGCTTCTCTTCTTCGTGTGTAGTAGCAATATCTTCCTTCACAATTGCGAGTAAAGGAGTGAGCTTATTAATTCCGAAATGAATATGACGGAACAAGGATGAGCCTTGTTCCTCCAGTACTGTGATCAGACTTTGTTGCCATGATTTACAAACACGCTGATACAAGAACAAGGTGGGAAGAGGGGCTAAATATTCGCTGCAAATCAGTTTGATAATATCCGATGGAATGTCAAGTTCAGTTTCGGAGCTTTGTTGAGACATTTTTTTCTGGAACAAGTGAATAGTAAAGTTGTTGCATCAGTAGTGGAAAGTCTTTCTCGTTCATTACAACGAACTATAAAGTTTTTAATGGAAATATTAAACACAAATAAATGGCGCCATCACGTTCTCGTATTTCATGTCTGGATATTGTGTCAAAAATACAGGATCCAACCATAGACACTGCCTTTGCCGATTTTGATTCTGATGATATTCTCATGATCATTGAATATGATTTAATTTTCGTAGGATATGAAAATGGATGTATTTCAGTGATCACTTCGCCTCCGAGAAGAAAATGCGAAGAAGGTAATGAAACAGAGAATGAACAAATTTCAAGTTCCTTGAAGGATAGTTCTTTTATCATTCCGAATGAAGAATTAAAATTTATTCAATTTCCAATGCATTCCAATCGAGTTGTTGGAATTGATTTTATTCATGATGGAAATTGTCATGTTTCTTGGAGTGTGAATGAATTGAAATTTTGGAAATTATGCACTGATGATAAAAGTAGAGTGGAAGAAGTGCAAATTTTGCATGATTTTTCACACCATTTTCAGGATTTAGAAATTATTGGAATTGCAACAACTCGTATTATGGGTTCCATTTGGGCTCAGCAAATGCATGTAGTTTGTAGAGATGGGACTGTCATTCTCATTGATATGGATCTGATGTTTTCAAGAATTGAGCCACAGTCATTTATTACAACTTATTCGTTGAAAGATATCGTCAATAATCATGCTTCCAATTCTATCAGTGTTCACACAGTGCAATACATATTCCGTGCGGAACATTATGTAGCCAAGTCCAACAATGGGTTTTGGATGTTGTGGAACGATGGTGTTTTGACACAGCACGAGTTTAAATATGATAACGAGCCACCAATGATTCATAAATTAACTCAATTAAGTCCAACGAATACGATTTCAAAGATTGAAATTTCACCTGATGGAAGTCTTGCTACTGTGATACTGACCAGTAATAATGATACTATGGCCATGACTGGACCTCCAATAGATTCTGTGATCGATAATGATGATGATGTATACACCCAGGAAGAGAAACGTATCGCTACAGAAATGTGGGACATTTCATCAGTATCAGTCAACTTGTTCAAAACCAATTTTATTAAGATCCCACACCAGCATAATGGTAGGTTTCATTATCAATATTTTGAAACGATCGATCTATAACGTTGAACACTCAGTAATTCAGTTCAATTACTCAGAAAAACGACGACATCTAGTGTTCATGACAGAAGACTATATTTCAAATCAAGACATTGATGATATTTACGACAACCCTATTATTCTGGCACAAGACGTTCAAAAGAAATATTTCACAAACCTTGGAGAATTATTTCAATTGAAATTTGAGTGTATGAAATGGGCATGTGATGGTCTTGCTTTGTATGTCGGATGCAATACTGATTCACTTTTGGTGTTTTATCCAAATGAGAGGAACAATTTTACAGAGTTAATTAATTTGGAAAAGTCTTATTTGGTTCGATTACCAGAACTTCACACTTTCACGAAACAAAAATTGAAAGGATTTTCAATTCTCAACAAGAAACAATTGGTGGACATGGAAATGATATTCACCAATAACTAAATTGTTGCATTACATTACGAAACATATCACAGTTAAATCATCCAGAGCAATTACGACTAAATTTGAATTAAAAAAATGCAAGAAAATCAAAGGCTCGAGCAACTCATTCTACGCTTTCAAAATATTGGCAAAAGCCTTGATGAGTTGCAAAGAGAAATTAAATCCGTTGCAAGAGCAGAAACCACAGACTCCGATAACGACACAAGACTTGCCAGTAATGAAAATAATGACGAGCAACAAGACCATTCTCCTAAACAAGACCAAACTGCTACCAACTTCGCCATTGCTCACGAGAGTAACTTTGAAAAGGAAGAACCAAATGATACGGAGCTCATTAAAGTGTTGAAGAGTCAAGTTAAGAAACTTGGATTTAAATTTGCTAAATTTTCTCAGGTTCCTGCAGATTACTATTCCCGAAGCTTGGAGGAGAGAAGAGACATTCTTCAGACCGAAAGCATTCATCAGCTTTGTAAGAGTTTAATTTTGGAAAATTCAAAATGTGTAAAAACTGATTGCTCAGAAAGAAGCAATTCTAAATTTTATTGTGTGATTGTTCAATATTCAGCGAAATTCAATTCGAAAAAGCTTACGAAATTTGTTCGAGAATTGAATCAAGGAAAGTTAGGAAAGAAGCAATTTGTGTTCAGCCTGGCCGATGCCAATAAGGCTTTTGAATTAACTGGTTATGATTACAATGGAGTTTCTCCAGTACCACTTCCATCCAAAGAGCATGTGAACGTGCCAATTGTTCTGGACAAGAAAATTGTGGATGACCACAAACAATTTTGGGTTGGTGGAGGTACAGAAGATTGGAAAATTCTATTCAACACTGATGAGTTTATTCGAATTTTCAATCCATTTGTGACAAGCATTACTTATGATGGAACAGGAGACGATGAAGAATAAATTTATTTCAATAATATTCTTCTTCATTGGATGTGATGAAGGATTCTCAACAATAATAATTCACAAAAAACGAATCACAAAAAAATGACCAAGAAATCTTCAGCACAATCTGCAACCAAAAAGTCCGCAAAACAAGATGATGATATGGCCTTCCTAATGGAAATGCAAAAACAAAACGAGAAGGCTGTTGAAAAGAAGAAGACGGAAGAAAAGAAGAAGGTACAACAAAATCCATCATCATCAACAACATCATCAGTCGCACCACAACCAAAGTCTTATCCTAACGAACAAACTCAACCCGAACCAACCGTTCCAATCCGATATTTATTCAAAAACAATAAATTCCCAGAAGGAGAAAATATGGAATACACCCAAGACTTCAATAGATTTAGATCATCATCAAAAGAGGAACAACAAAAAGAAGAATTGTTCGATAAGATCTATCAAGAAGCAAGACAAGCTGCCGAAGTACACAGAACAGCAAGAAAATGGTTCCAAGGTTATGTTAAGCCTGGTATGAAAGTGATTGATGCTGCCGAAGCATTCGAAAACAAGGCAAGAGAATTGATTGAAGATAACAAATTGAATGCTGGTTTGGCTTTCCCACTTGGTTGTTCAATGAACAACTGTGCTGCTCACTACACTCCAAATGCAGGAGATGAAACAGTGATAACAGCCGATGATATTATCAAATTCGATTTGGGATTGCACATTAATGGGCGTATCATTGACTGTGCTTTTACAATGTATTGGGATGACAAATTTAAGCCATTAGCAATGGCTGCAAAGGATGCCACAAACACTGGTATTAAAACAGCTGGTATTGATGTAAGAATGTCAGATATTGGAGCTGCAATTCAAGAAGTAATGGAAAGTTATGAAGTGGAATTGAATGGCAAGACATATCCTGTGAAGTGTGTTCGTAATTTGAATGGTCACTCTGTTGAAAGATATAGAATTCATGCTGGTAAAACCGTACCAATCGTAAGGAATAACGATCAAACCAAGATGGAGGAAAATGAATTCTTTGCCATCGAAACTTTCGGTTCAACAGGTAAAGGATATGTGGAACACGAGGGAGTTTGTTCACACTACATGAGAGACTTCTTCAAGAAGATTAATCCAACAGATTTAAAGACACAAAAGGCTCGTGAATTGCTCAAAGTGATTGAAGACAACTTTAGTACGCTGGCTTTCTGTCGTAGATATCTTGACAGACTCGGTGAAGAAAAGTATATGGTAGCTCTTAAGAGTTTAGTGAATGCAGGTGTGGTAAATGAATACCCACCATTGTGTGACGTTAAGGGCTGCTACACATCTCAATATGAACATACAATAGTTCTCAAACCAACACGTAAAGAAGTTATCAGTAGAGGAGATGACTATTAACAAAACACGTGTTACACTCGTGAATCAATCATCTACCAATCAAGAAATTAAATTATTTTCTATTTCGACATTAGTCACAATCATCAGGTCATGAAGCCAATCATTTTGTCTCAACCAATTCAACACACTTTTTTTTAAGCACAACAAAATGCCAACATTCGAAGACATCACAGAGAGGTCCTCAGGAGGTTCATCCAAGTGGATTTCTTCCGAGAAGGCTCTTTCAACAACCTCATCATCCAGTAGTGAATTGTTATTAATTCCATTCAAAGCTGTGAGATCGTTAATTCCTTCTATCATCATTCCAACCTCACCATCCACAGCTAGACCTGCACTCTTCATATCCCTCTATTTACTTTCTCAATACTTGTTCATTGAAAAGGACAACCACATCCCGAATGTAACCAAATCCTTCGATGCTAAAACAGTTCCACTAACAAATAATTCCGAAACGATCACTTATTCAAAATCAATTTCTAGACTCTCCGATAGAAGAATTGTTAAATTCACCTTAACGTCAAGCACCATTGATATTTCTTCTAAAACCTATGACGAATTATTTTCAGTTTTAGTCCATCAATTCGAGGTCAATGAGAATGAAAAAACACACTATAAGGCCACACGTCATTGGTTATCCAAATCCGTAACGTTTGAAAGAGAAATTATTTCTCAAGCAGACGGAATTGTTTCCATTCTCAAATCCAAAGCCTTGAATTATTCTAGAATTGTTTTTGGAGCTTTGGCTGTTATACATACCTCCATTTGGCTCAAAGGATTTATTTCCAAATATTCGGGATCATCATCATGAAATAGTAATCAATAAAAATTAATTTAAAAAAAATGAAAAAATTAATGGTTGGTTTGCGACCTCTTCACTCTCCAATAGGAAGCAATTTACATAGAGGCTACTTGCTAGGATGTACGGAAGCTCATCAAGAGATGCGACTTCTTTGCGGAAGCAATGAGCATTCATCGAATTCCTTGATGGCTAAAAAGTTATTTAATAACAATAATTTAAATATGTACGGAAGCTGTTTACGAAAGTTCTCAATGAATTTTGTGAACAGAAAGAAGAACTTGTTTGATTATGAAACCGACATGCACAAATTTTTTACTCAGAAAAATCAGATTTTGGAGAGCCCCAAGTTAACTCAACATTACGAAAATGTGTTGCTAGAATTATTAGATTGTCCCACAAATGTCAAATACCACAAATCTACTTATTTTGTTGCGTCTTTTATCATTGAGTGTATTGATTTATTAAATATGGAAAAAGACAGAGAATTCTTACTTTTGAAAGCTTGGGATTTGTTAAATGCAGGAACTTTTTCAGAAGTAGAAATTCCACAAAAGAACGCCTTGCAAGTACAATTGGCAACGTTATTGCAAGATATTGACAAAATGGCCGAGTCATTTGATGTACATTTTAATTATATCAAACAGCAATTGGTTCAACATAGACAACTTAAAAAACCTCTCCAAATACCTCTCGACGATATTGTGATAGGATTCAGTTGTGCACCTCACGTGGGAAAATATGCTGAAATGTCCTTACTTGGAGATTTAATTGTTAATGTTTATAAAGCTCCAGAGTTATTGGAGGTGTTGAACACTCAAGCTAACACAGATCAACAACTAGATTATTCAGCTATTTATAATATTTTGAAAGCATATCCAATCCCTAATGAGCCCATCCAAAGAGAGCCTATGAAGAAATTGACTCCTATTTCTGGTTTTATGAAAATAACCTCCATGACGTGTTGGATTAATGATAACAAAGAAGATACTCTTGTTGACGATACAGAAAGCATTACATTAGGCAGCAATGATTTATTGGAGCTACATCAATGGTATGTTCAAAGTTGAGTGTATGATGGCACGAATTCACACATTGATATCTGAATTCTTCATAGGGGAAATGTGATCTTGTGGTTTCAACAGATTGTTCTCTCAGGTATCATTGGAGAAGATAAGGCCTACCTCTACGGATATGCTCATGTCGACGGAATTGATTCCAACAATTTTGCAGCTTCATCCAATGTCGTTCTCGAAGAATTAATACAGTCCATTACCAATGTGGAGATGAAACAAGACATTGAGGGGCTCATCAAAGAAGGAAAAGAAGCAAATGCCTCCACAGTGTCATCATGTGTGATTGAGACTCAATATCAATTCGAAAATGCATCTTCAGACCATGATCTTTTCTCGCCATCTAAGGATGACATGTCTATCATTCATTGGAAAGGAGTTCTCAAAAAAACAGTCACAGAAACTCACAAAACCAGAGATGTTGTCAAAATAACTACAAGTTTCCATGTAGAAGTCAAGTTTGAGGCCAATTCAACACTCAACGAGTGAGTGAAACGTTTTAAAAAAACATGGTCAAGTACCTGTAAAACACACTTGCCTCCCCATTACCCATTTTCTTGTTACTGAATTCAGTGAGTTGACGACTTGACGACGAGCTTTCGTCAGCTTTGGACGACTTTCTTTTCCTGTCAACTTTCACTCATCAATTTATTTTCATAAAAAAAAATTATCAACAACAACACCACCATCCTCTCTCAAAATGCCAAAACTCACACAAGAACAACTCTCTGATGCTGAAGATGCTTTCAGATTGTTCGACAAGGACAGTGACGGAAAGATCCCAATCGAGGAACTTGGTAAATTGATTAGAGTTTGTGGAAAGAACCCATCGAACAAGGATGTTGAAAGATGTGCTCAAGAAATTGATCCATCCAAGTTGGGATATTTCACATTCTCTCAATTGACTTCAATCTTGGAATCTAAAACATTTGTTGCAGATAATGAACAAAGAGTGAAGGAATGTTTCAAAATTTTCGATCGAGATGGAACTGGATTTGCTCCATTGACTGAAATTCGTTATGCTTTGGTCAATTTGGGTACCGGAAGTGATAACTTGGCAAGTGAACAAGCTGATGAAATTTTCAAATATGCAGAGACTGATGACTCTGGAAATTTGAACTATTCATTGTTTGTTAACTTTTTAATGCCATCCAAACATTAATTGTGTGTGTTGTATACAACAATATATAATACAGAAGTAGTATCATGACTCTAGTAATTTATTGTAAATGTATACACATTGTAGTTTTATATGATATGGTCGAGTTGAATTTCAAGAAGGAGAAATGATGTGTACACGTCTGAGAAGGAGGAGATCATTTGGAGTGTGGCCAATTTTGATCATGTTGTGGTGAGGGTTTGGTCTATCATTTTTTCACATACACACCATACATGTCATCATTGACCATTCCATCATTGATCATAACACAATTCATAGTGTTGCTGGCTCTTGTCTTTTTACATCCGATTCATGAATGTTGTGTGAAACCATGGTCATCACCTGTCAACATTCATTTTGGTTCTTTATTGAATTTCACAAGGCGATGCTGTGTTTTTCTTTACTGATGGCACCTCTTCGGAGGAGAAGTACTCGTTCAAAATCTTCACTCCTCTCTCGTATTCCTTGATTCTGTGTTCATATTCTTCTTTTTTTCGCAAATAGCTCGCTGAGGGCCATCGATGTTTTTCAATCTTGTTTTTCAACAATTCATCATCCGACGCATGTCTCAAATACAAATCATAGTTGAGTCCAATATAATACAAACAACATCGTTTCAATTGTTTGGCATTGTACCATTTGGCCACTTCCATTAACGTCAATAAATCCAAGTCGTCGTCATCCAAAATTCTCTCTTGTTTTTCCTTCAAATCAGAGACTGGTCGATCCTTAGACATACATGCATCAATCATTTCACAAAGAAATACTTCACACTGCATGGTAAGACATTGAAGACCATATTGATGGGAGAGAGCCATCATTTCCACCACAATTTCATTACTAAGGCGTGCATGACCCGTGTAGAGATAGGTTAAAAAGGATTCACATACTTTTCGTCTCTCTTGTTCTTTTGCAAACTTTGTACGATTTTCGTCAGAGCTTATTGAAAGTCCTTGAAAGAGGTCCATTTGAACCATTTTGCTTGTTCCTTCCATAAATTTATCCACACCAAACATGTTCTTAAATACTTCTCCATTGGTGTAAATCATTGCTTTGTGAGCATGATAGATGGTATCATGGCAAATAAATTGAACGTTTGCGTTGAGTGGATTGTTATAGAATTTTACATTAATTTTGTGAGTGAGTTCTTCAGTAAGTGAATTGGCAGTTTCATGAAATAAATCTTCAATAGAATTTTGAAAGTTTCGAATCATTTGTGTGAGAGGTTCCATCTTGAACAAGGAAGCAACGGATAGAGCCTTTTCTTGATATTCTTGAGTTGAATTTTTCCTTAAATTTCGTTTTAATGTTTTTGACCATCCACAATAAGTCACTTCAAGGACAGGCAAAAACTCTTCATAGGTAATATCGTTGATTAGTGTCATGGTAATACTTCCATCGAGATCTGAGTATTCAATGTTTGAAAATATTTGTCTATACATGTTTTGCTCATGTATTCCTTTCAAGTGACATCTCACATCGATGTCTTGGTGAGATTGTTGTTGATATTTTACATTTAACAATTCGGTAAATAGGTCTTCGAGTACTTTGGATGGAGAGCAGCTTAGGATCAATTGCTGAGAATATATATTCTTAAAGTTTCCTTCCTGTTTGTCAAATACAACAAAGGTGACATCATGTATGTCATTGTTATTCAATAGACACAAATATTTCTCGTCATTGAAAGGTTTTCTTGCATATGCACGTGGCTTGACTGGTTTGTCAGGAAGAACAGGAGGTATGGGCTTGGGTAACGAGTAGTTTTGAAACGTATACCCTTTCAAACTAAATACGTGTTCAGTGATTTCTTTGACATTGTACCCTGTTTTTGAGCTTGTTAAAAAAGTACCTTGAATATTAGACTTGTATTTTTCCACAAAATTAACAATCACTCGTTTTTGAATAATATTACGTTTAGGTATGGATTCATCAAGCAGTAAATCTGCCTTAGTTCCAACAAGTATTATTTTCTGATAGCCATTGAATTTGGAAATGTCACATTTGAAAAAGTACATACAATGTCCGTCTCTTCTTTCACATTCACAAGAGCTGGAATCCAAATTTTTTCCAATTCAGTTAATGTTTGAATGTCATCCAACGCAAAACTGTTCTCAATTTCATTTCAGTACCAAGATTGAAATAATTTTTAACCATAGACTTACCATAAGAAAAAAACATCACTAATTAAGGCAAATCTATTATCTTTGGAAAAGTGAAAACAAATAGATTATAATACAATGATCAGCTCCTATAAAAGAGTCTCTTACTTTTTCTTTGATTAGTGGAATGTATGTCAATTAATTTTTTAAGAAATATCACTTACAAATCTTTGTCCATCACTTTCTACTTTGTAAAATTATCAAGTCCATTTAAACATTTTTGAAAATGAATTCAACATTTTTCTAACATCCACTTACCACCAATGACACCCTTGTCATAATTCCAAGAACATCGATCAATGAATGTACTATCGTATGACTCAACGGATCCTGACTTGAATGTAAAATTATTATTCCAAATCAAAAAATTTCCACCATCAAATCTCATAACCATTTCTTTATTCCATCAAATTTCCATCATACATACCAGTATTGATTTTTTGTTAACCGATGAATCAAGCAAGTCTTCCCGACACGAGTAGCTCCCATAAACGCAAAAGTTTTCATTTTTTTTTACGCTTTTAAGAACTTGGAACTTTTCATGTGATTCAACCAAGTGTTGTAAAAACACAAAAAAATGACGACAAGACGTGGCCACGAAGAGATTTATTCTATCCGATTACCGACTCAAGCACTCTCGTATGAACATTTACCTCTAGGATCTCGAATTTTTAGAGAGGGAGAATTTCAACCTGATCTATCCAATAATATTGTTCCATTGATGCTGGACGAGGTTGATGAGTCCTTGATTCGGAAGGTGGAAATCAACCCATCTATTCATATCCACAAAATAATTTCTGGTAAATCTCATTCTCATATTATAACGATGGATGGTATGGTGTTATCATTTGGAACGAATTATTTTGGAGAATTATGTTGTGGATTTTGTGGACCTTTAGTATTTAAACAAGATCTTTTCCCAAACAATATAAAGCACAAACATCAGAATGAAAGTAATAACTCTTCAAGGAACGGTCATCCTAAAGGAATGATTCAAGCCGTAGGCCCAATTTCGAACATGAAAATTGTGGATGGAGCGTGTGGAATGAATCATTCCATTTTCGTAAGTCAAGATGGCAGAGTATTTTTGAATGGAAAATCCCAAATGAAATACATTACTTCGAATACTAACAGATCATGGGACAATATTTCTACTCCAATGGAAGTAGATCAAGAGAGCTGTTTTGGGAGTAAGAAGCAAATTATTTCCGTAGCAGCACGTAACTCTACATCATTGGTGTTAACATCCAATGGAGAAATTTATGAGAGCGTAATTGGTACCCTTGGTGAGGTACTACCTACTTGGACTCGGGTGATCGTACATGATTGGAGAATGACTCAACCTGTAAAGTTGTTTAGTCATTTTCTAAGCTTTTTCTCTTCAGTGCTGAACCAAGATGGTCACGTTTCTGTGGTTTCAGATAAAGAGCTAAACTTGTATAACACTTCAGATGTCGAATATATTATCCATGGAAGTCACTGTAACGTGGTTCTCAAGCTACGCAATAGGGGATTTTTTATAAGGCGGAACGATGATTGGTTGGATATTGGAAGACTTGTAAGAACGAATGATGAAGTAATTTCAATGGGTATTTGTGAGCATAGTACTTTATTCATTTATACGCGACTTGGAAACTGTTTATATTGTGACAAGTCTAACACATGGCATGCATTGGGAACGCTTGAGTTTTCCGTCCCATCACATATTCAAATTTCGGCATCTCGATTCAGATCATATATCTATAGGACAGCATTCTCATGGGAAATGGTATGTGCTCACATTGAAAAATCCTTTCCTTGCTTTAGGAAAATGTGTGTGAGTAGTGTTGGTGAGCAACATCATGATGGTATCCTTATGCTTTCTGATGTCGTTATTAAGATGACATCATGAGTTATTGAATGTATCTCGGGAATATTTGACAATACTTGCATTCATAGAACCATATATCTGTGAATCATTCAAGTTACCTTTCACTTCAGAGCGGATCAAATAACTGATAACAATTAGAAATTGAATGACCTTGATCAACACTTTACAAAAAAATGTCGCCACTCGACCGTCTTCCAGATGAAGTCCTCCATTACATGATGCAATTTATTGATGACTCCAAATTTATTCTTTGTTCATGCATGTTAGTTTCTAAGCGCTGGTTCGAAGTCGCCAAAACAGTTGGTCTGCATTTGAGTTTTTCTGCAGTGATTGGAAATGAAAGATTACGGAAAATATTATCAAGTCCTCTCCTTGACAGTCTTGAATCATTGATCATTAATACGGAATGGCTCAAAGTGAGCCCATGCATGTACTTTTGTGATGAGGGGGTGGAAGTGATTGCTTCATGTAAGAATTTGACAAATTTGAGAAAATTAAGTTTGGGAGAATCGCGAGTGTCGGATCAAGGTGTTCGATTGCTGTGTTCATGTTCACATTTAAGTCGTTTGAATGCTCTTTATTTGAGTGACAATTATTTGAACATGGAAAGTGCGCAATCGTTAGCAGAAAGCAAAGCGATTAGCAATCTTACAGATTTGCATTTGTATGGCAATTTCTTTGAGGATGAAGGAGTCAAACTGATCGCGGAAAGTGAAAACATGAAGAATTTACAAATTTTGGATCTTAACAGCAATTCAATAACGAATGAGGGTGTGAAATATTTGGCGAATAGTCGATTCATGAGTCGACTGACTGATCTAGATTTAGGTTTTAACTATTTCGATGACATAGGGGCGTCATACATTGCCAAGAGTGTTCATTTACACGCCCTCAAGAAATTGGATTTGTCTCAAACGAAAATTACGGAAAAGGGAATTCAGGAAATAGAGAATGGTTTGAAGATGCGGAGAGAAAGGAAGGGACGTCGTATAATATTGACCAAGAAGTGATTGTACAATAATGTAATGTCCTTTCACGTTGTCTCTTGCTTCTCTCATGAAGAAAAATACGAGTTATTGTTACAACTTTATTGGCCTAACCGAAGACAGTGAGTCAAAATCAATTTCCAGCTCATCTTGGTCGTTTCTAAAAACGCATGAAGTAAACTCATGATCCAACAGAATGTCATTCATGGTGTATGAATATCGTGCTTGCACATTGGCCGAGGTAGCCTCATCAACAGCTTCAAAACAAGCCACAATTTCAGTGTTTCTACTGGTTTGGTTTTCGCTTGTCAATAATGGATACAATGGTGAATCTCTTGTGATAGGATGCACTACAGTAAATGGAAGGCACAACAGGGGTGCAGATAAATCAATATCCATACATTTTCCTGTTTGGTTATTAATCTGGAAATAAAGCTCATGAACCACAGGATACACTCCAACTCGTTGAGGTTTCTTTCTCCAGAAACTGGTAAGGGGCGAAGTTTCGCTGGTATTGTTGTTACTTCCTCCATACAGAATTGCATCCTCAGAAATATGTAATGCATTGTAGTCGTCATTTTGCAATGGTCTGTTGCCTGTGTTGGTTTCAATGTATTGTTGAATAAGTCCTGCTGTACGATTTTTACGAACTCTAACTTGTTGTTTTTGTAAAAGCTCGTTGGCATGTTGAGTTTGTGATTTTTCATATTCCACTCTTTCATCTTCATTTTTCCATTCGATTAACAATAATCTGAATTTTGTAGAAATAAATTGTGTTTTTCGTGTGTTAACAAATCTAAATATTAAAAACATTGGTAAGGTATCCTTAAAAGGCTGAGGAGGAATAGTCACTTGTCCTCGCTGACTAATTTCATTATAAATTTCTTGAGTTGAAAAATAGCCAACATGATTAATCACAGCATTCTTGCTGAAAAATATTCTCTTTCTCAGCTTTGTAGGTCTTGAGAATTTGGCGACACTTATGGTAACAACAATGGTTGATGTAAAGAGACCCAAGAATGATTGAACTACCACAATGGAGTTTGCATAAATTGATTTTGGATATAGACCACCGTATCCGATGGTGAACATGGTTTGAACTGTAGAGAATACATGTTTGATTCAAATATTTCGAGCAAGTTGAATCATATGAAAGAGCTCAAATAGAACAACCAACCTGAAAAGAAAAAGCATTGCAAAAATCCGTATGCAGTATAATCACCTTCATCAAAATCAGGGTTCAATCCACCAATGGTATCCTTTCCTGCTACAAAATACAGTAATGCGAATATCAAATGCAAGATCAAATGCGCAACAATTATTAAAATTAATAATTTCCACCAAGACCTAAAGAAGAACTCGTTTGTTGCAATTCCGATGATTCCATAACACCTACCAACTGATGAGAATATGATAAATAGAAGTAATATCCACTAAACTGCTCTTGATAATATGTTGATTCTTTCTCTTCACTCTATAGTGATTGTTTTTCCTAGAAATAAGTCTGGGCAAATCTCGTATGCAAAATTTAAATGCAGATAAATGAACAGGATTTGAACTATCTCCATCTTGAGAGCCAGATGAAATAATTGGAGAGGCCTTTGTTGCTAACTCAATTTTCTCTTCCTCTATCTCATCGTAATCTTCATAATCTTCATCGCCCAATGCTCGGAAAAATTTTCTAATTTTCTTCATCAATTTAATTGAGAATGCCGAGTAGAAATAGTCCAATAAATTCACTAAATGAATTTGAATTTTTCAAAACAATTCCACTGTTGAGAGTCAGCTCGAACAACAACACAGTCTGAGATACAATAATTATTTTTTAAAACTTTGAAAATTTTGGGTTGTTGTTGTCATTTCACTTTCCTTTAAAGGATCAAGAGTGTGATCCTGGGTGAAGAAGTAGTCCATTCGATCAGGACAAAAAATCAATAGAGAGAACAGCAAGTATTTTTGTTTTGTGAAAGAAATGAACTCAGAAAAATCTACGAGAACTCGGATTTATGATTAATAAGGACCAATTCAACAGATTTTTTCATTCCAAACAAAGGAACAATTCAACAAGTGTTACTTTCGTTGAACTCAAATGGACATGCGCAACACATCCTCTTCATTCAACATGAATCTCTTCAATTCTCTCTTCTTGATGTGTTGATACTTGACAATAGCGTGAGTGATGACAACCACAAATACAACAAGAAAAGCACACATGGCAATGACTGGAACAATCAACAAGGTACTTCCAATACCAATACTCCAGTCCTTAATGACCTCTTTTTCTCTGAAAACTAGAAATAAAAACAAGGCGATCACTACACCCAATATGAGCATGACCATCAGAATGAAAAAGAGAGATCCCATAATTGCCAATTTCTTTTGCATGCTTTTCTTGAAAAGTGGTTTTTGATAACTTGAAATCATGTGCGTGTAGAGTAATTCTCGATAAATATGAAGATTTCCAATGGAATTCACCAAATAGAGCATTTGTTTGCAATTCCTTGATGGTGCTAAAGGAGATGCTGAGCTTGGAGCATTCTCAATTTCCCTTAATTCAAAGGATCGTTTTAGCATTCTCCTTGCATAGGCATCTTCATGGGATGATGGAAAGTGTTTGTGTTTGGGATTTTTGGGATTCACAATTTTTGAAGGTAATTGTTTTTCATCAACATTCAATACAATTTTGATGCAATATTTCACTGCTTCTTCTTGATAACTTTGAAAGATGGGATAAATTCTGAGAAGGAATCTCGAATAGCAAAATCCTAATTTTTCAATGGCGTTTTGATCCAAATCTGAATACTGCCTCAATCGTTCCATATATTCCTTAACTGAGACCATAAACAAAACACCATGATAGCAACATGTATAAAAATCGAGTTCAAGCTTTTTGTGGCGAGAATACTCCCACGTTACGGGAATTTTTTTTGGGAATTTCATTTTCCAATAATGAGCAAAACAACTTTTTACATGTCGACAAGTTCTTTCAAATGCAAGTATTGTTTTTAAATCATATTTTACATAGGAGAGTATGTGTTTCACCACGTCATTGCATAATGTTTGAATGTGAGAATTTTTGATTTCAAAAGTGGTTGGTTCGATTGATTGAATGACAGAAGGAATTATTTCATTATTGTGATGATGAGGACACATTGGAATAGCTGATGACGATGATTCCGAGAGAAGCTGTGTTGTCACCAGTGTTTCTCGTTCATGCTGTGACATCTATTAGTGCCTGTTTAGATGATGTTTGCGTCTCAGCTTTCTCACTGAGGCCACGATCTATTTTTTTTGATGGACGTTTCACTTGTGAAATGTGAAATCCTTGTGTCTTACCGAGTAGTATGAGGGGCCTTTACTTGCCCTGGTTAATTTTAATAAATAGTACGTGAAAATGTTTACATGACGAAAAGAATCGAATGTTCTTCATGTGGCCACAACATTCCAATCCTCCATTCATGAATGAGCGTCAGAGAATATCATTTGGTTCATTCTCCACCACGATTTTTGTTCAAATAGTCAAAAAGATCAGCATAGAAATTCACATTGCAACGTCTAGCAAGTTGAATTCAAAAAAGATGACACAAAACTATAACTTAATAACAAGAAGATTGAGCAGTTCTTCTTTTCATTCGTGAGGACGATGAATTCCATCGATGTTGGAATTTTTTTCTATGACTCGTGGTTCCATAGATGAGATGATTCAACGGATCTTTGAATAATGTAATACCAGCATGATCTTCTAACTGATGATTTTTTTTAATTCTTGCAATGAGTTCACGAGCATCTAATGGAGTACGATCTTCCTCTCCATACTCTTCTAACATTCCGGGGCTAATAAAAGAGACGTTGCGTTTCGTGTTGTTACATGGATTGTTTGAAAAATCGGTTACTCGGTTACCAATAATCATCACCATCATGGAATTTTGCTTTTGATTGAGAGATGGAAATGGTTGACGATGATGAGCGTGTAGTAGTGATCGTGCTTTGGAAAGGCTGTTGATGAGGCTGTTCGATGATTTGATCATTTTTTGAGATTGCCAAAATAGCACTCACTCGTCGTGTTGTTGTAAACAATTTCTCTGTTGCTACAGAGACGACTCCATGAAAGGAAATTGTTTAATTTAAAAACAAATGGATCTTGGTCGAAGTGATGAGTGATATAGTTCATCCAATAGGAGTGAGCAGCTGCTACTAAAGTCAAATTAGATTGCTTTTTGAGAAGGACCTGAACTCATGTGCCATCTTGCTTGCTTTTGAAGATAACAGTTCAATCCTCCATGAAATTTCACAAGCGATTGGTGAGAAACAGCGGCTTCACAGCCACTTTCGACAGGTTGTCCGTTCACTAATATGCTTCTCTTTCCAACATTTTTAAGGATAAAGTACTAGTATAAATACAACATTTCACTGTTTTGGTGTGCTTTTTGCTTGAAACTGTTACGCATAACAAACCGTCAGCAAGTGGGTGACCTGTGTACCGTTTTGTTGGCTTGGTGTTGTTGTTGCTATTTTTTTCTATTTTTGTATTTTAAAGAGAAAATCACAACTCCACACCGTTAGCTAATTATTTCATGCATTTCAAAGAGAGCCAATTTGAAGACCGGGAGTATTCAACAACGTTGACAGTGAATCCTATTGGTCAACTTTTTTGCAAACGAAGAGCGGGTATTGTTTAAAACGATGGAAAAATCGTAATTAAGACTCTATGAATAAATCAAAATATTTAATAAAAGTAATGTAAACGAAAGTGAATCTACCATTCTCACAATTCCCTGTGTCTGTGTTTTTGTGTGAAACAACAACAACACCACTTCACATTCAATTATTGAATCTTATTAGTGACCATAAATTTGAATAAATCACTTGCAAATGCTTCAAAATGTTCACCAAAGTAAATCACATCCTTATACTCTTCTTCTAATTGTTCAAGATTTCCAATTAACATGTTATAATTATTTTTACACAATCTAGCCAATTTGATAATATGTACCATATTGTGTACATTAACGAATTCATCGTTGGTAATGAGGAAAGGATACTTTTCTCTAATCAATTGAAGGAATGGTAAAGATTTGGCAATTAACTTGCTTTCACTTTCTCTTTCTTTAATGAGAGAATCCTCATGTTGATCGACATAGTGTTTCTCTTCTCTCCACACTGGGAAACCACTTTTGAATTCAGATGGCTCCATTCCTCGTTCGACTTCGTAAATAGAGATCGATCTTGGAAAACGAGGAATTTCTGGATTGGTAGTTTCTCCTTCGAATTTGTTTAAAAATTGTTTGGTTGAATTGTTAATGGTGAAATCGTGTTCTTCATCATTGGCGTCGTCATTGTTCTGTGTTGATTCGGCATGTTGTTCCTCTTTCACTTTTTCATCTTCTTCAATTTCTTCAGCCAAATCATCTTTGAGAATGTATGCCACTGCTTTGAGTGCCAATGCTCGTTGAGCACTTGAAGGTGTGGATGGATACCAAACAAAGATGACCTCCGTGTAATCGACAATGAGTATTTGATGTGAATTGTTCAAATCTTGTTGAAGGAATTGTTGTCCAATTTCACCCACATTCATCACTCTGAATGTGTTGTCATTAATGATGGTACATTCAAAGACGACACCTTGAGCATAATTCAATTTTTCAGTCACATATGGAGTGACTTGATTATCTGTTTGAGTGAAGAGATCCCAGAATTCTTCTGGTTCGAAACCTTCATCGACAGCTGAGACATCTCTGTTGCCAATGAGAGATTGAGCAAGTTTGAAAGCAATTTCCTTCTTTTTACCACTCGAATAGACACCAATCCACAAGTAGGCAGTTCTTGGACCCAACAAGATGAAAACATCATTCGAGTTCAAATTGTTTCTCTTCTTTTCGACTTGAACTGCTTTAGAATTTCTCACAGTCTTACAATAAATTCTGTAAAGTGAAGTTGCAGCACGCTTATTCGTCATGGTACCTTTGTGAACAACCATGATGTGTTCAAAGATCTTCATAAAGTGATCATTCTCCTTTCCTTCCTTTTGTGTGATAATTTTTGCTGGATTAATTGGATCTGATGCAAAGTTTTGGAAGTTTCTCTTGAGAATACGAGCACTCACTGTTTGTTGAGAGTCAGCACCTTCCCAACAGTACAATATTCTTCTTGGCAAGTAGAAAATCTTCTTCTTTTTGATATTGAGAGGTTTCACAATGAGTTGTGGTTCTTGTTGCTCTTCATCTTGTTCCTTTTCTTGTGGTTTCTTAATTTCATATTTTTTCTTTGGCTTTTCTTCTGGTTCTTCAGTAACTTCTGTGACTTTAACACCCATGCCATCAATTAATTTCATTCGAGCTTCCAATGAATCAGAGTCATCACTTTCATATCCCTTATACTTGGGTTCAGGATAGGATTCTGGAGGTAAATCTTCTTCTTCTTCTTCTTGGGCAGGTGGTGCTTCTTCTTCTTCGTCATCGTCTTGGAAGAGATCAGAACGATTCCATTCATATAAAATCAAATAACAATCTTCAGAGTAGAAATTACCCAATTCTTCTTCAGGGACTGGTTCTGCATAATTTGCATCCACAACTCTCCAAATTTGAACTGTTCCTGTACCTTCATCATCAGGATCCACATAATCAAGTTTTTCCTTATAATTAAAATCTTCCAATCGAATGTCAAGATTTTGATTGGAATCAAACTCATCGTCACAAATATCAGCCAATTCTCTTCTCTTCTTTTCAAAGATCTCAGGAGTATCATACAAATAAAATCCATGCAAAAATCTCTCTCTAAACAAGACAGGTTCATTTCCAGAGAAACAACTGTGAATTTCTAAAATATCAGGTGAAGAGTTTTGAATGGTAGCTGCCAAAGTTTCTGCACACTTTCGATCGACAAATTTAGACTTTTTACCAAACCACAAGTAAATCTCATTCTTTGTTTCGAGCAAGTACACAGATTCCTCATTCAACATGTCACGTTTCAACTCTCCAGCAGCAATCTTATTGATATCAAATTTCTTATCTTCCACTGATAAGACTGAAACACTGAAAAGAGTTGCAGCATCTTGAGAGGCATCTGATTTTGCATGAGAGTTTCCAAATTGTTCAAAAGTAGAAAGAAAATCAGAAGGAAGTGAAGATGATGAATCTAATAATGAGGATTGATGAATAATTTCCACATGTCCTTTACCCTTTCGATCGTCATGAATGATATTACGTGCCACATCCACTCCCTTCAATTGTTCTGTTTTACTTGCTTCACTTCCAATCCAAACATAGACATGTTCTTCATTTTCCAAAATAAAAACATCCTTCACAGAAGAAGCTGACTCGATTTGTGATTTGGATAAGTGAACACGTTTCACCAAGAGACGACGTTTATGATCAGCATCGACCTTCATCAAACGTGGAACAAATTCCTTGTGTGAAACTTTGAGTAATGAATCTTGAGTGGCACAAGCATCTCTATATTCAATATGATGATCGAAATATTCCAAGAAATCTTCACTCTCTTCACGTTCTTCTTCACGATAGAGAGAAGCTGAAATTCGATTGGCCAATTCATTGGATAGAAATGCACAAACGGCTTGTTTCATGACATTGGCATTCTTTCCAACCCAATAATGAATCTTTCGGAGACGAGTTTCATCGTCTTGAGCTTCAAATGTGTAACACAAGACATAACAATCGGAGGAATTGAACTTGCCAAATTCTTCTTCTGGAACAGCAATTGGAATCATCTTGACGAGATGCCAAATTTGAAGTCCTGCTTTTTCACCTGCTCCCTCAAACAAATCATCCTGATTCAAAATAATGTCAGGAGTTTCGAGTGCCTTGTCGAGATCCATTTTGGCAGTCTGAGATTGATCCTCAACCAAAATAGAGACACGAGAGTGCATTTCTTTCACTGAACGCAACACACGAATAGCTGTCGAGAATTTGGGAGGATTTGTTGAGGCGGAGGAGGAATCTGATTTCTTTTCGGATGATCCTGCTGAAGAAATGTTACCCAACTTTTTCATGGCATTCTTCATGGCACCTCCAAACAATTGTTTACGTTGAGTGGATCGATTGGTTGTATTTGTGGTTGATGTTGATGATGATGTTGTTGATGTTGATGAAGCATTTGTAGCAGCACTCAATGTTGTATTTGGAGAGTTGGTTGATTCTTCTTCATCTGAAGAGGATTCTTGATCATCATTTCCTCCTCCATACATGGCTGCCAATCGTTGACGTTCGAGTTCTTGTACGGATGGCATCCTTTGTTGTAAAAGTGATTATTATTGTTGTTCTTCTTGTTGTGATATGGTGTTTGGAGACTCTGTGTGATTTGAAAGGAGGAGTCTTTTAAAGATGATGGAAGGAGTACTATTTTGTTGGTAGGTGGTGTGAAATTGATTTCAAAGTGGTGATGCAGCTGAAGAAGAGAATGGGTGATGGCAATTTTTTTTATGTGATGAATTGACAGACAGTTGACAGGCCAAGACCACAATCTTGAGAAGACTTCAAACCTCCTCTGATGATAGTCAACAACCTTATTCAAAAATTTGTAAGGCTAATGAGCTCTCTGTTTTTTTCAAACGGTTGGTATATGAATTCTCACATCCACCTATTACAAAGATTATAAAAAAATGAAAAAAATTGGTCGAGTGATTTCTTCTTCATTACTTCCGATGAAACCTGAGAAAGGCTTGGTCGTACGACTTTGTGTTGGAAAGAATTCTGGCTTTGAAAAATTAAATGATGCTCGTCATGTCTTTCTTAATGATGAAAATATTTTGGAATTATCCGATTCTTTTTCATTTGTTAAGAATGAATTATTTCCGAAATTAATTAGAAAATATCATTTGCAATGTGGGATGTTTCAAGTAATGGAAAGTGATAACATAGAGGAAAGAGATTGTAAATTGTCTGAATTTATGGAGAATGTCTTAACTAAATCTTATACCAATGATTGTGATGGAGGTCCATTATTCTTGTTAGATGTGGATTGAGCACAACTTTGCATAAACTATCATTGTTACCACTATTTGACGTTCAAAAAGCTTTACAAGGATCTTTAGAAACAAAATACTCTGACATGTCAAGATACAGACCTCTCACCATAGATTTTTCAGACATGACTTCTGCCAATCTTGCACAAAGAGGAATATCAAAGTCTAGTGCTCTATTTCGTGCATGCAGTATGAAAACAAAGAAACCTGGCGAAACTCTGGTTTTGGACGCTACCACTGGGCTAGGGAAAGATAGCTGTATATTATCATTACTTGGATTTAACGTAATTTGCTGCGAGCGCCATCCTCTCATTTCGATAATGTTGAAAGCTGCCCTTCACAGAGCTCAAGAAAATGGCAAGTTTATGAACATGAAACACTTATTTGAAGAGACTGATTCCCGAACCCTTACTGTGCAAACTTTTGCTCATTTAAACTTGGAAATTCCAGATGTCATTTATCTCGATCCCATGTTCACTCATGTAGGATCAGCACTCCCAAAATATGAGCTGCAAGTATTAAGAAGCCTAATGTCATTTCTTGATTTTGATAGCTGTCAAACGAACGAATCTTTCGAAACTTCTTTGGTCCAATGGGCATTAAATCTTGGAGTTAAACGAGTTGTGATGAAAAGACCCAAAAAATCTCCAATCGTGCTTCCAGATAATTTGGCTTTCAGCTACTCGGATGGAGGAGACATCTTCTATGATTTATTTCAACGATGAGAAATGTCACACCTCGAATTTAAAATTATTCGTTTGGAAGTGCTGTAAATTTTATACATTGTAAAGGTTGTTTTACTTCTTGAATGCCCTGAGAATGGCTGCGATCCCTCAGTGAGAAAAATTAAGGATAACTCGATCCTTGCATAAATTATTGCTTGTTTTCTGAGATGTATGACTTGCTAATAACGTTAACCTTGTCAACTTCGACTAATCTGTAAACTGGATTTGGTAATAAATTTTCAACAATCTTCTTTTCTTCAATAAGTTCCTTTACGCTAGCATTAATTCTGTCAGCACTGAAAGAGTTGATTGGTAAGCCTTCAATGACTCCATATTTACCTGCTCCAAAGCATTGCACTGGCATTGAGCACCAAATACCTCTTGGAATACCATATTGACCTCTTGATGGAATAGCCATAGAAACCCATTCGCTATTTCCCAAAACCCAATCGTGCATGTGTTTAATAGCAGCATCAGCAGCAGAGGCAGCGCTTGACTTTCCTCTGGCCTTAATGATAGCAGCACCACGTTGTTGAACGTTTGGAATAAATTCATTTGTGATCCATTGCTCGTCATTAATCACGTTAAGTCCCCATTGTCCTTTGATGGTTGTGAATGAAAGATCTGGATATTGAGTGGCAGAGTGGTTACCCCAAATAGCAAATCGAGAAATGTCGGAAATATTACATCCAAGCTTTGTTGCAACTTGAGCCAATCCTCTGTCATGATCAAGTCTTGTCATAGCAGTGATATTTTCTGGTGGAATATCTGGAGCGTTGGCAGATGTAATCATTGCGTTGGTATTGGCTGGATTGGCAACAATCAAAACCAAAACATCTCCGTTGGCATTCTTGTTCAAAGCTTCACCTTGAGCCTTAAAAATTGCAGCATTGTCTTTCATGACATCAGCTCTTTCCATTCCAGGTCCTCTTGGCTTACCTCCGAGCAAAATAGCATAGTCAGCACCTCTGAAAGCATCATTTTCACTATCAGTAAGATAAATTTCTTCCAAGAGTGGGAAAGCTCCGTCGTCCAATTCCATTTTCACTCCTTCAAGAGCCTTCATTGCTTCGGGTCTTTCCAACAATCTCAATTTAACTGGTTGATTTTCGCCCAACATTTCACCGTTAGCAATTCTGAACAACAAGCTGTTGGCAATTTGTCCACATGCTCCAGAGACAGTGATTGTAACTGGTGGAGCCAATTGATCGACGTCCTTTGTCAAGTATTTTGGACCCTCTCTGGCACTCTTGTTTACCCATTGAGCGACTACCTTTGGATCTTTAATGTTCAAATTGGCGAAATCATTCTTGGTTTGCTTTCCAAGCAACATTCTCTCGAGTGGTGTTCTTGTTGCGGATAACTCGGCATCCATCTTTTCACCTCTTTGTTTCAAGGTGCTATAATGGCGAACACCATTACCTGTATTATTTTCAAAATAGATATTGCCATACGTGTGAAGAAATATTCCAGTAGTTGTAATTACAACAAAGAATAACAACAATAATACCGTCATCATCAATTAATCGTATCATCAGGAAATATTAAATATATTCAAATTTATCAAGATAAAAATAGGATTAAATCAACAATGATGAATAATAGCAAAATGTATTACTAGAGTCAGGAAAACGATTGATTGTTCACTACAAGACATACGTGAAGATTTGGAGAGTTGGGCGAGTCTCTTCATGGGTAAGAGTAAATATTTTTTTGGGATTTACAATGAGACTTTTTTGCTTTGAAGCCAAGCACAAGCGGCTCTTTCGTTCGCTTCTACCAACCTCTGATGTTGGACCAAATATCGATCAACTTGGCTTCCTTGGAATTATTAATAACGTAATACTTGTCAAACAGGGCAGCTGATAAGCAACTATGATTTGGGATGATGGTCAACTTGGTACCAATTCGAAATGCTTCAAAATTGATTGGTTTCTCACTAGTCACAATTCCAATTTCTTGAGTTAGATTGGTAATTTGCAGAGTCTCATCTTCTTTGATATAACCATAGGAAGCACAACTCACATTCGAACATCCTATGTCCTTACTTAAGGCAAGTGCACCAGCATCAATGGTTAATTGATTCATGCTTGGTCGATGTCCAATAACTGAAGCAACGACAAATGCGGAGCAATCCTTAATATCACAACTACCAATTCTTGTTTGCATGTAATCATAAAAAACATAATTTCCAGGATGAATTTCATTCACCAAAGTGTTGGACCATTCTTCACGAGTTCCAACTGCACAAGTTGGAGTCGATCCAACGGCAACAGTATTGGGATGAATTCCCATACGATGAAGTTTTTGTGCAAAGTCTGAAATGATTTGAGCTTCTTGCATGACCACTCTTCTAATTTCTTCCTTTCCACGACATGAATAAGATTGTCCAGCATGTGTATAGATTCCAGCAAGTTTGACATTTGGAGATTCATATATCTTTTGAACAAGACGTAAAGATGCTTCATCACTTGGATCAACACCTACTCGATGCTGTCCACAATCTACTTGTACAAAAACAGAAAATTGAATATTGTGAGTTTTTGCATAATCTTCAATGATTTTCAAAGATGATTCACTCTCCACGTCAATGTGAAATTTTGGAATTCTTCTTGTCAATGATTCAATTTGTTTCATTTTGGCTTTTGTCAATGCAGGTACAGCATAGTGAATATCTTTGTAGTGTGCAGAATAATATTCAGCTTCTGCCAATGTGGACACTACCAATTTTGGATCTTTCAATCCAATGGTTTGATGTTTGGCACCCTCCAACGTTTTGTGAGTTTTCACATGAGGTCTCAACGAAATACCACATTCATTTGCTTTTTGAATCATAGTTCTGCAATTTCGATCCAATACTTGCAAATCTACCAGAAAGAAAGGAGTTTTAATTTCACTGCTCCAAAACGAACTGTCAGTGGGAGTGCTCTCCAATTCTGACCATTTAGGAGGTGCATCCTCTCCTGATGTTGTTGTTGCTGACAAGAATGAAGAGTGAGTATGATAGGAAGAAGAGATCTGATGTGTGGATGACCATTGTTTGTTGTGGATCATTGGATGAGAATGGTTGAAAGATGAAGTGGAGCAAAAACGAAACAAGGTTTTTGCATCATTGTTTGTTCTGATTCCAACCATTGATGATGAAAGGGATCTTTTCATCATGATGATCGTGGATTCAAAATTCTTGGTTTGATGACGATTCAAGAACATTTTTTCAAATCAAATCAACTAACTCGGCCATTGATCCATTCAGTATGTATGCTATTTTCAAGGCAGTTATCAGCATGTGGTTTCCGACGAGGTCATGAAACATTTCATCAACAGGCTTGATCACAACAAGAGCAATAGTAATTTGATTTTCAAAATGTGGAATTGTTTTTTTAAAAATAGAATTAAATTTTAAGCATAAAAAATGTCTCGTGGAGCATCATCAGGCTACGATAGATTCATCACAGTCTTTTCACCTGAAGGAAGATTGTATCAAGTGGAGTATGCCTTTAAGGCCGTTAAAACACCTGGAATTACAACAATTGGTATTCGTGGAAAGGATTCATGTTGTATTGTAACACAAAAGAAAGTACCCGATAGACTTTTGAAAGCCGAGTCTGTTACTCATGTCTTCAAAATTACTGATCGTATCGGATGTGTAATGACTGGAAGAATTGCCGATGCCAGGGTGAATGTCCAAAGAGTAAGATATGAAGCAGCATCATTTGAATTTAAATTTGGATATGAAATTCCAGTTTCATATTTGGCAAAGAGAATGGCTGATCATGGTCAACTTTTTACTCAATATGCTGGTATTAGACCACAAGGAGTGGTGATGATGTTGATTGGTATTGATGAAGAAACAAAGGAACCACAATTGTACAAGGTTGATCCTGCTGGCTACTATGCTGGCTATTTTGCTACAAGTGCTGGACAAAAAGAAACAGAAGCACAAAACTTTTTGGAAAAGAAGTTAAAGGATATAAAGCCAAGTGAAGATAGTACTGAATGTGTGTTGTCAACCCAAGAGACAGTTCAACTTGCAATCGGAAGTTTACAATCAGTGCTTAGTCAAGAACTCAAGTCTAGTGACATTGAAGTTTGCATTGTTTCTGGAGAAGATCGTAAATTCAAGGTCTTGACTGCTGACGAAGTGGACACTGTTTTGAATGCCCTCGCAGAAAGAGATTAATTATTTTTAAATTGTACACAATCATTCGAACATTTTCAATACATTCCTTGCACTGCTGTATTTATCTCAATATTTCTTGGCTTTATGCCAACAAGCTCGAAAGCTGCAACAAAACACAGGCCTTAATCATGGCCAGGAGAAATGAGTTTGAACATTTGGAACTCGGGAGTTGCAAACTCCTTTCAATTCCCAAACAGAAAAAAATGTCTTTCGAATGTCCTGTGATGAATCATGCTCCCACGAACATGCAATACATGTTGAGTGCGATCGAGCACTTGGAAAAAGTGAGCTTGGCAACCTTTCAACGGATTAACGAAAAAATCGATGAACAACGTCAAATTCTACATCAGGTTCATCAACGAGTGGCTGTGGTGAAGCATTCGTTGAAGAATATTGAATCGGAACGAAGCAGAGAAACTCTCCTCGTAACAAGTAGTCCTGTTTTCCCTACTCCGTCCATAGTGAGCGACAAGCCATGTTTCTCTATCGTTCGCGATCGAATTACAGTACCTGCCATGACAAAAACTCACTCAACTCCATGTATTCTAAAAAGTCCAGGTGTAAATATGCGAGTAAGTGTTATTACTAACTTTAATTGTCCTGAAACCATGTTTGTAAAAGCTCAACATGCTCCATACATGGTCAACAAGCTGCAACCATTTTAGAACCATGTCAAAATCGTTGTCAGTAGCAACTGGTGTTGGAAAATATCATGAGCGCCCAATTTCATCTGTTGGTGAGCTTGTTTGTTTCAACACGAACATGAATGTTTTCCATAACTATTATGCTGTGGATCCTCTGAATTCAAACACCACATCAATCGGCCAAAATTTAAAGCAGCAGCAACCAACCAGCACTGATTTTCTGTTGAAAATACCACCTGCTCCTTATTCACTATCTTTCAATTCCATTTATGAATGTATTCAGGCAAAAAATCACCAAAACGATATCCAACCCTTTGTTCCCATCATGAGCTCCTTACCTGCACTGGAATTGCCATCCGATCTCAACTTGCCAAATATTGCATGTACTAAACATTGGGAACATGTCACAGAAATGCCACCACTTCCATGTGAGATCTCTCAAAATCCCATGAGTACTATTCAACACGTAGAGAGAATGAGTGCAACTGTGGAAGATGTAAAAGAGGAGAATGCTTCTCAAACCATCATGCAGCAAGTAGCCCTCACGGAAGTTGATTCCTCAATGGTACCATCGACATGCTTATCACCTCAAACCCACGAGCTGGAAATGCCACTTCAAATGAATAGTTCAATAGAAAGAGATATTAATCAACAAATGGATGCCATTCAAACTAACTCTAATGAAGTCACGTGCAACAATGCAAATCAAAACGCAACGGATCAAATAGAACAGCCAACTTTGATGAATGAAACCATCTTCTCAACAGCAGCTTCTTCAACTCTTTGGGATTCTATCACCAATTTTTCGAGGGATAGTTTGAGACGAACAGTGGTAAATGCACATAAGGATCCACATGAAAGTTCCAATACCAACCCTGTTTACAGAAACATGATACGAGTGCTGGATTTGAGGAGAATAGGCATTGAGGGTAATGTGGATGAAGATGATGATACCTCTTCCGCTATGACTGACACATGGTAATCAGATATTTCAACGTTGATCTCAATTGTTAAATAAATTGTTAAATAAATGAATAACGCTTTGGCTTTTCTCAGAATTCATAGCTATGCACGACAAGCATGGTCATCATTGCTCATCTGATTGTTTGTTGCTCTGGGTTGTTGAAAATGCAGATTTTGGCATGTCGAAATAATGGTAAGCATTAAAAATTGCATGACACATCTTAAAAGCAGCATCTTTTTTAGCGTCCTTTTTCTTGGAAAATGCATCTCCTCTTACTGTAGATACTTTGTCACTAACGACACTGCAAGTGTAATAGTATTGATTGAAATTATTAACTCTCATTGTCAACACAAAATCTTTGAACTCTGGGTTAACTCCAAAATTAAGTTTGCAGTGATGAAATAGACAAGTAATAGCTGTTTCGAGAGTAATCTTCTCTTTGAAAATGTTTGCATCTGTTACTTTGGTAGTCGTTTGTTTTCGTTTGAGATCAATCTCTTGAATGGGTACTATTTCTTTGAGAAGTTCAGAATTCTCTCCGTCATTGATCTCGATTGGATCTTTAGTTTTCTCTTTGTAAATTTCTGTCCAAGTGCTAGGAGGAAATACGACAAGATCTTTGTCCATAAACTTTTGTAATGCTTCAAGGGAGGCAGCGTTCTTCGCATCTCGTTTAGTTTTAAAAGCCTTAGAAGTAGTAAGGACAAAGTATCTGGCTGCCTGATATCCATTCATATAACAGCTTCTATCAATATTACTAATTGTAATAATTATTCGAGCAATAAAACTTGAACCAGTTTTTATGACTTGCATTACTGGTTTTGCTCCAAATAATTTCTCACACGTGTTCGATAATACTGATGATTGTGTTATAGTCTTTTCAGTGTAGTGATAGAGACGTTGGACAGTTTCATCGTTTGCAATTTTCTCAGAGTTAAACCATAAATACTCGAAAATGTGACCGAGAACCATATGCTTTAAGCCAGAGGTCTCTTTTAGATTGATATTCCTCAGATAAATATCAGGATGTATTCTTTCTGCCTTCATCAAAATATCGACAGCAGTGATCATTTTTCTTTCTTGCATTTGATATCGCTCGACGGATTTCTCTGGTATTGTTTTTTTGATAATAATGTACAACAACATTGGATGAATCGTTGGCAATCATTGAAATTCAAGTACATACGTCCAGAATTTGTGTGAAGAATACAGAAAAATTCACTATTTCGAGATCTGGCTCTTCCTCTTGATTGAATGAGATTTAAGGCGCTATCAACCCCATCTAATCGCACGACTAAACTGCAGGATGGAATATCAATACCTTCCTCAGCCACACTTGTAGAAATTAAAGTATTAATAACGCCAGTTCTAAAGTTTGTCAAAACCGTCTGCTGCTGATTAGAGGTCATTCCTCCTGTAGATGAGCTTTTGCCGCGGCCAAGCAGAATGTCTAGTTTAAGGAAACCGCGAAGAGCTGGTTGAGTCTCTAAAAACTCTTTAGTTTCTTTACATCCAAGTCTGGTTTTTACAAAAATCAGCGCTCTCATATCTTGAGCTTTTGATTTGTATTCTGTTAATAATCTTGCTAGCTCAACTCTCTTATTACAGTTTTTTGGAATTATTCCTATTGAATGCTCGTGTTCATACATGGATAGTGATATACCGCTTTTAGACAATAAGGAGAGGATTTCCTTATTTTCTAAAGAATTTAAGAACTTTTTCAATTGCTCCCACCTGCACATGTTAGCATTTCTGAGGCTATAAATTGTAAACTTACGCATCATAGGGTGATCGGTGATCATTAATCATGAGACATTCGTTAAGAATAGACAGAGTTTGGCATAATAGAACAATCATAGGCTTGGATCTATCTCTAGTTTGTAAAAATTCTGTTAAATGTCGATTGTCACATTCCGTATCGTTCGATAATTCTGTTGTGGGTATATGTGACCTTTTGTTAATCCACATGTCAGCCTCATCAGTACCAAATTTATCATCATAAATGTCAATATCTCCATGTAAATTTTTGCCACATTTTTCAAGAAGCAGCATCTTAACTCGTCTAATAGCGTTATAAATATAAGATTTTAGTCTCTCTGAGTGAGGGTCCATATCTACACTTTTCATTTGAATGGGAGGTATGTACACATACTTGTTCAACTCTTCTTCGTTTTTTTCTACACGTCTCACTGTACAATCCAAATCATGGCACAGTTGCAAAATTTTTAGGATCGTTTCACCAACTGTGTTTTTAGCAGCAGGTGAAGCACTTAGCCCCACAATTCTAGGAATGGGAAATCCAGCCAACTTTCGAGGTTTATAAAAATCTCTCATAAGCACCTTGAATGGATGGTTAGAATGCGCATGATGACATTCGTCAAATATTATTAATTGAACATCCTCCATTATTCTTTCTTCATTGTTCTTCATGGAATTAAGAAGTATTTGTACTGTACAAACAATGACATCATGATATTCTGAATCTTCTGTCCAATTTTTCAGCCCTTTTTTGTCACTATGAAAGGCACCTACTCGTGGAATATTAAATTCTTGGAAGGCAGTTGCTTGCTGATCTACAAGAGAAATTTGATTTACAAGAAACAGTATCTTCTTTGCTGGATTTTGATCAAGTGTATCTCTGATCAAAAGAGCAGCAATAAATGTTTTGCCTTTTCAAATAAATTCACAATATTTTCAAAATGTAAATTCCCATTATCTACATGTAAAATCAATTCTACAAACACATACCCGCACCGGTTGGAGCTACAATAATCGTATTTTCTTTTTTGCAATGTTCAACTAATTCTTGTTGATAACCTCGTGCTTGAGAAAGTAAATCGTCACCACTGGTTGAGAATGATGAAGATTCGCTTGGTCGATCATTGTCGGCCATTGTATGGTATGCTGAATTTAAATCATCCTCTTCCATATTATTTACATCATCTTGGTTTTTAAATAAATTAAAATTCGTGAATTCTTGCATGGTTGCAATGTTTTCAATATTCATCATGGAGTTATAAACACACATCTTGTCTTTAATAATCGGTGCTTTTAATATCCTCCGTTTATGAGCATCCAATTCTACATTATCATCAATGACTTGGCACTTGTTATACAATTCCGATGAGGGGCTGTAGTCATGAGAATTCCAAGCATAGCCGGCACTATTCAACAACTTTAAACCCGTCGTATGTTGTTGCTGGCCACTGTTGCAATTGGACGATGAGAACATTTTTTGTGTCCGATTTCATAAATTTGAAAATATTTTCATCTTCTCCAGCAAGATAACATCCATACTATTGGCTAGTTCCGTACAGAGCTTCTCAGTATCAGAGTCCCACTGTGTTTCATTCATCACACCTCTCCAAGATTTTCCTTGTAAGGAATGGATTGTTGTTTTAGATTCGTAAATTTCAATTTTCATAAATATAAAAAATAGGAGGAGCGGAAATTTCGTTGCTGAAAGAAACCACAACAACGACGACGGAAGAGTCCAACATCATCAGATTTTATACGGATCAACAACACAACAACCGTCTATAACTCACATCATCATACTTTCTTGTTGTTGATTCGTTTGATCTTATAGTTGTTACCACGTAAAAAGTACATCGGATCAGCAACAATTAAATTGGTTGTATTTCCAACAATTTGTGGTAGAAATTATAATAATCGAGTTATTGTAGAGACGATAAACAATACTCACAATGAATTCGTTTTGTGTGTTGAGCGTTTCAATTGCAGAGTTTGACAAGCTCTGTGGAAATAGTTTGACACATACCTATCCGAGGGATGTACATTTGGAGAAATATTATCCTACTCTAAATATTGCAGACAAGTGCATTCCAGATGGTGGACATATCTATTCCGAAGATCAAACCGGTATAATTCTTCCAATTTCTGAAGATAACTCGGAATTGATACAAATACTTCAAAAATATATTCCATCATTCAAAACATCAACAACTCCATTATCACCCAAGACACCAAGTTTAACAGTTGATAACATCCCAGTAATTCAACAGCCAATTGGTCAATATTTATATGGAAGCGTACTTTTCAGGAACAAGCTCGATGACCGAGTGAAAAGAGGAGCTATTCAAAAGAGTATTTTAGTTGTCGCCACAAAACCATTATTCACGTTATTTACACCTCTAATGAGAGATGCAATTGAAAGGTGAGTGTTAAAGTATTTGAATTCTTTTGCTAAAAGATATTGTAGAATAATTAATGCAGAGGAGGAACATATACAGACAACAGATCCAATTGAGCTCGAAAAGAAAAGTGCAAAAACTTATGAAATTTTGAAAGAATTTTACGACAGTTTAAAGGTTTCCATTGATGTGGCGTCTTCCACGTTTACTAAGAAATTATCTGTAACATTTAATGACAAACAATATGCGTTAAAGGTGCCAAAGTAAGTTGGAAAAGGCATTTCTTTAATATTTGATAACATACAAATTCAATAGATCCAAAGAAGATACTTATAACGGAGCCTCTTTGATCGATTTTATAACGATATTCGAAAAACATATTTGTTACATATGGGAGGCATTATTACTGTCTCGAAGAATTTTATTTGTTGGGTCTCCTGCAAAAATTGTGACCATGTGCTGTCTGTCATGCCCTCTGCTCATTCAACCTATGAAGGGTATAACAAATAGGTAGGTTTTTTGAAATCTCACTTGATACGACTATTTCCAGAATTTCTCCATATGTAACAATAGGAGATCCAAAGCTCAATGAGATAGTTTATGTATGTGGAATGACAAATCCAATACTAGAAAACGCCAAAACTAGTTGGGATTATTATGCAAGTATAGCAGCTGGAAAAGTTTTATACAAGAAACAGAAAATGTCATTGGTAGCCAAGTCAGAATTTACAGCATTTATTAAGCAAGTCTTGTCAGGAATCAAAAAAGGAAAGAGTGAAAGTTGGGTGAGAGAACAATTTAATCAATTTAATTTGAATTTTCTCAAGACTGTACCTAACTCGAAAAAAAAGATTATTTCCCAAGTATTTATTTACAGTAACCTGTATCGAAGATTTTGCAGTTCCTCCTTGGCTGTTTCTCCAATAACGCCGACATCCCCTGGAGTTGACATGTATGGAAATAGCATGTACAGTAATATTAGGACATTTGCAAAAGTTGGACTAAGCCTGGATGGATCTGAATCACCTTTGAAAGTCATGTCACCCAAGTTAGTTAAAGACAAGCACTCAAGAAGCAGTAGTGGTGAACTGACAAAGAAATCTCCTCGAACATCAGCCCTCAAAACAATTTATCGAAAACTTAATCCATTTATTTCGACAAAAAGCGATTCTACTTTTTCACACAAAGAGTTAATACCCTTGGTAATATCCGATGTAGAATTAGAATTCCTTTGGCCCTATATAATGCCAAATAGCGAATCAATGCTAGATTGGTCAGTCACTGGTCATGTGACATTGTATAATATGACGCTATGCATCAAGGATGGCTTAAATACATTTTATTCCAGGCATAACGGACCTCTTAGCCACAGATATGAGAAAGTATTGGCGAACATTCATTGCGTGTTAGGACAACTCTTCAAAGAATCCGATAACACTAATATTATTTATTCTCAAGAACTGCTAGAAAGTTTGGATAGAAAAACTCTTCAAGAGAGAGAAAAAGCTTTGTTGGATACGACAACTAAGAATAAGAGAGACTGCTCTTTCATTCATGTGAAATTTGAGAGGCCTATTGAGGCTGAATTTCTAGTGATTAACTCTGAGGTGAAACAAACATCTCAACGATCCCTATTTGTTCACAAGATCGTACGTCTGCATCAACAAGACAACAAATATATATTTTCAGACAATCCAGAATATGTTGTGTATGTGGTCAACAGATTGAACGATGAACAAACAGAACTAACCCAAGTCCATGTCATCAAGGCAACAAATCTAAGCGAAAAGAGAGACAAATACACGTACTACAATGCAGCCATTGAAACAAGAAAGTTGCTAATGGAACGGCTGAACGAAGACATGACCGATTACACCAACTTTAACACAAGCGATTCTGAGAGTGATGACAATGGCAGCGAAGAAGAAGATTTGTCGTTATAAATTAAGGTAATTTAAAGTCAATGCAAAATTTTATTGGATGTTTCTTCTTCGTTGTTTCTTTTCCTCTTCACGTTGTCTCTTTTCTTCCTCCTTTCTCTTTCTCTCTTCCAAATAGAGTTCCTTTCTCTTGAGGTACCATGAGTGATATTTTGGAATCTTGATAATTTCATTGTAAAGTGAAGTACCTAGCAACAAAACTGCAAAACCACCAACTTGAAGCCAGTGGAATTCTTCCCATCCGATAATAAGTGAAATAGCCCAAATGAAAATAGTACGACAACTGTCAATTGTTGATCTAGTAGTTGAAGAAATTCTCTTAGTAATAGAAACACCAAAGAAGTTGAAGAAGGCAATAGAAAATACAGATCCCAATGTTGAAGCAGCAATCTTCCAATTGTTAATACATTGAGCAAAAGCATACACTGCATTTTCAACACTTCCATAATCACTTCCTGGAATCCAATATAAAACAAATAAAACAATAGTAGTCATAGAAAGACCCCAATAACCCTCCCAACCAACAGCTTGCAATGGAGCAACTTCATATCTGCTGAAGAATTTCTCTTCAACCACAAATTGAATAGCAGCTAAAATTTGAGCCAAAATAACCAAAACATCTCCCAACAATGGAGATCTAGCAGTTCCTGACTCTGTCTTGTACAAAACTGAGCTCAAACCGACAAGTACACAACCAATCACAATGCAACATAAACCAGCCCAGTGGTGATAATATAATCTGGCTTTCAAGAAAATAACAGAGAGTAGACCAGTGAAAACGACCAAAATACCTCTCAACATTTGATAGACGGACGCATCTGTATAAAACAATCCAAAATCTATTCATCGTCACACAAGATATTGAATTTCAAATAAAGTGTCATTCAGAGTTGTTTGTTAAAATTCAATGAATAGTGAGTGTACGTACTGAGCAAAGTAGAACCACCCAAATCACAACAAGCTGGAATCCAAAAGATGAGTGGATTGGTGAATGGCTTTGGCTTCCTCTCAACAAAAGCGGTGTCATCGTCACTAGATTCCTCCTCCTTGGTCTTTTTTCCTTTAATTTTGTAATAAAGTAATTGAATATTGTGAGGAATGAGACAGAGTAACTCTCCCAAAAACATGGCAGCTGTTTGGAAACTGTGATTCAGAGAAGATTGTGAAATTGAGCGAAAATGAGTATGAAGTGAGTGGAGGAAAGAGACATAAAAGTACATACAATGCATGTTGGAATGCTGTTGGTGGGCCATCACCAATACCCTTTGCATTACTGACATCCTGTAATTTAGTCGCTATTCATTGTGAGAGACGTTTCCACAATTCAAAATAATTTTCAAAGATATTCGGATGTTGGGGGTCATCCATTCCGTCCACATTCATTACGAGTTCATAAAATCATGATCAACAATGGAAAATAAATCCATCGGGTGATGATGTATCATCATAAAAGTTTCAGTATCAATAACAAAAACAATAATAAAAAAACGAAAAGTTGTTGTACCAATAAATCATGTATACATGATCGTTTGAAAACATTACATACTAATCGTATTAATGGTACCCGTAGTCAACATGGCCAATGCCAAGAACAAGGTGTACAATCCACCAAGAGTAAAACACCCCCGAACATACTGGAGTGCAGCCCGAACTCGTGGATGCATTTTTTCGTTTCAAAACAATAATTTTTTTGATTTAAAAATCTTGAATCAAGCACGAGAGTTGGAAACTCAACTGTCCTTCCATCATGAAATAAAGAGTCACTTTTATGAGATGGCCAATAATGAGGGATATTCGAGTACTAGATTTCATTGAGAGGTTTGTGATTGTTGTTGTTGTTGTTTCTTGCGAGAGGAAGACAAATTCATCACTTGAGAGAGTATGGGAGTAGTTGGAGGTTTCTGACTAGGCACTTGTTTGGGAATACAATTTGCTTGTTGCTGAACAAGATGGGGTGCAACAATGCTGAAAGAAAGTCTCTTAATGAATTGATCAAATAAATCCCTGCTCATCATTCCAAGTGAGGAAGTGTAACTAAAGTAATAATGGCATGATGGACTTTTCACAAATACACAAATCTGTCCAATTTTGAAGGAATCCAGCTGATAGGAAAATTCTAATTGTTTCGCTAGATAGCCAAATTCACCAACCTGTATTTCTTCTGATGATACTAAAACTCCATTTGATGATTGAAGAATTTCAGAAATTACTCCTTGTACTTGTTCTTCAAAATTGAGTGGAAGTAATATCTTAGCGTTAAAGTTTTCCTTTTCAGTGTTGTTTGATAAAATCTGGACAGGATGAAACATAAACACATAGCCGTCTTGTACTTCCATGTGCATAACGGATGGATAGCTCATAATTAGCTCTTTTGACAATTTCACTTCTTTTGTGTCAACTTCTAAAAGAGATTTCGTAACGAGACCTTCTCTGATTGCTCTATCAAATACGGTCTCCCCTTCAATGTGATTGTTCAATAAATTAGTCGTATATTTCAGTTGATGCATGAGTCCCATATTATCTTGAATAATTACAATCTTCTGGTAGAGAGCCACGTTTAACATTACATTATTTACAGGTAGGGTTTGATTGAATTGTAAAATACAAAATGCACAGTGCTTATACGGCTGTATTTTTCTATCAGTAATCATTGTCATGGGTTGTATCACTTTAAAATTTGTGACCTTGCTGCTGCCTTTTTGCAGCCTCTTAAATTGTTCTTCAAGTGTCGAATTTTTTGTAAATATCTGTGTACATAGTATATCTTCTTTGACAGTATCACATTCAAGAGGGCTACTGAAAATAGGTACACCACTTGGATATGCCAAACCTTTCAATGTTATTTACAATGATGAAATGCTCTGCTTTGAAAGAAATGTGAACATACCTTTTTTCCAAGAAGGAGGTAGCCTTATTTCATAAAATTCAAATCTATAAACGGCATACCCGTCCTTGTCTATTTCCTTTTCTTCTCTTCTTGAAGATTCCTGAGTAGAAACACTAGAATTTGTGGACTTTCCTGATGATGGAGAGGATGACAATTTAGATTTTGATGATGGAGAGGAAGGAGACGAGCCAAATCGTGGTGATGAAGGAGTGGCTTTTTTAGGTATTGATTGCACTGGTGGCGAGGTTGAAAATGAAGGAACATCTTGAAAATCAAATTTCACATTTTCACCTCCAATAAATTGCTCCTTCTGTTAGATTAATAATTTTGAATGGAATAATATTATTGTTGGTGTGGTTCATTGGGTTGGATGGTTAAATTGCGGCGAATATTTCCAAATTAATGCTTGATGTTTCACTAACTTACCCATGACAACAAATTAAAATTCTCCAAATATTCAATAAATTGCTCCTCGCTCACCAATCCGTCTCCATCCTTATCCAAATCTCGTTTCAAATCCGAAATTTTGCTTTTAAACAATTCTGTTTGCATTGAAATTTGCTCAAACCGTTCCTGATATCGTTTACTAAGAGAGGGGTCTATTGTTCCAGCTTTTAATTTCCGAAGTCTTCTTTGATTCTCTAACTCTTCAACACTTCTATTGTGGATGGCATGTATGAAGTCTAGCAAGAATTGCGAAATTTCGTCGTTTTGTAAATATCCATCTTGATCATGATCGTACTTATTCCACAATACATCAATGCCGTTTCGAGTAATATACAAATTTCCTTCTTTATGAAACCCTTCTTCTATTGCTTGCGCTTTCAATAAATGGTCATCTCGTTCAATGTACCGTTTCATTTCCGATGAAGTAGAAAGTGGTGAAGTGAGTGTAGAATTGCCCATCTCAAACTGTTTGAATGTTGTTGTTCTTGTTCGATCTGTTGTTGTGAGGCGTTGTTGATGTTGGTTTACGATCTGAATTTGTGATAGAGGGCGGTTTGAAAACAGAAATCAAGAGATTTTTTTGTGTTTGGCTTTCAACAGGAGCAATAAATTGTAAAGAGTTGATCCTGATAGTTGCCTTTGAGATTGTGGTTTTACTGTTCTTGTAAAGGCCTCTGAGCCTTGACGTACGCATCCATGCATGAAAAAGCGTTCGTTTTGAATTTTTCCAAAGCTGGAAGGACCCATAAATGATGAATTTTCATGTTTTAAAAAAATGTATCATCGCTCTGTTTCAAGCCTTGCATTGAGAGCACCACCGTCCATACTTCTCAGGTGGATGACTCAAGCTTGTCTTGCAAGTGGATCGGGAAAGGATTGCTCTCAAGAATTGTATGGTAGTAAATTTTTGCAAGTACTTCAACTCGGAATACCGTACAATCATCACAGAAATTACGGTTCAGCTGCAGCCACTGAATCATCAATAGATGATTTAAAACATGGAGTATTTATTCCAGAGACATATATAAAATATGACAGCATCTTTTCCACGTACAACACAAAGCTCAAAGAGGAATTACCTCCGGAAAAGTTTTTGGAAACTTCGGCATGGCTTTCAGACTTCTTGAAAAGAAGCAAAGACGACGAGGAATATGATCTGGAATTTGTGAGAATTTTAAGGAGGATTTTGATTCTCAAAGAAAAAAAGGATTATTACGCAATCAGAAAGGTGTTTCACACACAATTCCTACCAATTTTTAGTGAGAATAAGCACAAAATTATGGAAAAGATGAAATATGAAATAGAAAACAAGATGAAAAATATGCGCCGACTTCCAAGAATTCACTATGTCATATTTAATGAATACCTTAATGCCCTATCTAAGAGTCATCAAAGTAGAAAAATATCTGTCACTTTACAGAGAATGGAGAACCATAGCCCTTTCCTTCCAACGCCCATGCACGTTATAACAGCGTTACAAGGCTTGATTGATGATCCTTCAAAAACATTTGAAGCTGCAACGCTACTTGAACGTTACAAGAATCGATTTAACAACGAAACTGGGCGTTATGTTCAGGCGTGCCTTTATGTGCTGCATGGATTAGATCAAAGCGGTTCATTTAACGAGGCTGTTAGGTTTATTGAGCGAAACAAAATAGTTGACTTGGTTGAAAAAACTCATAATGGTGTTCTTTTAGCAAAACTGCTCAGGATTGCCACAAATCAAAAGAACTTACCATGGCTGAGCACTTAATTCAGAAATTTTTGAGCAAAATTGATGACCCAGGTTTCCCTTTTTTTGCAAGGACAAAGGAAAAGTTAATTACAGCAATGATTGGTTATTATGCGGTTATTGGGGATAAAGAACAAGTACATCGCTATATGAGCAAGTTAAGCAACTTGGACAGCAAATTTTACCTTACCATTTTAAAGCAGTTATATTTGAATGGTAAATCTTATGAAACACTAGTGGAATATATCAAGCAAATACCATCACATTTGAGAAATGATTACCATTATGGCTATTTAATCCGAGCATGTGCAGACCAGCGTGAGTTCAAGAAAGCACGAGAAGCTTTCTATAAGTCTCCTCGATCAGGGTCCTCGATCAATTTATATTCTCAGATTTATTTAGAAAATCAAGGAAAAGAGAGTGTAATGGAGGCTCTTACAATATATGATGAAATGCTCAAACACCAAAGAGAAAACAAAACATCAAGGCCACCCCATAACGGCGAAGCAACATTATATTTGATGAAAATTTTGGATCAAGGTGGATTTAACTCACAACTGGAAACCTTTTTTGAATCCTTGCACACACCTAGCGTCCCACATTGGCTGTTGATGGCTCGATACTATGCAAAGCACGGAAAGGTTGACAAGTTGCTGCAAGCAAAGGCAGCTATTAAGGCAATTCGCCCTCTCCAAGAAAACATCATTTGAGCTTGTAGCAACTTGCCATAAACGCTTAATCTGTTTTTATTTTCTTTTGTGCTGGTTCCACATCACTGGTAGTGTTTGCAGTTGGTGGCGATGCTTGGCTCGTAGCAGAGGTTTTTTTCAATTCAAATCCTTTGAATCCAGTGCCTCTGGAGGCTGAAGGTGGTGTTGCTGTTGAAGCTCCTTTTGAAGAAGGCAAACTAAAACCAATTTTCTTAGCTGGAGCACTGGCAGGCGTAGATGATGTGGGTGTGGTGGAAGGTGTTTTGCTCAAGTTCACTGCGAGCATAGGCTTGACTGGAGTTTGAGTGGCGCTTGGCGAAAAAGGGTTGACAGCCAATGGTGTCGTTCCGTGCTGAGTTGGTTGTTGAGGTTGTTGTGGAGTTTGTGAGGAGGAAAGTGGGGTTCCTGGCTGGACTGGTTGACTTCGTCCTGGATTCATTCTATTTTCAAAATGTTCCAAAGCAATGTTAATTGAGTCGGTAAGAGACTTTATCCATTGATTGGTTTGGACATTGGCTAGCTTTTTCATTTGGTCACGTTTTTCTGTTAATTTCTGTACAATCTTTTGAGATTTTTCTGTATGAAAGGGTTTCCATTCATTCTTGGTAAGCGACAGCATTGACCACAAGTGTCGAAGTAGTTCATGAATAATTTCAAAAAGTTCTCTGAATTGATATTCTACATCAGTTTTGTTTAACAGACCTCCAAGAGATTTATCTTCACGATCTCCTGATTGAATAATTTGGTTGCTAATTTCTTTGTAAATTGTCACAGACAAGTTAGGGTCAATGATGGCGCTTTGTAGATTAAGCTTCTCTTTTAAATGAGAAATTTCTTCGTTAAATGCGAGTCTCATTTCCTTCAAAGGATATACAGTAATTTTCTTTGAAATAGTTCCTGAAAGAGGTGTCGATGTCTCATTTAAAAGTCCCTCAAAATACCGATTCTTATCTTGAATTTTTAAAGGAATATATTCGACACTAGCCTCTGTCGTTAAATCCTCAAAGTTCAGCAACTCTTTCATTCTCTCTCGCTCTTGCTTTAACATCTTTTCTTCCTCAATAACGTCATTTGGTTTTGTTTGAGGTGATGGTTCTAAGGTGTCTCCTGATTTCGTGGAAAAAGCATACTGAGTTATTCTTGCAGATTTTCGGTTCAAATTCTTAAGAGATTCTGGAAATCCGGCCAATTTAGATGGATAGACAAGTTCATCTGGCCTTAATCCATACCCTTCTCTTAGATCCTCTGCTGCAAGATTCACAAGAGGGTTGACTGCTGCTTTTTTTGCACCTTCATCGAACTCCTTATTCGTTTTTCTTTCATAGTGGTCTAAGGCGTCGTCAACATCGGTTCGCGAGTAGGCAGATGTGGTATTTCCCATGGCAGTATGAACTGGGTCCAACGTTCTGAAAAAGTAAGATTTCATAAACTTGGCCCAAAACTCTTTTTCATTCATTGAGTTGGGCACTACTTGTTTGTAATATTGATACACGCCAGGATGCTCTGTAAATATTTGTTGAATGGTTCGTTTAGAGAGGATGATTGTTGTCTCTCTGTCATTCACTGCACTTGATTTAATTTGATCGTCAGAGCAAAATAAATAATTTTTCAAGCCTTCACGTTGTTCCTTTATGACCGATCCTCCTTTGGAAGAGTCAGCAGTCAATGCAGAAGAAGATATAAGATACTTTCGTTGAGCCCAAAACTCTTCTTTTTTGATAATACCTCCTCCTACCATTTCGTCATAAACTTTCTTTAAGAATGGATCGCTCGCTAGCAATTTGAGTTGCTTGTTGCCTTCATGTGTTTGTTTTTTTCTCTTTTCGGCAAGGGTCATATATTTAGCAATCAATTCTTTACATTTTTCGCAATCATCAGGATTAGAAAAGGTGAGTAAAAAGCTTTCCGTGTTCTTTTCTGTTGCTCTACCTTCTTCTTCTTTCGGTTGTTTGTCAAGTTTAGTTTTGGCTCCTTTTTACTTTTAAAAACACGGATCCTGTCCGTTGGAATGTCAAAATTCCTATCACTATATTTGCTTTTAAATTCTACAACATGGCCAGCCACATCAAGCGTTCCTTCTTGATTGTCATAATAACAAGTGAACCGTGTAAATTCGGTTGCAAGATCCGCGTGAAGGTCTTCAGCCATTTTTTTCTTCTCTCATTTTTTTGTGTTGTTGTTGGTTTATGGATGGCAGTTCGTTCGCTTCGAAAGGTTTGAACACAGGAGGAGAACAGCATTTACTTTGATCATTTTCATTGGTTGAAACGCCTGATCGTTGTTGGTTCATGGGAGAGAGCCATAGACGTTCTGAAGGATCGTTCCTTTTTATTTCTGAAAGAAAAGGCTTCATCGGAAAATAACATGGGCTCTTCGTGTATCATGATGATGTTGTTTCTCATATTTGAATCATTTAAATATTCTAAATAATTCAAGGAAGAATCTCCAAATATTCTCTTCACTTTTCGGATTTGAACGTGACTAAAAATGTCCAACAACAATTTCCATCGTTCTTGTGCATTTAAATTCTTAGCAATTTTCGTGAGCAGTACTTTGTTGAAATAAAGTGTTCCTGCAAGTAAAAGTTGATAAAGAATTAAGGTAGAAATGATCATCCAAGCACATAATAAAATGATGGAAAGAGAAATAATAATAAATTTTTGGATTGTGTCTGTATGTGATGTGTTCTAAACAATTTTTTGAAAACTGTGACGCTTGAACGCACAACATGTTGTAAAAGGTGTCACTCGAGACTACAGGTTGCTATTACAAGAAAAAAATGTGATCATTCTCCAATTTCTTCTTCGTAACTTTCGAGATCTTGCTCTGAACAACAGCAACAACACATTTCGCTCAGATACAAACACACTCCACCGATATGAAAAACAACTGATCCACAAAACAGATCAATTGCTCTCATTTTTTGAATAGTAGCTCTACCATTAATCAAACGCCAATTCAACGTGTGATTTAACCAAATTTAGGTCCCAACACAGACTCTGTTCCAATCAATATAGCTCTTAACGAGTACTCATAATACATTCAGTCTCGTTTCTTTTTCTTGGATCGTTTTTCTCTTTCTTTATATATTTAATTCTGTTACCAAAAGAGACAACTAGAAATCGTAACGGCTCAAAACCGAAAATTTACAGTACCAATTTTATTTAAAAAAGCCTCAACACCGTCTCTTGAGCAAATTTACGATCCTTCACTTGGCCAAATTTTTGGGATAGCTCTTCACGGCGGCTTTGATAATCATCATCAAGAAATTCTGATATTATTTAAACAATCAACTAATTCGAGCTCAACATCGGTCCGAATTGTTGGACTACAATTTAAAGTCTGTACATGATTACTATCAAAAAAGCACCAAAATCTCTCAAAAGCCAAGACAGTGTGCCTAGTAGTTTATCGAGTACTTTGAGTCATAAGCAATCGTTAAAGACAATGAATGATGATATGAATCTTTCATCAGGAGGAACTACAAATAGCGCTATAAATCTTGATCCGTCTCTTATTGGAACGGATGAAGCTCGGCATAGTGATTGCGAAGAAGAGTTAAGTAACAACAGCACAGATATGATCATGATGAATGCAGCTGGAGATCCAACAATAGATATGGTTGATGAGGGTCACAGTGATGACGAGTACGGAGAGCAAGGGCAACAACATTTCGATCAGTCCCAATTTGAAAAGATGCTTAGTCAGCGCCACTATAAGGTTGTCAGAGAAAGAGGAGAAGGAACCTTTTCAAAAGTGTTGGAGGCAAAAAATTTGAAAACAAACCAGAGAGTAGCTATTAAGTGCATGAAGAGCAAATTTAAGGACAGAGATCGAGTAAATAGACTCCGAGAAATTCAAGCTCTAAAGATTCTGTCTCCCAATGATAATGTAATTTCCTTATTAGAAGTTGTGTACGATCCAAAGAATGGAAACCTTGCACTTGTTTTTGAATTAATGGATATGAATATATACGAATTGATCAAACGTAGGAAGAAATACTTTCCGGAGCATCAGCTCAAATCATACATGTATCAAATTTTAAAGTCGATTGACCACATGCATCGACATAACATTTTTCATAGAGATGTTAAGGTAAGACTTTAATTCTATTTCAAGACACCGCGTATAATCACAACTAATCAGCCTGAAAATATTTTGGTTATGAAGCTACATAACCCTCCAACTGTTCCTACGTCAAGTAGCGGACCTAATTCTGTACTCACCACCAACTTTCTTTATTATTATTACCTAAATGGCTATTCTTCGGCGATGAATAGTTCTGCATCACCCTCTTCAAGCAGATCCGAAACGCCAACCTCAGACTCTTTCAGTTATCCAGTTTTAAAATTGGCAGATTTTGGAAGCTGTCAAGGCACAAAGGGGAAAAGGCCTTATACTGAATACATTTCAACAAGGTGGTACAGAGCTCCTGAATGCTTACTTACGGATGGGTTTTATGACCAAAAAATGGATATGTGGAGTGTAGGATGTGTATTTTATGAAATGATAACATTCGAACCTCTGTTTCCAGGAGAAAATGAACTCGATCAAATTCATCTCATTCACAAAATTGTAGGAACTCCAAGTGAAGAAATTTTAAATAAGTTCAGGAAACATGCAAGCAGATATCTGACAAACGGTAAATTTCCAAAACGAGGAGGAAAGGGGCTGAAGTCTATGATACCTAATGTTTCAAAAGATTGCTTGGATTTACTTCAAAGGTTGTTGATTTATAACCCAGAAGAACGAATAACAGCCAGCAAAGCCTTGAGGCATCCTTATTTCAAAGAATTATATGCCCTAGATCAAAGCTTTGGAGCGGCTGCAAGCCCTTCTCCTCACCTAGGTAATATTTTCTCCACTGCAGCTTCTGGAACTCTTCAGCAAGCTCCAGCTTTAATTCAACCACACCAAAACTCGAGTCAAAACCCCCATCACGAAAATAATCAATCCAATATGGTTGTACTTCCTACAATTTATGGTAATAACAAGCAAAAACCAATGGCCAAGAAGCAACTTCATCATCCTCACCAGCAAATAGGGCCAACGTTTTCAAACAAAGGTATTGGAATTCCCTCCCAACAACATGTTATCAACAACTCTGCCTCCGGCTCCCTGAGTCAATTTTTTACTGCAATGAAGAAACCAACGAACATGAAAACAGTTAACCTTTCACCATACCTCAATGATCATAATAATTTGGTTCAAAGTTCTTTGCCCTCATCTAACTATTATAACTTCAATAGAAAATAACAAGCATCTTTTGATTCAAATAAAATCGGATCGAATAAGGTCCTGGATTACATTCATTAATGGAATTTTTATTCTTTTACTGGTACCTTCTTGTCATCAAACAAAACTCCAGCATTATACTTTCTAACGAGTTGGTACAGACCAGTGCAACCAACGAAAAAGTTCACTGCAAACAAACCCCAATTTTTAGGAATGATTTGTGTGCTGTATCTGCTCCAAATAAAACCAGTCACAGCCAAAGCAATATTTTGATTAGTAGAAACTAATTCTGGTGGTTTTTTTAAATCAGAAAGACCAGCAATCACTAATCCCCATTTGAATACCTTGTTTTCAACCATGATGACACAATGACGATTGTTTCGAATCGGATTCAAAAATTAACAACTTACTGGTGCCCAAAAGTGAACTGTTGTAAAAATTACACAAAATTGAAAATAAACACTCAGGATGATTGGACGATCATGTGGTTTACATACCAGTCCGAATTCCTGCTTCACCATGCCACAAATAATGTCGAAAAGACGCAAACTTTTGGGAGAAGGACATTTTTTTGATGATTGCTTTCAATTTCGCTCTTTATTACAACACTACAGTGTTTCTTATCGTGGCGATACATCGCTTGATTGGATCTGAGCTATGTGAACGTTATGTTCACTTCAGTTACAGTCGCTCACTCAACAAGAACGTCACCCAAATGATATTGTATATTTGACGCCAGAAACCACGAAGCAAGTCGCTTCTTGGGATTGAGTCTTCGACAATCAGCTGTTGACTCATCTGGCAGCATACAACGGTTGGTAAACCAGATTGAACCGCATTCAAAAAAATTTAAAATCTACTGCCTTGCTCTGCACGTTATTGTTTTGTGTTGTTCTTCATCACTACCACTTGAGCAGTGAATACCACCTTTTTCTCTCTTTCCCTTCCACCACCAACCAATTCTCAGCCATCCTCAGTTACCTCTCCAAATCATCATCACTGCCTTCTTGTTGATTCCTCCGCCTGAAATCATCATCGAAGATTTTCTTTTAAAACAACAACAAAAACAACACAGGAATGAACAATCAGAACAATACTCCATCATCAAGTGTAGATGTTAAATCTAGCAATGGAAAAACAAGTACCACTTCAACAACAGAAAAGAAAAAGCCCGTCAGACACAACAGAAATACTTTGAAAAAGAAGTCAATCACATCATCACCACCATCGTCATCACTCAACGGTAGCACTTATTCACAAGGAGCTTCTGCTAATATGGGAACTTCATCTACAGCCAACACTATCACAACCGCTCCTACCTCATCATCCACAATGACCTTTTCTGCTCAGCAAGTATCCTCATCATCATCTCCACCTACTCCTTCCAAAGTCATCTTCTTTAGAAGAATTCCGGCTGATACAACTCAATCAGACCTCAAGTCTCTATGCCAACCATTCGGTGCTGTTACCAACATCTTACTTTTAAAGAATGGCCAAGCATTGGTTCAGTTCGCATATTTGGATGAAGCTATTGATTTCATTGAAGCATACAACCAAGACCCTCCTTCATTTGTTATTAGGGATACGAGAGTAATCCCAAGTTACAGTAGCCATAACGAACTTTCCAAAGGATCCATATCAAAATCTGATTCAAATTCTAACCAAGCAACAAATAATGGAAAACAACAAGAACCAAATCACATTCTTTTGGTTACAATTAGCAAATCAAAAGCCAGTGATGTTACCATTGATGCTCTCTATGAGTTATTCTCTGTTGATGACTCTTGTCCTATCCAAAAGATTGTAATGTTTAACAAAACTGCAGGATTACAAGCATTAATTCAATATTCAAATGTGAATGATGCCATTGAGGCTAGAAAACAATTGCAAGGAACCTCACCATTCTCTCCACAGGATCAACTTCTGATTCAATTCTCAAATCTCAAAGATTTGACTGTTCATCAAAACAGTGATAAGGCAAGGGACTACACTAAACAGTCATCCAATAGTACTTCTACACCTCCTAGCGTTGCTACTTCATCCGCTTCTTCCCCTCCAACAACAAACATAATTACAGCAACAACAAGTACACCATCTATTATGAAAAGAGCTGTTCCAAGTACTGGCAACACCACCATCAACACCAACAACAAACCAAGTACCACTCCAACTACTACCACGACTTCTACTACAATCAATTCTCCACCATCACAACCAATTACTCAACCATTGCAACAAGACCCTCGTAGTCGTAGCAACTCGGCTTCTTCTGGTGTATTTGAACATCATCAAGTTATCCAGCCTCAACATGGAATTCCTCAGACCACATCTAGCCCAACCATTACCTCATTTATGAACAATATCCCTTCCACCACCATCAACACATCATCTAATGTTCCAAACACAAATGCTTCAAACCGTGTGCCAATTGCTCATTTACATGATGCTAATAATGCAAATCTCATGTCGGCAAGCTTCTTTTCATATGCTCCGTTCTCTCACAGAGATAGCTTTGGTGCCTTCTCTTCTAATATTCCTTCAAGCCAGCACCAACATTCACATCACCATCATCTTTCTCATCCATCTAGTGGACACAACACAAGTAGCAGCTCTTCTCATCACCATACTCACAATCATCATCAGACTAACTCTGTTCAAAACCAATTTTTGAACCCTTCTTTTCTTGCAAGTCATCAACAGACTACCCATCCTTTGGGGCATCATCAGCCATTCACTACGGACAATCTTATCATGCCCACTAATGGAGTAATGGTTCTTCCTCAAAACGGATCGCAAACATCAAACACTGCCCCAAACAGTGCTACACAGTATCATTTACTCAACAATAGTTTTGGGCACATGAGAGCAAATCCATCCACTCCCTCAAACTCCAACCCAAAGAATCCTAACAATACTATTAACGGTATTATTTCTGCTCCATCATCTAGTTTACTTCCAACCGACAACAATGCTGGTGCCCTTCGATTAAATGTGAACATTCCTTCATCATCCAGCAATCCATCCAACACTCCATCTGCTACATTAGGAACAATTGGCTCTAACATTCCAAGCAGTAGATTACTCTCTACTCCAAACACCCAAACCAATACTCACAGTCCAACAGAAGAGAAAGAAGACATCACAGAACAAGAAGATGAAGAAGTGATTGATGAAAATGATTTGGAATCAAAGGATCCAAACTCAGAGAAATCATCTGTGCTTTTAGTGTCCAACTTTAATGACAAGATTATGAATTGTGATTTATTGTTCAATTTATTTTCATGCTATGGATACATTTATAGAATTAAGATTTTTAAAACAAAACCAGATCATGCACTTGTTCAAATGGCTTCTCACAAACAGGCATTGAATGCTATCAACAGTTTGAAGGGACTTCAAATATTTGGAAAAACTCTTTCAGTCAACTTTTCCAAGCATACATTTATTAATAGCAGTAAGAGTGATAATAACATGAAGGACTATACCAAAACAAATCTTAACAGGTTCCCACGTAATCTATCAATCTCTCCTTCTTCCAACTCGCCAACTGCTGGCAAGCAACACAAGCTCTACATGTGTCAACCAACTCAGACTCTTCACATTTCCAACGTTCCTTTTGAGAAGGATGACAAAGGAAGAGAAATCTTAACTACCATTTTCTCCAAGTTTGGAGAAATTGAAGGACTAAGAGTATTCAGACATAATGACAAACCAATGGCTTTGATCAAGTTTAAAACAGTGACTGCAGCTGCCGAAGCACTTGCATCTCTCCATAACGATACCATTTCAGGAAAGCACATGAAGGTTGCTTTTTCTCTAAATACAGTCGTTAATCAGACCAACAAGAAGCAATAACGTAACATTAATGTGGTGGTAATGTTGCGTGATGCTAATTAACAAGTAAACAATTTCTTGTAAAATTTTAATTAAGGACAAACTTTTTTCGCCCATACTTGGTGTAATGATTACCAAAGGTTTCCAAAGTGGGCAGAGATCCATATTCGCTATTGGAAAGAAGAGACAGGTCCTCCTTCGCCCTTCCTTCGTTTTTACGAGACAACATTGTCTTGAAAGATGCATCGAAATCATCTTTGGTTGCACCCTCACGGTCTGACCGCCTGTGCTTTTTTTGATCTTTCGAGCTTGGTTTTAATTCCTTCTTGTTGTAAAGATCCGCCGAGTGGATTGTTGTAGTGGGTGTAAGAGAATAGCAAAGTTTTTCAGTCTCTTCAAGTTTCGAAATGTTTTTCTTGATGTCCAGAGGGTCCAATTCAGAAGGGTTGAGTTTTTGAGGCGGAAGAGTGTATTGATAGTAGCTCTCCATTTTTGATTTCTTTGGAGTACCTGGTTTTTTGTTTTCCAAATGCGGTGGTTTGGGAAGTATTTCATCCGAATTGATGGCCCTTCTGACTGTTGCTACTGTCAACTGATCTGTACTGCTGTAGTTATAATTTTGTTTTTGCAATTTTTCATTGGTTAGCTCATTGGCCATTTTCTCAAGCCTCAAACGATTTTCATCCACCAAGAAATCAAAATTCGCTGTCCAAGAGTTCCGAATGGCATTCTCTGTCTTGATTGCATTCCTCCAAATTCTATCATTATTTACTATCAATGAAGGGTCTGTCTCCTTCCATCTCATTCCGAAGGTACCTAAACCATCAGTTTTACCTTTACTCATGTTTATGATTATTTTTTTATTTTACAAATTTCATCTACAGTAATTTCATAACGGTTTTTACGCTTTTCAAGAGATAGCTTCTTAAAAAGATTATTTGATATTGCAACACGAACTCAATCATCATGAGGTGTACTGTACATACGTTAAAAGGTATGGCCAAGGTACAACTCGATCCACAGGCTACATTAACTCTCTCTCAAGATTTTCTCCCTTTCCATCATAAAAGTATCCTTTCCATACCTTTCCATCCTCACTGGTGTACCTTCCTTTCCCATGCATTTTGTTGTTGACAAAGGTACCTTCATATTTTTGAGTTTTGTTAGGCCAAATGTATACCCCGATGCCTTCCATTTGTCCCTTAACGAAATCTCCTTCATATTGAGCTCCGTTTGCCCATGTCATTTTCCCTTTTCCATTAATTATATCATTTTCAAAGTTTCCTTCATACGTGTTGGTTCCATCTTTATAAATTCCGAATCCATGTTTTTGTTTTTGCATTGTTTCTTCATTTAAAATCCATTCTCCATCATAGGTAATGTCATCATTAAAATAAAAGAGACACTTTCCCGATCTCTCCTCATCACTGATTTCTTTTTTACCTCCTGCTGGTTTCGTCTTTTTGTCTTTTGCGTTTGCTGTTGACATTTTTTTGGCGGTTGAAATGCGTTTACAACTGTCATTCATGAAAATTTCAATCATTTAAAAATCGTTGTTTCTTGATTAAAGAAATTGCTATGATGGACAATTGGAATTGAGGAAAGAGGACCTGATTTGGTTCCCTTAAAAATTCACAACAAAAAATGTCATCATCGTCGGAAAAGAAAAAATCAACAAAGGGCATTTTGAAGAAATATAAAGAACATAAGAAGAGGTAAATATAAAACAAGATGACCGACAAATTTTGTTTCATATTTTTGTAGCCAAATTTCAATTCAATTTGATGAACAAAATTTGCAAGAAAACGAAGAAATTAAGAAAATAATTAAAGAAAATTGTACAACAATCAATGAAGCAAAAACTCCGTTTCGATATGCTCAAGACTCTGATTCAGAAGGAGAATGTGATCCTCATGTTCCTCGATTAATGTCGCCGATGGAACACATGGATCGGATCACTAGTGCTTTGGAACGAAAATTAGCTGTTCATCCTTCATCGTCAACAATTTCCGATCATTACAAGATGGATGATGAATGTGTGAATGAACATTCTCACGAAGAAATTAGTTTCGAACATTCATCCATGCCAATATCAAAACATGTTCACATTTCTGACGACGAAATGTTCGATGATGAATATCAACAACACTCACCGAGTAAACACATTGGATTTTCACTTGAACACCCAATGTTCAATCCAAAAGAAAGACCTGAGGGAGATCATGAACATGAAAGTCCAGAATTTAAAAGGAAAAGAAAGGAACATTACAATGAATATCTTGTGATGAAGAAAATGAAAGAAAGGAATCAAAAATACTTTGAGAATGGACAAGAGAGTGACGAAGAGACGAGCAGTGATGATGACGAATAATTGAGAACAACAATTTCACCACATCATGTTGATGTGAGAAGACTCGCCAATGATCATGCTCGAAAGGCAAACTAAGTTGTTGCTACTGGTCGGTCTCTCGTGAAGAGAACGTTACACGAACGTATGCGCCACAGTAAAGCGAATGATTTTATTGGTGGAAAATTTTTCATCATTACAAAAAAATATTCTTTTTTGTAACAGCAGCCACAAAGGCCGAATATTTTGTAACCTCCCACACGTGTGGTAATTCGTTTTTGTAACGGAAACAACAGCACACCAGGAATGGAACCCGTAAACAAGCAACAACAAGAAGGAGAACAATCCAATCATGTTCAACAAGGAGAAGATGAGGAAATGGTAAATATTGAAAATGATGATGATGAAGAAGAAGAAGAGGAACATGATTCCGGAATGGATGATGCTGCTCAACAACACGCTCATCATCTCTACCAAATGCAAATGCAAGGAGCAGGCTATATTCATCATCCCGGTACCGACATGAATACTGCTACGGATCCTTCTATGGTCCAATCGGGTTCTGCTTTTGTTCATCCTGCTGCCTATCCTCCAGGCATGGAGGCCTACTATGCCGGAATTTCGACCTCAGCAGATTATGCCATGCAACAACATCAATATTATATTCAACAAAGTATGCAAATGCAACGTTTTCTTGCTACTCTCTCTCCAGTTCAACAACAACAATATTTGGCTCAAATGCAAGCATCCCGAAGTCCACAATTCATGAAATATGCTGCTTCGCAACAAAAGTACGCGGGTAGCTCTTCTTCGGTACCAAGCACCAGCCAGTATACCAATGGTAGTGAGCCTGCCACTGATACTCCAACACCAACATCACCTCCTTCATCTCCAACAGAAAACGGATCTAAGAAGAAGAGAGGAAAAAAGAGCAGCTCCACAACAAGTAGTAGTAATAACCTTATTGACTCGGGCGAAAGTAAAAAGGGAGAAAAGACCAGACAACGAGCTGTGAGGCACAACTGGACAAAAGCTCAAGATGATGCTCTTCTTAAAGCAATTAGTTCTCAACAATATAGTGAAAATGGACAAAAGATTCGTTGGACCAAGATTTCTCAAGAAGTATTCGGAAGCAAACTCACTCCACAAAGTGTTTATCAGAGATATATGAGAGTTATTAATCCAAAATTGAATCATAGGGAATGGACTATTGCTGAAGATAAGAAACTAACAGAATTATATCATGAAATGGGTGATCAATGGGCACAAATCGCAAAAAAGATGAATGGTGTTCGTGCAGATGTTTGGATCAGACAACGTGCTGTGAGACTTGGTCTCATTTCTGAAGCTGCTGCAGCAGCATCTGCAAGTGCCAGTACAACTTCAAAACCATCAAAGAAAAGAAAAGATGACGACGCTGAAGATGACACTCTTGAGATTGACGGCGAGACCGAGGGCAAGAAAAAGAAAACTAAGAAGAAATCTTCAAAGAAGAGTAAGAAGAAGAAAAAGTCATCTCATGACAGCGATGCAGAAGATTCAAAGATTAGCAAGACAGAGGACTCTTCTTCTGTAAAAAGCTGTGGCCGACGAAAGAACCCAAATCCACGAAGCGGAGAGGTTAGCATCGTTTTTGCTCCTTTGGCAACTCAAGAGATTGAGGTTAAACAAGAAGAGCAAGAAAATATTGTCACAACGACGTCCAATCATGTCGTAGTAGAAGGAACCCCAAGACCAAAAGTATTTTTGCAACGAAAGGTTAGAAAGAAGCACGTTCCAAAATTCAATAATTTAGACGCCATTTTGAATCATACCTACGATTTGGTGCCACAAGAAAAGTACATTTCCGTGAGCATTCGATCATCTGAAATTTTCCGCAATTTCCAACCAATTCCAGATCATCCTCTTAAGGTTGACTGTCTTCTAGGTCTATATTTTGGAACTAATGAAAAAAACGTTTGCCTTTCATCATATAGGACAATGGTTACTGATCCAGAACCTTTAGTGCAATTGGATGTATCCTTTCCTACCAATCTAGTTTCATTCTTCTCCAAATGCAAATTGAGAAGAAATACAAAGAGCTCACTATTTTTATGTGTAGCCCTAAGACAGGCAGCGTTAGTTCATGCTTATGATGACGATCCCAATGTTCACACAATACCGTTATATTGGGACAAGCATAACTATGGAGCAACAGTTTTTTCTTATCATACAATTGCGGGATTTCTATCTGGCCAATATCCTTTGCATTTAAAAACATCCACTGGTATCATGCTTCAATCACCTTTAACCATCAATGTTAACTTTTTAGATAAGCCTGACAAATTGAGCGACTATCCATTAGAACTATCAAAAGTTCATTATAGAGAGCTTTCCAATCATCTCAACATTTCCACAAACTCTCAAGGTCTAGATACCCATATCGACCAACAAGAAGACATTGTTCAATTTATGATATACAAGGCAAATTATATCAATTCACATACAAGAGGAGTTGAGAGACTTTGGTTACGTTGGGACATGAGCTGTCCTCTCGAAGACGATTTTGATTCTGGTAATATGATGATTATGGGAGCAAACACAGACGAAGACGCTTTTGCTCAACTAAAGAAGCACCTCTCTGAAAAGCATGGAGATAGATTTGAAATTCAGTTTGAAGGAAGAGAAGGAGAAACTGGCACTTATGTCATTAGTATGAACCAATATAAGAATTGGTATAATCAAGTTCAATATATGGACAGAAAACGTTTAATGCTGCTTGATCCTTGCACCATGGATGCTTCTCAATTAACTCCAGTCCAAAAACAATTTATGGATATTTGGAATACTTTCCTTCTTGACAGCTACAAACTATTGATGTCAGATATGGATTCATTTGAAGCATGTCGTGCACTCTATCTTTCAGAAAAATCCAAATTAGATGCAGACGAAATGAAAGAAATATTGGCACACCAGTTCTTGAGGTTGACAAGTTTGAATGTAATTTCACCTTCTCAATTCATGAGTCTTTTGGATGAAGCAAAAATTCCATTAACTGCAACTCTCAACAACAAATACAGCAAATTCAACACATTCAACAAGTGCAACAAAGCATGCATTACGCTCAAATGCAAATGGTGCAACAAAATATGCATGCTGCAGCCATTGGTGCCCCACAGGAAGAAGAGGAGGAAGAAGACGAAGGAGAAGACGAAGAAGACCAATAAAATTCAGAAAACTTGTGCGTGGTAGAGAGTGAACATGTTTTTGCAGCAGTCGACATTAAAAAATGACTTCACACTCTGAAATGGTCGTCGATAATGAAATGGTTCCGTCATCCTCTTCATCATCATCATCAACAAATTCAACGACAAATAATACTTCCTCTCTTCCTCTCATAAAAGAAGGAGATACCATTCTCATTAAATTAAACAATGGCTCCATGATTTTACAACAACACGTAAAACCCGAAACACAACTCAAACTCGGAAAGAAACAAACCCTTGCATTGAAACATTTAATCGGTCAGCCCTATTATGCATATTATGAAGTAATAGGTCCATCATCCGACTCAACAACAAATGGAGATACTCCATCGGTAAAAAACAACAAGAAGAACAAATCATTCTCCTCTGTTGTCATCAAACGTATGCTGTATGATCCTGATAAAGAAGAAGCCTTGACCTTTGAGCCAGGTGATGATGAACAACCAGCTGAAGAACAACAGGAGGATGAGGAGGAAAAACTAAATAGATTAATTGATAACAACAAATCTCAAACTTTGACACAAGACCAAATTTTAGAATTGAAAAAACAAGGCGTAGAAGGAAAGGAAATTATTAACAAATTAATTGAAGGAAGCAAATCATTTCAAGTTAGGTCACAATTCTCTCAACAAAAATACCTCAAAAGAAAGAAGAAGAAATATCTCAACTACTTTAGAGTTATTGATCCATCGGCATATGATATTTGTGATTTCTACTTTGCCAAGAATCCAGAAAAAATTAGTCACATGCGAGTTGATGGCTTGGCACAACTTTTGACACTAGGTTCTGTGTTCCCAAATAGAAAAGTCATGATCATGGAGACATGCATGGGTTTGGTGACTGCTGCTGTTTTTGAAAGGATTGGACAGTATGGTGAAATTATTCGAGTATGTCCTGATGACATGATAGGAAAACATGTTCATGCAGTGACCTATCTCAATATCCATAAAGGTGTTGCCTCTTCAGTGATTAAGGACGTTTCCTTTGGCAAATTAGCTACTGCCAGAAATTCAGATTCAAATGAAATGCAAGATGAAGCTGTTGTGAGTGAGGAATATTTGGTAGATTGTTTATTGATTGCTACTAATCAATTCGATCCAAAGTCTGTGATTTCACACTTGTATCCCTTTTTAAGAGAATCAGGAACATTTGCTATTTATTCTTCCTACAAAGAATGTCTTGAGGAATGCCACAACAAACTAAAGGAAGATAGAGCGGCAGTGTTGGTTCAATTGACCGAGACATGGATGAGAGAATATCAAGTATTACCAAAGAGAACTCATCCAATGATGACAACATCAAGCTCGAGTGGTTACGTTCTTTCAGGTATTAAAACCTTCATCTAAAAGATTTTCCAAAACTTGGTATTTTTTATTCTAGAGTTTTCAAGCTGTTGTTTGAATGGTCTTTTTGCAAACTATCACTCAACGATCTTCGTCTTGAGAATGACAGAGGAGATGGGTTTGTCTTCATGCTTGGCCGCACCGAAGTAATCAAATCTCCTGATGAAACTGGTGTCCTCGTTTGTTTGACGGACTATTCCTTCGCCTCAGAGTTTTTTTAGCTGTAGTTTGTTGTGGTTGGTGTAGAGGGGATTGGGATGCCTCTTCTTTGTCCTCGACATGATCCTCGCTGTTGGTGCTCATATTTACACTGTCTTCGCTGTCTACAGTCGTACCACTACTAGAAAAACCAGGAGTAATAGGGCTAACATCTGTAATGGATTTTGGAGTTTCAAAGGCACTCAACGTCTGCATATCTGGGGTTTTCACAGATGCTTGTTTTTTTTCGAGACTAGTTCTTTCTGGCGTTCCACTATTTGCTGCATCTTCGCCATGATTAGATTCTAAAAGCTTTTTTTCTCTCAATTTTTCCTTGATTTGTTTGTTTTCTTCCATGACCGCTTTGTTAATATCTAAAATTCTTCTGTTCGTAATGTTGAGTTGTTCCACTTGTTCTTCTAGTTCTTTCACTCGTCCAGTTGAGCAGAGTTGAGCACTATTCTTTAAGGTTTGTCTCAACCGGTCCTCACTTTCAGCTGCTTTTTCTTTTTCAAAGGCCATTAATCTCTCACTCGATTTGAGTTTTGCATTCTTATTGCTAATTTCTCGTTCTAGTCTTCGTATACTCTCTCTCTGTGATTCTAATTCTTGATTTAATCGAGAAATATCACCTTGATATTTTCTATTGGCTTCTTCTAGAAACTTTTTATGATCCAAAGTACTTGTTAACACTTCAGAAGTTTGTTTTAAGGTTTCCTCAGTGTTTAAATTTTGTTGACGTGCCTTATGATAATTATCTTTGAGTTTAGAAATAACTTCTTGTAATTCTGAAATGGTATGTTGTAAATCTAGCTTATTTTCTTGTAATAATTTGACGGTATTTTGCAAGTTAATATTTTCCTCTTTCAATGCATCATTTTCCAGTCTTTCTGCATGTACTTGATCTTCATATTTCACTTTACAATGATCCAGCAATAAGTTGATCACATTGGAAACACAAAGTTTGAACAAAATTATTAATCAATTCATGAATCAAACATACCTCTCATTTCCTTAGCTTCTGATCTCAATAATTCAATTTCTCGTTCGAGTTGTTGAACCACTTGAGAGATTCGACCTTGTTCTAATCTTGAGTTTTTAATTTCTTCTCCTTGTTCTTGAATGGTAATGTCTTTCATAGATAATTCTTTTTTCAATCTCTTGGCCACATTGTTCAAATTGAGAAATTGTTCTCGAAGCTTGTTTTTTGCGTCTATTAGATTTGAAATTTCATTATTGAGTTGTTGTTGAGTATTTTCTAATCTTTCATCACATTCTGCTCGTAATTGAGTCATTTCTGAATTCTTCTCTTCTAACAGAGTGTTGAGAGTTTTGTTGTGATAGTATGGAAGTGTTTCGAACATCCATCGCATAAAAAATTCTACAAGTACATGATTTTTATCACCTTTAGACCTTTCCTTGTACTGTACAATAGGTGTATGGAAATGAAAGTAAAAATATTCCACAATTACTTGATCGATGAAAGAAGAAATATACTTACATGTTCAATAGCATTTCTCAATGAATAGTTGACATCATCGATGGATCTAAATGAGTCAATATTTGATATTATTTCTGAAAATGAGGAAACCACCACTTGTGAATTCACTTCAAAATTCATGCTTTTAGATTCTTCTCTCACAAGTTTAAATATTGAAGCTATGGAATCTTGCAATGCAGTCAAATGAACGTGAGCATCTCCCATCACAGTTTTAGAATTTTCTATAAAATGTGTCATTGCTTCTTGTTCATTTTCAAAATGAGCATTTTCCAATTCGTTCTGATCTATACATTGTTTGAGAAGTTTTTGCATTTTTGTTTTATAAATTCTAAGCGCTTCTGCTTGCAAGGTGTCACACTCATGTTTGACGACATTATTCCAACATGAATCTATCACGATAGATCCTTCATTCATGGCATTGCAATAATTTTCGCAAAGACTGATGAACATTCTTCCATTGAGCATTTTCCCGGAAATTCTTTTGGCTTGATGTTATTAAATATTTTGTCTTTTAAAATTTCAATTTGTTGTCTAAATTCAAATCGAATATCATTAATATCTACTTTGGATGCGTTTTGAAGTTTTCTTTCGTCATGAATCGGTCGTAGTAAAGTAAAACAGTCTCTATCAATAAAGTATTGTTTAAGAGAGTTTTTGATCTGTTGTTTTGCTCTTTCAGTCTCTGATACGATTCGATCTTCAACTGCTAATGCATTTTCTAAATATTCTTTAGAGGTAATTTTTCGTCCCTCTACATTCAAGTCCAAAGTAAAATCTCTAACAACCCATAGAAACGAGGGAAATAAAGAATTCACGTCACTTCTTAGCTTTGATTTTATATACTTTGATAATTCTGTCACCAGACTATTACTTGATGTCAGACATGTGGCTTAATTACAATTAAAACATACCCTAGTCTAGTTATTGCATTATCGTCAATGCTTCCGACGCTATTATATATAAAGAAAGAGCTCAAAAGTAATGCTAGAGCGAATATCTTCGAAACCAAGTGTTTAAATATTAAATATTTTTGAATCAAAACATACTTGAGTGTCATAGGTTTCATTTGCACAAAAAGAGCCAATGCCTTCGGAATCGACAATTAATAATCTAAAATCTGAATGGTTCTTGTTGGATACTTTTAGAGGAACACTCCATATCCATAATCCTTTGGTGCATGGCATGACCGTCGGACTGATCGAAAAGCTGTTCAATAAAGCCAACGATCATAGATGATTCGCCAATAATAGCATTGATTGTAATACATACCCATCATTTCGATCCAAAATCTGGTTCAATAAAAAACTCTTTCCCGATCGATACACTCCAGCGATGGAAAGCACAGCAATCGGCTCTTTAATTTTTGAAATGATTTCAACAGATTTTTTATCAATTTGAAATTTCCCATCAACGTAATTAATCAACGGAATTTGTTGAGGTTTTTCGTGAGTAGAGAGGGATGAATGATGATTCATGGTCGTGATGGAAGGGGATCCACTTCCTGATTCCATTTTTTTGATTTAAGGATTTTTGCAAATTGTACAAAATTTGGCGCCAAACTGTTCATTCATTTGAAACATTGGAAGCAACATAAAGAGGAGATCTTCAAAATGGCGGTGTGTCTGATTGAGCATGTCCATATCCAGTATCGAACAAATTTCTTGACCATACACGTCATTGTCAATGGATTCACCTCAACATGTAAAAAAAATGTTTCAAAGAAACAAACCAACAAGGAAACCTCCCTATTCATTGGAAATTCCCACATCCATGCTACAAGTGGTGGATGCTATATGTTTGGGATATCCCTCGATCAGTCGAGAGAGAATTATTGTCTTGTTGAAAAAGTATCATTATTCGGAACAAAAAGTGAGAGAATATTTAGATCAATGGATGAGAACAACAACATCCAATCAAAGTCTCACCACTTTCCATGGCAACTCTCTCTCAGATCCATTGAATCAAAATCCGTTTGCATCATCCAATGCAATTGATATCCACTCTCCGATCCTATTTATAAATAATAATAATAATAATAATAACAACCGAAATGAATTAACGGACAAGTTTGAAAACATCAAGGATCAAACCATTGCTGCTGCATCTCCTATTTCTGTACATCAAGAACATGTAACGACTAATTTTGAATCCAACCCGAATAGCAGCCTAGCATCAGAATCAAATTCGAATAAGATCAATGAAGTAACTGTTACTTCATCAAAAAACGTGAAAGCAAAAAGAAAGGGAAATGTTTCTTCACATTTATTTAAATTAACTTGTCAAATAGATTCCTCAGCACTCTCAGGATCATTTTCTGATACATGGATGCAAATTACACAATTTAGGAATTCTCTCAATGAATCATTATTTGAATTGAGTGGATTGTTGAAAGAGGAAATTAAAGGAGTTTGTAACACTCAACACGTAGAATCATTACCTAGATCTACTGCTCTTCATATCGATCTTGTAAATAGACAATTAGCAGAATTAGAGTCATTTGAACAAAATCTTCACAATTTCATCACTCAAAATAATACAATGACGCCAGAAATTTTGAATGGAGTTGAGACCAGAGAGAAAATGAGACATGAAGTTCTTGACAATTTACGAAATTTATCAAAAGATCTTCAGGACCAACTCTCAAAATTCGAACAAAATGAAAAACTAGTTTCTAACATTTCAGAAATGGAACGACTTTTAAACCTTGTACAGCCTAAATACCAAACAATCAATAGCAACACCACACAGGATAGCAATTTTGTTGAACTGCTATCGAATGCGGAGAAATACACAGAGTACATTAAAAAGGCCAACCAAAAGTTATCATTGGCGTTTCAAAGAACCAATAAGGCCTATTTTGAATTTTTGAATGCGCTACACGATGAAAAGACCATGATTGAGGAATTCAAGAACGAAACACAAGTATCCAGTGAAGACTGTGCTCAAACAATTGTACAATTAACTCCTACATTTATACAATGCTGCAAAAATTCAGATACATTGAATTTGAACGAAAGTGTCACTCACATCAAGGAACTTGAATCGTTTTATTCGAAAAAAATTGATGAAATGAGAATATTTATGGATAATACCCCCACACCAGATTTAACAACGATAGAGAATATATATTCCACTCTTTGTGGTCTGAAATCTGAACTACGAGATGCCAAGAGAAATCATTTAAAGTTAAAATTCATGAAAGAATCACATGAAATCGATGGAGCAAGTAAGGAAGTTTTATTGGCGTTGGAATCTCAAGTTCAACAAGCAAGTGCAGTTGTGAATGAATGTGAACAAAAAATTCAAACACTTGAAAAGGACATTGAAACTCTGAGCCAAACTCATCCAGAGGTGACTCTCTACTTGAATACTATTTCCAAACAAGATATTCCGATACCTAATTTATTGAAAGACTCCAAACTTGAAGTTAAGAGATCGTTAAAAGATTACGAAATTTTAAAATATATTAATCCAAGAGTTTTGAAAGTGAAATTTGCAAACAAGATATCCATCTTGAAACAATATTCCTTCTCCAATGACTCGAGTCGAAGGCAGTTCATTAAGGAAGTTCACATTTTATACAAACTCAATCACCCTTGTGTCGTGAAATTAGAAGCATTTTTCATTGAAAAAGATTTTGTAAATGTTCAAATGGAATATAGAGGAGATGAAACATTGACGGAATGGCTCTCTACCAATCCTTCTGAATTTGAAAAACGACACATTTTTCATTCCATTGCACAAACCATCAAGTACATTCATGATAATGGAATTATTCACTGTGATAGTAAGTATTGAGTGAATTCATTAAGACCTTAAGTAGTGTATATATATATTTTCACATTCATGTCTATATATATATTCATATTCATGTATTCTCTCCCATAGTTAAACCTGATAACATTGTACTCTCTCCTCTTTCAAGAACGACTCGAAGCGAACCATGGATTGAACCACAACAACAACAACCACACAACATGTATAGACCCATTCTCATTGATTTTGACATTTCCAAAGATACTCATTCTCTTACAAAAAGTTCCATTACCATCCGAAGTACACTTGGATTTATGGCACCTGAACTGGTTCATGCCTCATTTGGTAATGAAGAATTTACACGTTCACTCCTTTCTCCAGCCATTGATATTTGGGCTTTTGGAGCCATGATGTTTAAAGCATATTATCCAGACCATGAAATTATCATCATGCCCAACGAGAGTAGTGCAACCATTCCAGATCATTATGAGAATGTCTATTTGAAAGATTTACTTTTGCAATGTCTTCAAAAAGATCCTAAACAACGTATTTCTGCACAAGATCTATCTTCACACATTTACTTTCATACTTCCATTTATCATGAACTTTCAGTACATGGTCAATTGGTTACCACAGAAGACAAGATGCAATCATTCACTCGATTCTTGTATCACTACAAACGAAGAATGCAACGAGAAAAATCTGAAATTATTCAAATCAAAATGAAGAGAGAGAAAATTGTGACGCATACCATTGAAGCATTTACTTCTTTGAGTGCTGAAGATTTATTGCAACGTTTACAAATTCAATTTTATGGTGAAATTGGACATGATTTAGGTGGACTCACCTCCAACATGTACACTGAATTTTTCAAGCAATGTATTTCTCCAGAATTTAATTTATTTGAATGTGGAGGAAATTGTAAAACCTTCTTGCCCAAACCAAATGCAGATCCGAAGCTATTTGAGGCCATTGGTAAAATATTGATTAAGGCAATTTATGATCAAAGAGTCATTCCTGAAGTATTATCTCCATTTGTATTTAAATTTCTGTCTTACAAACCTACTTTGAATGATGATCCCAACTATTCCAAATTACTTATAACCTTTAGAGATTTAGAATTGTATGATGAGTCAATTGCAAATTCACTTCGTTTGTTACTATCTCATGGTGGAGTGGAAGAATGGTGTTTGGACTTTTCTGAAATTCCAGGATGTGAAGAAAAGTTGGTCACCGATGAAAACAAGAAGGAATTTGCATTACTCAAAATGAGACATGTCATGCTGACTCAAAGATTGGAACAACTAAAAGCTCTGAAAAAAGGTTTTGACTCTATTGTGGAATTACAACAATCACAACTCATTATATTTTCATGGAAAGAGCTCATGCTGTTATGTTGTGGATCTGACTATATCGATTCTCAAGCCATTATTTCCTTATTGAAATTTAAAGGATTTTCATCGAACAGTACGACTCCAAATCATCTGATTGAGGTGATTTCTGAATTTTCAACCGTTGAATTGAGACAATTTATTGAGTTTGTGACTGGGTTGTGTGGCTTTTCCTATTCGTGGACTCAACAAGGATCATCGACTCAAACACGACGTATCACCATCCAGAAAGTTTCATCATCGAGAGAGTCTCTTCCTGTATCTCATGTGTGCTCATTTACCTTAGACATGCCAGATTATGATGATAAGGAATTGCTCAAAATGAAATTGTTACAGGCCATTGATTTTTCTTCCAACTCATTGACAGGATTTCACATCATTTAGTGTGCTAGTTTGGATGAATAAAAACAATATTTTATCCGTTTTCAATAATAATTTATTCAGATTCTGCACCAAGAGTTGGAAGTTGAACGACTAATTCTCCTCCAATGAGTTGTTCGTTAATTTTCACATTCTTTAAAGCGTTGACTGTCAACTCTTCAATTCTTTTTATAAGTGTAATATCAGTATCATCATGATTCGTCGATGTTTGATCCGAGCCATTGTTCGATGATGTTTTTATGATATATTCAATCACTCCTTGGTTATCTATTGAATCAGATATCGGAACAGAGAAAATATTTGAGTCTTTCAGTAATTTATCCACTTGTTTCATTCGTTCTTCATTTTCTGGTTCTTCCTCTTCTCCGTTATACATATTGTCATAATCTCCTCCTCCCATAAGGTTAGGACTATGACTCACATAAATAAACTTTTTAGTGGTTTTGTTCAAAATTTTGTCAAACATTTCTCGTTCTTTCATCCGAAAATCAGTCCAACTCTCAGCCACAGATTTTGCAACCGTCGGATCATCATTGGTTTGATTGCCAGTTTTTGCCGTTAGTGGATTTGAATGTGGTGTATTTTGATTATTTTGGTGAGTGGATGGAGTTGTTTGATTTGATGGTGCTTGTCCCGAATTTTGATTGTTGTTGGCAGTAGTTGTTTTTTCTCTCTTTGATGATGAGACATCTTGTTGTTTCGATTGGTCGCAGCCCATTTTTTTGTTCAAAGCCAAATGAAAGCAAACAATCATAATTTGGAAACAAAGAATTAAAGTGTATCATGCCCTCAGAGAATTTGAAGGAGATGGAATAAAACCATTACTCTGGATTTTCATAATATATAACAACGCAGACCATTACTCTGGATTTTCAAACCCCTCGTGCTTCTTGTTGTTAAGAGACCCCAGACCAACACGCTCTTTTTACCAAATAAGAGCACCTCAAACGTCGCTCAACATTAAGCCAAACCAACAAAAAAATTAAACACAAATTCGCAATAGCTGGTTCTCACTCTGAAATGTCCACTTACACTGTAACTACCAAAATTTTCGCAACACTCAATCAATCCATTCTCGAATCATTCAAAGACGACTTGGATGCACAACATGATCTGACCATTGTGTATGATGCCATTCAAATTGCTTGCAAGAATATTGCTGCTTGCATTCGTAAAGCACGTAAGTAGATTGAATTATGTTTTCATAATTTAATAACATGTTTTAAAATTAATTTATGATTCGGAATTTTCTCATGTAATTTTCTATTAATCCTTGCACGATCTTTTATTTCAATCTCTTATTTTCATCATGATCCAACAACAGCAATTGAAGATTTGACAGGTGTCTCTGGAACTACTAATTCCATGGGAGAGGAAGTTAAAAAACTCGATCTTATTGCCAATGATTATTTCATCAATTCTCTTTCCAAATGTAAAAGAGTTTGTGCCATGGTTTCCGAAGAGAATGGCGATATCATCCTCCCAAGTTGTGATCCAAGCGAAATTCAAGGTCCATACGTTGTTTGCTTTGATCCTTTAGATGGTAGTAGCAATATTGATGTTGCTGTTCCTGTTGGATCCATTTGGTGTATTTACAAGCGTCTCCAACCTGAGAAGAAGGGTTGTTATGGTTCATTGGAAGATTGTTTACAAAGTGGATCAAATATTGTTGCAGCAGGTTATGCCATGTATGGCTCTTGTACCATGATCGTGAACGCCACGAAGAGAGGTGTCAATGGTTATACGTTGGATCCCGTCAGTGGTGATTTTGTTTTAACTCATCCCGAAATGAAAGTACCCAAGAAGGGTTCTATTTATTCAGTGAATGAAGGTAATCATAGAACATGGAATGAAAGGTAAGTATAGGGTAGACTCTTTTTCAAATTTATTTGAATTTATTGTACAATATAGTACCAAGGAATATACTTTATTGAAGAAAGGAAGCGATGAGAAGAAACCATATTCTCTCAGATACGTTGGTTCTATGGTTGCTGATGTTCATAGGTGAGTATTATAGGATCCGAATCTGTTGTTTTCAAATTTCAACGATGCAATAATGATCTTAATTCATGATCTCAACAACAAATGAATGTTTGAATTATTATTATCAGAACTATTATTAAGGGTGGTATTTTCATGTATCCAGCTGATAAGGCATCTCCAAGTGGTAAATTACGTTTGCTTTATGAATGTAACCCAATGTCTTATATCATTGAAAAGGCTGGTGGTAAGAGTATTGCAGGATTAAAAGGATGTATGTTGGACATTGTACCAACAAAGATCCACCAACGTGAGCCAATTTATTTGGGAAGTACCACAGACGTAGAAGAGGTTGAACAAATCATGAAAAGACACGGCCTTTAATTTCTTATCATGAGCGCAATAAAATATTAATATTGGCGCGATATATTTATTCATCCAACATTGAGACAAAAATCAACTGTTACTAAAATAATGCTGCACATGACATGTGATCTCGATCATGAGGCCTATCATGATGTTTCTGTTTTGCCAAACATTCCTTTTTGCTGTATTTTCCATTTTCAAATAGAGCTTAGTACAGCATTCAAGAATAGATCCAAAAATAATACAAAAAAATTCAAACAATGATTACAAACACACCCACATCTGCCGAACAAGGCTTTGTTCGTTGTCTACAATCCAACGACATTGAGTCTCTCAAACGTCTGCTATTGGACACCTCTCAGCTTGAAATGTTGAAAACTTCAGTTATTTCGTTAGGTTCAACGGATTCTCTTCCTCTCCTTCATCTAGCTGTGCTTCAGGGGTCGGGCCAATTTGTAGACACCATGCTGCGTTTCGGTTTCGATCCGAATACAAAGACACCAAAAGGAAAGAAAGAAACATGTATTTCCATGCTCGTGAGATTAATGGAAAGCGGAGAAAAGCAATTAACAGCCTCACCTTTTGAAATGATTCAACTGCTTCTTGAGAACGGAGCTAGTCCAACCATTCCTGATGTCCTGCTCTGGAAGCCAATTCACTCATCTCAAAACAAGAAAATTATCAAATTGTTACTGAGATATGGCGAGTCCATAGACAGTTTAGGAGGAGCAACAGGATGTACGCCTCTAGTGTTGGCTTGCAGAAAAGGAAATAAGGATTTGGTTGCTTGGCTTTTAAAACATCATGCCAACCCCAATATTTGTGATAAACAAGGGTTCTTCCCTATTCATCATGCACTCGGGGATGAACATGTGGTAAAGCTTTTGCTGGAACAAGGGAAACAATGTATTAATAAGAGAGCAAACAATCCTGACGGTTATACACCCTTACATTTTTGCTGTGAACGAGAAACGAAAGGAATTCAAGGAAAAAGTAACTTACTCATACTGTATGGTGCTAATCCAGATTTGAGAACTTTGACTTCGAACAAAACAGCAGAAGAAATTACAGAGAATCACAAATACCTCTTCAAATTGTACCGAAGTAGGAAAAGTTTATCGGCAGCGACAGGTACAGCAGAATCCAATTTTAACGCCAATAATGAATGTGCAGACGATGGATCGGTTTCGGATGACGAGGATCAAATCATTCGAGAACAATTTAACAAGTATATGATTAATTACAATTACATGGACAACTTAACTCGGGGAGAAAAGAGACTGTCCATTACACATCTGATACTTGAAAATTACATGGACTAGCTCTGATCGCTTGCATGTGGAGTTTCTATCAAGATTTTCAAAACGAATAACCTGACAACAAATAAAAATGTAAAATAGATCCAACCCACTTCTTGTGTGGTTTTGTACCTCTTCACGAAAGAAAGGTCCGCTAATTTATTGTTCAAAGTTTACTCGATGCTTGATCCACAAGGATTCTTTGTATTCTTCGCACAACAGTGCGCACAAACGATTGGTTCTAAAACCTTTTATTCCGAGACCGCATTAAGCTTGTTACAACAAATCAAAAAAAAATACCTATTCATTCATCACACTCTCAACAATTTCACAAAATGTCTTTCCTTGATCAAGTCATTCAATTGCCATACGCCAAGGATGCTCTTGCTCCTCACATCTCTCAAGAAACAGTTGAATTCCACTACGAAAAGCACCACAAGGGTTATGCTGTCAAGTTGAACGAACTTGCTCAAACCGAAACCGAATTACAAGGAAAGACCATTGAACAAATTTTGATGAATTACAAGGGAAAGGCATTCAATTTGTCTGCTCAAGTCTACAATCACAACTTTTACTGGCAATCCATCGGACCAAATGCTGGTGGTGTTCCAACTGGAAAGATTGGTGAAGCCATCAATACTAGCTTTGGAAGCTTTGATAAATTCAAGGCTGAATTCAACACTCAAGCTGTGAATCATTTTGGTTCTGGTTGGGTATGGTTGGTCAGAGAGAAGGACTCCAATGGCTTGAAGGTGGTGTCCACTCATGATGGTGGTTGTCCATTGACTGATGGTTTGGTACCTGTTTTGACTTGTGATGTTTGGGAACATGCTTTCTACATTGATTATAGAAACAACAAGGCTAATTATATGGAGCACTTTTGGGATGTTGTAAATTGGAAGTTTGCCGAGTCGAGACTCTTATAACTACCCAAACAAAGTCGTGATTCCAAGTTGTAGAAGAAAATTCATTTGAAATGATTGTAAACTTATTTATGGATCAAGTACTTTCAATACAATTTGGTATTATTGAGATCAATTTGAAATTTTATGAAAATGCATGATCTTGTTTCGAACATCATCACTCTAGCGAGAATCAAATGAGAGTCGATCAAGTGTTTTTGTAGTGATTTGGTTTGATCCTATGAATTCACACAGGCTCTGTGAATTTCTCTACTGCTGCTGTTTCGTCAGAGAGGGTGATGATTTCACTTGTCCATCATCGTTGACAGCTACATAGGATTCATTTCCATTCAATTCTTCCTCATCATCATCGTTATCGGAATCCATCAATTTCTCTCCATCTTGTCCCTTGTCCCTTGCAGCTATACTTCGTTTATAGGTTGAATAGACGAGTGGAATTTCTAGGAATACCACAACGATCAGCACAATCACACAAACAATTGAAAATATTCCTTGATAGACCAATGAAAAAACAAACGAGAAATGGAATCCTAATCGTCCATAGTTCGTCACCAATAAATATATCACAATTCCAGCATTAGCCAGTGCCAATCCGAGTGACAAAAACAGTGATAACACCCAAGTAATAAATGTTGTAATTTTCAATTTTGGATGTCGTACATCTGAAATGAATAACAGAGAACATGTTCCAATCAAACCGGAAAGAATTGTACATGCTGAAAAACAATAATCTAAAATGACAGAGGCCCAATGAAAGGCCTGAAATTGTGGAAATAAGTCTCTGGCATCTATGGTAAACATGACATCCTCAATGAGCTGTATAAATCCAACGCAAACAAACAGCACAGCTACTAGTAGTTGGAAAAGTCGGAGGTGATAGTCTGTGATGATCATTATTTTTTGGATGACAGGTGCTGCTGGAAAAGGTTCTGAGAATAAAATTCTACTTACAACCAAAAAGAAGCCAAGAAAGACGCTCATATGTAAAACAACAACATATTAAAGGCCCAACGTTCCACTTTGAAAGCCCCTTCAAACTGCTCAAAATAAAGGCGTTAAGGGTTAAAAAAAAATGGCTTCTTCTCCCTTTAAACTTTACGACAGTCCTTCTCGCTCCAAAACCTTGTCCGAATTAACGTTCAAATTTGATACAAAACCCATCATTAATCCAAATCCTGATGTGGCTAATAAATCTGAGTCTGAGCTCGTGTTGGACAAGGTGCCAGAACAGATTCAGAGCCTGCTATACGGAAAAACAAAGGACCGAATTCACGCCTCATGTAATTTACGGAAGCTTAGTGATGAGAAGGTGTTGAGGAAGCCACTCGCAATGACTAACAATTTCGTTGAGTCCATTTGTGCCGTATTGATGGCTGATCAAGAGAATGATGGCCAAAAACGGTGCCAACAGCATGCCTTAGCAATACTGGGAAATTTGCTGCTTGAAGATCCTCTCCTTGATACCTTCATCGCTAACGAGGAGAATTGTCTTCCAGGGCTCTCCAAGATGTTATGTTCCGATGATAAGGAAACCTTGGAGTTGGCTTCAAGAGTCCTTGATTACATCTCGGTAACCTTTCAGAATCAGTCCTTAGTGTGTACCACTGATGGGCTGTTGTACAGTATTGTTCAGTGCTTGAAATCGTCCACAAAAAACCTGAAGGTCAAGCAGCATGTGGTTCAGGCATTGGTATATCTTTCAGCCAATCCTAAGAACAGATTTGTACTTGCTAGAGAATCAGGATTGTTGGAAGAAATTAATGGAATACTAGACACTCACCATAGAATGGATGAGCAGCACAATCTGCCAAGAATGGCCATGCAGGTGATTTACAATTTATGTCTGTTGAAAGAAAATATTCCTCTCATTGCAAAACACGGTGTTAGAAATAACATTAAGAAAAAGAATCAAATCGTGAGAGAATCTATTCAGTCAACAAAGAATGGGGAAAGACAGTACCCAGGATACCAAAATGATATTTTGATTTGGAAATTAAGCTGTGTTGTTTTGGATGCGATTAACCTCTATGATAAACGATTTGACAGTCAGTCCGTTCTTAATAACACTGGCTACAACTCAAGTGTCATTGAGATAGGAGCATTCAAGTCAACAAGTGTCGTGATGATGAACGAAGATGAAGAGATTAGAAGCATGAAGAATCAATCGACCTCGTCCAATAATAATGAAAGCAAAAGCGATGCGTTTGACAGAAGAAGAAGGGCTGCAGCAAGAAGAAACAAAACCACAGAAGACATTGTTCTTGATGATGATAGTGACCCTTTGAGTCCATAACCAAAAGACCTACCGAAGGTCAGAGATGATAAAATAGAGAAAGATTTGCCGAACCTCACCGGAACGTTATTTTTTTGTTTCAGCGCCAAAAAATGACTTCACTTTCATCCTCGGCATTTGAATCACCATCCACGAGTAGCAGCCGAATCAAATCATCATCCTCTTCCAATTCAACATCAACCCGAAACAGATCGAAAAAGAAAGGGTCTAACAAAAAACATCATGAAACTGAAAACCTTGAATCTAATTGCATTAAAATCGGGAAAAATCTGTTTTTTGAAGACGATGGTAAGTTGCTGATGACACAACTTACAATTAATTCTATTGACGCACTCTCAGAGCGTTCCGATTTTGAAGACAATGTCACTTGTCACAATGTGCAATTATTTATTGACTCTCAATTTGTTTGTGATGAAATGTTAAAAAAGAATTCACAACAATATCACACAACTCCCTCACCCCCACCTCTAGTTTCTAACTTAATAATCAAAAATCGAATTGAACAGTTCACCAAACAACAAAATATAGATCCCGAGTTAATTTTAAGAGACATGATTGAAAAGGAAGGTATTTTTACAAAAAAAGAAATTGAACAGCAAGAAAAACAAAGAGAAATGCATTATTCAAACAACAATGAAATGTTAACAAAACAAAATGAATTATTTAAGAAATATGAAATCAGAGATCGTAAAAATAGAGTTTTTGACATTAGAAATGTCATTAGATACATCACAAATGAAGAAGCTCTCTATGCTCTCAAATTATGTAATAATAGTGAAGAAGAGACTATCCTTAAATTAAGCTCAGATTTCTCATTTCTTCAACAAATCAGAAAAGAAATTGCTTTAGATTACAATCCAAATCCAAATTTAACAGTTGAACATTTGGTTCCCATTGCTGATAAATGGAATTATGAAATGGAATCAGTGAATGAAGAAAATGAAATGAATATTGATAATGACAATGAAATTTCTGAAACTCATGATACTACAAACATCCAAGTTAACTCCACTCACAAAAAAAGGAATTCAAAAAGAGAACAGAAAGTTGAAAGAGAAGAAAATTCCTCATTACTCCATTCAGATCTACCATCGAGTCATGCATCATCTAGTTTTTCTGATGTCGAAGAAGAAGAATATAAGGATGATGAAAATGATGATGATTTTGTAATGAAGAGTCATTCATCAAGGAGTAAGAAAAAGGCATCTTCTAAAACGACTACCTCATTGAAATCTCAAAAGAAAAAGTCGTCTAATGATGCACACACAATGAAAAGCAACCACACCAGAAAAAAGAAACATCCATCTAGTAGTAGTAGTAGTAATAGTAAGAATCACAATTCAGAATCAGGAGAGGATGAAGAGGTCCATGCACGCAATTCATCCTCTCGAATGGTACGCCATGACATGGAACAAGCCAATCATGACGATGACGACGAAGAAGAATCCATTCCATCCGAACAAGATGAACAAGACTTTATCGATGATCATGACATTTTAGAATTCAACCCTCATGAGGATGAAAATTCAGAGGATGATGCCTCATCCAAAGAACCCAAACGAAAAAGAAAAGCCTCTTCCTCAACAACCACCACAAGCACTTCCACTCGTCGTCGAAAACAAAAATCCAAGTCCAACACTGGCTCGACACCAACAACAAGGCTTCTTCTTGATGATGCACTGACCGATGTACAGACAAAAGAAGGTTGGTCCAAAGCAAGAATTGAAGCCTATGCAAAAATCAAAACAAATCCCAATGTTTACTATTATAGATTTAATGAACCTGGCGAATCACAACGGAATGGCAAATGGAGTGAGCAAGAAAAGGCCAAATTTATTAAAAAGCTGAAGGAATATATTGCCGAGACGGACAACTTTCAGTGGGGCATATTCTCTAAACGTATTCCAGGACGAGTTGGATATCAATGTAGTAACTTTTATCGAACTCTTTTGAAATCAGGTGAGATTAAGGAAGATTGGGTTGAAAATTTTAAAAAGAGTTGTGCGAGCAACAACAGCAATTCCTCCAATAAGAAACGTAAAAAGTCATCACAACAATCACGACAACAATCTAAAAAGAAGAAGAAGATGATTCACGACGAAGAAGAGGAGACTCATACACCTCCTGATGATTCTACCACGGTCAATGATAGTGAATCCATTTCCTCACATACCGAGAGTACCAATACAAATACTACACTCGAGAGTAATCAAGATGAAGAGGAGGAAGAGAGCGAAGATGAAGAAGCAGCGTTTGTCAATTATTTCCAAGGCTTCATCGATCCCATCACATCAGAAGAGATTGAAGAACCTGCCATTTCACCTTATGGTCATGTGTTAGGATACAAGACTTGGCTTAAAGTTTTGAATACCGAACCTAAGAATACATGTCCATTCACCAAACAACCACTCACCAAGAGAAACTTAACCAAGCTCAATTTTGAAAACTTTGAAGAGTATCGAGAAAAGATTCTAAATTTTAATGAGGATTGATAAATTCCCATAACGCTTACGAAAGCATTCATCGAACCTGATTCCAAAGAGTTTCTCCACTCCTCCGAAAAAATGTCTTCAACGCAACAACAACAACAAACAATAAATTATGAAAAGCTTCCTCTGGCCTTTGGCATTTTCACTGGGTAAGTTAATGCACAATTATGCGAAAATTAGATTTAGAAGCATATCCAACCAGGTTGTGGTTAGTTGCAGGATTAGCCTGGATTGCGCATGTTGCGTACTATTATTATTTTAAAAAGATCAGTCTTTCTCTTCATCGGATCATCATATTGATTCCTCTCGCTAAACTTGTTCATACATCAACATCAATTTATTTATTTAATGATTGCGCAAGTAATGGAAATCGTTGCGGTGTTACTCCTACGATAATAGCCAACATTGCAAATGTTATTTTCAATATTTGCTTATTCGGTGGTTTATTGTATTTAGGAAAGGGTGTTTCAATAACGCGGACAGCTATTGAAGCATCGGAAAAACGTTCAATGATATGGAATTTAGTTTGTTTAGCGTTATGTGAGATTGCCAAAGTTTTTAATGTGTTCTTCATTGTATGTTTGATTTAATGAAATTGATTTGAGATTGTAATTGTCAAGGTAATAGTTCCCTCTATTTGTAATATATGTGATAATATTTGGACATGCACTGTCATCAATTGGAATGAATATTAAGTTATTGGATCACCGATATATGGAAGTAGAAGCTCCTTTGATTTTAGAAGTCAACATTATGAAATCTCCAACATTCATGAAAATGAACTTATTCAAAAAGCTCCGATTCCTACTGTTTCTTTTCTTAGGATCTTATATTGCAATCTTTGCATTGATGGTAGTATTTATGTTTGCTGGAGAAACGCAAAATGATTTTTGGATTCAACTCGTTGCCGCAGAGGCATTACAATTTACTGTGTGTGGCTTGGTTGCTATGCTCATTCGTATAAGGGATTTTTCTGAATATCAACAAGTTGATGAAAGAGTGGAACAATTGAGACGAGATCGTCAGCAGAGAGCAAGGAATGATATTAGAGATTTGCTGAGAACCATAACAACAGCTCCAAGCAGCGATGAAACAGAACGTCAAACGGTGAAGTTTGCAACAAAAACAAACCCAATCACTAACTCGTTATGTTTGTGTGTGATTGAGAACCCAGTATCAAAAGAAAATGTTCAAGGAAAATACGCACTTGCTGTAGAAGCTAGTCAATAATAATTAACTACCATTAATTGTAAATCTAATTTAATGTCTATTCCATGACACAATGTAATTATCCAAATCTGTAGAGTAAATCATTCAAAAGGAATCTAAATATAATCCAATCCTCTGGCTTGTCCAGTTTGTTTGTAATTTCTGATTCCTCCACGGTTATCTCGTCTTTCCAAGTTTCGTATGGTTTCATCTTTTCTTCATCACTTAGTTCATTGTTTTCAAATTGTTTCTTCCTTTTCTCAACTTTTGCAATGTCTACAGCAAACGTTTTAAGTAATTCTCTTTCAATATTAAAAAGTGAAATACGTGATTGAGGATAAAAGTCTGAGATGCTCATGGTGCTGGCTTTGCTTTCATATTCTTCTTGTAATTTTTGTTGAGATAATTGATAAATGGCTAAAACTTGAATTTTCTCGAGTACACTCTCTAATTTTTCAATTCCAAAACATGATTTTGCCAAGAATAATTGCAAATCGTCCATTTCTTTAAGTAATGCTTCGTCTTTATCGCTATTTCTTCCCAAAGACAAACGAAGTCTACGTTCTGTATATTTTAATAAAAACAATATATCCGCCTAGCTTACAATAATGCTGTTAAACCTACCATTGGTGTCAGCATTTCCAGAGTTAATGTTCAACTCTCGCAGACAGCCCTTCTAGCCTTGGTCATCATTTCCAAAAACTTAATGTACTTTTCGTTTAGTTGAGTGGTATTAGCTATTACAGATGTCAAATAGGATGCATCATGGTGAAATGATTTTTATAGAAATTGAACATGAATTTGGGTTTCATCATCGGTCCGAATGAACATGTTTGTAACAACACACTTACACATCTTGGAAATTGTTTCAATGTCATTCTTTAAATTAACCTCCAATTCATTTCGCAATGAATTAACAGCATCTTTTGATTGTTCTATGGTTAAATAGGTATGCTCCAATTTTGCTTTTTGTTGTTGATCCCAAGAAAAATCAATTGCTTTGTTTCTGATTTGTAGTGAACAACCCGATGAGATGGCTGTACTCTTCATGAAGGCATTTTGCTTGATGAGATGGAAGGATGATGAAAAGGTGTTCTTCTTCGTGATTGTTTTATTTGCCAATACACGGCTCGCAGCAATTCTTCTCATTTTTTGTGCAGAGTAAACAGCCAGTGGGAGAGGTTTCATTGAGCACCCTGACAAACTTGTTGGTGCTGTGTTTGATCGGTTTCGTTGTGATTCGTTCTCGTTTGTATTCACTTGCTCAACTAAACTTTGTCGTGTTGCAGCGAAATAACTTTACAAAATCGATCATCAAAAGGAAAATTGAAACACCACAAAAAGGACAGAAGACAATCACCCAAATACAAATTCAAGTCAAAAAAATAGCCATTTTCACGCAATCAAAATGTTTAAAGGGAAGAGTTTCATGTTTATTGGCCTTGCTGGCGGTGAGAAGTCCAAGTTGGTAGAAATGATTGAAGAAGAGGAAGGAGAAATCCATAAGAGCATCAAGAATGATACCTCCTATCTGATTGCCACTGAGAAAGCAGTGAAAGAAAGTGGAGCTACCGTTCAATCAGCCTTTGAAAAGAGCGTACCAGTGGTGAAGGATAGTTTCATTACTGATTGCGTAGATCAGTCAAAATTGTAAGTAGTTGGAAGTTTCCGAGAGAGGCTCATGAAATACATGATGATGAAATTCTTCATGTCATTTTAAAATGATTCATGATGTAAAAAGGCTTTCAGCTGACAGCTATACCTTTGATAAGGATGGCAATGTGGGAAAAAGTTCTGCTGCCGCTTCCTCATCCGATGATGACAATAAGAAGAAGAGAAAGAAAGGTGAAGACGACGAAGACGAAGAAGAAGAGGCTAATGAAGAGAAAAAAGTGGAACCTGCAACCAAAAAGAAGAAAATTCTCTCCACCGGAAAAGTTCCAGTCGATGAAGAGAGTGGAATGCAAACCTCGGGCAAAGTTCTTGTTGAAGGAAAGGACATTTGGAGTGCCACACTCAATCAAACCAACGCATCGGCCAACAATAACAAGTTCTATATTATTCAATTGATTGAAAGTGGAAGCAAATACTAGTAAGTATTGGAGTGTATTATTTATTGGCCAGTGGTTTTAATTTGACACTGAAAATATTTGAAACAAAGTGTTTTCAATCGTTGGGGACGTGTTGGTGCGAAAGGTCAAAACAAACTTACTTCATTTGGTTCGCTCGACAAGGCTAAAGCTGATTTTAAGAAGAAATTTAAAGAAAAGACTACAAATACTTGGGAAAATAGAGCCAATTTCAAATTTGTCAAAGGAAAATACGATTTAGTTGAATTGGATTACGATGATGATCAAGATGAAGCGAAAGAAGATGATGAAGAAATGACAGATGACCAAGATAAACCAGTTCCAGACTCAAAGCTTCCAAAAAGAGTTCAGGACTTGATCAAATTCATCAGTAACAAGACTTTTATTAATGAATTATTGAAAGAATATGAAATTGATACTAACAAATTGCCATTAGGAAAACTCTCAAAGAATCAGGTTCAAAAAGGTTATGAAATCCTTAAAAAGATTCAAGATGTCATTGATGGAAAGAACAAGAGTGATGATTTAGAAAGTCTCTCAAGTAGATTCTTTACTTTGATTCCTCATGACTTTGGAAGAAGAAATCCACCTGTTATTAATCAAAAAACTATGCTTCAAAAGAAGATTGAATTGGTTGAGAGTTTGGCTGAGTTAGAAGTTGCATCTAAAATTATTTCTAAAGAAAAGAAGACAGAAAATCCAATCGATAGCATTTATAATGACTTGCACACAGAGTTAACTCCTGTTGAAAAGAATTCTGAAGAATGGAAATGGATTGATAAATTCATTCAAAACACTCACGCTCCAACCCACTCATCATACACACTCGAATTACAAGATGCATTTGTTGTCAAGAGAGAAGGAGAGGCTGAAAAATACATTGAAAAGAGCAAAGACATTTCAAATAAGCAATTATTGTTCCATGGTTCAAGAAGTACGAACTTTATTGGTATTCTAAGTCAAGGTTTGAGAATTGCTCCACCTGAAGCACCAGCAACGTAAGTATTCATTTTTGTTTGATATCCTGAATTAATTGTGTGCAAATGGTGTATATAATAACAGCGGTTATATGTTTGGTAAAGGTGTCTACTTTGCTGACATGTGCAGCAAGTCTGCCAATTATTGCCATTCTCATCTCTCTGACAATTGTGGTCTTTTATTACTCACAGAAGTTGCGTTAGGTGCGACTTACAACAAGACTCAATCAGAATTTGTTACTAAGCTACCAGGATCTTTGGGAAGCACATGGGGACAAGGACAATGTGAGCCTAATGGCTCTGAATATTTAGAGATTGATTCTACCTGTTCTGGACAAAAAGTTAAAGTTCCATATGGTAAACCAGTTCAAACAAATAGACACAGCAGCTTGCTCTACAATGAATACATCATTTATGACACTGCACAGGCAAACTTGAGATACTTGATTAAGTGTAAATTCCACAACAAGTACTAGATTTGTAAAATATGAAGACGTTTTCGTCAATAAAGATAATGTTGCTCTGAATAATCGGAATGACTTCACAACAAAAAATGTCGAACCCAAACACTCCCAACGTTTTGTATCTTGTGCTCGGAGCGCTGGCCAGCTTATTTTCCACTTTCAAAGTGATTCAAACACGTAGGAAGTTACAACAATCTCGTCAAACTCCTGTTTCACTTACGGAAGCGATTGTACATACTGCATTTGACACCATTGATGTCTTTTCTAAAGAATATCAAAAGATTACCAATGTCGTCGAACAAAGAATGCTTCAATTAGAAGCACCATCATCATTGAGCGGTAATAATCGAGTGTTTGCGATCCAAGATGAAAATCATTTCTCATCTAGAAAAGCTTTGCCGTCACCAACGAATAACACTCCACTGTCATCATCAATGTTAAATCATGGGAACAGTGTTACTGGTAGAGAATTATTGCAAAATAGTCAGCTTGAAACAAAGCAACTCAACATGAAACCAATAATCGTTTCTCCTCCATCAGCACAATTGATATCCACCATTTCCACACATGATCCCATGTTAGCCAGTATACCCGATCATCATACAAGAAAATAATTTATTGTTAACAATTTCGTTTCCTTCTTCGTTCAATAGTTTGCAATAATTCTTCGAGTATTTGAAGAGCTTGTGGAGAAGCTACTAAAACATGACTTCCAACATTTTGATTGTTCACACTTCGAACAACATGCTTGGAATGTTGTTTTAAATGAGCCGACGAAACAAATCTTGACAAAATATCACGAATGGCATTGGCAATGGATTCAATATTTTGAGAGATGGAGGATGAAACATTGACACTACTATTCATGGAATGATTGTTACTGCTGTTACTACTACTACTACTCCTACTACTACTCCTACTACTCCTACTATTATTACTCTCGTAGTGACCATCAATTGCATTCAATGACTCATTAGAATCACCCATAATGACATCAATCATATCATCCAATTTAAACGATTCAATACATTCAAATAGATGTTGACATATTTGTGGATGATATTCATTGGAAAGTGCCAATAATATTGTAATAATTGTTTTAGGTCCTAAATGAATCATTCCCATTGCTGCACTTGCTCGAATGAGATGATTGGAATCTTTTAACAATCCTTCCATTAATAATAATTCACCATAAGGACCACTCTGTGCCAAGACTTGAGATGCCATTTGACGAACACCCACTTGTCGATCTTTTAGAAATCCATACAAAAATGGAAGTAATGTGCGCGGACCCAAATACGTGAGTTTGTTGTGAGATTTCTTGGAAAGTGCTCCCAATGCCTTAATGGCTGCTCTTCTCACGAGAGGTGGTGTCTTGATGGTACAACTACAAGTCATGAACAAACTTTCAATAATTCGATCTATATATGGTGATTCTAAATCAATCAAACTTAGACCATAAGCACACGATATTCTCACTTGAATATTCATGGATTGTACATCTTGTCTTAATAGATAGATTAATTGAGATATTCCATCATATTCTAATAGAGAAAGACATTTCGAAACTTCATTTCTTGAAATTGAACCATCTTTCAATACTCCAATCAAGTAATGAAATATTAATTTGTAAAATTCCTTATCAAAATTGGACATTTGAAGAATATGAACATGATGACAAGACATGGCATGACATGCAGCCATTCTGACATTCCAATGTGTGTCTTTTAAGAGTGGCAATATTTTAGAGAGGAGATTTCTCTTTTCATGTTTTGAAAGGATCAATTGATTAGAAGTATTACTAGTACTATTACTGGTACTATTATTATTTCTGGTAGTATTATTACTATTATTTCTGGTAGTATTATTATTACTAGTACAATTATTACTACTAGTACTGTTATTACTAGTACAATTACTATTATTACTACTAGTACTGTTATGGACACCACTCATTCTACAATGCCGAAAAGATTCTTCGAGACTGGTTGGATTCTTATTGGATGATGATTCATTCTTCCAATCATCAAAATCATCATCAATGGTATTATGATTGTCATCACCCTCTATGGAATCCAGAGATTTGCCAAACATTGATGAATTCTCTCGTCGCCAACACGTTGTCGAGTCATGTTGACGACTCTTCTTTTGAGTCATTTCTGTTCCAATCTTGGCAAGAGCTTGCAATGCACTTGCTCTCACTCGATGAGATGAATCCATGAGAGCTTCCTTTTTCAACACATCAAGTACTTGTAGAAAGCATGGTACTTGAACTGAAATGATGGATTCAATGGATTTGACACTAGCATATCGAACAGATTCTTCAGGATATTGAACATTATGAATCAAACAATGAACACACTCAGGTGAAATGTTGGTAATTTCAGTCTTTTCTATGGTGCAAACACAGCGAGTATGATCACTCCATCCATCGTGATGATGATGATTAGAATTCACGACACGATGTGAAGTGAAACTATGGTTCATTCTTTTCACTCGTTTTCTTTCTTTTAAATAATAAGATTTTAAAATTGAGAAGGAATTATTCAATTGATCTGAATTCATAAATGTACTATTACAATTGCTATTACCACTAGCATTCGGTTGATATGTAGAGAGACTTGAATGATTCATACTATTTCCTAATATACTTGAAATATTTAAAATGATTGAAGTAGGATGAGAACGGCTACCACTCAAATTGGGTCGACTCGATTGATGATTGTTGTAAATGATGGATTTCATTGAGCATGCCATGGCATAGAGAAGAGTCATTTCAGGTTTGCAAATATATTCAAGAGAATCCTTGGTTGTTTGGTTGATATGATTACTATTCATAGTATTATTACCATTGATATTATTGTTCATATTATTATTACTACTACTATTCATAGTATTATTATTACTACTCGTCATTCTATGCTTGTCTCTAGAATTCATGGCAATACTATTAGGATGATCATTCAAGAATTGTCGTGTTAATGCAATTAATTCCTTTGAATCAAATAACAGAAATGGTGGTAATTCTTTGCTTGCATCTCCAGCATAATAATAGAATATTCTTGGAGTTGGAGATGGAATGTAACAATGAATATCAGAATTTGCTAAAATCGTTAAATTAGAATTAACACAATAGGGTAATTGACCAAGAACAGTCAAAATGGCTTCTCTCACTTTAAAGACATGACATTGATTCATGATGGAGAGGAGAGTTTTTTCACCTTCATCACCCATCGCACGAATCGCTTCACCAATGAGAATTCTATTGGCATGACCTTCCATTAACATGTTCACCAAAGTTGGAAGCTATTTTCATCAGTTAAATATATTCAAGGATAGAATATTTTCATCAGTTAAATATATTCAATATATTTTGCGAGTAGATGTCATAGAATCAAATGGATATCACGAATGAAGGACCATACGAGTATTTAGATATTTTCATGATCAAATGTATGATTGAAAATACGATTCGAGTATTGAAATATCATGACAATCATAAAAACACTTACAGCACTATTTGCAATCATTCCCAAATGTTTGATAGCTCTCACTGCACATGTTCGTTTATCAATATCAAATGATAAACACTCCTTACAAAGAATTGGAATGACCACATTCTCAACGATGAGTGGATGATTCACAATATGTGTGATAATGATATTATTCCATTCTGTATCATTTTCTAAATGATCAAGTATCATACGAATGGCTCGATCACCAATTTTAAAGAAGAGTGTAATCACACTATCATAGAGTTCAAATAATTTCTTATCTCTTAATACATCAATCATGGAATGAATGGTTTGACGTGTGCAATAGTTGGATAACAAATGGAAGAGTGATATAATTTCTCTGTTGAGATATTTGGATTGAGATTTGAATAATTGAATGGTCATTGTTAACGTCTCAACAATACTATAATAGAGATCATCTAAAAGTTTTGATTTCAAACATCCTGATGAGAAGACACAAGTCAATACTTGTTTCATGCCTTGTACGGATTGAATTCTCACATTTTCAACAGAATGAGAAAGATACTTTAAATAGTGAACAAGTTTGCTTTGAATATTGGATTGAGAGGGTGGATCTGGAATGGTAAACATGGTTTCATCATGCTGAGTCGACGACGACGTGGGGTGTAGAATCTCTTCTTCTCTATCAAGTTCCTCTTCTGCATGATTTAATTGAGTAATCACTTGTTCAAGAGTTTCCTTAGTATTGACATCAAACACATCATGAATGATAGCTTCAGAGTTGGTATAATGAGAGACTCTCTGAATTTCATAGGAATCATCTAATTCTTCACATGGATCTGCATATTGTTCATCAGTATCTTCGAAATCTTGTTCAGAATGAAAGACATGATCATCATTTTCCACACCACTACTCTCAAACATGAGTGGTTGCGTGGTAGAAAGGACATTATTGCTGTGTTGTGGAGTACTCATAGTGTAATTGGAGAGTGCACTATTGGATCTACTTCTTGGATCATGTAATTCCTGAAGCATGTCGAGAGAGGATGATTCATGTCGAAGAAGAGAGTCACCACCACCACTCTTTGGTTGAGCTGTAATAGTAGCACTACTAGTTGTTGAATGAGCAGACTCTGTTCCTAATTGTTGTTGTTGTTGTTGTTCTTGAACTGCTGAAGAATTATCATTGACACTCTGAGGCTTCAAGGGAAGTGGAGTGGTGGGCACCATCACATTTTGAGAATTTCTTCGACTACTCTTGTTGGACCATGATCCACTTCGAAGTGGTGTATGTGCTTGTGTGATACTAAATAACTCACCAGCACTATTGACACCAGGTGAATGAATGAGAAAATCTCCAGAGATGTGCTCTTCATCATGATTGACATGGTCATTCTCTTCTTCATGGTCTTCATCATGTAAGAATGGTTGTGTAGGAGGAATGACAAAATTTGAGATGGGTTTTGAAGAGGTAAATACCTGCTTAATCATGGATGATGAAGAAGAAGAACTACCACAAGTCGATCGAGAGATGGAACTCAATGTCGATGAAATGGAAGAATGTCTCCAGAAGCCAACGTGTATGCACTTGATACGGAGGCTCCATCGTCCACGTCGTACTCCTCATTATTCTGATGTTGCAACATCATGGAAGGAGTCGATGATCGCCGTCCCAATGATGCATGAGGCAAGGCATGGAAGGAAGAAGGAGAGATGGGTCGGAGCGGTGACTCTTGATGATATGCACAATCTATGATATTCAAAAAGCATCACATAAAGATGATCACTGACATTCATGTGGCACACTTACCGAGTTGGTACTTGTTGGAAATATATTTGGCTGTTTCTTCGAGTTGTTGAAGTACAACGGCATCGTTGGATTGCCTTTGGGATGAGCTCATATTTATCGATTAAGAGTAATATTCGATATATTTATACAAGATATTGTTGTCGAAAAGGCTTGTATGGTACCGATCGATCATGAAATAGGATCTGCTCTATGAAAATTTTGCTACAACAACAATTGTAGTGTGAGGGAGGGAACACGAACCTCACTGTAAATATTCTTTTTTTTTGATGCTTGAATTTGCAGCCGTTACATCTGAATGACGGACTGGTTCAGCGCTTTGTTGCGAGATAAAATTGGCGAGATCCTCACAACTCGAGTGTACACCTACGACAACTTCCGCTTGGAAAACGTGTAAGCCGTTGTAAATTCATTGGTTGGGAAGTGATAAAAAAAAGAGAAAACCAAGTAAAAAGAAAAAATTACTTAGTCATCGACTACACGAAGAATTTTAATCATCATATTTTACACATGATATCTTCTCATGGTAATGGCTTGAATGGGTTTCGAAGCAATGTATTGCATGGCTGCTGCATAGGTCATACTACTCACACCACCACTCGAAGAAACAATGACATTTCTAAATCTTGCCCAAACATTAGCCATATCTGGTAATTCAATTTCACCTTGTTGCGAACCATTCATATGGAATGGCATGACAATACTACAAGAATCCCACATGAATGCCAAATCACCTGGTGTTGGTATTGTTTTGAGTGCAACATTCACTTCATGTTGTAAATTTGCAATTTCTTGATTGGAATCATCGAGAGAGAATGAAATCATTCCACATGGACTTGTTGAAAAGTCAAATTGATTAAATTTCAATACCTTATTCAATGTACAACAGTGTTCATAAATCACATCTGCTGTTACAGTATTTCTCAATCCAAATAACATTTCAATAGGTTGTAGAGATGGATCTTTAAATGTTACTTGAATGACAATATCACGTTTGTGAAGTATGAGAGACAAATCATTGGAGAGACTCGTTGCATCATCAGTACTACTAGCGGAAGTACTAGACGAAGCAGCAGTAGTACTAGACGAAGCAGCAGTAGTACTAGACAAAGAATTCATTCTCTTTTCAACAATGGTTGGTAATTGTCGATAATTGGGTGTGATCATTTTTCCAATGATAAAACATTTGGTCAATAAATAAAAACGTTCTTGATTGGTATGAGTCGTGCCACTACTGCCACTACTTGAAGTGATGGTAGTAGGAGGTTGAAGAGCACTTGGTCCTGTTCCCAATAATAATGCACCTCCTTCAGCCCAATAGGCAACTTCACCTGGTAATAAATAATCTCTATAAAATCTCTCATGTTCACGATCTTCATCCGAAGGTGTATAGAGTTGTGGTAAATTGAAATATAATAACTTTCCAAATGGAGGCATGAATATTCCTCGAATTGGCATTAAATGTGCCATAAATTTTGTCAAATTTGGAAATTCCATATCATACAAATCAATATCAATACTTTGTGATAATTCTGGAATATCCAATGAGACTCTAGGTAATCTTACTAATGAAATGGTTTGTTTTGTAACATTTCTATTAATATTTCTTGTTGGAAGTGGATAAATCATTTCACCAAAAATGTTACAACATTGATAGAGTCTAATTTCATTAGCTACAGAATAGTTTGTTTTTGAATAACCAATGACAATAGAAAGACCATCAATCCAATAAGCTAATTCACCATTCTTCACTTCTGATCTTGATTCTTCTTCTAAATCTGTAATTTGTTCTACTTGTGGAATGGCAAAATAAATAATTCCTTTTCCTCCACTTGAAACTTCAAACGATTTCATTGGAAGAGATCTATAAATGGCATTGGCAGTCAATGAATGATCATCTAATTCAACATAAATTCTTGTATCGGTTTCATTCATGTTAATAAGCATGATACGAGATGGTGTTGAATTTTTCTTAATTTTCTCTTCACGCTGTTTGAATTTGGTTTGCATGAGTTGTTTTTCAACGGGATGAGGTTTAAAGTGTAGAATATTGGTTGTTGTTGTTGTTGTTGAAGGAGTTGTTGTTGAAGGAGTTGTGGTGTCATGGACATGGGGGTAGTCATGGCAGTAGAAGAAGAGCTTGTTGCTGGTAGAGTGGTAGCAGCAGCAGCAGACTTCAATTTAGGAATCTTGTCCATATGACTAGCACCACCACTAGTAGCACTAGTAGTAGCACCACCACTAACACTAGTACTACCACCACTACTTGTAAATACCTGACTTGCATCATAACCACTCAATGGAGTCGTAGTCACACTATCTCCCAATTTAATCTTAATCTTGGTAGCATCCAGAGGTTCAGGTTTCTTTTTCTTTTTACTGGATGCACTCGTTTCTGTTGGCATCACACTTGTAGTAGTAGCAGTACCCTCTCGTTTTCTCTTCTTTTCAGAGTCTACACTCTTCTTTTTACTTGAAGAAGATTCTTTCTTTGATTCTTTTTTGGATTCTTTTTTGGATTCCTTCTTGGATTCCTTACTTGATGATTCCTTCTTGGACTCTTTGCTTGATTCCTTGCTTGATGATTCCTTCTTTTTCTTGGATTCCTTACTTGACGATTCCTTCTTTTTCTTGGAGTCCTTCTTGGATTCAGTGGTCTGAATGATGAGAGGTGGTAATACAGTGCTTGCAGTAGTAGTACTGGTAGTAGTGGTTTCACTCGGGAGAGCATTTGTCATTTCACTCATTGCTGTAGTTGTGTTTGTGGATGATGGTCTCTTCTTTGATGGTACGATGGATGTTGATGGTACGATGGGTGGTGCTATCATCATCTTGGAGAGATGACTCGTATCAAATACCACAGGAGGATATTCACTCTTTAAATATTGATGACTCTTCAATTGTTGTGGTTGAACAATTTGTAAATCTGAAATTCCTTGTAAAGAGGGTGCAATCATGTAGGAAGCTAATAATTGTTCATGAACAAGTGAACATGTTGTTGTTGTTGGTATCGTTGAAATTGTCGAAATTGTTGACATTGAAATGGTTGATGTCAAACGAGTCGTCTTGGCTAATAAATTCTTAATAGGATGATCCATCTCTTCACAACACAAAGGTGTGACTTGATCCCACAGTGCACGATACACTTCTACAATGGCTGATCTCAATCTTCGATCGTATTGAGTGAAGATGGAACTTGTTAATAATTCCCAAATACTTTCAACAATTGGAATATTGTTGGCATGACATGAACGAACATCCAACAAGAACCATGCAAGAGGTGATAACTTGTTTAGAAAATTCAAATTCACTCTTCCACGGTTCGAATGTTCATTGAATTGCATTAACATTTGTGCTGAACTCTTATACAATGCATTGGAGAGTATTTTAGAAATTTCATACTTGACATGTGGTAATTCATGTTCATCATTCAATACAGATAGATACTTGTTCAGGATGAGATGTCTTACATGACTGAATAGAGAGTGTTGTTGATATTGTTGTTGATATGGTTTGTGATGTTGTTGTTGTTGATCAGTCACAGTAGAAAGAGGAGGAGTAGTGGTGTTGTTGTTGTTCTTGTTCATATGGCTCATGTTCTTGTTCATATGGTTGTTGTTGTTGTTCGTTGGAACCTGTTGTCTCATCAAGTATTCACTCACACTCTCTTTGCACAAGTCGATAGAGAAAACTCTTCGCAACTATGACCATTCATAGAAGAATGATTCATAGTAGTAGAACCACCACCACCACCACCACTCCAATCACTCATATTCATCACACTCACGCCCATACTCACTGAATCTAGAATATTCAATAAACATTCCCATGCTGCAAATCTCACTTGTTCAGATTCTCTAAAATTGAGATATCTATAAAATAAATCCAATTGAACATCTGATTTACCACTTGATTGTAACACAGAGAGTGCTTGCAATGATGATACAGTCTTGATATAATGATAACTTGGAATCAAATCAGAATCAATGACTAAATATTTGTAAAATATCTTTTCAATCTTTTCTTTAAATTTCTGATTACTGGTATTCACTAAACTCAAAGCCTTAATTAAACTAGCAAGATAGAATGATCCAGAGAAGGGATTTTCAGAATCATCATTGTACTTGATTAAATCTAATAATAATAGAATGACTTCAGGAAATGTTTCATTATTCACCTTCTCATCTTTGAAATTGGTGAGAGCTAATGGAATTTCTTTTTTCATGAAATATTCTGCAAAATTTCTAAAATTATTTGGTTTTAAAAAGGATGGGAGTGTAGTGTTGTTGTTGTTGGGATTGGGATGGGTAGGATGATTCAATGTACTACCACCACTGGTAGTTGTTGTGCTACCAAGACCACCATGAGGAGTTGTTGAGGAGGCCATGGTGGTGGTTGTTGAGGTATTTGTTGAGGTGGTGGTTGAGGCTGTATTTGCATGATTGGGCAGAGTCAATGTCAAATCTCCCAGAGTCGTCATCATCATCATCATCGGACCATTGGCACTCGTAGCACCACTTACATCTCCACCACCACTTGTACCACCACTCGTAGCACCAGCACCAACGCCAACACCACCACTCATACCCACACCAGCACCACCACTTGTACCCGCACCACTCGCTCCACTCGCTCCACTCGTAGCATAAAATTGATTCTTAAAATATTCAATGAGAACATCGAGTGCCATCTTCTTCTCAATGGGTTGAGGTATTTTCGAGAGTGCATGCACCGCACACACACGAATTTGATAAAAATACGAAGAATCTCGTATAATACTTCTCAAAATATCAATGACTGGTTCTGTATCGGAAAAGAACGTGAGAGCCTTAATCGCTTCGTATTGAGCCACGACATCCTTGACATCATTCAATTGATGAATCCACATTTCTTGTGTCTGTGAAAATGATAATACTTTGATCCAATCTTGTTCAGGATCAAATCGAATCCATTTGAGTGGAATTTTGATACGAACTGCTTCAGATGCTGTACCTCCTGTAATTTTTCGATGATGTTTCTTGACAGGTTTAGAGTTGATATGAAATTCAAATTGATTTTCTTCACGATCTAAATCGACGAGAAAATCATTCGGTGCACCTTCACTTTCTAAAATTCTAAATGTTACTTTTCCTTTAAAAGGTGGACATTCCGGATATGGTAATATTTGTTTCACTTTCAAATCGACACAACTTCTCATATCATCATATTTGAATGAAATTGCAAATTGTGGAACACCAGTACCATAAATCCAATAAGATGCAAATGATTTCAAATCTACAGCATATTTCTTTTCACAAGTCTTTAAAAACGAATTGGTTGAAAGTAAACGATCACTGAAACGTTTGGAATGTTGATCTAAATGAGCACTAATTAACATCTTGTTCAATAATTCTCTCATATGAGAAGTTGATACTTGTCGATCAATCATGTACATGACAAGAGGAGCCTTCTTTGAGATGTAATCATGAACATGTTGAGCATGTTGTGGAATGGCACCCACACTTTCATTGTACAAGGAGATGGTATGTTTTTCCATTTCTAGTAATTCCTTTCCTGATTGCATCATTTTAAATCGTTTAGCATTTTGACCAAATTCATTTTCATAGAATTGCCATGATAAATATCCTGCAATGCCATCAATGAGCCAATAATCTGAGAATGATTTTGGATGAATAAAATTACCAAAGAATTGTTCAGCTACTAATTTTGTAAATTTGATTCGATTTTCTTGAACTTGATCAATAATGTTTGGTTCTAAAATCATTCGATTTGCATCTACCAAACACATGCATGCAAAGGATGAATGTTCAGTATATGCATTCTCAATAAATACAACATTAAAGGTTGTAGAATTGAATAAATCTCTAAATTTGAAATCTAAATACTCTTCTAAAAATAGAAATGCTCGTTTGATAAATCCCAATGTGTGTCGTATCGATTCTAATGAATAATTTGGTAAATAGAATGCATTCAATGTTAATTCATAGGAAGAAGGTCTTGATCCATTGTTGTTAGAAGATCCATAGAGTGGTTGTCCTCCTGCTATTCCAGTCATCGTACCAGTCATCATACCATCACTACTATTGATACTACTAGTAGTAGTAGTTGTTGTATTACTATTCAATGTCAATGTAGAATAGGAAATGTTAAACGGTCCAACTGCTACACAAACACTTGATGGAGAAATAATAGAATGAGTTTTGAAATAGGATGTTTTCAATGTTCCAGAATAATTCTCAACCTGACGAATCAATTCACCTGAACAAATGATCATACAATCTGCATGTGAAGTAATTTCAAAATCAAAATGATGATAGGATGATAATAAATCTACACATGGAAACCAAGAACGAGCACCTGAGAGTTGACTTTGAGTGTACATGTGAGGATACGAAAAGGATGATAATTTGGAACTTGTCTTTCCATTTTCATCAAATTCTTGATTCTCTCTTTCATCCATCATCATGGAATGATTCAATTCATCTCTTAGAGTCGTGACATGACTTGTTGATTTTACAAAATACACTCCACTCGTTGGATTCTTTAAATCAAAATAGACTCTAATAGTGGTTGTTGTCTTTTTCAATAAAGGTACTTTAAATTTAATAGTAAGAGTACCTTCATTTTCAAGTTCATATTGTAATGCAAATTCTCTGAGTATTTGATCTAAATTTTTAGTAGGATGAGTTTCAATTTGTGAAACAGAAACTTGATCAATGAATGATTCTTGAGAGAATTCTTGAGAGTGTGATTGTCCAACTGTTGATGCGAGTGATGGATTGGTACCAACACTTGTTGCCAATGATACACTATTCACAGATGGTTTTTGTTTGTTCACAGAAATGGCATGAACACCCGTAACATTCACTTGTAAACAATGTAATGATATTTGTGTAATATTGTTATGAAGAGGTGTAAATCTAATATCCGTATATCCTACTAATGCTTGTTGATATAAATCTACATCGAGTACTAATTTTTGATACAAGACTTTGAATGGAAAGCGAGGTTCACCTGTTGAACTCTTTTCTTTTTTCTTTTTTTTCTTTTTAGATCCATCCAGCGAAGAAGGTTGAGAAAAAGGTTGAGCAGAATTAGCACTCGTTGCATGACTCGTTATACCTGTTGATGTAGGATGAGTACTCTCATTGGGTGTTGTTGCCAATGAGGGTAAATTAAATTTGACAGATACATTATTCACATGAGTACTACTACCACTACTACTACCACTACTACTTGAATGATCATTTGGCTTGCTCATTTCCACACTTTTCTGGAGTACTGGTTGGCTTGCTTTTGAATCATTCATTGTAGAATCAGTAGTCATCTCTCGTTTGACAAAAGGTGTTGTTGTTGTTGGTGGAATCAAACCAGAGGTAACACCATTGAAAGAAGAGGGTTGTTCTTGTTGCATACTTGTTGTTGCAGGATTCATGAGCGTAGAAGAGGATAATGAAGAGGATCCTGGCAAGACATGATCACCAAACACTGAAGATGATGGAACATTTGAAAATTGTTGGGAATTAAACAAAGAAGGTAATGATGATGATGCATAGAGGTTATTCAAAGTAGTAAAACCACTACTACTACTACTCGTCATGCCGAAGACTTGTTCATTTGATGTTGTCATTGGTACATCTTCATCAAAAGGAGCAGATGATGGAGATGGAGGTAATACTTCGTCTTCCATGTTGTTATATTCCGATGCGAAGGCTTGAAAGTTATTACGAAAGGAAACTACAAAACGAGAGTGAGACTTGTGCACACGTGATGACAATTTTTTTTTGATGATTTAAAAAAAATTTAGAATCATCAAAATCTGATCATTTAAAAAATTACTTTCGAATTGACACACAGCCAACAACAACATCATCATCATCGTGATCCACACACTCACCAAGGTGTATACTTCTCCACATCTTCATGAATGACGAGCATACCCTCTTCAACAAGTACTTCCACTACCACCTCTATTGAACAATTAATTCGAGAACAACAATATGACATTCCTCAACATTTAAATTCCATCAAGAAGAGAATGATTGAATATTCTTCTCGTAATTATCAAATATTTCTCAATAATGAAATGATTTTTAAACGAGTGAAACATGAATCGGAACAATTACAGAATCATGTCTTGAAATTATTATGTTCATCTTCGAACAATAATAATAATAACAATAATAATAATAACAATAATAATAATAACAATCACAACATTGAGATGAAGTATTCCTCCACTCGATCATTGTTACAAGCCTATGATCAGAGAGTTGAAGAATTCTCGAATCATCATCATCATTCCACAGCTCCACCTTCCTTTAATGATTTGAAATCCATTGCCAATGAATTATTATTGTCAAGTCATTCGAGTACTATTACTGGTTCTAGTTCGACTACTACTACTACATCTAAGAAGAAGATCAGTAGCCTATCTGCTACTACCCCTAGTACTACTACTCCTACTACCACCAGTGATATTATTACTACTCCTACTCCTGAAACTCCATTCCACTTCACCGATACTACTCCTACTACTCCTGAAACTCCATCACCAACGACATACTCCACATCCAACCAATTAGAACAATTCAAACAATTATTAGAACATTTACAACTCTTCAATCAACAAGAATACAAGTATGAAAAACATAAAATTCAATCCTCATTGGATCACTATGAAAAGATTCAATCCATTTTAGAATTACCCTCTCTATTAAGAACATGTATTCAAAATCAATTATATACAGAATCATTAGATTTATTTGATTCAGCTCATACTCTCTCTCATCAATATCCAAATATATCCTTATTCAATGATTATATCATGAAAGAATGTGAATATTTAATGAAATCCATGATTCAACAATTAATTAACAAATTGAAACAAGATTCATGTACGATTAGAAACTCTATTCAAATTATATCTTTATTGAAGAGAATGCAAGTAACACAACATGAAGATGAATTGAAAATGTTATTTTTACAATGTAGAATTCATGCATTGAATCAACAATTTGAATTATTGAAGAATGATGGAAACTCTTTGAGAAACGATGGAAACTCTTTGAGAAATGATGGAAATACTTTGAAGAATGAAATTACTTTTGAATACATGATGAAATTAACAAGTCTATTTCGAAGTGGATGTTTTGATTTAATTACTCAATACAAGTCTGTATTTTCAAATCCATCATTCAATAGTTGGAGTTATGGTATGAGTAGTGGTGGTGGTGGTGGTATGAATAGTAGTAATAGTATTAGTGGTATGAATAGTATGAATAATAGTAGTAGTTCAATTGGAATGGATCCAATTCTCTCTTCTTGTATGCTTCATTTAATTCAACCCTATTTAAATACATTGAGTAGATTTTTACAATGTGAAGATTATGATTTTAATAGTAGTAGTAGTACTACTCACTCTATCATGACTACTACTACTACTACTACTGGTACTACGACAATAACTACAACAACTCCAACAACTCCAACACCTCCAAATCAATCAAATATTACAACACCTCCAAATCAATCAAATATTACAACACCTCCAACCACTACTCATTCAATGATCCATACTGGTGAAGAATATAGAAAATTAATTGATGAATGCATGTTCTGTGGTAATACTCTATGTAAAATTGGAATTGATTTTAGACCACTGATCACACATTTATTTACCAAAAAGATTCATTCTAATTTTAAATATTATTTAAAGATGGCTGTGAATCATTTTAGAGATTGTGTTGGAGTGATGGGAAATTATAAATGGAGAGAATCATTGATCAAACCATTATTATCCAATCCAAGTTTTGGTTCCTCTTTGAAATCATCATCATATTCATCCTCATCCTCGTCATATTCATCCTCGTCATCACCATCACTGTACTCATCACTTCCAATATCCACTGAAGAGACTACTTGGATGAATACCAATAGTAGTACTACTACTTCTACCAATACTACTACTACTAATGGTAACACTTCAAACATGTCTCCATCAACAACAACAAGAATATTAGAATATCCTCCACTCGCTGAATTATTGAATGATGTATTGAATGCATTGAATGAATTGAAATTCACATGTCCTATGGATTTACTGTTTACTCTCACTCAACATGACATTCCAAATCTATTCATTGAACCTATTTGTAAGATATTTATTGATATCAAAAAGAAACAATTACCATATTTTGAATATTCAGAAATTAGACATTACAAGGGAATGTGTCAATGTTTTTATGAAGATTTCATGACATGTTTAGCACAACATTTGAGTTATTTTTTGAATCAGAGAGGAGGAATGAATGTTTGGAATCGTCATAGTAGTAGTAGTAGTCATAGTGTGGTAGTCATAGTAGTGGTAGTCATAGTTGGTAGTCATAGTGGTAGTAATAATGGTAGTAATAATAGTGAGGATGGTCAAACGCACATGATGATGATGGATACTCCTCTCTTACGTTTTGATCCTTTTATTGAAAGATTGAAAAAAGAAATTCAAGATGTATAAGTTTCGAACAGTAAATGAGTATGTCATGTATTAGAGAAGTGATATATGTATGGTCCACATGGTGTATTTCAATGACATTTCTAAGGTGTGTGTATGGTGTAGCTTGCTTGTTGGGAATGTACACATCGCTGGTTACTCAACATTTAATGAAATTCGTTGTTGAATAAAAAAGTCTGTTGAGAATTCAATCCTTGATGAGTGGTTACAGTGTCATTCCAATCCACTTGACTTGATGGAATTTCCTTCTTCTTGTAATGATATTCAAAGACATATTCTTGAAATACTTGTTGATATTTCACTCTTTTAAATTTTAATCGATTTTCAAATAATTGAATGGATGCATGATTGGTTTCTAATATTTTAGCTTCAAATATTTGTAATTGTAATTCTGAATGACCAAATTCCATCATGAGTTGAACAGCCTCACTTGCAATTCCTTTTCTTCTTGCAGATTCTTCAGCAATCATGACTTCAATTTCAGCACGATGTTCCTCAGGTTCAAAATGAGAATGTAAAAATAAATTGACATCACCACACATTCCATGAGTTATAAATTTCATGAGAAGAGAGTGGCTTTCAGAATCTTTTAAAAGCTCTTCTTGAGTACTATTCTCATTGTTGTTGTGTTGAATTAAATTAAAATATGGATTTAGACTCTTTTCAATAACAATAAAAGTACATTTTTGTTCATCTCTTCTCCACTCTTGTTGCATTTCATATTCTTTTTGATCAATGGGATTTCATTGAACCATCATCCAATGTATAATTTCGAGAGGTTTGATTTTTTTGAATTTTAAAAAATTCCAAAAACGTTCACACACCTTCGTCCAATGTCAACGGTTCGGATTCAGTCATCTCTTGAATATATGAATTTTGCATCCATTCATGATACTTGGGGACATGTTCTCTCAAGTATGGCACAAGAACAACTTTCTCTCCGACAAGGCATTGTGTGATTTTCATTTTTTTAAAATTGTTTATGACACTTGTTCTTCATTTATAATTTATTCTACAATAATTCAATATTTACACGCTCATGCTTGGTTTTTGTTTTCAATATTCAAATATAGTAAAGCTTCGGTGTGGAATGGAACTTTCTGAGCTACAGCAGTCATGAACTCTCTTGGTGTTCCAATTGAGGTATGAACATCGTAGTGTGAAATTACATTCCTAAAATGATTTGAAGTAAACACAACTCGAGCAGTCATTGCGTTATTGACAAATACTTCATCAAATGGACTGAGAGATATAAATGCCAATGGAGATGGTGCATTTGGGCCGAACACTGCTAATGAGTTACGATTCAAACTACATGAAAATGGAGAACATGCAGTGTCATTTCCAAAAGAATGGAAAGAAGCCTTTTTAGCGACCAACATCCACATTCGATTTGGTTGTGTATCGTGTTGAGGCTTCGAACTTGAAGAACTCTTCATCAAACTCTGTGAATCATTTTCTGAAACGCAATAGACTCTAAAAGACTTGTTTGGATCTCTCTTTTTGGAAGGTTCAATCCATACGGAACGAAATTTAAAATTGAAATTTCTTAATGGTTGAATATCGTTGCATGTTTGAGCTGGTACTTGAAATCCTCTTCCAATCAATACATTGGTAGGTATTGTTGTGGTGACCATGGTGGACATGGCGCTCAATGTATTATGAATAGCGTTCGTATACGTCTTGGTCATGAACACTGATTCTGAATATTCATTGGATAACCTTTTAGATTTTGTAATTAATGGAATGAGTGAAAATTCTGAGGTTTTAAAGAGTGAGAGTGTCTTGTTGTAACTTTTCATAATGTTTTCATTCAAATTATAAAATGCTCGAAATAATTTTGATTTTTGAATGACGTAATCGATGCAAGTTGAAATGTTGTGAATTTCTGTTGGGTGCAGCACTAGGGGGATGTTGTTCAATGTTGTGAGAGTATGAGTGGGAGGAGTGATTTGAGAATTCAAAGTTTGGTCCTCTTCAGCACCACCACCACCACTAGTACTATTACTACTGCTGCTGGAAAACAATTGAGACGAGTCGTCTGTGCGTGCCTGTGAGTCCTTATCATGGTGGTGGTGTTGTTGTTGTTGAGTATTTGTAGGAGTCCAATCTGAACTCTCTTTTCGATCAAGTGAATGGATCGAGTTGGAAGCCTCGTTTCGAGGGTCGTGTGGGTTGGATGTAGGTAAGAAGAAGGATTCATCATGTTGTTTGGTCTCTTCCAATTCCTTAATCATTGAACTCGTTACATCGTCTTGATACGGTTGTTCCTCATCAGAGGATTCACCCATGGCTTGCTGCTGATCGGAAAGCATGAGTTGTGATTCTTGTATCATTTCATCCATCATCTCTTTCAGCAAGACATTCTCTTCATCATGTTGTTGTGTCATTGGTTCATCAGAAAGTAATTCCAGTTCTGAGGATAGAGTGGTGTCCAAGTCATTCCATAATTCATCCTTTTCATCAAGTATTTCTGGAATGGGTGATGGATCATGGACATGATGTGGCACTTCTTCGAGAATATCATCCAACACGGATTCTTCATCAGATATTAGTGGTTTGGAAGGTATCCCAGGTAGACCAAATTCAATACCTTGAATGGCATTCAAATCATCAGTCTCTCTAGGAATCCTCTCATTCGTAAAGATAAACATGAAATGATCTCGGACCCACTCCGAAATACATTGCTCGAAAAGACTAAAAAATTCAACGTTTTGCATGTAATCCATCAAATAAGGGATGCAAACGCTTTGATCATTAATAAAAATCAAGAACTGATGAATATCTTGAAGGATTTTACGATCTTCTTTGTTTCTTTTGAGTTTGTTTAAGGATTCGTGAGACCCTAAAGGCTTCTTCCATAAAAGCACAGCATCGCTCATCAATGATTTGTATTCATTGACTAAGGCAATATCCTTTCGATTTGGGCTCAAAGCGAATATTCTTTTGATCCAAGAGAGATCATAATCGGGATTGAAAGAAGATCCAATAGGCTTTGAAGGACTCTCGACTTTCCCCGAGCAAATAGAACCTAATTGTAATAGCAATACAATACTAATGACGGAGAGGAGAAAGAATTTCATTTTTTTGATGTGTAGGGGTCATGGAGGCTTTTCAATGGAAAATCTGCTTAGTGCCAAAAAGGGGTTGACTGAAAGTGTGCAGCTTCCCATCAACAAAATGTCCAGCAAATTAGGCACAACATCTTTCAAATCGCCAACAACGAAGCAATCTTTAATTTTGAGGATGAGTGAGTAAATTGTTTTGAATTGAGAGGCCGTTGTGTGGTTTCGGCAACTACGTTTTTCAGTTGTTGCGCAAAGCTAACTCAAACTTTCACCATTCGGAAAATTGACTTCGACTTTACATTCTTGAAAGGTAAACAATAAGGTACAAAATATCAACAAATCAGCAGCAACTGCAGCCCAAGGCTGGCAGGCACCAGTGGTTGTTGTTCAACAGTTGTCAGTAACTTCAGTAGCGTGCCGGACCCCAGTTACATTCATGTATTTTAGGATACCATTTGCTAGCTAATGCGTAATCTCTACGAAAATAGTTTACAGATATAATAGTATGGTATGATGCTCTTAACATAAGGCTCGGTAGTTGGTGTAACAGTAATAAACTATTCCGTTTTAATTTCTTGTTACTTCTTTCACCTGAAAAGAATTACGAAATGGTTGTATCCTCATTGAATAGGTGCTGAAAGGTTACATTCTAAGTTTATAATTATGTTTGGCAAGATCTGGGAAAAGAAGAACGATAAGTGTACTGAGAATTAATCTTACGCCTAACGGAAAATTGTTGAATGAATGTTCTCAGGCAAATTTCGTTGAAACGGGAGCTTGGTTTGTCACAATTCATGTTTGGATGATTCTTATTGAAACAACTTCAGATGTGTGTTAGTCCGAGATAATTACTTACAATGTTATTTCGCATAGTGTTCTGACGTATTGTAAAAGAATGGACGTAAATATTGCAGTTTATTATTTTTCGAAAGAATATATCTTTTCATTCATTCAATATATTCCAAATAGATGAGACATGTTGAAAATTCTAAATTTTCTTTACCAATTAATTTATAACTAATAATGATTGTGCAAGTGTTAAGGTTTCCATCAAGTCAATATGTGACAAGATGAAAACCGTTCATTGAGTGCATGAGATAGATATTGATCAATTACAAATATGCTTAGAGAAACGCGTTAAATGCATGTTGGAGATGGAATTCCTGGATCCACTGTTGTTGTTCTTGTCAGAACTTGTGCTGAATTTGGAGAATCGATATTTTACCCAGATATCGCATCTTTCTTTCACATTATACTCAAACAAATAGTAAATGATTGAAATACTGGGGGAACTTTTTCAATTTTTATTTTTGTTCAGTCAATTTTCTTCGGTTTCAGAGCAAATCTTTATTGTCTTCGGTATGGTTGTTGTTGTTGATATTGAGGTTGTTGTTGGTATTGAGGTGTTTGTTGCTGTTGTTGGTACATGTTGGGATTGTAATAAGGTTGTTGTTGCTGTTGAGGAATGAATGGTGGTGGAACTTGACCATATTGTCCAAATGCACCTCCTCCTTGTGGCATGTATTGAGGTTGAGTATACACATTGGGAGTGTATTGAGGTTGTTGTGGCATGGAAGTACTTCTTGGAATATTCATGTTCACTTGAGACTGACCACTAGTACCCATACTACTACTACCACCTACAGTACTACTATTCACTCCTTGCATTGTACTTGCTCGTGATGTACTTGCTGCTGCTGCTGATGTACCAGAACTATTACTATTACTACTACTACTCTGACTACTTGTAACCAACATGTAATTATATTGTGGATCAATAGTGACACCACTCAATTGTTGTTGAATATTCAACATGATATCTTGTTTCTCAGTCTTTCTTGCAAAAATAAAATCATCCACTCGATTCATCAATTTTCTAGTAATATCTTGCATGGTGGTATAAAAAGTAATACCTTCTTGTAAATTCGATGCAATTTCATGATGTTTGTTAATTCCATTATAAACAAATTGTAATAATTGTTCTCGTTGTGCTTGTAGAGAATTTTGAGATCGATGTTGTTCAAAGACTCGATTCGATTCTTGAATGGATTGTAAATATGAATTTTCTTTTTGAGGAAATTCAATCAATAATTCTTTAAATTTAGATTCTTGTTCAGAGAGTAATTGTTGAACAGTAGCTTCTAAATTAGATTGAGAAGAGAGTAATTTCAATTCAATTTCCTTATCTTGTAATTTGATGGAATTAGCAATGGATGTTTCAATTTGTAATTCTTGATCTAATATATCATCTAATTGTGCTAAATATAGTTTGAGATCAGAAAATGACTTTCCAAATTGAGAAGATGGTTCCATCATTTGAGAAAGAGATTGAGGCATCTTATCATTGAGAGATTTTGGATCCAGTGCCATTAATTTAAATACTTCTGAATTCTCATTAATCTTCTTTTCAATGAGAGAATCTGAATTGATGGCAATTTTCAATTTCTGTTGATAATCAGAGATTTGTTTTCTTAAATTAAATGTTAATTTAGAAGATTCTAATCTTGGCCATCGATTAGCACCATATTGAAGTCTACAATCTTCATCTTCTTTTTGTTCTTCATCTAATTTCTTTGTAATGGATTCTAATTGTGTTTTGGTTTCTTGAGACATTTCATCCAAGGTTTGCTTCAATTCATACAATCGATGAATACCTCCTTCAAGTTTGATTTTAGCAATTTTGGTATGAACATCCTCGGGGAAACCACTCTTTTGGTCAACCATCATAATAGAGCCTGGTAATCCTAATTTAGCCAATTCATTTCTAATATATTCACGATGTTCACGTGCTTGTCTAAACACTTCATTCATTCTCTTTTTGATATTTTCATCAAATTTTTGTTTTGCTTCCATGACTGGAATTGGAAATAAATTAAAGAATGGATCTGCAATCTTTTCTTTCAACAATTCAGAGAGATCATTCACTTCTTGAATCTTGGCCATACTCTTTGCTTCAACAAGTTCCAAATCTTTGAGTTCTGGTACTCGATCATGATAAATCTTTGAATTTTCATGTTGAGCGGTTTGATAGAGTTTTTCTAAAATGGTATTCAATTCATCCATTGCCATTTTTAGCATTCCAGAAATAGATCGACTCTGTTCGGAACAATCCACCAAACAATTCTGAGCATGAATAATTCTAGTAATTTCCTTTCCAATGGTCATTTGTTCATGCAATTCAATAGCAATCAAATAAGATGCAAAGGCTTCATAATAGTGTTGACAAAATCTCAAATAGGCTTTCCATGACTTGTCAAACAAATTCTTTGTGGTATTACTTGAATCCATCACTTCAGCTGCTAATTTAAATGAATTGGATGCACCCATATAGAGTTTAGAGAGAATGGCAATTTTCATATTCTTTTTATGAGCCTTCTCACAAATACATTGTTGAGCATTGGCCAAAGATAATAAAACTAAACACTCCAAGACTTCTGTGGTGAGATCTGTATTCAATTTCTCAACAATGCTTGGACACACCTTTTTTTGTATAAATGAAAATAGACCTGCTGCAATTTGGAAATGTTTCGCTGCTTCGAGACATCCTTCTTCAGAATTTCTATTTTGAGCACATCCCAATTGATGGGACAAGACAGCACTATTAAATAGGACATTGGCAATTTCAAAATTGGAATTACCTTGCGAGGTACGAGCACGAGAGAAACTGTCATACCATGAGAAGGAGAGTTGAATACGTTGAACACCTGTATCAATAGGAAAATGATTGGCCATTTGCATGACATCCATGGCATATCTATATATGGTGGAAGATATATATATATTAGAGAGAGAGAATAAGGCATGATTTGTACAGACCCCCATTGGATCGAGTCATACACGAAATTATCATACACGAGTATCCATGTTGTTGTTGTTGTTGTTATATAATATATAAATGGTTCATACACGAAATATTAAAGTAGTAGATCCGAGCGAGTAGTATATTATGAAAATACAAGTGAATGAATGACTCTCACTATATGAATGATGTATACATTCTAATACTTACCTAATACACAAATCTCTTGATCCTTCACTTCTCTCTTGAAGATTTCTCATTTCATTTCTTCGTTGTTGAATGGCAGCAATGGGTGTTTCATAATCTCTGAGAATATTCTCTCCATATTGAATGGAAATGAATTTTGAGAGTGGTCTTATGACATCTAAATGATCTGTCTTTTTAGTGAGAAGAGTTTTAATTTCCAATGGCTTGAAATAGGATGGAGCAGTGGTACCACTCGAGTTGGACATTTTTATATAATAATAAATGTATTTAATAGATTCCAAGGAACAATAAAATTAATTTCGGGTGTGTGTATGGTGGATCGATTTTCGGGTGTGTGTGTGTATGGTGGATCGATCAGGTTGTTGTTGTTGTTGTGATTGATCAAGGTTGTTGAGAGAGATAAGAGCTTTCGGAACAAGAGCACCTGTTGAAGGTTGTTTTAATGATGAACTTGTTGACAGTTGGTATAATGCGAACACTACAGGCAAGTACGAATGTAAATTTACACGTGTGTAGGCCCACGAATGCAATGATGAGGTTCAGAGCAAGAAGGCTTTGTTTGAATTTTTTTAATTTGGGAAGGAGTTCCTTGCCAACGTGTCGTGGAAATGAAATGGAACGTTTGAGATTAGAAGACATGTTCCTTTTGAAACCAGAGGATTGGTTTTAGAACCTCACTAATCCTGATGGGTAAAAAACTGTAAGGTAGTAGTGACCATTCTGTTTTCCAAATCTTAATGATCACAATTGAAATGACTGGTGCTCTCATAAGGATCTGCATCTCGTCATGGAAAACACCACCCTGAAAAAAATGAATTCATCTTCTTCTTCCACACCTAATTCCAACAATGCGAATACGAACACAACCACCACTCGACCCAGAACACCACTTGTCAAAACTCTCTTTCAAATCATTCTATTCGCATGCATTGGTCTTATTGGATTGATCAGTGTCAGAACCTATCTCTTCATTCAAGAATCCAATCGGAATATTCAACAAGATTTTGAAACTCGAATCAAAGAAGGAAAATCCATTCATCATTCATCTTCTAAACACTTTCAACAATTAAATTGGGATGAAAAGGAAAGAAATTCTGCTATTCACAGATTACAAAGAGCCATTCAATTTCCAACCATTCATCATGTCAAAGATTATGAAATATTTCAAAAATTATTTGATCAAATGTTTAAAGATTTTCCATTACTCTTTGAAGGACCATCTGCAGTTTTAAAAGAAGTGACTCATGAAATTAGTAGACAAATGTCCTTTAATAATTCTAATAATAATACTTCTACTAGTTCTACTTCTACTTCTACTAATAATAGTCATTCCAGTAACATTCCTTCAGAAGATTCTATTCTTGCTGCACGTGTCTTTGTTTGGCGATCCAATAATCATCATCATAAACTTCCAATCATGCTCACAGGTCATGTCGATGTCGTTCCCATCAATGATGAATCAAAATGGACCTATCCACCCTTTAGTGGAATGATTGTCAATGAGGGTAGTAGTAGTTCAAGTAGTAGTAGTGGCAGTACCATCGACTCTTCAACCAGTCAAACATATTTATATGGACGTGGTTCATTGGATGACAAAAATGGAGTTTATGAAATTCTAGAAGCATTGAATCAAATACGAAGAGAGAATTTATTACAACAACCTGATCGAGATATTTATGTTGTGATTGGAATGGATGAAGAAATTGGTGGAGAACATGGTGCAAAGAAGGTAAGTTTGGTGGTGTGTTTGATGATATTTAAAACCAATTGTATTATTACACCAACATAATTACAACTACTACAACTACTACAACTACTACAACTCACACACTTCTACAAAAAGGTCACTTCCTACTTTTTAAAGAAAAATATAAAATTTTCATTCATTTTAGATGAAGGAGGAATGATTGCAGATCATCAATTTCCAACCATTCATTCACCAGTAGCATTTGTTGCCAATGCAGAGAAGGGATTTTGTAATTTTGAAATTCGAGTACAATGTGAACCAGGTCATTCCTCAATGCCAAAACCAAATTCATGTATTCACATGTTGAGTAAGGCAATGATTCAAATTCAATCCAATCCAATGAAGGCACACATCTCAATTCTTCGTAGAATGATTCATCAATTAGCACCTCTATCCAATTCCATGATCTTTAAAATAGTAGCAGCGAATATGGATCTCTTTGCACCATTTTTGGATTATGTGCTGAGTTATGTGGGAGGTGCACCCAATGCAGTTGTGAGGACCACATTTGCTCCTACCATCATTTCTGCAGGTGTTGCTGAAAATGTATTACCTTCTACAGGTACTTTGTTAGTGAATACACGATTAGCACCCTATGATTCGATTCAAGATGTATTGAAACATTTAGAACAAGTCGTATTGAATGTCGCAACGAAGACTGATTCAACATACTCGAGTAACCTGACAGTCACTGCACTCCCAAAGAATTGTGATGAAGCCAGTCGTGTCTCATGTCACGATTGTTTAGAATTTAATATTATTAAGAAATCCATTCATCAAATGCAACCTGATGTCTTTGTAGTTCCTTATTTATTTATTGCTGGAAGTGATTCCAAGCACTATAGAAAATTAAGTGATTATGCCTATGGTTATTTACCCATGAGACTTGTAAAGGCTCACGATGATCTCGCTCGTATTCATGGACACAATGAGAGAATTAGTACACAAAATTATTTAGAATCTGTGAATGTGTATACTGCCATTATTCTTAATGCTAATGAAATGCTCAAAGACAGACCATAAGTGGACGTGATGAGTGGTGAGGGTTACTCAACACTTTTTTAAAAGCATGCCAAAAAATTACACATACAATTTCATAAATATACCCTACACTATTTATTGAACTCTTCACCATAAAAACAACACTCCAAAATTTATTGATGCATGTATTCAATAAAATTTACTCTTTACCATAAAAACAACACTCCAAAATTTATAAAAACATCATTCAATTTTTACTGATCCAAATACTCTTGTAATACGTTTGGTTTAAATCTCACTACAATCACTGAAATATTATCCGTACTACCCTTATCATAGGCCAAATCTCTCAAAATAATACTCGCCTGTACAGGATCATTCTCAAATCGAACAGTCTTGACAACCTCTTCTTCACTTACATAATCCCACAATCCATCACATGCAATGACAATAAATTCATCTCGATCAAACATTAAATCTACAACCATTGTACTTGCATCACTAATGACATAGGGATGTAACGATTTATCACCAATGGCTCTCGTCACTGCTAAACATGCATTCACTCGATTACCATAAATAGTACCACCTGCATCTTTGACACGTCTTCGTTCATCAATTTCACTTGGACGATGATCAACAGTTAATCGAATAGGTTCACCACTTCTACACAATACAACTCTTGAATCTCCAACATTACCAACAAAGAGTGTTCGTTCTTCAACATAGGGTATATAAACCACACTCGCTGTACTACCATCTCGAGTATCTTGACCTTTACAAATATTTTCATTCACTTCTAAAAATGTCTCTCGAATCAATAATGGAATAATTTCACGTCTCGTCATGGTCGATAGAGTATGAACATCCAAGACATCTATGGATTGTTCATCGGTTTGTTTTTGTTCCTTTTCTTTAAATTGTAAATGTTCATTCAAATACTTGACGAGTGAGAGAGCCTTTTCAGTGGCAGCCTCAATGAGTTGATCGCGCGTGAAATGTCCTTCTTGTAATTGTAATCTTTCCTTTTCATTTAATAGTCCGAAATATTTACTGAACGAAGAAGGTGTAGAGTTTGTTGTTGTTGTTGTTGTTGCATTCATCATCATGATGGTCATGGAATTTGTCATGCCAGAATTTGTCATACCAGAATTTGTCATGCCAGAATGATCCACTTGTTCTTCTTCTTCTTGTAAAATTCTCTTCATTTCTAAAAATTGTTCATAATTATTCAACTTGTCTTTAAATACCAAATGAAGTGTTTCTGAAACTAATTTCGATGTATTGGATCCTCCATGTCCATCATAAATTCCAACAAATGATTCATACTTGTTTTCAAATTGAACATGTTCATGTTGTCGAAATGTTAATTCACAAACCAATGCATCTTCCATAGTGGATCGACGTCCTTGTTTTTCTGCATATCCAGCAAGAAGCCAATCATTTTCTAAGAGTTCACTTTGAATCGGTTCCATTCGTGTCAAGGCAGCACCATTCTTGTTTTTCGTTCGTTTCAATTCGGATTTACGTTGATTGCGTTGAGAAGTCATACGTTCAATGTTTTCATAGGTGGAACTACTGGGAGAACTTGATTGAATGGTCATGGAATTGGAATTGATGATGGTAATGGTGGGAGTTGGAGAAGAGGAGGAGTTGTTGTTGTTGTTACTTTTTGGAGATGTGGTATTGCTAATGTTGTTGTTGTTGTTGGTATTGTTGTTGGTATTGCTACTACTACTGCTGTTGGTCGGAGATGAGGAATTGGACCATGTCATGGTTTCATCATTGGTCGAAGAAGAAGAATCATTGGTAGAATTGGTAGAATGGATAGGAGAATCATTCATTATATTTTCGGAATCCATTTCTCGAGAAATGGTACGGTCGACTTGATCCATGATATTAATGATGAGTGGTGAAGATAGATTCTCATCATCGGCTTCTTTAACGAGTAATTGATCGATTTGATTGACAAGTTGAAAGGGTTTGTTTGATGATGGAGTTGAAAGAGAGGTGCTGGTGGTTGGTGTTGTTGATGTTTGAATAGTGGTTGATGTTGTTGTCGTTTGAATAACAACAACGGAAGAATCACTGTTGGACTCTGAGAGATTCTCCTGTGACATTTTTTTGTATGATGGTTTTTCGAAGCTGTCTGTCACCTTTTGCCAAACAAAACTTGGATCAAGTTTGAAATTTATTGAAAATAGCAGAGTCATTTCGTTCTCACTCGAGTGTGAATGATAATTGTCCTTACAAAGTCTCATAGGCACTTCCCGTTGTAGAAGTCTGAGTAGAGAGTTGGAAGTATTTTCTTGCCAATTGATACCACAATAGAACGAACATGACACCATAACTGATTAAATCCACAGTGAGAGAAATACCTTCAGTCCATTTGGCTCTATGAACAGTTGGAATGGCAAATGAAATGCTCACAATGATTGGTAATGCAATGTACCACAATCCATACAAGACACCAATAACCTTATAGAATAACTTTTTCACTGAATTGGTCTCTTCTTGGTGTGATTTGAAAAGCACAAATTCAAAGAATACCAATAATGGCACTCTCAGAATGGTAATAATAATACCAGGAACTGTATCATAGACATAGTCTTCAGTGCTCACTACGAACAGCATTTCAAGTTCAGCCCAAATGAATAAGGCAATATAAAATACACCCAAAAATACCCAAACACCAATAATTGGTCTGAAATAACGAATATATGATGTTGTAATAGTCCAACCGCTAGCAATCAAATACAATAAAACAATCATCAAAAAGTCTGCTAATAATTTCAATCCAACGCTCAAACTATCGAAAAATGGAATACCAACACCATCCGATCCATAGACGAGTAAATGAATCAATTCAAGGAAACGACTCAACCAATACACCACCAAACTTCCATAGAATACTCTCACTAATAAATGGAAGGATTGAGATCTCACCAATTGAACCACAGAAACAATATAAGCAAAGACCATAATCGTCAAAAATGGAACAAAGGTCAAATGAACCTCAAGAATGCCTTGTCGATCCTTAGAGAATTGTTGTTGGAAATATCCACCTGGATTGGTCCATGAAAAATCTAATTCAATAAACTCAACAGTGCTATCAGTAATATCACGTTCGCAAGCATCCAATGCCATGTACCAAAATCTAGTATTTCCTTCATCGATCGAAATTTCAAATTCAGGATAATCCGATAAGGAAACAGTTAATTTGGAAAATTTTCTCAAGGCTGTACAATTCTCTACCGAAAGAACACCGTTGAATTGATTAATAAATTTCCAGACTGCAGGCCATGAATTATCTTCATCGTCGTAGAGAGAGAAGGCTAAATTTTTGAGAGCAGTTGGATCTTGTTTTTGAATGTTCTTGCTGTGAGAGTGTCAGTAAGAAGAGGCAAAGATATCATCATCACGGAACAAATATATTTACGTGAATTATGATGTAATAATCATCATGGAGTACGCATCAACATAGCATCACGATGATGTTAAACATGATCACGTCGAGCAATACCGAATGAATGATCAACCCGATGTTATTTTATCACACACAAACGGAAAGATATTTTCAGTTAGCAATAAAAAGTAAATATTATATCATCACATCCACCGCTTCTATGAACGTTGATTCAATTCAACTCTCCAACTTACAATTGCCATGAAATATGTCCTGATGAAGCATTTCCTCCCAAATTATCAAAAACAAAGGCGTCCAGATATAACCATTTATGATTCAAGGCTTGTTTTTCAAAGGTAAATGTGGTAAGCTTGCTGAATGTTGGTACAGTGCCGACTATCATCAACAGAGCCAACGCGGCCAGCACAGCTATAGACCAGAAGGAATGGAAAGATTTCATCATTGATGATTGTGGTCCTGGCGACAAACTGATTTGTGATTTTTTTAAAGCGAGAATTTTTGCGGAAACAAAGGTCACAAGTTGGAAATCTTAATTGGAAGCCTTTATGAAGCATATTTCTATTGATCTACGAGCGTTCATGAATAAAAAAGATTGGCATCTTGAAAAAAGCAGAACATTCCCTAGACTTTCAAGTAAGAGCGCAATGAGCAGTGACCTTGTACTACTAGTTTTCAAATAATGATATGGACCTTGTTGCAATGCCAAATAATTCTCCTGTGAGATTACAACAACTCATTTACACTCCAGTGTCATCCTCATCGTCTTCACTACTAAAACCATTTTCAGTTGGAGATTGATTATTCTTCTTATGGTGTCCAGAGGAGTGTCCATTCATCATGATTCGATGATCCAATTGAATATTTTCATTAAGTATCGTATTCAATTGAAATTGTAATTCATTTTTCAACAAGTCATTACGAAAAGTGGATGATGATGTTGAATTCATGACTCTCTTCATCTTGTCTTGAATTAATTTCTGAACAATAAATGAAAGAAATAATTGTTCATTTCCATGACATTTTGAATGATAAATACTATTCCATAATTCATGAAATTGATTCTCAACATCGTATTGAGAATAAACTTGTAGAATTTGATTCAACCATTCATTGAGAGTATTCTCAGAAGAACAATACCATTCAATGGTAGTGGTTGAATAGTGTGTGGGAGGAAATGATGTTGTTGCAAGGAAGAGTGAAGAGTGACTAGGATTGGATGGATTAGTACTTGTCATTGCAGTAGTACTAGTGGTGGTGTTGGTGTTGGTGTTGTTGATACTACTACTACTACTACCACTAATATTAGTACTTGAAGTGATACTTGTGTTGGTACTTGAAGTTGTTGTTGAACTACTCGTTTTCCCATTATTTTTAGATTTAGGTTGAAAATTGGGATGAGAAATTATCAACTCTAATCGATACTTGTATAATTCATTGGAATGAGGATTGGAATGTTTGGTCACTTTCTTAATGGAATGAATATCAATTTTGTGAACTTTGGATTCATGTTCAGTCGTGTATAAAATACAAGTTCGACACAATTGCACATGTTGTTGTTGAAACGTGCTGAACGTCTTTTTTCTCTTCTTGTAGAGAGTACCTTCTAGAATGATACTAGAATTGGAAAGGAATATGGTTTGATTTGACATGAATACAGGTTGTTGTTGAGTATGATTCATCATTGTGTGGTGAATTCCAATATTATTATGATTATTATTAGTATTATTAATATTATTAATATTATTATTAGTATTAATATTATTATTTGTAATATTATTGGGAATTGTATTGATGTGATTCCTATTCGAATGCTTATTGATATGATTCATATTGGAATGATTATTGGTGTGAATGTTATTATTATTATTTGAATGATTATTATTCACCATGCTGGTATCGTGTTGTTGTTGATGATTATTTGAATGATGATTCATTTCCATTAATGATGGTTTTTCATGTGTTGACATGAACTCCACTTGTTTTTGAGTGGTACCACTCGTGTTCATCTTAATCATGGCATTGGATCTCTTCTTTGCTGCTGAAATGGAATATCTTCCAGGAGGAGAATCAAGTGTTGATGATTCAATGGGTGATGTTTGAGAGGATGATTGAGACCATGACATGGTTGTTGTACTACTATTGATGATTGGATGATTATTTTCATCATGATCTGTAGTACTACTACTTGACATGATGATACCACTATGATTATCATGTGACAGATTAATACCATCCTCTGTGCTACAACTACTTGACATGATGATACCACCACCACCAACACCACCAACACCACCACCGCTCTGAGGAGAGACTTGTGCCAAATTGAGTCTTGTTGTTATTTTCACAAAAGAATTTAATTCTTCTTCATCATGATGAGAGTTTTTAAATTCATCATTATTGGATGTTTCTCTGATCAATTCTTCATTATTATGTATCATCATTGGATTGTTCAAAGAATGATTACAAGAAGAAGAAATTAAAGAGTTCACCACAATAACTTGAGAAGAATTTTGAGTTGAACTCGTACCATCACTACACGAGGAAGTTTCATTATTACATTCATTGTTGTTTTCGAGTAATGAAGTGTGTAATGGTGGTGGTGGTGGTGGTGGTTGTAATAATAAATCGTCGAGTTGTTGTGTGAAATTATTGTGACATGGTGCCAGAAGAGAATTGTTATGGTCGACCGATAATGATGTCATCATGATCATTGAACAACCATCAGTCATAGGATGACATGTACTTGTTGTTGTTGTTGTTGTACTTGTGGAAGTAGTAGAAGTTGTTGTTGTGGTGGTGGTGTGGTTTGGTTTAATGGAGAGAACTTTTTTCACTTTCTTTTTGAGTGTGAACAAGGAGTTTTGATGTTCCGAATGGCCATTCGAACCTATCATGTCGTAGGAGGGAGTTTTTGTGTGGACTGGATGGTCTGGTGGTGGTATGAATGGAGTGAAATGGTTGTTGTTGTTGATCTGTGAATGATCATCAGTGTTAGAAGAGAATTCCAGAAATATTTCTTGCTGGTGGTGACAGCGCTTGCTTGCGTGATCATGTTCTGTGATCAACTCTCTGAGAGGATCTTGTTGTTGTTGTGGCTGTTGTTGTACAACCACAGCCATCATTGAGAGATGAGACATGGAGCGATGGTGATCCGAATGAGAATGGATTGGTAGCGACCGAGTTTCATCATGTTGCTGTAGCTCATGGTGGTTGGATGTGGTGGTTGATGATGATCTCCACATTTTTTAACCAAGTTCAATACCATGTTGACACTGTGACAGTTCAAATGACAATTGGTAGTAAGGATCCTTTGGAACTCCTGAGCCTTAAGATTCAAATCAAGAACAGAGGAATTGTTTTCAATGAAATTCCTTAAAGAAAACCAGGACCAAGAATGAGTTTCATTTTCCCACTTTGATTTCATTGTGAATGGGGCGAGATCTCGTTCAAACGCGCTCATCTCTACAGTTTGAACCCATGAAAATGGAGAAACACACAACACTTTCAACGACCATCAATAAAATGAAACCACCACCCTCACTGAACCATCATTCATACATGCATCAGCACGCTTCCCAATCCTCGAAGAGTGGTGGTGGGCAAAGCATCAATTCTCATAAACCACCTCAGATAGCATTGGTCCATACAAATGGACAAGAGAAAGGGAATTTAAAATCATCCTCTAGTCCGACTCATCATGACTCTTCTTCGGACCCTCTGATCCATACCATTCATCCCTCCATGTATAAAGGCAAAGGTCATGTCAATGAAGCAACAAGCAAAATGCTTCAAACTCATTTCGAGTTGGGTAAGATGCCATCAGAGAAATTAAGGACCGGAAAACATTTAATTTGTAACAGTAATTCATGTAGCACTAGTTTTATCATGGAATTTCCAATCACACCCTCCAATTATTGCACAAATACTTCCTATAAGGGAGTAAAGCAATCCACAAGACCTGCCTCTGCTTTGTCCATTCGAAGAAAATCATCCTTTAATAAGAGTGATCATGTGTATGAGTTGTTGCACAACGACAATTGCAACTCATCCATAACACCACTTTCATCAACCAAACATCAGGCACAACCCATGTCGAGTGCTGTCATCATGAATCCACTCTCGCCAGCCTCAAGTAAAAGAATGATTGAAAAGTATCAACAAGAAGAACGAATTCACAAAAATATGGTTCAACAAGAAGAAAAATTGCAACAAAAATTCCTTAAAAAGCAATCTTCATTCTCTCTCGTGAAACAAGAAATGACTCAACTCAATCATTCACTGAGGGATCATCCACACTCTCCAACACCCCAACCTCCTGGAATAATCAAGCAACAACTCGATCAACGTGAATTTTCCAATACAAGATATGCCAAACAGCCTTTGTGGAAATCGAGGGACCGAGAATTCACAACGTTCAAAATTAAATGAGCAGTTTGTCAACTTCTTTGAGGGTTAATTCTAGTGATGAGAATAAACTACTCATCTTCTTTTCAAAGTCCTTATCAAATCGATCACTTTGTTCACTCTTGGCACGTGTCATCGTTTCGTCCGTGTTGTGTCCAGTGAGGGTCGAAGTTGTCGTTGTGAGAGAATGAGTTTTGGTCATGGCGGGATGACTATTGTGAATGAGAGGTAATTTATCCAGGGAGAGAGGAGGAGGTTTTGGTGGAGTCTGAGAAGCATTCATCATGGTCATGATACTTGTAGGCTCCACTACAATAGTACTACTTGAGACAATGTTGTTACTACTGTTGTTGTTGTTGCTGTTGCTGCTGTTGTTGCTGGTATGAGTCATGTTGTTGGATGATGGATGCAGTAAATAACTCGCTGCTTGCTGTCCACTTTGTTTCTTGTATATAATCATAAAGTCATCCATATTTTCTGTGAACATGGGCAACAAACAACATTGAAAAATTGGAACATGGGTTTGGAATGAGTGGTCCTCAATAACATTTGAAATATATACACTTACTTTCAAAATCATCATCATCCACATCAATGAGAGATCTCACTCGATCAATCCAATTACTTTCATGGGCTTGAGACCACAATAGTGTTTTTTGAAACTTTTCAATGGCTTTTCGTTCTGCTTGTGCCTTGTTATTTTCACGAGCGGCCAATTCAGCAGCTTCATTTTGATCTCTTGGTGTCGTTCCTTCTGAAATACCTTGTTCTTTAAAAGTCTTGTCAATCATTTCTGCAACCTTACTTTCTAAATCTCTTAATTTTTGATATCTTGCAGCTACAGAAACATGACGATGCTGCTGAGTGAGGTTGGTATGTTCCTGACGAGGAGGTTCTTGTTCCTTTTGCTCCAAAGTTGGAGAAGGTGGTACTACCACATGATGATTCGTGGAAGAATGAGTGATGGTCACTATTGGTGGTGTCGTTGTGGTAGTGTTGGTGGTGATGGCAGTAGTGTTCGAACTTGTTGTGAGAGCTTGCTGCTGGGTACCATTTTGTTTTAACAAGGATGCCAAATTCTTCTTTTGAGATCCACTCATATGAGTGTTCAATGTCGATTTCATACCTTGATCCAATGAAGAGTGAGTGGCAAGGATGGTAGAAGTGTTTGTTGTGGTCGATGAGAGTGGTATTGGAGATTCAGAAAATCGAACATGATGATGACAAGTCTTATCCATCGTCATGGGAGATGACAATTGTGCACTACTACTACTGGAAGATTTGATTTTAGGTAAAGATGAATTCAAAGAGGAGGATGACGAACCTTCAACCACAATCACAGGTTGAGTCATGGATGGTGTTGTTGTTGATGCATGTTGTGAAGTGGGAGATGGTGATTTTGCTTTTAAGGATGATGGTGGTGCTGTCGTATTAGTTGTTGTTGTGGTTGTGGTTGTTGTTGTTACTAGAGCAACACCAGAGGATGTCATATTGGTGTTGGTCAAAGAGAGACGTGACTGTAGTGGTGGAGGTGGTGAAGTGGTTGTACATCTCGTACTACTTCGACTATTGGTATGACTTGAAGGAGGTGAAGAGGTGTGTGCAGGTTCAGAAGAGGTATTGTTGTTGTTGTTGTTGTTATGGTTAGGATTTGGACTCTTTCCTCCTCCACCTCTCGTACTCAAAATATTTCCTTCTTCATCTTCTTCATTCACTTTATACAAATCCAAATCGAGATTGATCACATTTTGAAATTGAGCAAAATCTTGTCTTCCATACGTAAAAGTCAATCCTAGTTTCCATTCCAATCGTTGTCCAAAAAATCCAATAGGAATTCCATAGAGATCAAAAAGTACTGCTGTACAATCAGCTCCACAAGATGCTATTAAATTATTTGGAGAAATGTATGCAATACTTGAAACAGATTCGGTATGAGCCTTAAATGTTTTTACAAGACGAACATGTCTCTTTTCAATTTCACAAGTTTTAGAATATCGTTTGGAATCACTACTCTCTTGACTTGTATGACTCAAACTACTACTTGCTCGTTCATTGGCCATACTACTATTACTATTACTACTATTACTACGAGTTTTTGGTATACATGACAAATCATAGACAAATATAAATCCTCTAGAGTCTCCCAAAACAAGAGTTTCATTACTTGCACTCGTAGATAGACATGTAATAAATTCATTTTGAGGAGTAGTTTTGAATGAGTACAAGTGTCGAATGGCATTCTTGGAAACTTCCCAAAATGAAATGATACCATTGGCACGTGAAGAGAGGAGAAGTCCATCTTTCTTGGGAAGAAATAAGAGCTAGTGTGTGTGTGTAGGTTTCAATTGGAATGTTACAACAACATGAAAGTCATATTCATGATGTGCAATTGTAGTAACAAGTTGTGTAGTCGTCGTAGTAATAGTTGTAGGAGTAGGGAATAGGAGTAAGTAGTAGCAAGTTGTGTAGTCGTCGTCGTCGTAATAGTAACAAGTTGTGTAGTCGTCGTCGTAGTAATAATAATAGAGTACTCATTCAATATACTACTACTTACATCTTCAATACTTGAATGTTGTGTCGGTTGAGATAAATGATTCGTAGATTCCATGATCTTGTCTTTTCCAGTATAATTCTTTGGTGGTTGTTTATAAAAACTGTCATATCTTAATTCTGGTATTGAAATGTAGTTGGTGGATCCTTTAATTTCTCCATTTTGATCATCCAATGTATAAATCACACCATTATCTAAACCAATGGCAATATAATCTCCATAACATCGTACGACATTAATATCTCTTGCAAAAGGTTGAGAACACATGGCATGTTCTTCTAAAATTGCATCCTTATCATCAGAATCCTTCCAAAATACTAATTTCTTGTTATTTCCACCTGCTACAATGGTTTTAATACCTCTACTCTCTTTGTAAACAAATCCAAGTCCTTTGTAATCCAATGATGAAATGGAATGTACTTTTCTGTGGTGTTGTTGTTGTTGATGAGAATTCTCAGAAAGTGTTGCCGAGTGATTCGATGAATATCTATATTGAGTGATAGGTGTGGTCGCATGACTGGCCAATGACGAATAAAAGGGTGTTGTTGTTGTACTCGTATTGTTGTTATTGTTGCTATAATCAATCAGTTGATCCGAGAGTGGTGGTGAGAAACACACCATTAATTTTTGTCCATTAATATAATTCCATAAAGATACTTCTCCATTGTGAGACGAGACAATGAGTCTTCGTTTCATTACATCGAGAATGGCTGTAGAAATCTTGTTAGGAATTAGAAATTTGAAAATTAACTTTCCTGTCGTCACGTCCCAAACACAAACGAGAGACTCATCACACGTAATGAGTTGTTTCAATGTTTCATTATACAGACAAGCAGTAATAGGAGCTCGATGTCCTTTAAAATCTTTGGCAAAATCAGTCAAGGTTCGTTTCATTGGAAACATTTTCAACTTGTTACTTGCTGTAATGATACTACTCTTTTTAGGATTGTAGAGCATGGTGGAACAAGGATTCTTTGAATTGCTTGCATCATTGATGGTTTGTAATAATTTGTAATTTCTCATATCCCAAACTTTGATGGTCTTTCCTGTATCGAGGGTTATAATTTGTCGATCTTCTAAATTAAATTTAACATCGACAATGGGTTTTTCATGACCATATAATGTTACTAACGGATTGGAAATGAATGGATTCCATAACCGAACTTCCTTATCACGACTACAACTTGCTAAAAGTTTGTACTTTTCACACCAATCCATTGAATAGATTTCTTTAGTGTGTCCACGGAGAAGTCTTCCTCTTTTTCCATCTCCAAAATTTGTGACACAAATGGTCGTATCAAAAGAGCTTGTAATGATACAATCAATGCTAGGAGCATAGATGATTTTAGAAACCCAAGAGTCATGAAGTTTCCATTTCCTCTCAGGTCGAATACAATCTGGAGAACGTCCAATGGGTGCCGAACAATCATAGAGTTGTACAAATCCCGAGTCCATTCCAAACATGATATGACATGGATTGAAAACTTCCATTCCTTGTTTTTGAGGTTTTCCAACATAATCTTGAGCAAGTAAGGGTAATTTGTGGTCAAGTAAGGGTAATTTGTGGTCTTGTTGTTTGGATTGTCTAGACATGCAATACTTGGAAAAATCAGTCATACAAGTGGGTGCATCAATGAAATCTTCTAGAATGGTCACTGGAATGGTGTCTTTGAGACCAAACGGTTTTGTGAACAATTCATTTTTCAAATGTTCAATTTGTTTGTGAATTTTGAGATTGGGAGGGAGTGGATACAATGTTTCAATCACTGGATTTGGATCTTTGAGATGGTCTGGCATGACAATTTCAATCACTTCTTTACCTTTTTTAACAATATTGGGTAGAGAGGAAGTCAATCTCTTATCTGAACCTGAAAAACTCTCATTGTTGTACAACAATGGTACCACACTACCACCCATAGAAATGTCGAGAGAGGAGGTTGTTGGCATCAACGAAGAAGAAGCAGACGACAATGATGGTTTTTCACTACTCTCAAATGGTCCATAACTCTTTTCAACTCCACTCGAATGTTGATACTTTCCCTTAAATGCTCTCCTCACTGTCAATGTATCCAAATCATAAAAATTCACAACTCGATCTATGGTACATATACACAACTCGTCATGTACTGATAAATATTCAATATCAGAGATCATTGAATGGGGTGTATAATAAATATTTCGATCGTATAAAAAATTATCACAAAACCATGATTTCACTAAACCATCTGTTCCTGCTGTATAATATCGATTTCTCTTTTCATCTTGCAAAATCTTTACAATTCTTCCCTTATGATACATGCTCTTTGTATTTACATCTGGAAACGTTTGATGAACAAATAATTTATCATCCAAATTCTGTTTCATCTTTTTAGCTCCTTCATAACCAAGAAGTACATAGGTTGAAAATTCATTCCAATCAATTCTACCATTAGCATTGGCATCAATTCTTGCAAAAAGTGCTTTTAACTCATCGTTGGCTCTTCCTTCTCCCAATAAACGACTCATTCCATCAATAAATTGAGTTTCAGTTAAACCATCCTCAGAACTATTTTCAAATAATAATCGAATATCTTCTAATTTGATTTTTTGATCAATTTCATCCTCTATGGGTGTTACTTCGACTTTCTCTCTTAAATATTGTTCATATTCTAAATCTCTGGTTGTCATTCCTGCATTTTGTGCGGATGTCTTTATCGCCTCACTCAGTAATTTGACTTTTTGGTTTAATTCTTTTCTTCTCAATTTGCCTGCCAATTGAATAGAGGCAATTGCTTTCACCTTGTCATGAACATGTGAGAACTTGCTAATCATGCTTTGATCGGTTGCAGATTTTTTTAAATTTGTTCGTTTTTTGTGTGTTTTCTTGACACCATGCTCATCCTCATCGCCAGATTCACCTGAAGAAGGATCTTCTTCATGTTCTTCTACTGGGGACGAAGTCGATGCAGAATGACCTAGTATGGGTGATGGAGCAAGTGAATTTAATGCCTGTGTGACTTCATCATCAATTGCTTTGACAAATTTTGCAGGCTGAGTTGAAATTAATTCAAAATCTGAGTTATCATTTTGTGATTCCTCTTCTTCATCCAATTTGACGAGTTTTTCTCGAGTCGTTAAACTATTTACAATATGATTATGAGAGCCTAGAGTCGGAAGAAAGGGTATTGAGAGTCTTGATGTAGCTCTCTTCATGATGGAGAATTGTTGTTATATTCTTAATTTGGTTGTCAATAGGATATTCGATTTTGTTTTGAATCAATGTGTCAATAGGAAATTCGTTGATGATGATTGAATGTTCCGATAATAACGAAAGTACAGTAGTACTCTCGAGAATGTTGCCTCAAATTTTACGTAAAGAATCAAGAAACGTTTGGCGCGGAAAATGTTTCTTTTTTACGACCGTTGTGGATCATGATCGTGCACAGTGGTCAGTGAGAGAGATTCTGAGCCAATCTCCTTGTGCCATTATGAAATAATCAATTCTTCCAAGTAAATGCCATTGTTTTTTTAAAATGTCAACCTCTGAGAAGTAGCACTGTCAACAGGTTCCTGAAAGAAAAATGATTCCTCAAGTAGCCTTGTATTTTCTCTTTATTGGCACTTGGTTCATTCAACTCTTAACTCTGATCATTCTTTCCATTTTCAAGACATTAAATTTCTCTTCCTATCCCTTCCTCATTGTAGTTCTTTATTCCATATCATCACTGTGCTATGACTTGGCCTTTATTTTGACAAAACCAATTCCGATGAATATTTCTTTCTTGAATCGAACATTGGATAAAATCATGGTTCGACAAGGACATTATGAATTATTTATCTACATGACTAGCACCATCATTACAGCAATTTGTGATTATTATATTTATTATCATGTCATGATGGATCGTGAGAGTGAACGAATTCATTCCGATGATTCAAACAAGTTGACTAATTTTTCATCATCATTGAGAGAACAAGAGCATTTGAATTCAAATGTTCATCTTTCCTCAAGAAATTGTAGATTTCAAATATTGACATTCATTCGACTGTTATTAATGAGTAGTTTTGCATTAGTTGTCAATATTTATGGATGCTATTTATTGTTCAACACTGCCTATAAGAATTCGATATTCATTCGAATATTACCATTACCTCATGTGATACTTCACATTCTATTTTATGGTATGAAAATGATGAATTATTGTAGAACAAGTCTCAGCTCAACTCGAGAAGTTGATCAAAGTCATCATCATCCTATGAAAAAACTAAATTGATCTCAAATAATTCACAACCATAACCTTAAAATTTTCTCTCGCAACAGAATCCTCTTTCAAATTACAAAAAGTAAGATCAAAATTGGACAGATCATTTGCAGTGAAAACATCCACTCACTTTGATTCATGGAATAAGGTCATATCCTTTTTATTTACGTTGTTGTTGCTCCTTCCTTTGTCGTTCCAAATTTCTCAAGTCCTTTCCAATTTCAAATTCTCTCATTTCTGTTCGTTCTAAGAATGCTTGTTTTTCCAAGTAACCATCTTTTCTATATTGTTGTAATTCATGTTCAATTCCTTCTTGCTTTTTGAATTGTTTCCAATCTTCTTTGCTTTGAGAAATTGTTGTTTTCCTTTTTTCATTAATTTTAGCAAGAGCTTGATCCAATTTGGATGTTGCACTCTTTGGAATTTTGGTTGTTTCCTTTGTGAGGGATTGAGTGAGTGTATCTGTTGGTACTTCCGAACTGATGGCTTGTTCAAAAGTCATTTCTGGTGTGGTAGGTGTTTCAACTAGAAGTGCTTCATCCAATTCTAAATGAATTGCTTCTTGTGTGATTGGTTTCTCGATCACTTGTTTTTTTAGTGATTGATAATAATTGAGTGTTTCCTTAATTTTTCGTTTCTTTGTGAATTGATTTTCCTCATCGTGTTTTTTAACAAATTCACTTTTTTCAATGTCATCAAATATCGGATCGATATCATCGTCATCACTCGGATTTTCTATAAAGGCAAATATTGAGAGATCATTTTCGTTAGTATCATTGAAGTGACGGCTTGGCATGATTTTAGTCTTCGGGATCTCGATGAGAAATTTTAATAAATTAATATTTTAATGTTGCCGTAAATTGAAATAAAGAGGCAATTTTTTTTTAATTTTTTAATTTCTGATTGTTCTTGGATCAGTTGAAGTTCAACTCGCACCAGATTGCATGAAGCTGGAGAATCCAAGCAGTTCCCACAGATATAACCCCTCTAAAGCACATCCATATTGACGTCAACCCCTCAAAAACATATCCATATTGATGTGAATTTCTCTCATATTCCTGCTCAATTTCAGTTAACTCTTTTTAATAACTTGTTTTTCAAATATTCTCCAATGGCACGTAAATCTGGTTGTAAAATTTGAATCTCATACATGGTGCAAACAATAATTTCCTTAACACCATCATTGTTGATATCTACTGAATCCACACAATAAATTGGATATTCAAAATGATAAGTTGTCTTGTAACTACATGTCTTACTCTCACCATCATATTGATAGACAATGAGTTTTTTGTTATAAGTACCAATATATATTTCTGTGAGTGCAGCTTGGTGAGAAGTACTCTCTCCATAATGCAGTAAATGAATGCATGTAATGGAATCTCCAAATTCATCACAATAAATGACTGTAGATTCTTCAATTTGATAGGAATGAGATGAAGTTATTGTTGTGGTTGTTGTTGAGGATGTGGATGTGGTGGTGGTAGAGGTATTGAGTCCTCCACTTGTAGTTGTTGTTGTCATTGAATTCATACAACTTGCACTACTGTTTGGACACATGAAGGTTGTTGCAGAAATTGAATTGAGATGAATGGAATACATGACAACTCTACCCATTGCTTCACCAACAATAAATGTCAAATCATGATGATCTGGTGAGCAATTCAGAATAGAAATGGAACTGATTGGGCTATTTAACATGAATTGAAATTCTAAATGAGGAGGTGGTGATGCATTCATTTGTGTTGGAGAAAAGGATGATGGTGAACAAGAAGATGAGTATTGAATTCCTTTTACAATTCCATTCTGACATCCCATGATCAATAAATTGTGTTTGTAATCTAAATCAATTATACTTCCAGGAATATTCCACATCATGTTGGCAAAATCATATTCCACAAAGAGATTATCACTGAGATGAAAATTTCTACCTCTGCTCATGCTGCTACTAGTACTCGATGGAATATTCATCATGATCGATGTGTTCATAGTGGTGTCCATGGAGGAAGAAGAAGAAGAATTGGAACCTGTGGTGTTCGTATTGCTACTACTGCTACTACTACTACTACTATTCAAATAAACGATTCTTCCATTACTCGTAACAAATAAATTTGAAACAATTGGAATGTCAAATAATTTCAATGAATAACCAACATTGGTACCACTTGTTCCAACTCCTGTACTCACACCTTGTTGTATGATAATGTCTGAAAAGCAATGAATACTCTTATCAGTTCCACATAACACAAACATTGGAAATTGTTGCATGGATGGATATAAGGTGACCATTTGTGTCGTGAGACCAAGTGGAATATATCCTAAAATAAATGTTTGAATACATTTATGTTTGGTCATGGTGGTATTGGAAGCAGAAGAAGGAGTAGAATTAGTATTTGGAGTGTTTGAACTAGAAGTTATTGATCCATTTTTGAGTGAAAATAATTCATCTTCATCCAATAAATAAATATATAAATAATTATTAAATTGCTGTTGTTGCTCGGTATAGGCGTCGGTATCTTGTTCAGATGATGCGATACCACTATTAGGAGCGGTATTTCCACCTACTGGGTTTCCTCCACTACTTGGATTTGTGTTAGTACCATACTCGGCATTTGATTTTAACATTTTTGAATGTGAAACAAATGATTTTCCAATTATTGAGCTATTAGATTTTTTCTTCTTCTTTTTAGTCGAGGATTGTTTTGAATGAGTCTCTGCCAATAATGAATCTTCATCGGTGCTATCTCCACCCCCAGCACTGTCATAGGACGATGAAAAATATTCTTCGTTATATAAATTATTTGAATTATTGGAGTTTCTTTGAGCATGTTCATCGTCGTTATGAGAGCTATTTTCATTGTGATCATCTTCATCATCATATTTTCTTTTTGAAGAATTTGCTTCATTATAAGATATGGGTTGAGTAAAAGTAACTCCCAAAACTATTTTAGATTTATCATAATGACTTCTGAATGCACTAATGCTAATTATTTGAGAATCTGTTGGTATTCTTGAAATATTGTAAATAGGTATTTCTTGAATTGGAAAATCTTTATGAATCGTTTGTTCAAAAACTGAATTATTGTTTTGTAATTGATTGTTGTTTAGAGTGTTCCTATTCGACATGATCACATAAATGTTATTGCTTGTTGCAACGAATATTAAATGATCCGATGAATGATAATTACTTCTCGAGTTGGGTTGAGGCGATGATGTATTTTGTGTTGTTGTATTTATGGATGAGTGTGGTTGTGGTTGGTGATGAGAAAATGCATCCCCTTTCAACACACACAAGCTGTAAATATTCGTCGGAGAGAAAAAGTCATGACAATTCAGGCATTGAGAAAGTTGAAAAGCCATTTTTTTTGAGTTGGGGGTTCTTCGTCAAGAAGCTGAGATTCTGTGTCATGAACCAACAAGGATATCATGCTGTTGAGAGAGTATCAATCAAACAGTGGCATTCAAACTTCTTTGACATTGCTCTACGGCGATTTCACGCCAGAAAGCTAATTGTTTGGTTCATATATTTCATTATCAGATCAATAATCTGCAAGCTTACACGGCTCTATGCGTATGGTTGTTCATGCTCAGCGAGTGTGCGTGTGGTTTTGCATTATTTCTATTCTCATTGCCACAACATCACACGCACAACACCAATGAATTCAATGGAGAACACTAAAAATTTTTTGAATCAAAGACAAGGCCATTCACCCATCACTCATCATCACCACTGCAGTTTGATTTTTCTTTCATCATCATCAGCAAAAAACACATTTTAACAAAAAATGTCCCTTCTCACCACCCAGAAAGTTCTTGTCCCTGCCATCTCCTGTATGGCTTGGAACGGCGATAAGACTCGTTGTGCCATATCACCAGCAAACTCTGAAATTTGGATCTATAAAACCAATGGAAGTGAAGATTTTGATAAATGGGAGATTGAACATAAACTTACCGAACACGATCACTATGTAACCGGTATTGATTGGGCACCCAAGAGTAACAAGATTCTCTCTTGCTCTCAAGATCGTAATGCCTACGTCTGGGAATTGAAAGGAAATGAATGGAAACCAACATTGGTACTCTTACGTATTACCAAGGCTGCTACTTGTTGTAAGTGGTCTCCCAATGAAGACAAATTCGCTGTTGGAAGTGCAGCCAAGATGGTTTCCGTGTGCTTCTATGAAGAAGTCAACAAGTGGTACATTTCCAAGATGATTAAAAAGCACAAGAGTACCATCAAATCATTGACTTGGCATCCATCCGACAATACATTGCTTGCTACTGGAAGTAGTGATATGAAGGCTCGTACTTTTAATACCTATATCAAAGATGTTGATGGAAAGAGACCAGAAGGAAAGGTCAAGTTTGGAGATTCTATTGTAGAATATGCTTCAAAGGGATGGGTTCATGATGTTCAATTCTCTCCTAATGGTAAATGGTTGGCTTTCATTGGACACGATTCGACTGTTCAATTTGTGGATTATGCTTCTCAGGATCAATCACAAGCTGACTCTCAACCCATTGAAACTCAAGTCGTTCGTCATGAAAAGTTGCCATTCTATCGTGGATTGTTCCTTTCTGATAAGGCTTTTGTTGCTGTAGGATATGATTTTGCTCCCTATGCTTTTGCTTTGGAAGGAAACAAGTGGGTATTGAAGGGATCTTGTGATGAAAAGAAGTCTGCTGGAGCAGGTGCTGGTGCCGGTGGTGCTGGTGTGAGAAGTGCCTTCTTAAAGTTCCAAGCTCAAACAACAGTTGGTTCTCAAAATGCCGAAAAGGATGACAGTCCAACAACTCGTCATCACAATGCCATCAACTCTATTTGTCCATTCAAAGTTGAAGGAGGTAAGGTGACCAAGTTTGTCACTGCTGGTTTGGACGGAAAGGTTTTGTTCTGGAACTCAAGTGATATTCAAAAGAATCTTGGATTGACTCTTTAAATTATGCCCATTGTATACGTACACTCTTTAGACACTTTTTGCACTTTTTGAAACTTAATAAATTATTATATTCAATCCTTTGAGATCTGATCTTGAAGGAATTGGATTATTAGAATAATAATTTATTGTTTGCAGTAGGTATCTCTAAATCGATCTCTTTTTTGCTTTCTCAAGTAATAAAGTGATCTCTTTTCAATGTAGGTGTCGATGAATTGTTTGATTTGTTGTGGATCAGTAACTTCTCTGGAATTCAAAAAGGCTTCTCCTAACTCTTCGCTTTCTGTATCACTTTGATCAATCTTTTCGTTCAACAATACAAGTAATTGAGGTGGAGCATATCTTTGTGAGAGCTGTTGTTGTTTTGTTTGTAACATTTGAACTTGTTCTAAAATCTTGTCAACTTCCACCTTCTTTTGATTAATAGATTCTTTTGTGATATTTAATTGCTCATCCTTTAAAACATTTCTCTTTGCAATTTCCATGTTAGCATTTCTCAAATCTTGATAAATATTCTTTGATTCTCGTGTGAAGGCTAAATTTTCAACAAACTGTTCGAATGCTTCTTGATTGTCTAAAAGTTTTTGAATGGCCTCAGATCCTTCTAATAAACTAATTTCAGGGAATGAAGTCGGAACAGGAGGCAAATGAATCGTATACGATGAATCTTGAACAGGAGATTGTACAGAAGAAATTGGAGGTGTTGACATTGAAGGAGGTATTACAGGGTTAGTAGTGGGTATTGTGTTTGTTCCAAATGTCTGTGGTTGAGTGTAAACGACAGATGAAGGAGGAGGTGTGATCGAATTCGAAGGGGTGCCGCCTGTCAATCCACTAGTCGCTTTGGTAATGTGATTCTTTGGCCATTCATCTAAACTCACAATTATTGGAGGGTTAGTAATAAAATCTCTGAAAACAAGTGACAGTACATCTCCTAAACTTGATTGTGGTGTCCACTGTCTAAGCTGCTGATGAACGACATAACCATTATTATCTATATTTTGATGTTTAATTGTTGCGAGGGTGGTGATGAGTGGTGGCTGTTGTGGGAAAGCTTGTTGCATGAGAATACGGAACGTTAATTGTTGTCCGTTCTTGAGAGTGATTGGAACATCAACCACATTATTATCATTGGTAGAAACAATTTTAGCATTATTAAATCGTTTAATAACAGAATCGGCTTGAAGCTGTCTGGTTCGTTGTGCTTGTTGTTGTTCAAGACTACTGGCTGTACCCACCATCATGGTGCTGGATGATGGGTTCATCATGACTCCATTTCCCGAGTTCATCATGACTGGACTTGGATTTGAAGTATAGAAAGGAGAAGGCTTTAAATTAGAGAAGGATGAATTCATCATGTTGTTGGTTGTTGTGGTTGAGGGGTTGTTATATCCACCGATCAGGGGTTGTTGTTGGTGTTGTGGTGGGTTGAATCCTCCATAGTAGGAAGAGCCACTGCCAGGATACATCTTATTTTTATTTTTACAAGATAAAAAACACGTTTTAATTTGCTTCGAATTCAAAAGACATGCAGATTGGTCACTCTGCTTGCTCAATACACAAATTCTGTTTCGTCCAACGCAGAAGTGCCAACATAATCTTCTTCATTTGAGGATTCATCTGAAGAAGTTTTCTGATACTCTAATGGCTCATCATTATCGTCTTCGTTATCAATGACCACATCTTGTCTTTCTGGTAAATGCCCTTCCAGTAAACTTTGAACGTTCTTGGCTTGGTAAATGGTGAAAAAGTTAGTCCTCTTTCGTTTGGCATAACAAACAATGCAAGTAATAGTTGTTCCACAACAGCAAAGAATAAGCACGATAACTCCAGCAACAGAAAGTCCCACAACAAGTCCAACATCCACTTTTGGAGGGCCTTGTACACCCAAATTAAACACATTGCCTTCAAGGGCCACTGAAGAATCTCTCTGATGAAGGGGAATCTTACACACTCGTTTTTCGTATCGTTTTGGACAAACTGAGCGACATCTTACAGAGTCTGATTGTTGTAAAGACTTTGGTTCATCTCCTTTGATATCGTTCATCAAAGTTTGAAGGCTTTTTTTGAAATCAGGTTTTGGATTACTTGGAATTTTCTCCTCAATGTCTTTTTCAAGTTGCTTCAAAGCCAGTTCAATATTCTTTGAAAGCTGCTCTTGTGAAGAAGGCTTTAAGGCAGTTGTAGTGCTTGTCAAACCAGGCTTGTTGTTATGAGATGTACTTGGGGTTTCAGTTGTGTTAGAAGATGAAGAGCCAACAACATTTGGCGGTGAAGATGTTGACTTTGAAGGATTGCCTGCTGAAGACGAACTTGCAGGTTGAGATGTTCCTGTTATCTTAGTTATTTGAACGGGTGCATTCTGTGTTGTAGCAGATGGAGCAGAAGCGAGATTTGATCCCGTTGTCGTTTTCTGTTGAGTTGAGTGTATGATATTACCAATGTCACTGGACTGCGGTGCTGTATTGATCTTTGCTTTTCTTCCTGATGTGGTTGAGGCTTCAGACTGTGGTTTTTCAGGGGTTGAGTTAACCTCACTAATCTTGTCCGTTTGTGTTTGGTGTTGAAGTGCAGCTGAAGTATTTGTTGAGGAGGATGCATTTGTTGACGGTTGTTTTGCCGAAAACAAATCGCCCATAGGAGGAAATGTACGGTTTACATGGTTTTCTCCTGCTGACAAACTGTTTTCGTTGTTTGTTGCCCTTAATGTGGAGTTTGGAGGGTTAGTAATAGGCCCTTGGGGAAGCTTTTCCTGGCCATTGATGCCTGTCTGTTGTGTTTGTGTGGATGCAGGGACGAGCGGTTGAAGATGTGTGGAGTTTTTCTGCTCACCAAGCTGTGAATTTTCCTTTGGTTGATCAATGGATCCCGAGTATGGAAATGATGAATTTGTTGAGGTATTAGGAGAGTGTGGAGAGAGGATCTGAGTAAAATTTAATCCTTCGTTTTGGATTTTCAGTTGATCCTGTGATGATGTGGGAGATGTGTGGGAAGTATTGGCAGTGCCAGTTCCATTAAGTGGAGTGCTTATGCTTTCGTTTGTCTTGGACAAGATTGAGCTGTTGTTGATTACATTAGGCTGAGGGTGTGAAATGTTGGGCTGGTGGATCAATGGTGTGGAAATTTCGGTGGTGTTGCTTGCTGTTGTGATACTGCTGTTAGAGCTATTAGATGATGATATTGTTGAATTCGATGACGTGGTTGAGGAGTTGTTAGGTTGTATCTCGGTGATGTTTTTTGTAGTGTTAATAGCGGAAAGAAGAGTTTCGAAATTAGGTATATCATAAATAGGCGAAGTTGTGTTCGTTGAGGAAAAGGGGGACAACGGGTTCGGTGATGAGGCGGCTGCTGAATCATCTCGTGGCCAGACATCATCCTCAACAAATAAGTTGTTAAGGCCGTTGGAGTAAATTAACGGTAGCTTGTCCACGTGCCCTCCAGAAATGATTTCGGTAAGCTCATTTTCCTCCTCTTGCCATAAATTCCAATCCAACGGTTTTGATGGGCATGAATTCGTAATATATTTCTGAAATTCTTCATCTGTAAGAACAGCCTTTGAAAACCCCCCAAAGGCTACCACCAACAATAAAATACTAAGGGCAAAAATAACTCGATACTGTTGAGGCATTTTTTGCAAAGTGATGGGTGTTGGTGAGGACTCCTTGCAAGCAGTTTTCCGTTCCATCTATCATGCAAAACTTTGGTGTCTCCTTAATACAAACCATTCGTGATCTGTCTTGTGTCATTTCATCCGAAATAGAGATCAAATGATCAAAACGCCAATTACATTTGTGATTGTATTCTCAACATTGATCTGTTCTTTTTGACGAAGAAAGAGGTCGTCACAAGATGGTCAGGTATGTTCGTTCTTCCGTGTGTCGAGATAATCATGCAATTACATAAAAGCACAAAATAACCGCGAACACTTTCCAAAACTATTGTAATTGAGTACAACAACCTTTTTGGATTTGCCTCTTCACAGTGATGATGTCTCTATCGACATTGTGGTCAAAACACAAACAAAAAAAAACAAAGTCAACATCTCTCATTCCAACAGAATTGGAGTCAAAAAGGTGGCTTGTCACGCAATTCCTTCCACACAACCATAATATTTCTCAATCTCTCTCTCTGAAGGATTTCCATCTGGCATCAACAACACTCATTTCCTAACCAACTTTTGACATCAAACCTAGATCCATAACTCGACCGTGTCAAAACTACCAGAAATGTCATCATCGCTTCAATCATTAATTCCGTTCGACCACCATGAACAACAACATCCAACTCTCCTTCCTCACTTGGGAGATACCATTCATCAAGCCTTGACTTATTCCAATGACTCGGCCATCATCAACCGATTTACTGGAGCACTCGTCGTCTATGCCGTTTCATTTCCTCCGTTTCTTGTTTTTGGTCTTGTGGTGAGTGCTCTACTCATCGTTCGTTGGAAGCAAATGGTTCCTATCAAACGAGCATTATTCGGTCTCGTTGTACTAATTTCTCTCTTGCAATTGGTATCCATCATTGGTGGTATCATGTATTCGGTGTGTTTGTTAGCGACCAATGACAAGTATTGCATGGATCCGTTCGCAATGATTCAATACGTGTGTGGAAATGCAACCATCATTTTGTGTGCGTATTGTTTCATGGTCATTACACGAATTCTTTACAAGGTGTATTTTGATAAGAGTCAATGGTGGATGCGAGGAAGAAACAAAGACGACGAACAACAACAACTTCAAGAAATTCCAAACACCAGCAATGGTGGAGCAGTGCAGACTGGTACCACGGAAGAAAAAGAAACTCTCCAAACGACTCCTCAGAATTGGGTCAGTCATGCCACTGCCAAGAGAAATCAACGATTTGGATTATTTGTGAAATATACAGCACTGACATGTGCCATTGTTTTGGGAGTGGTTGCACCTTTGCATCTCATTACCATTGCTATTACATCGTTAACTTCACTCATGCCTGGAGTTACTCAAGCAAGAGCAAAATCCATTGGTATGACTCGTTATTACGTTGGTAAGTTTGTTCATTCATAGACCTCCATGATTTGAAATATGTTATTATCATAATAACATTCTTCATATCCATGATGATCATGAATACTGTATTCTTTAACTCTTCTCAGATTCTGCATTTGCACTCAGTTATTGGGGACTCATTTTCTTCTTTGGTATTCTCAATATTGTCATTGGAGTTTCTTTAACGAAAAAGTTTATTGGTACTGACAACAAAATTCCTCTCCATCGTCGTAAAGCATGTCGACAATTAATTCTTCTCAATGTATTGCAATTAATATTTGGAGGAGTGACTGGCTCGTTGGTGATCATGGCCATTCTGACTCTTGTCGAATATGAATTCTATATTGCTGGTATTACTTTGCAGAGAATTAGTATTTTCTGTTTTGCCATTGCACTCACTTTTATTTATGGGCCTTTGGATGATTTGGATGTGATTAAAAAGACTGGAGCCAATATTAGAAATGTGGTCACGACAAAAATCATTCCTGCCAATTTGAATCATGGCAGTGGTAGTGGTAGTGGCTCTGGTTCCAAGGGTCAATTGATGGATGCATCTTCTCGAAAGAAATTCACTTCAGTCAAATTGGACAACCCTTCAGTTTCAGCAACAGTTGTTGTTGTGGATCCAC